CACGAGCCCCTACTCCCAAACTTTGACGCGCTATAACTTTGTCATTTTTTGGTTGATTGCCCAAAGAAAAAATACGTGTCCATTATTTTTTGATCATCTAACTGATGGACTTAATAGAATTTCGTTTACTGTACCCCGTCATCACCCCTATTGTAAAGGCCAGTTAAGGCTAAATATGGAAAAATATGGCACGCGGCAAGCTAGCGAGATTCACACTATCAGCGCTCTGTCTTAACACAATTTATATGCAATCTACAAAAAAGACTTAAACAGAAAACGCATATAAACCCAAATCGCTTAAAATTGAACAGCGGTATATATTAACTTTTATAGATCTATAAGCAAATTAAACAAATGTTACAAAAACAAAAAGTAATACGAACGAAAATAACTCTTAAGTACTATTCATAGAGCATTATACTATACAAATTCATATTTGAAACGCCGATACTGTGTTGCTTGCACAGAACACAGAAAGATGTTAGAAGGAGCTTGTGGGCGGGGCAGGCGCACCACAGTTAGTTGTGAGCAAATGCTCATAACTTGACCAAAACTTGGCAACGATTGCTTTGTTGCGATGGGGTGTGAGCGCCGATTGGTTCGATTGTTTGATGTCACGGCGTTTGATTGGCTAATATCTATTAGGTGTAAGTGTAGTGCGGGCGAGCCGGCGACATCGGTTCCCGTACAAAAGGTCTCTGAAGACCCTTCTAACCTCTTTCTGTGTTCTGTGGTTGCTTGTTCCATACTTTAAAATACGGAGCCGACTCTGCGAGCTGCAGTGTTGCCATGCACCGCGCACCGTCACTACCAACCTATCATGCCTGTATGTATATATCAAATTTATTCGTTTCCGTTAATTAGTAATTTAGCCTTTAAATACACATATACACGCCAACGTCAAGAATCAAAGTTTAATCCGCTATTACTGAAGTACATACATACAATATACTGTATACTTGATAACAGACGGATCGCGGACCGCGTAGAACATGACATCAAATTAATATTCGCAAAAAATATACATCTCTCTGCAAACCTCACAAATGGAATTGACAATGTTAGAATTAAAATATACGCACTATAAATATACAACAACTAAATAATATAGTTTAAAATAATATTACATCACAACAATTACATCTATGATTTCTATATTATCTAATGTAGCATAGAATTTATTATATATTTAAATTATCGAACGTACAAATACTATAGAGAATTTGAAATCTTTTTTTGCAAACGCGGTCCGGCGAACCATAAATAACAGCGCCTAAGAAAGAGATAACAACTTTAGGATAATATTTACCCATAAACACACTGGTATTTCAGTTATAGTTACACAATTAGTTTACAATTACATATTATTAATTACCTATACTAAGGGCTACTTGTAGAGACATTTCTATGTCCATAGACAATCGTGAAAGTGTTAAGTATGTAATGTCTCGACAAGAGAGTGCTACTTATTTTAATTATTGTACCGAGGCGGCGCGCAGGGTCCGTGCGCACAATAAGCGAGTGTTGCGATTCTAAATAGCTAAATTCGAATGCTAAGTATAAATCTACCAATTCGGTAGAAAAAATATTTTATTGCAACATTTTTTTATTATTTTTTTCGTATTTTTAATTTATCAATCGAACATTCAAAGAAACAATTCACTCTTTTTGGTAATCGCTTCGTATCAAGTCACCGCACGGCGTGTTCTCACTCACTATTATTCGAAAAAAAAATTGAATACGACATAGACAGCGAAAGGCACTACAGAATACAAACAGCACATGTTATTAACCTCAGTAAATAAAATAAATAAACATTTATTACATTAATTTAATTTTTACATGAATCTTTATTTGAGCATTCGGTGGTCGATCGGTATAACTTTGGGGATATATATTAGGTTTCGTACCATGAGTTTATAATATAATATATGAGAAGCACATTCACATAATGCCAACATAATGAAAAACAATAAAAAAAATCAACAATTATATAATGCGTAATGAAGAGATTGTACTTCGACAGACATGCATATTTTATACAAAATAGTAATCCATAGAAGATAAACAATCATTCTTCGATTTTTACAAAGTTATCATGAACTATAATGACTATATAATATCAAATCCCTTAAAAAAATTTTACAACTAATAATATCAAGACATGATAATAGTTATCAATGTAAACGGTAGTAATTATAAAAAAGTATTCAAAATAAACTCTCATTTGACAACAGCTGCTTTATGAGTCTTTCCCATAACATGTACTATCACGGTCAAACACTGACCACACCAGTATAACTGTATTTTCTACTTTATTAGTTCTGAAATAAAGGCATGACGCAGTTGCCAAAAGCAATATAGCATTGTTGCTTTCGGAATGGTCATAATAAAATACCAAGTTGCGGCTTTTTAGGCCCCGCCCCAAAATTCACTCAAGCACAATCGTATATTTCATAGTGTGTAAAGTGACAGTAATAGTACACAATACGTACATAGTTTCGTTGATTAATGACAAATCAATAACAAAAACTTTAGTAGCCTGATTCACACAGATTTACTCTTCAAATTAATAAAAGGATATATTCATATTGTTCAGGTAGTTTTCTCAATATGTTATATCAAATGCAACAGTAATTTCTACCAGTTATAAGAAGTTATTGTGGACTCCCTCAAATACATATTATATTGCGATAAATTCCATGCATAATAATGATAATTATAATAGAAGTTAAGACTAACAGACTATACACAGTGAAGCGTTAGGCCTCGGTTCGCAGATAACAATATATTACAGTTCTGCAACGCAGCCGTTTAGAGGTCTCTGTCATGCAGATTGGAGTGGAGATTCTAACTGGTATTGCCTAAAACTAGTCCCTAGCACTATCACAAGACTATTCGTAATTTCTATTTGTAAATTTGACAACAGTCTATCCTTTTTTTTATTTTTTCAGCCATTCTGGGAAGGCAAAGAATACTGTGCGCATACAGCCAATTTTTTCAGCCATTCTGGGAAGGCAAAGAATACTGTGCCCATACAGCCAATTCTTAAGTTTACAATCTCTCCTTATCATTCCTTTAAGTGTGTGATAAGGACAACTAGCTGTCGAAATGACAAATAGCAAATACGGATAGCCTTGTGAACATCTAGCATAAATATATTTTCATAAGTGTGATAATTGTGATACGATTGATAAGAGTTGCGTCTCATTAAAACCCGTACGACAGAACACTGGAAACGGCCGCGATCAGTGACCTTAGCACGAATCAATATCGAATTCGAATAGTTTGCGAGTGCGAAATGTCACTGTCAAATTTTGTATGGAAACTTGGACAGCAGCGTCACAACAGACGAAACGAGAACTAAAAATCAGTACACATTTGACGTATCAAATTGATCGAATTGGACTATTCAAATTCGATAGTGGTTCGTGCTAAGGGTACAGGGCTTCCTGACGCCCGGACTCGGGATCGATTCTCGACGGACGACGTTTCAAAAATTCAAATTGACTAGCGACAACGTCCTGTTAAAATTAATAATAGCTAATAATAAGATATGCCAATAACGCTAAAGTTGCTAGATTGATACTCGTTAATTTTATAATTCAAAACGATGGATGTATTCGCATCTCCTTCGCCTTTTGCTGGGACTTCACAAGGCTATTCGTATTTGCTATTTGTAAACTTGACAAAAGTATAAAGAAAAGTTTACTAGAAAAAAATCCACGCTGACCAGGCAGCGGACGGGACTCGAACCCGCATCCTTCGCTATCCGGGCGAATGCACTGACCATTATGCTACCACGGCCCTATTAGCCGCGTCGAAATTTTCCTAGCCTTAAGCTGCAAGGCAGCGCCATCTCTTCGCATTGTAGGTAACCCACAATGTAGCATAATGGTCAGTGCATTCGCCCGGATAGCGAAGGATAGAGCCCGGATAGCGGGTTCGAGTCCCGTCCGCTGCCTGGTCCGCGTGGATTTTTTTCTAGTAAACTTTTCTTTAGACTTAAACATCTAGCAGTTAAATGCTTAAAAAATAAATAAAATCATAACTTGACAAAAGTATCTCTGTTTCACTCCCTGAAAAGGAGAAGCCGCTGTCAAAATGGCAAATATCTAAATAGCCTTTTGAAGTGCTAACGTTTGGACAAATAATTTATGTAGGTATTAGCTGTTCTCGCTTTTAGCTTTTGATCAGAGAGGCGGGCGGAGATTTGCGACTGGAATGCTGGTCGATGAAACATTAAAATAATAATCTCGTAGGAACGAAATGCAGGTTGGGCGGACCGCAACTGACTCGTAAACCAAGCCCGTATATTCACCGGGGGAAGACGAACGTGGCGCTTGCGTTATGACTCTGAAAATGTATTATTTAATCGTGTATTTCGGGAAAATGGGTTTTAAACGAGTACTGGGGACCATTCGCCTAACGGAAATGCTTTGGGAAACGCTAACGCTTTCGATTTTATTTTGTAATTTGTGACCGCAGAAGGTTTTCAAATACCTCACGCTCGTTTTTTTAATATTGTTATTACCAATGCAAAAGAAAATAAAAGAGCGCGAGGCATTTGAAAACCTCAAGCGGCTAGAAATAACAAAATAAAATCGTAAGCGTTAGCGTTTTCCAAAGCATTTCCGTTAGGCGAATGGCCCACTGGTAGGACTTGCAAGGTCCTATATAAAGTTATTTAAAATAAATTCATTCTTGTTTAAGGTCTGATTTATTATCACATACGGGAGCAAAATTTTCATTACCTATTTACAACTCGAGGGGATTTGCGTTGCTCTGTACATCGACAATTGGAATTTAGAATATTTTATTACAATGCCTTTTTACGATTATTCGAGCATTTGTGGCATATTGCCTCATACACAGAAGATTTATAAAAACATAACTGTAAGAACCTTAAACAATCTTTCCAAATCTGTCGATACTTAGCTCAGAATACAACTGATACGATACGGTATCAGTTGTATTCTGAATATCACATATATTGTATCATATATAAGCGCGACGTTCGTCTATTCCACGTGTTATTGGGGGTTAACGCTCGTGAATATAGTAACGAGTCCCTCGTATTTAGTGTTCCTGTCGCGAGATGGCAAGCGCGAGCTGCAACTCTGCATCTTCCTGGCGTCGTCTAGCAGCCGCTTCTGCCTGTAAACGTCGCGAATCTGCCGCCGCCCAAGCCCATTGCTGTTCCTCCGAAGGCAAAGCTTCCGAGCCCTTTCCTTTATTCTTGGCCTGCTTCGTCCGCCCTATCCCGCCTATCGTGTGCACCAGAGACTTCGCATACTTCACCGGCTTCGGGCTCCGATCTTTCTTAGCAGGCAAGGTGCTCGTAGGCCACGTTTCGTTAAGGTTCTCGTCGCGGGCGGCGCCCCAGTCGGCCCAATCGTCCTTCGACCGCTCGTCGGTCGTCCTCGCCCAGGTGGCCGATTTGTTCGGCCAATTGTCCGCTTTGATCGATCGGTCTTTCGCGGGCCGGGGCGGGGTAGGTTGGGCCCAGTTGTCGTCCGCGACCCAGTTGTCGTCGGGCCACGCGGCCCACGTGTCGCTGTCGGCAGGGCGGGTCGAGAAAGGGGCGGCGAACGGATCCGTAGTGAGGGGAGGGGCCGACACTCGCCCGCCCCGCGATTGGGCCGGACGATCGGAGGCGGAAGGGGGAGCGGCGAAGGCAGGTGGGGGGAGAAACAAGGAATCCGAATTGAAGGCGGCGGCGGAAGAAGGGCGCGGCTGACGGGCCGCATCCGGTGCGTCGGCGAAGGGGTCTTCGATGTTGAAGGGGTCCTCGTAGCGGTAGTCCTTGAACGGGTCCTCGGTGAAGTCCATGGCGCTGGCCGCGCGGGCCTGGACGCAACAAACGGGGGAGTGAGACGGGTGCGCTAGCGGCTGTGGGGGGGAGAGAGACAGAGAGTGTGTACGCACGTGTCGCCGGGGCCGGGCCGCGTCCGATTAGCGCTGCAATGTGGGGACAAGCACACGAGCCGTGGTTAGCATGTTAGTGGCATGTGACGTAACAATGATCCGACACCGCGCGACCTCTTCAATGCGGCATCATTATACATTGTATTTTTTTTTATAGATTCGCCGACAAATGACTCCACCCCACCTGATGTTAAGTGACGGTGTAGTCCAGACGCGAAGCTAGCTGATACAGCAGTTCTACCTGCTCGTATGACTTGTTTACGCGATGTTAATAAAAAGAAGAACTTTTACAACGAACGATAAGGAGATACATGATTACCATGTAAGAGAATAATCACGATAGACATTTGCAAAAGAAGTCGCGCTGTGTTCAATATAATAGAAGTTAATGTTATTGTATTATACACGTTAATTATAGAAATAAATGATAATAATAAATGAAAATAAATAACTGAAAAGGGTGATGTAATAGAAGGAGGATAAATAGAAGCGATCATGATAGCTGTATACGAATAAAATATTAGCGTATAGATAATGTGTAAACTAACTACGAGTGACTTGGCAACACGTGATAAATATGATCGGATATTTGAACTTTTTTAATTTGTTTTAATGATTTGAAATAGTATGACAAGGAAGACGTTACATCCCAAACAATTTGATTACAGCGAATAGGGTATTTGACAAGTTTTAGAAAACGATCTCACGTTATTTACTAATGTTTATAGAGTCCATAAAAAGTGAATATTCATCATTATGTTGTTTTTCGGTAAAAAAAAACTGTATTTTCAAGTTGCCGCGAAAAACGTATCTCTAGAGAATATGGCGACTTACTGGTGTGTGTCGTCACACGACTGTCATTAAAACGTCAAACCATACAATGTAATGTCACTTTTACCGGAAGTTTACTTGCGTGTGACGTCATTTTAGGCTCCACCAATCGCAAACGTTTTGGGTCACATGACAAAAGATAAGAAAACTATTATCTTTACCGTGGGTTTTTAGTAAAATTATGAATATTTTTTCTGTAAAAATAGTAAAAACTCCTGCCAACATTCATTCTAAATACAGATGCTAACAATTGGCACTTTGTTTTTAATACTGTCAAATACCCTATTCAATGAAAATTTGCTACGAAAACTGCATGCTGTTACTACAAGCTACATAAAACAATGCCACATCTAATGATAAAATTATTTTAATATGGTACGTCTGTTTGTTTCTTAGGTTTTCACGCACATCAGTCATTATAAAAAACAAGTTTCAACGGGTTAGATGCACTGATTTCATTTATTTGTAATTTGGCAAGTACAAAAATATGATGCTATTTAATTGTTGTAGAAATTAAAACTAAATTATTGTCTCGACTTGCTGATATTGTCCTTATTAATGTGTTTTTTTAAATATAATAATTGTGAGGTGGTGGCAGAATACCAGCGACAAGTCAATACTTGACTGTCACATGCTGAGCCACATACCTTTTTGTTTCAATTATTTACTGTCATTCTATTTGTGTATTGTACCAATTGTATGTTGAAACAAAGGGGGCGTCCATAAATTACGTGAGGTGTTTCTTTAAATTTTCTGTCCCTCCCTCCCTCCATCCGTCCCCCCCTGGTGAGATGTCGTGAGATTTTTTCACCCATCCCCCAATTTCACGTGAGACTTTTCAAAAAATGCGTTGGATTGTTATTGTAAAAAGAAAAAAAATGCTTCGTGCTTTTCTTTACGACTAGTTAAGACTAGTAATCAATATTGCTGAGAGTTTTTTCTTTCGAACGAAATATTGAATGACCTTAATCGAATTACGATTACGCTTAAGATTAAATTTTAAGCATGTACAATCTGGAAAAAATGGACCAAAATAGTATATATTTCTTTGTTTCAATCAGAAAAAAATTGCGTGATATTTGACTCGACCCCCCCTCTCTCCAACGTAAGATTAGATGAGATTTGACTCGACCCCCTCCCCCCCCCCATGACATGTTTAACATGTCACGTAATTTATGGACGCCCCCAAACATATAATTTATTGTTATTATTATTATTTATTGATGTTTCGCATCTTTTGCAGGAATGCGTCCTTTGCAGAAATTCCGACGACGCATTCCTGCAAAGGCGAAACGACAATAAATAAATAAAATCAGTGCATCTAACCCGTTGAAACTTGATTTATTTAATGGTACGTCTATACAAAGATTGTAATCAACACAAGAAATAGGGGTGATGACGGGGTACAGTAAACGAAATTCTATTTAGTCCGTCAGTTAGATGATCAAAAAATAATGGACACGTATTTTTTCTTTGGGCAATCAACCAAAAAATTTACAAAGTTATAGCGCGTCAAAGTTTGGGAATAGGGGCTCGTGACGTCACTTTTAAGTGAAAATTGTACCCATACGTGACGTCATGCGACTTTTCAAATCAATATATCTCTGCAATAATAAATAAATAAATAAATATTTCCAACACTCACACCAATTAGCCTAGCCCCAAAGTAAGCACTCTAAGGCTTGTGTTATGGGATACTAGGGTAACGGATAGAATACATATACTGTACATATATATAACTATATTTTTATAGAAATACATATTAAACATCCATGACTGGAGTACAAATGCTCGTATTCATCACACAAACATCTGCCCCCACCGGGATTCGAACCCGGGACCTCTCGAGTCAGCGACACCATGAAACCCGGCGTACAAACCACTCGGCGACGGAGGTAGTCAACAATGTTTATATTATGTGAAAAAAAAATGGTTGCCTGTAAAGTCGGTTTTACGGGCGAAGATTTTACGTGACAACGTCTTTTTCTCGGTAGAATATTTATTGATATGAATATAATTAAATTGCACAATAGGAACAAGGAATTGAATGAAAATAAGAATTGCACAAATTTTAACTATAGAAATATATTTTGTTTACTAAAACATTGTACATGTAAACTTAAACTTAACACGAGAGACTCATCGTAACGTTACCGAGCGTTACACTTTTTCATAAGTGACTCCCAGCCGCAACCTAATTTAAGACGTTGTCACGTCAAAAAAGAAAAAATACGTGTCCAATACTAATCTACCTGATAAACGAAGAAAAAAAAATAGTCATCATCCCTATTGTAATCACACATAGATGTGACATCAACCAACATCAAACTACGTTGAGAATGGCATTACAACGAAAGATAACAGAGAAAGTAAAATTGCACAACAACATAAAACTCAATCGACGAATAAAATCGACCATCATCAAAGATTAACATTCAGAATGTACAGTCAAGTAAACCTTACGTAAATAGTTTTTACTCGGCCCAGTAGTCTAAGACCCGTATTATAGAAAGATTCTCAGTGATTGATCTAGTCTTGAGCATAGTTAGAAAGGGATGTTGCTATATATAGCACATAGCGACATCCCTTTCTAACTGTACTCAAGTAAAGATCAACACTTAGTTGTCACTCTGTAATACGGGCCTTAGTATCTACATCTTTTTGTAGTAAAAAGATATTATTAAATACCTATTCATAATAATAAAAAAATACCTTTTTTTTTTAATTTTAAATTTATTGCGAATCTATGAGTTTACTTTAATTGTATGTTCACAAGTGTTGCGGTTCTAAAACGTTATTTTCTTTTTATATCCCTGCAAAAAGAAATAATTTATGACATTTCACGCAAAGCTTTTCCTTCAAATTCGTTTTTGAACAAAATGTTAAACAAGTATGGGTTCTTAATAAATTGGAAAATCTTGACTGTGCAGCCTGAATGTACTGTTGAAAATTACATGCAACAAATAATCAACCACCAATTTACAATGACTGAGATTGACATTTTATGGCAATCACGAAAATAACAAAAAATAATAAAATGCCATTCTCTAAACTTGCGCGAAAATCTAATCAACGAAAATGCGTAGCCTCATAGGTTTGCTTCGACAATAGTGCAAAACAAGGTGCATTATACGTATTTATTATTTACGTACATTTTACTTTCTCTGCAGCGTTAAAAAGTAAAGTATCAAATGCAATGAGCTGTTCTATAATCTCTCAACCACTGTCATGCTGCGGGACAACCGGGAGGGGAGAAAACACAATTTCAAAAACAATTTGATATAATCAAAAGAAATCTGGAAATTAAAAATTAGCTTATAATTAACTAACATAGCATATTTCCACAAATTGCCACCATAAACCATTCCAAATAAGTTAATATTGTCAAGGGCGTATTGTAAAATTTATAGGGGCAGGCCTCCAATATTTGCCGCCCCATAAATAACAGTGGTAAAGAATTTTAATTCACCAATTTTGCATAAAGTATCAAGAAATACGTTTCGGCGCCTCACGTGCCACATCGGGCCATAGTCAATTTGGCGCTCATTTTAATAGGCCCATGAATGTTGATACTTACGGTGGTGGCATTTTGAGAATAACACATGAAATATTATTAAGAGTTTTTGATCGTTCTTTTAGAGTCCCTTTATAATTAATGTATAATCATTATCTTTACAACACGGTAGGAAAATATATAAAAATGTAACTGCTAGTAATACGAAGAAAATTAAGCCAAATCTTTGCTTTCGTTTGAAACGTTTTTATAAGAAAATCATTATGAAACATACCGGGACTGAATAATCAAAAACAACAAAATTGTAAAATAATTAATTTATATAAATGTTTTTCGCAAATGCAACAGCATCAATCTGACAGCTAATAATTTCTGTAAGTTACAATTATCTTGATTGAGGAGCAGTGATACTATTAATTTGGAGAATTATTCGAATAAAACATATGGTGCTCCGGTATCAGCTGTCAAATTGACAGGGTTAGGAAACAAATTGTAGTGTTATGTTAATGTCAGAGTTTAATTACGACTACAGTGGTCGGCATCAAAATAAGAGTAAAAAATTGTGTATGTGTAAGTAATACATAAGGATATAGGATATAGGATCAATTCAATTATGTAAATCTAAAGAAAAGTCTACTAGAAAAAAATCCACGCGGACCAGGCAGCACACGGGACTTGAACCTGCACCCTTCGCTATCCGGGCGAATGCACCGACCATTATGCTACCGCGGCCTTGACGGTCGTGTCGAATTTTCTCTAGCCTTGGGCTGCAAAGCAGCGCCATCTCTTCGGATTGTAGATCACCCACAAGCTTTGCAGTCTAAGACTTGAGAAAATTCGATACGACCGTCATGGCCGCGGTAGCACAATGGTCAGTGCCCGGATAGCGAAGGGTGCGGGTTCGAGCCCCGTGTCCTGCCTTGTTAGCGTGGATTCATTAGATTTTAACATCTAGCAGATAAATGCTTAAAAAAACGCGCGAGATTTACAGTAGTCGCGTATGATGTGTAACATTTGAAACTTCACCTTATATTAGTGAAAAAAAAGAAATAAAACCTACTACGAAAGGAATAAGCCATTTGAACATTATGTTTTAAAGTCAAATCAAATAGCGCGCGCTTCCCGAACTTCCTGTTACACACTTCCGTCCCACTTCACGTAATCACTGCCACAAATTGCACGAAAGCGAGAGGAAAGATGTTACACATCAATAAAAATTGTATCCAAATATGTAGTTAAAAAAATTGTATGGGTGTGTGTGTATACACCGTGTTCCTGAGGATATACATAAACTTTGAATAATACTTCTATAGCTCTTGTTGAACATAATATCGTACAAAGAAAGTAGTAGTTTAAATAGCATAGTTTTAAGTTATTGGTAATTTAAGTTTAACCAACTTAATTGTGTTGTTCAGTGAGAACGAGTCTAAATCTGTGAGATGTTGCCACTTTGTGCAACCAAAAATATCAAACTATCAACTCTTTGTCAATGGTCATTAAGTCATAGTTTCAAAAGTCAAAATTTTAAAAAACATCGTTGACGTCAAGAAAAGTTTCAAAAAGTTTATGTGGACATATGAACCAAGGTTTCAAACGCGACGTCGCCAGCTCAGGTAAACAGTAATTCATATTAGATAAAAAACATCTAAGCATTTAGTTTGTGTGAAAATAAAAAATGATGAAAAAAATGGAATTCATAAAAGTGTCCATAGTAAAAAATTATCAATTTAATAGTCTGAATAACATGCCAAAGTTAGTACATCGGGAACACGGTGTATAGGGGCGGGTATATCGGTCGAGTGTAGGGGCATTATGGTGTGATGTGTGTGGCACGCACCTTGTGCGGGGGCGTGGGGCGGGGCGGCGCGGGGCGCGGCGGGGGCTGCTTGGGGGGCAGGCGCGGGGTGGCGGCCGACGCGGGGGCTGCGGGGGCCACGGGGGCCGCGGGGGCCGCGGGGGCCGCGGGGCCAGACCCGGGGGAGGGGGCCCGCGCCGGCGCGTGCAGCACGGCGAACGGATCCGCCTCCCACGCCTTATACAAACGACCTTATATAACCACCACTACCCATACCATCCTACTCAATTTTACATGTATTGTGTAATTATTGGAATGCAACTATTACTCAATTTAAATATGATTTTTTAAATTGTAATTCATTAGTATTTTGTATGCTCTTCCAAGGACAAAACATATGGAACTTTATATTATTTACCAACTGTATAAAAACTATGTTTCATGCAAATAAGCTTTCGTTTTATTTGATTTCATTTCCATACTAGATATTAGACGTCGTCCTAGTAACAATCCGGAACTATTTCAGTTGAGAATGTAGATTTATAAAGCTAAGCATTCCATAAAATACAGTAGTTAAATTTTTGCTGTACTACAAATATTGACGAAGTTATGACCGAATTACTAAACGAATTTTCGGCTGGCTGCGTGGGGGCTGTGACGTCACAAAGCTCTTCTAGCGCTCGGGTGCGAGCGTGCGTAGAGACGCTCCTGAAGTTCGACCGGAGTGAACCACGATCTCTATGACGTCACACGTTTCGGCCGCCGGTGAATATTAGCTACCATAAAATTGGTTTTACAATCGCAACGAATTAACCGATTTCGATGATTTGAAAAGCATATTAAAATATTATATTGTTGATTTTGAATTGATTTGCTGACCTAGTAATGATCCTCATTAACTACGTCCTTGCTAATTTCCATTCATTAGTTTAGCCTTCGCAAGTTCCATCCCTGTAAGTGCCTATTATATTCTTCCGAAAATTTGGCTCACTGGTAGAAACTAACCATCGCACATTAGCTTTCCTTCCCTGAGTGTTTTACGTATTATAATATTTCGTATTTCATAAAAATTAGGCTTCAATATATTAAGAAGAAATAAAATTTAAAATATTAACTATATCGAGCTCCTCTGAGCACGTAAAGCCGTTGGTCAAGGCTGCATCTGCAGTCGTTAGCACCCACCGAGCCGCACTGTGCCCGCATAGTGGGTCATGGCCCAATCTGTGCCCCAGCAGTGGGGACATTAATAGGCTGATGATGATTTATTTAGAAAAAAATTGAGCTTGCTTCAAAAATTTCCCGCTGGTCGCTTCTGCTTAACTACCCTCGTTTTTAATGTCCAAAATCGGCTTGCAGTTCAACCTGAGACAAGGTGATTGAAGCACTTACTTCGTCATTTGCTTTGTTCTTATTGTCTGCGGGTGCGAACGCATCTCCGGCGAAGGGGTCCGCAGCGCCGCTGGGTGCGAACGGATCCGAACCGAAACCGTCCTGTTGGAAACCAAAAATGACACAATTTAAGAGCCCTTTCACATTTTTTGCAATAAATCGCAATTTTTGAGCGCCTCGTTTGCCCCCTTAGAAGAGATTTTGACTACTTCCAATAGAAGTAAACAGTAGATTTATACTTCCTATTGAAAATTAATGTAGAATATTTTCAAATACTATTTCCATTTTTTTGTACTGATCGTTCTACCGCAGCTAGTTTACGGAAAAAACGATAATATGCACAACTTAAAACGCCTTAATCTCATAATAATGTTCAGTAAATTAGATCAAATTAATTACTACGACACCAAAAATATGTTTTTGTTGCAACATAATGTATTAGAATCTTCATTGTCCATCTCATTAATTATTAAAAAAACATCTAACCTCCGTGAGTTTCCCCAAAAAATAACGCAGGTTTACCTCGTATTTTGATATTGAATTAAATAGAATTACTATCAAAAACTGTCATAAAACTAATCTACAATCATTGAACTACTGAAATATGTATATAATTTTATAATAATTTCATTAATTATTATTTTATAAGACTCTGAACATCACCCGTAAAATGCAATATATAGTAGTGCAAATCTAGACGCCGTTCAGTACGGCGCCAGCGCCTTTGGAGGTCGGACCTGTGTCGCTTTGTACCGCACGCGTTCCGAGCGATGCTACGAGTGCATTCATCGTAAAACAGCTGGATATACTACGACCGCAAAAGTTTAATCGTTGACTGTATGTAAGTTTCCACAACCGTATTAAATTTTATTATTATAAGTACCTACCTAGTTATTAATTATCGTTGCTTCAACTAATATTTTTGTTATAAGCTTTTACAATGGGGCGTAAAATTCCTGCTTATCATTGTGTCAAAAAAAGAAAACGAAAGAATGATGCAGCCATAAAGAAAGCTTGTGAAGCAAGGTGAATATGCTTATAACATTTCGTTTTTTATTTTTGTGGTGTCAATGGGTTAATTGTATAAAAATGGTGATCTGTCCGGACTTTTCAAGTATCATTGGTATAAAATTGTAATCAGTCAAGGGTAGTGTCCTCTATTGGCCAACGATTTTAACTTACTGACTTAATGGGTATGTCAATCTATCCTTATGCCTATAAAAAAAGCTAGAGTGCGGTAAAATTTTGTATTTCGATCAAGTATAAGCTCGTAGGCCGCCAAAGTACATATTGGCCCAACATAATAATATATTTAGAATAGAAATGCACAGTTCTATGTATTTTAGATGGAAACAAAATTTTAATGGCAACCCCGAAAATATTGAAACTATACCGACCATAAGTTCAATGGATTCGATTGCAACGGAAACTGTAAGTTTTTCATGTTGTTATTGGAAGTAGACAATGAAAAGAGAAATTGAAATTATAATAATAAATTTAATTATATAGGAAAAAAATGCTGTTGGATTAGAAATCGAAGCCAAGGAACAAAGGGAAGCGTCAAACTCTAATTTAAATATTTTATTCGTTTTATACTGACTTAATGGATATTTCACTACTACACTAGGTACATGGTTTACAATGTTAGCAGTTTGGTTTTCTGTTTTAAACTTAAACTAATGGAATGCATTTCTAGAGCAAAAAAGTTTATTTTTAATATTTTATATTTAGACTTCTTTGCTCCATAAGTTGACAGTAACTTGCTGATTTATGTACCATATCTGTGTCAAGATTGGAAATGTATTTCCAGTATTGCCTATATCTGTTTATGCGTATTGAGTATTGCGTAGATAGTCGATAAAAGCAGTATTGTAGTCAATTAGATAATCTGTTTTCAGGAGGAGTATATGGTTGATGGAGGACGTGTAATGATACCAGGACATTTTGCACTTAGAAACACCAGACTGGGTGTTGGACCGTCAAATGTCAACATATCAATATCACCTCAGCTGAAATAAGAACTTATAGAATTGACGATGAGCGAGGAAATTTCAGATGTTGTTATTATAAGTATTTTGTTTATTCTCGTCATACTTTTATTGAAATTAAATGTATTGTGGCTCTTTGTCACCGTAATAATCCACAAAGAATAATATATTATTAAAGATAACTATAATATAACCTTCATTGTAATTTACTAAAAACAAAACATCAATCATCAGTTTCAAAAAGAGACAATCATTGTACGTGATACGTTATAACTACCAGACTGCTTCCGGTTATGATAGCATCAGTGATGATAATCTTTGATAACACTGATGAGTAATTAATTGTGTAGAGAATAGCAGATTTTATTAAATGTGCTTTACAGCAGCTAGTGATGGAGGAGGTGTGAGCTTTCCCAGCTACGTTTTCATATTATTTATCCTGAAATTACCATACGAGAACTCGCAGCAAAAATTTCATGAGTTAGGTTTGTAAGAGATGAGTTCCTATGAAAGTTAAATGCTTTTGATGGGTTTTGTTTAAATGAATGGAAATTACACGAATACAAAAAACCATGCTTATTATTTTTTTATCAAATACTCTATAGTACTCTTACAGATATATTGAAAACACAGAGTGCGAAAACTTTTTTATTAAATGAACTACGAAGGCAAAGACATAACTACACTTAGTAAAGTTTTACTGAGATATTTGATTATTACCAAACATCAATCATCATTAAAAAAGTCAATACTAAAAATACAAGTAAATAAAATATTATTTCTCATTGCCACTCGAAAAAGGGATTTCATTCAGCGATAACAATGAACAAACTTTTCATTTAATTACTTAGTGAATAAAATAAATTTGAACAAAAAGAAGTTATGCAAATCATACATATAAAGTTACAATAATTAGTAATAATCATAATTAATCTTTATTGTCATTTCCAAAACGCAACCAATGGGTACTATAAATATATTATTTATTTTCTCACAATAGTAAAAAAACTTAATCCTTGTATCCTTTGCTCCACTCAGGATTCCTATCTAGAATCGTTCGTTGCTACAGTAGGGATCCATCTTAGCACTTCAAATTAACTTTATTTTATATTTGCATTTATTGTATAATCAATAATTGCATATTAAAGTATCAATTTGGTAAAGCGCGCTATACTGAACTTCGGCCGCGTCGATGTCTCGCTCGTGCGACTCGGACACGCCCGCGGTCATATTTACCTATACTAGAGCGGCGCAATTTTGTAAAAGGGCTCTTAAACAAGCGTTTTTTGAATTGAAACTTCTTTTTGGGCAGGGTAAATGGAAAAATACTATGGAAAAAGGGAAACAGAAATGTGACACGAGCGTTACACAACTTTATATATGTATGTGTGTGTGTGTGTGTGTGTGTGTGTAACTCGGCGAAGCGTCACGAGCATCACACGCACCATATATACTCGTACATATGCGTGATGCGTGCGCTGCTCCATTCCCCTATACCTTATGCACAGCCTAATTTTAGGTTATTTTTTTACGTGTTCGTACTCGTGGGGTTAGTAAGAAATAAAGATTCAATGCTCGTTCCCCGCAGGTGATAGCGTGATAATATGTAGCCTATATGTTGACTTCTTAATAATATTCGTCCCAAATTTGAAGCAAATCCATGCAACACTTTTTGAGTTTATCCCGGACATACATACAACAAACAAAGAAAAATTCTAAAAACTATAGTTTTGGCTTCGGTATCGATTGTAGATCACACCCCAATTATTCTTTTAAAAAATATTCAACCATCTGTTTTGACTTTCCTATCACTATCAAATAGTCTATTAGAACGTCTATGTAAATACCTGTGTTGGCGCCGTATTTCCGTTGGGCGCGAAGGGGTCGTTGTGCGACACGCCGGTACCGCCGAACGCCGCGTCCTTGAACGGGTCCGCGCCGAATCCCGCCGAACCGTTCATCGCGCCGAATTCGTTCTTGGTAAACGACTCGTCTTCCTGCACACCGGTACAATGATTCGCGTGAAAGATGGGCTGCATATAGACTACAGCAAGGGTCACTAACGACCCGGAGTCTTTTAAAAAAGGTCGCCACTGTCTGTCTATCTACAGGGTGTTACAAATATACAAATAAAGCTTGAAGGGCGTTGAAGTACAAAATATAAGGAGTCTTCTCTAATTTTCTTAAAATATTTGTATTAAGTTTTCACTTTTTATAAAAACAGTTATTTTTTGTGATTAATAAAAATATCGATCATTTTAAGACACGTCACTAGTTCGAGGACCATTAAAAATTACTGTTTTTGTAAAAAGCTAAAACTTTATGCAAATATTTTAAGAAAATTAGAGAGACCTCCTTATATGATGTACTTCAACGCCCTTCAAGCTTTATTTGTATTTTTGTAACAACCTGTAAATGTCACCAGGCTGCCTCTCCTTAAACGTGATAGCTAGACAGTTGTTTTCACAGATGAAATAAATTTTCATTTGCCACAGCGACAACAGTGAACACACAACAAATAATACTAAAAACATATTAAGATAAATTTTCTCAAATATGCTAGGAAATTGATGGACTCACGTATGTATGCTCCAGCTTCGTCTCGGCCCACTATTATACGTTACTGTTTTTATTTTCGCTAATAGCTTTACAATAAACTGTTGATGGATGAGTGAGTGAGTGTCTGCGCGGGACTCACGAGCGCGTCGCTGGGCGTGGCCCCGCGGACCAGCTTGTCGAGGTGTGAGCTGGAGAACTGCGCCTGCAGCTGTTGATAGATGAGTGAGGGAGTGAGTGAGTGAGTGAGTGAGTGAGTGAGTGAGTGAGTGAGTGTCTGCGCGGGACTCACGAGCGCGTCGCTGGGAGTGGCCCCGCGGACCAGCTTGTCGAGGTGTGAGCTGGAGAACTGCGCCTGCAGCTGTTGATAGATGAGTGAGGGAGTGAGTGAGTGAGTGAGTGAGTGAGTGAGTGAGTGAGTGAGTGTCTGCGCGGGACTCACGAGCGCGTCGCTGGGAGTGGCCCCGCGGACCAGCTTGTCGAGGTGTGAGCTGGAGAACTGCGCCTGCAGCTGTTGATAGATGAGTGAGGGAGTGAGTGAGTGAGTGAGTGAGTGAGTGAGTGAGTGAGTGTCTGCGCGGGACTCACGAGCGCGTCGCTGGGAGTGGCCCCGCGGACCAGCTTGTCGAGGTGTGAGCTGGAGAACTGCGCCTGCAGCTGTTGATAGATGAGTGAGGGAGTGAGTGAGTGAGTGAGTGAGTGAGTGAGTGAGTGTCTGCGCGGGACTCACGAGCGCGTCGCTGGGAGTGGCCCCGCGGACCAGCTTGTCGAGGTGTGAGCTGGAGAACTGCGCCTGCAGCTGTTGATAGATGAGTGAGGGAGTGAGTGAGTGAGTGAGTGAGTGAGTGAGTGAGTGAGTGAGTGAGTGTCTGCGCGGGACTCACGAGCGCGTCGCTGGGAGTGGCCCCGCGGACCAGCTTGTCGAGGTGTGAGCTGGAGAACTGCGCCTGCAGCTGTTGATAGATGAGTGAGGGAGTGAGTGAGGGAGTGAGTGAGTGAGTGAGTGAGTGAGTGAGTGAGTGAGTGAGTGAGTGCGCGGGACTCACGAGCGCGTCGCTGGGCGTGGCCCCGCGGACCAGCTTGTCGAGGTGTGAGCTGGAGAACTGCGCCTGCAGCTGTTGATAGATGAGTGAGGGAGTGAGTGAGTGAGTGAGTGAGTGAGTGAGTGAGTGAGTGAGTGTCTGCGCGGGACTCACGAGCGCGTCGCTGGGAGTGGCCCCGCGGACCAGCTTGTCGAGGTGTGAGCTGGAGAACTGCGCCTGCAGCTGTTGATAGATGAGTGAGGGAGTGAGTGAGGGAGTGAGTGAGTGAGTGAGTGAGTGAGTGAGTGAGTGAGTGAGTGAGTGAGTGCGCGGGACTCACGAGCGCGTCGCTGGGCGTGGCCCCGCGGACCAGCTTGTCGAGGTGTGAGCTGGAGAACTGCGCCTGCAGCTGTTGATAGATGAGTGAGGGAGTGAGTGAGTGAGTGAGTGAGTGAGTGAGTGAGTGAGTGAGTGAGTGAGTGAGTGAGTGAGTGTCTGCGCGGGACTCACGAGCGCGTCGCTGGGAGTGGCCCCGCGGACCAGCTTGTCGAGGTGTGAGCTGGAGAACTGCGCCTGCAGCTGTTGATAGATGAGTGAGGGAGTGAGTGAGTGAGTGAGTGAGTGAGTGAGTGTCTGCGCGGGACTCACGAGCGCGTCGCTGGGAGTGGCCCCGCGGCCCAGCTTGTCGAGGTGTGAGCTGGAGAACTGCGCCTGCAGCTGTTGATAGATGAGTGAGGGAGTGAGTGAGTGAGTGAGTGAGTGAGTGAGTGAGTGAGTGTCTGCGGGGGCTCACGAGCGCGTCGCTGGGCGTGGCCCCGCGGACCAGCTTGTCGAGGTGTGAGCTGGAGAACTGCGCCTGCAGCTGTTGATAGATGAGTGAGGGAGTGAGTGAGTGAGTGAGTGAGTGAGTGAGTGAGTGAGTGTCTGCGCGGGACTCACGAGCGCGTCGCTGGGAGTGGCCCCGCGGCCCAGCTTGTCGAGGTGTGAGCTGGAGAACTGCGCCTGCAGCTGTTGATAGATGAGTGAGGGAGTGAGTGAATGAGTGAGTGAGTGAGTGAGTGAGTGAGTGAGTGAGTGTCTGCGCGGGACTCACGAGCGCGTCGCTGGGCGTGGCCCCGCGGACCAGCTTGTCGAGGTGTGAGCTGGAGAACTGCGCCTGCAGCTGTTGATAGATGAGTGAGGGAGTGAGTGAATGAGTGAGTGAGTGAGTGAGTGAGTGAGTGAGTGAGTGTCTGCGCGGGACTCACGAGCGCGTCGCTGGGCGTGGCCCCGCGGACCAGCTTGTCGAGGTGTGAGCTGGAGAACTGCGCCTGCAGCTGTTGATAGATGAGTGAGGGAGTGAGTGAGTGAGTGAGTGAGTGTCTGCGCGGGACTCACGAGCGCGTCGCTGGGCGTGGCCCCGCGGACCAGCTTGTCGAGGTGTGAGCTGGAGAACTGCGCCTGCAGCTGTTGATAGATGAGTGAGGGAGTGAGTGAGTGAGTGAGTGAGTGAGTGAGTGAGTGAGTGTCTGCGCGGGACTCACGAGCGCGTCGCTGGGAGTGGCCCCGCGGACCAGCTTGTCGAGGTGTGAGCTGGAGAACTGCGCCTGCAGCTGTTGATAGATGAGTGAGGGAGTGAGTGAGTGAGTGAGTGAGTGAGTGAGTGAGTGAGTGAGTGTCTGCGCGGGACTCACGAGCGCGTCGCTGGGAGTGGCCCCGCGGACCAGCTTGTCGAGGTGTGAGCTGGAGAACTGCGCCTGCAGCTGTTGATAGATGAGTGAGGGAGTGAGTGAGTGAGTGAGTGAGTGAGTGAGTGAGTGAGTGAGTGAGTGTCTGCGCGGGACTCACGAGCGCGTCGCTGGGAGTGGCCCCGCGGACCAGCTTGTCGAGGTGTGAGCTGGAGAACTGCGCCTGCAGCTGTTGATAGATGAGTGAGGGAGTGAGTGAGGGAGTGAGTGAGTGAGTGAGTGAGTGAGTGAGTGAGTGAGTGAGTGAGTGCGCGGGACTCACGAGCGCGTCGCTGGGCGTGGCCCCGCGGACCAGCTTGTCGAGGTGTGAGCTGGAGAACTGCGCCTGCAGCTGTTGATAGATGAGTGAGGGAGTGAGTGAGTGAGTGAGTGAGTGAGTGAGTGAGTGAGTGAGTGTCTGCGCGGGACTCACGAGCGCGTCGCTGGGAGTGGCCCCGCGGACCAGCTTGTCGAGGTGTGAGCTGGAGAACTGCGCCTGCAGCTGTTGATAGATGAGTGAGGGAGTGAGTGAGGGAGTGAGTGAGTGAGTGAGTGAGTGAGTGAGTGAGTGAGTGAGTGAGTGAGTGCGCGGGACTCACGAGCGCGTCGCTGGGCGTGGCCCCGCGGACCAGCTTGTCGAGGTGTGAGCTGGAGAACTGCGCCTGCAGCTGTTGATAGATGAGTGAGGGAGTGAGTGAGTGAGTGAGTGAGTGAGTGAGTGAGTGAGTGAGTGAGTGAGTGAGTGTCTGCGCGGGACTCACGAGCGCGTCGCTGGGAGTGGCCCCGCGGACCAGCTTGTCGAGGTGTGAGCTGGAGAACTGCGCCTGCAGCTGTTGATAGATGAGTGAGGGAGTGAGTGAGTGAGTGAGTGAGTGAGTGAGTGTCTGCGCGGGACTCACGAGCGCGTCGCTGGGAGTGGCCCCGCGGCCCAGCTTGTCGAGGTGTGAGCTGGAGAACTGCGCCTGCAGCTGTTGATAGATGAGTGAGGGAGTGAGTGAGTGAGTGAGTGAGTGAGTGAGTGAGTGAGTGTCTGCGGGGGCTCACGAGCGCGTCGCTGGGCGTGGCCCCGCGGACCAGCTTGTCGAGGTGTGAGCTGGAGAACTGCGCCTGCAGCTGTTGATAGATGAGTGAGGGAGTGAGTGAGTGAGTGAGTGAGTGAGTGAGTGAGTGAGTGTCTGCGCGGGACTCACGAGCGCGTCGCTGGGAGTGGCCCCGCGGCCCAGCTTGTCGAGGTGTGAGCTGGAGAACTGCGCCTGCAGCTGTTGATAGATGAGTGAGGGAGTGAGTGAATGAGTGAGTGAGTGAGTGAGTGAGTGAGTGAGTGAGTGTCTGCGCGGGACTCACGAGCGCGTCGCTGGGCGTGGCCCCGCGGACCAGCTTGTCGAGGTGTGAGCTGGAGAACTGCGCCTGCAGCTGTTGATAGATGAGTGAGGGAGTGAGTGAGTGAGTGAGTGAGTGTCTGCGCGGGACTCACGAGCGCGTCGCTGGGCGTGGCCCCGCGGACCAGCTTGTCGAGGTGTGAGCTGGAGAACTGCGCCTGCAGCTGTTGATAGATGAGTGAGGGAGTGAGTGAGTGAGTGAGTGAGTGTCTGCGCGGGACTCACGAGCGCGTCGCTGGGCGTGGCCCCGCGGACCAGCTTGTCGAGGTGTGAGCTGGAGAACTGCGCCTGCAGCTGTTGATAGATGAGTGAGGGAGTGAGTGAGTGAGTGAGTGAGTGTCTGCGCGGGACTCACGAGCGCGTCGCTGGGCGTGGCCCCGCGGACCAGCTTGTCGAGGTGTGAGCTGGAGAACTGCGCCTGCAGCTGTTGATAGATGAGTGAGGGAGTGAGTGAGTGAGTGAGTGAGTGTCTGCGCGGGACTCACGAGCGCGTCGCTGGGCGTGGCCCCGCGGACCAGCTTGTCGAGGTGTGAGCTGGAGAACTGCGCCTGCAGCTGTTGATAGATGAGTGAGTGAGTGAGTGAGTGAGTGAGTGAGTGTCTGCGCGGGACTCACGAGCGCGTCGCTGGGCGTGGCCCCGCGGACCAGCTTGTCGAGGTGTGAGCTGGAGAACTGCGCCTGCAGCTGTGCAGCTGCAGCTGCAGCAGGGCCGCCAGCTGCGAGGGCTTCGATAGCGTTCTCTATCAGCCGGTGCTGCTCTTCTAGGTGTTCGATCTTGATGTTCGCCTGTTGAGAGGACACGTGTCGATTTACAAACAATTGAAAAAAATCTTATTGATAAAGCCTATTATAAGTTGTCTGATTATATTTCAAACAAAAATGTTCCAAAAGTTCCGAAAGGCTATTTCCATAATTATGATAAGATGATGACAGATGATATGAGTTTGTGTTGACACCGTAACCGCGTCCGCGTCTAGGCAAACGTAGTGTAGGACGCCCTCAGGAACGGTGGCGTGACGATTTGCGCAAGGTGGCTGGCAGGAGCTAGATGCGAGTAGCCCAAGATCGATCTCAGTGGTGTGCAATCGGAGAGGCCTATGTCTAGCAGGGGACTAGGATAGGCCGTTGATGAACATTTTCTTTAGATTTAAAGTGATACTATGTTTGAGGAGCTCGATGGCGCAAGTGGTAAGCGCTTTCGGCTGCGATCGTTGAAGTTAAGCAACTTTCGCAGTGGTCGGTCATTGGATGGGTAGACTAAAAATTTACTATCTCGAGCTCCTCCGTGCTTCGGAAGGCACGTTAAGCCGTCGGTCCCGGCTGCATCTGCAGTCGTTAGCACCCACCAATCCGCACTGAGCCCGCGTGGTGGGGCATGACCCAATCTCCCTATTCCATCCATAGGGAAGGCCTGTTCCTCAACAGTGGGGACATTAATAGGCTGATGATGATGATGAATAACATTATGTTTGTTGACAGTTGAAACGTTACCCTCGCACCATGGACTATATCCGGCCCAAGGACGACAAGCGCGCGCGCAAGCGAGCCGAGATAAGGGCGAGGAAGGAGGAACAGAAGACCAGGCAGATGGAGGAGATCGCCAGGCTCAAAGCTCTGACGATGTTTGAAATATTTGGAGCGAAGTATACCTGCCGCCGGGGAAGTTAGGATATACAAAGATGGCTCCAAAACCAACATTGGTACTGGAGCCGGTGTCTTCTCAAACGACCTCAATATAAAAATATCCACATCCTTAGACAAACTAAGCACAATCTTCCAGGCGGAATGTATTGGCATTAGCAGAGCGGCACAGGCGGTTGCAGCCAGAGACATCAGAGAGTTCAACATTAAGATCATCTCTGATAGTTTATCCGTGCTTCAAGCCCTACGTAGCAACACAATAAACTCTGTCCTGGTAATAGAGTGCCACAATGCACTTCAATCCATTGCGGTAACCAACACGGTAACTCTGCAATGGATAAAAGGACACAGCAACTCAATCGGAAACGACGCAGCAGACGAACTGGCTAAGAGGGGAGCAAACACAAAAGTGTATGGTCCGGAACCTCTTCTGCCCATACCTCAGGCCCAAATTAAAACGTGGCTGCGTGAAAGAACTCAGAAACTACACTTGACTGAGTGGAAAACAGGTGAAGGTTGCCGGCAAACGAAAAACGCAGTTCCGGCGGCAAACAAGAGACTTGCCCGCACCCTTACCAGACTTAATAAGCACAAACTCCGCATAATTATAGGAACCCTAACTGGTCATTGTCCCCTAAACAAACACCTATACACAATAGGAGTAACAGACAGCCCCCTATACAGAGGATGTATGGAGGCAGAGGAAACGCCACAGCATGTCATTATGGAATGCAGGAGTGTGGCCGACCAACGGGCACGACTTCTCCAGTCATCCGCATCGCTTCCGGAAGCTTGCAGCAGTCTGCCAAGACTGCTCTCCTTCTGGATTAACCTAGGCTGGCTGGAGTAAACGGGAATGTTTCAAGACACGCACAATGGTCCAATGATTAGGACTAAGTGCGGAAACCGCCCTGAAAAAAATGATGTGGTGTCGTGAAACACCAGGTAGGAACGAAGTTCCTTCGGCTAATGTAGTTCCGCGCCTGCAGCCAGTTATATGAAAATAAACGTGGCTACTCACGAGTAAAATGTATCTATAATGTGAGTATTCGCCACGTGCTTGTCCATGAATTCATGAGTATAGACTATGCATTGGCGGGGTGGAGTGGTAATAGAAAGAGAAGGGATGAGAGAACGAAAAGAAAGAGGGAGAAAGAGAAAGGTATTATACACTACTCGCTTGTGTATGCGACTGTCGCGCCTGCGCGCGTCTCATTTAACGGTTTTATTCCACGCACTTTTTTCCACGGATTTTTTCTTACGGTTTTAGTTTTTTTTTTTTTTATATTACTAGGTAGGCAAATGACTCTACCCCACCTGATGTTAAGCGGTGATAAAGTCCAAACGCGAAGATAGCTGGTACAGCAGTTATTAACTGCTACACCAACCATCCTCACCTTGCCGGCCCGCAAAAATGCTTCTTCACGCCTCTCTTAAAGGACCCCAGATTATAGGAAGGAGGGAACGGTTGCGCGGGTAAAGAATTCCACTTACGAATAGTACGACAAAGAGATGAGTCGCCAAATTTCTTTGTTCGTGTAGGAATAGTGGCCACAGTAAGTCGATGGCAACGTAGGCCAGCGCGCGTGGTCCTCTGAAGAAAAGGTGATGGAGGGATAAGCAAGAATAGCTCCTCAGAACACTCGCCGTGGTATATTCGGTAGAATGCGCTTAATGATGCCACATCACGGCGTAATTGTAGAGACTCGAGTTTCTTAGTTGCCTCTTCATCGCCAATGATGCGGGCAGCGCGCCGCTGCAACCTATCCAAGGCATCGAGTAAGTACTTTAGTATCATATTTTTTTCAGTTCGGTCGCGCAGCAAAATCCCTATCCGCTCCAAGCCTGCCGTAAGGAACTTCGTTCCAAAAACTAACTAACTAACTGTATACCTGCCGCACTGTGAGCACGGCGCGACTCAGCTGCGCGGCGAGAGCTTCGCCCGTCTGTCGAGCAGCGGCCTCTTGCTGCTGCAGCTCATGCTGGTGATGCTGCAGCGTGGCAGCGCTTTGGAGTCTCGCGGCGACCTCCGCCTCAGTCTCGGCCGCTGCTGCCTCTTGTGCGGACACCTGCGACCGTAGTTTCTCCACCTGTCGGGACAATCGCGAGATTGATGATAGATATAATTTTTATTATTTTAAAGCATGTAACTGCTTGATGTTTAAATTTAAAGAAAATATAACTAGAAAAAAATTGCCTTGCAGCTTAAGAATGGCTAGAAGAATTTCGACGCCGTCCGTGAGGGCCGCGGTAGCATAGTTGGTCAGTGCATTCGCCCGGATTGCGAAGGGTGCGGGTTCGAGTCCCGTCTGCTGCCTGGTCCGCGTGGATTTTTTTCTAATTATATTTTCTTTAAATTGATGATAGATATGTAGATAGATAGATAATGCGTTTATTTTTTTTCTTCAACATACATATACATTTACGGACAGAGTAATACAATAAACAAAAAGATACAAGAAATCAGCTATGAAATATCCATATGTATGCTGCTGAAATCAAAAGGCCAAGGCTCGGCTAAACATTGCCAGTTTTAAGGCAAAATACCGATTTTCAGCCATCACCTTTATGATGCTGTGCGTTTCGCAACTTAACGCTACGTTTGACGAACGACATCTTCGATTTGGTATAATTTTTATTTTTTAAGCATGGAACTGCTCTATGTTTAAATCTAAAGTAAATATTTCTAGAAAAAATTCCACGCGGCCCAGGCAGCAAACGGGGCTCGAACCCGAACCCTTCGCTACCCAGGCGAATGCACTGACCATTATAATAACTCGTCCCTGATGGCCGTGTCGAATTTTTTCTAGCCTTTCTTAAGCTGCTGTATTATCTTTAGATTTAAACATCAAGTAGTTACATGCTTAAATTTGCCATTTCTTCTTTAAGATGTTTAATAATTGTAAAGGACTTCATTTGACATTGTGAGTTACCTACAATGAAAAAAGATGGCGCTGCCTTGCAGCTTAATATTTTCTTTAGATACAAATAGGTAATTAAAAATCATACTCTTGGGAGAGTATGATTTTAACATTTATAAAGAAATCAATACCTCTTCGCACTCCAGTATCCAGATACTTATAAAAGAATATATTATAACAATAAAACTAGTTTTACGGGTTAATGCACGAACTTTATTTATTTATTGACGTTTTGCAGCCTTTTCAGGTCTGCATCGTCAGAATAATGATTTTTTATTTAAAATTGTCGAGCTACCTTCGAAAGACTTACATTGAGCGTTCGGTTATTTCATTGGAAGATTTTTAAAATTTTATTGTCTATGTATGAATTTATTATTTAATTTACTTAATAAAGTATTTTATTTAAAATTCTTGTTTGTAATTTTGAGTTTATTTATTTATTTGACCTTAACTACCGTAAACTACCACCGGTTCCAAAATTGGGAGACCTTCCTGAGAAGAACCGGCGAAACAAACTCAAGAGAGGCTTTCTATCTCCTTGTTGTGTTAAATTATGCAAACAAAAAGAACTAATAGTATCTGATGGTCTTGCAGTGTGTGCTCGGGGTTGGGATTTTATCTCCTGTATAATAGGTTCCCAAGCTGGTGGTATATACCAACGAAATGAAAAGGCTGCGAAACGTCAATAAATAAATAAAGTTCGTGCATTAACCCGTAAAAACTAGTTTTATTTAATGAGTGATGTGCGTGAAAACCTAAGAAACAAATATATTATAACAGTTTTTTTTATTACCATTCTACAAATAACTCGACCCAATATTATAACCACATTTGAATTAACATTAACCGGTTTTCAATCTACGAACCAAAGCCATCTTTTCCTCATTTCTGTAACAATGCTATACAGTTTCATTAAAGTTCTGAATTTATTAAGAGGAACATGAAACTTCATTAAATAGAAACAATACAAAGAACTCATATTATTGTTCTTATAAAAATAAATAACAGTGTCTTAAACAAATTAAGTGAATTATTTCCAACTAACGGCCGCCCGTGACTTGTGAATTAAAAGTAAATCCATGCAATACATTTTGAGTTTATCCAGGACATACATACAGACAAACAGACAAAAATTCTAAAACCTATATTTTTGGCTTCGGTATCGATTGTAGATCACACCCCAAGTACTCCTACCATTTTATTATATATGTATACTAGCTGACCCAGCGAACTTCGTACCGCCCTAAAAAAATAGGGGTTGTCCAGCGGACAAAATTGTGAATCTAAACCATTCTCAGATCCCCTTGAACACACACAAAAAATTTCATCAAAATCGGTCCAGTCGTTTAAGAGAAGTTCAGTGACATACACACTCACAGAAGAATTATATATATAAAGATAGAGTCCCAACAATAATCATGCAAAAAATACAAATATTAACAAAGAGCATAACTTATTTAAAATCTCACCTGTGCTTTTAAATCGTTTAGTCTCTTTTGTGCTTCTCCTTTTTGGTTTTCTAACTGTTTTAATGTGGCGGACAACGTGTCGAGCTCGCTCTGTCAAAGAAATAAAAAAATAAATACGCTTCTTCCTTAATAAAGGCAATGCTATTTTTTGTTAATTGAGGATCCCGATGGCGCAAGTGGTTATCGCATTCGGCTGCGATCGTTGAAGTTAAGCAACTTTCACAGTGGTCGGTTATTGGATGGGTGACCAAAAATCTTCCATCTCGAGTTCCACCGTGCTTTGGAAGGCACGTTCAGCCGTCGGTCCCGGCTGCATCTGCAGTCTGCAGAATGAATTACTTAATTCTAGAAATTACAAAAGATATATAACTTATACTATAGCCTGAACTAGGTAAACCTGTGTTTCAAGCAAAAGTCTTCTACAACTACATATATATATATATATATATATATATATATATATGGGTGTGTGTGTGTGTATACAATAATCAAAACTATAATTGTTAATATAAAGCCAAAACAATAATTAACTAAACCTAGCATTATAATATACCATAAATTAAATGTACTCTAAGATAAGGTACTATTTATTTTGAAAAAGGACATCTACATCAAGGTATTGTCATAAACGCTCTCGAAACGTAACCGCGAAAGTGCCAGAGATCGAATTTGCCAGATCACCGCGGGTCGCGATTAAGGTCGAGTAATGCGGCTCATTTCAGAATGCAGTGCTTATGCAGTGCGACGTAAGGGAGAAAGTGCAACGACATCTGCACTTGTTTACAAGTTATGCGTGTTACCTGCGTAGGTATAAGCAGGTATTTCTCAATTTAACAGGTACTTTCTAGAATGCGTCGATCGGCGTATATAAGCGCGATTGGCGCCGCGCAGAGACAGTTGAGTTTCAACAGCGATTTCGGAGCGAATCCAAAGGCGATCAAAGTGCAACAAAAGTGTTCAAGTGCTATAGTTTAGAGACTCGTATAGTGAAATACAGTGTTTAGTGAGTGTTTTGTAATTAACATTGTGTGTTAATTGTGTGAACTGTGTGGTGAATAAAGAACTGTCAAGCGTGAACTGGCATATAATTTCGAACCCCATCCCGACACGTAACAGTATCGTGAATAGTAAGTTTAGGCATTAATAGGCTGATGATTGAGGAGCTCGATGGCGCAAGTGGTTAGCGCGTTCCGCAGCGATCGTTGAATTTAAGCAACTTTCGCAGTGGTCGGTCATTGGATGGGTGACCATAATTTACTATCTCGAGCTCCTCCGTGTTTCGGAAGGCACGTTAAGCCGTTGGTCCCGGCTGCATCTGCAGTCGTTAGCACCCACCAACCCGCACTGGGCCCGCGTGGTGGGTCATGGCCCAATCTCCCTATTCCATCCATAGGGAAGCCTGTGCCCCAGCAGTGGGGACATTAATAGGCTGATGATGATGAGGCTGATGATGATGAGGCTGATGATGATGATTTAATATCGTTGGTATGGTGCACCCTACCTGCAGGCTGTCCGCCTCGCCGGCCTTGACGCCGAGCTCGCGCTGCTTGGCGGCCAGCTCGGCGTCGAGCGCGAGCCGCTCGCGTGCTAGAGTGTCCACTTCGCGAGCTATCGCCTCCATCTCCGGCGTCGGCTGCGGGCCTAGGCTCAGCGCCGGCTCGTGAGCTTGCGACGATTGCTGAACAATAACAAAAACTTTATAAGTAAATAAATAATAAATGAATATTTCCAACACTCACACCAATTAGCCTAGCCCCAAAGTATGCAATAGAAGGCTTAAATCTAAAGAAAAGTTTACTAGAAAAAAAAACCTACATGCGAAGAGATGGCGCTGCCTTGCAGCTTAAGGCTAGAAAATTTTCGACGCGGCGAATAGGGCCGTGGTAGCATAATGGTCCGCTGCCTGGTCCGCGTGGTTTTTTTTTTCTAGTAAACTTTTCTTTAAATTTAAACATCTAGCAGTTAAATGCTTAAAAATAAAACACTATAAGGCTTGTGTCATGGGATACTAGGGTAACGGATAGAGTACATATGTTAGTATATTTTTATAGAAATACATATTAAACATCCATGACTGGAGTACAAATGCTCGTATTCATCACACAAACATCTGCACCCACCGGGATTCGAACCCGGGACCTCTCGAGTCGGCGACACCATGATACCCGGCGTACAAACCGCTCGGCCACGGAGGTCGTCCAAGTCGCAGCACGAAACGTGTTGGGGGGAAACAGAGGTGCGCGGGCGGGAGTGCGTTGCGCCGATTGGCTCTCCAGTCGTACCCATGAGCAGCTATACCTGGCGCGTATTGTTAGCGCTAGAGTTACGTGCCGCGACCTGTAAATGCTAACTCAGACGAAGCCAGGAGTTTGTTTAGAAACGCAGCGAGTAACTCACACGGACAACTCGCAACGTCCGCCAACAACGGACGCAGCGGGTCAACTTATTTTAAAAACATCAACACATTATAGATATTAACGGGATTGTTACCATGTACCTTGTTTTTTATGAGTCTCCGATATTTCGGCACTGTTGCAAGCGCCATGATCACGGAGTAACTGAAGATTGGTCAGGGAAGCGATTGAAATAACCAAACACAAGAATTTCAATCGTGAGGATCGGTTTAAATTGTCTAGTGTGTGGAATCCAGTGGTTCGTATGTGTAAAAACTGCAAAAATCAAAAAAGTGTCGTTCCGCGATCTGTGTGAGTATTGTGTGCCCGGAACAAATGCGAGTGAATAGTGAGAATGTGACCAGTGGTAGGGGTATCAAACGCAATAAAAGACGACGTCAGAGGGTAGACCGATATGTCTGCCAATAACATCTACCCGCAATTACTTGAGTTACTCCGTGATCATGGCGCTTGCAACAGTGCCGAAATATTGGACTCATAAAAAACAAGGTACATGGTAACAATCCCGTTAATATCTATAATGTTGGTGACCATGAAAGTTACAAAACAATATATCAACACATTTGTACAAATTAACACGTTATATCGTGGCAGTAAAGTTTAATGTTGATTGTATACGAGCAAGCATTTCCAAACACGACTGTTTGAAAATTACTCACAATAGATGAATGTGCGTAATTTTACTGCCGCCACTTTTTGAGCGCGATTGTGAGGCTACTTGTTTCAATACGTCAATAGGTACAACACTAAAAAATACCGGAAAAACAAAAATATCTGTTAGCTTCCAAATACGATTTTCAAAATCATTTCTCTATGAAATATCTGTCACTTCTGTTAAGTCGACAATATCATGAGTGTCAGACTATTACAGTGCATATTTATCGCAATTCTTTTAAAGATTGTAATATGTACTGATAAAAGTAAAGACCAACTTAAAATATTACAGAAAAGACGCCACAATTATGTCGCCAAAAAGTGGGAATTCGAGAGTGACGACGGATTACAATACCCAAGTGAGAGCTGAATATCTGCTATGATAGACCGAAACCATATATATTTTCTATTTATTCCTTATTTTTATTTATTATTTCATGACATAGGCGTCTATTAGCCACTCATGCAACCGTCAATTAATTCCATCAGCAATGTACTTTAATTATATACACCATAGATACCGTATTAACTGCACGGAAGCGACGCGAAAAATATCTACTACATATGGTAGATATGCACGTTGCCACACACGGACACATTGACTGCTTTAGTGCAATCTAACATTAAAGTCGCACGCATACATTGCACGTAACATGAGCCGTTTCCTTTGCGTGGTTTATTATATAAAGATTATTATATTTATGATACTAGTGGCCCGCCCTCGCTTCGCTTCGGTGTAGAGCTGTAGTGTAAACTATAGTTTTTGTTCTCAGGCTTGTGCTATAAACAATGACTTTATTTATATAATTACACGTGTTATTGTGAGTCAACCATAAAAGATAGACATATGCTGTTGCGGGATATTTTTTAGACAATTTTATGTAGAATATTTTCGTTATACATGATTTCTATGTAACTTTAACCATTAAGGCTGCACACGCGACGGAAGCTTAAAAAATGGAGTAACTTCTCCCGTTTTCCCAACATTTCCCTTCACTACTCTGCTGCTATTGATTGTAGCGTGATGGAAAGTATACTATAACCTGCCCAGGAGTATGAAGAATAATTGTACCAAGTTTCGTTAAAATCCGTCGAGTAGTTTTTGTTTCTATAAGGAACATACACACAGACAGACAGACAGACAAAAATTTTACTGATTGCATTTTTGGCATCAGTATCGATCACTAATCACCCCCTGATAGTTATTTTGAAAATATATTTCATGTACAGAATTGACCTCTCTACAAATTTATTATAATTTATGATATAACAGGCGTCCATTAGCCACGCTGCAAGTCAGTCAATTCCATCAGCCATAAATGATGGCAGGCCACGCCCGACTGTGAGAACTATAAGAAGTCATCAGTCAAACCATTAAACGACAGGTTATCTATCAGTCAAAACTGAACTTGAATGCCAGCAAACTGACAGCAAATCCAACTGTCTAATGACCGCCTTAGATCAATCAGTTAAAATTCTTATAGGAGGCGATAAGGCTAAGCTACGTCACATTTCTAAAGTATGGTCGGAGCATTACAAGTGCTTACATCGAGTAGCGGAACGTGTGACGTCATCTGGTCGACTCTCCGCGGTGTACAAAGCCGTCATGGAAGCAGCGCCTGTAACTCTGCCGTGCACTTTATGCATCGGCCCGGGAGAAAGGCCACTACTACAGTGGCTAAAATCACAAGTAAGTTTCCGCAGAACTGGCGTTTTTGGCAATTAACTGAACAAAATACCACTTAAATAGATATGGCTCTTGTTTCTTCCTATTAACTTAAGTTTAAATGAGAGTCGTTGACAACTGTAAGAGCGAGACATAGCCTCATTAAAGAGGCTTTGTCTCGCTCTTTCTACTTCTTCTTTATGCGGCCAAACTAAAGACTATAAAGAACTCTTCTCTTTGCCATTGCAAATAAAACATATTTTATGGGCACATGGATTTATTGCCTTAACTTGTGGAAATGCTGACAGATACAGCATACAATACAGATAGGCAAAATATCGTTCCATTAACAACTACCTCCTAGTATACTCAAGTAACCCAAATAGTAAATGCTACGTTTGCAGTGAAATTAACCGCTATTAAATGGCAATTCCGGACGACCAGGCGCGGCGAGGTCTTTCACCCTAATGTTTTCGAAGTTCCTCCCATTCGCACGAAGCGATTTGCTTCCACTTTCATTATGCGAACGGTTAGGGAGTGGAACTCCTTGCCGTCTGTTTTCCCGGACCAATATAATCCGGACATCTTCAAAGCCACAGTGAAAAGGCATCTTCTAGGCAGGAGTGTACCATCCTAGGCCACATGATCGCTTTCCATCAGGCAAAATTGTGTTCAAACGCCTTGCCTATTAAGCATTAAAAAAATTGCTTAACACAATAAATTATTAACAGCGAAAGTAAGAAACCTGCAATATTCTCACTTTCCGTGCTGAGTATGATAAACCATTTTCATATGGCGGTAAAAGTCTGTAACATGTCATTACATAAATTTGTTCTAGTCTCTTAGCTCCCCATTCGAGCCAATGGTCCCAAAATATCGCATAGTGGCCGAGGACTGCGGGAACTTGACGATACACAACGCAAGGCGCGAAGACAGCGGCGTGTACCAGTGCAAGCTGGGGCACAGCGTCGGCGGTATTGTCGTACTTGATGTTGTGGACCCCAACGCGGGATACGATGTTGTAAGTACTACAAAGAATATACAGAAGACTACAATTCTTTTCGCCACTTTATCCTCGTGAATTTAAGAATCTATAATCTATGTTTAGTGGTCTACATCGCGACAAGAATAGGGATGATGACTATTTTTTTTTCTTCGTTTATCAGGTAGATTATCGAAAAGTATTGGACACGTATTTTTTCTTCTTTTACATAATATAAACATTGCAGAGATATATTGATTTGAAAAGTCTCATGACGTCACGTTTGAGTACACTTATAAGTGAAAATTCACTCAAAAGTGACGTCACGAGCACCTACTCCCAAACTTTGACGCGCTATAACTTTGTCATTTTTTTGTTGATTGCCCAAAGAAAAAAAACCTGTCCATTATTTTTTGATCATCTAACTGACGGACTAAATAGAATTTCGTTTACTGTACCCCGTCATCGCCCCTATTAAGAGGCTTTCACAGTTCACAAACATACCAAAAAAGCCCGACCTCTCGCGCGTTATGCCCTAGTATATAACTAGGGCAGCGCTGCCTCATCCCCTTCTCAGGGGTCGATCCCTGCCGATGAATCCTTAAAAGACCTTCTGGCCAGAGGCAAATACTGTTAATTACTTACTGCGGTTGGAAAGAAAGGCAAAGTATCGACCTGGCAGCGGTTATAATTTTTTTGTCAGTAGGTATAATCATTTTCTGATACAACTTTGTAGGTGAAGCCTTATTCCTCCCGCGGCCCCCACCCCGCCTCCGCGGTGTCCCTGCGAGTGTACAATGTGTCCGTGAGCGTGTTCACCGATTGGTCGCCTTGGAGCGAGTGCAGCGATTGCGGTAGGGTCGGCAGAAGGAGGAAATATGGCTTCTGTTACATCAAAATCGAAAACAGGGATAAATCGAAGGAAGTACGTACCCTTTCATCAAACGCAGATTTATCCTAATGAACGAACATTTTCGCCTACCTACTAAGGAGGTGTCCGATACGTATTGTCGCATCATTTGCTATGCAAGTTGAGTCTGAATTAAATCATCATACAGGAAACACGTGTCATCAATTCGCAATCACCTGATAAAGAAATCTCAACCTTATGTCAAAGACAGTGGGAAAAGATCTAGATCATGGTGACACTCGAAAAAGCTGACAAGACAGCAATTACAGCACACTTGTCTAGTAGACGAATATGCCTATTCATTCCTAACATTGCAGACCTAATTTGTTTTAAATTAAATAAGTTTGGGCATTAAATAAAATTAAAGGGTTTGACCAGTGAATGATTTGTCGGTATTCTACGCAGATCGTAAATGATGCAGTCGCACGCACTAATTTACTGGATAAAGACGACGAGTTGTTACTGCAACACACATCACGGCTGCTTAAAGGTTAAATCCAGTTTTCATGTACTTTCAGCACTTACACGACCCAAGAAACTAAATTGTACAATATTGAGTAATTAGGTTCCATTTTCACCGCTACAAATCAACCTAGAATAAAGGTAACAGCACAGTCAAAGCTAAACATTTTTTTTATATATTCTGAAGCACAAAAATTATATAATTACTAGATGACCCAGCGAACTTCGTATCGCCATAAAAATATGTTTTTTTTATGCCACTTTATAAAAAAAAATGCGCATCCATTTTTTTTATAAAGTGGCATAAAAAATACATATTTTTATGGCGATACGAAGTTCGCTGGGTCATCTAGTAATAATATAATTTTTGTACGCGCGTGAGAAGTTATACTTCTTTAGCATCATTAAAAATATTTTTAATAATTACAATAAAATAATAAAAGGACTGGAAAAGGATAGTTAACACAGTCAATTAACTTCAGTTTTAATTTGAAAAATTAAATAAATATTCAAAATATTCAATTAAAATCACTACTGAATTTAAGTTATTAGTCCATATGTAATTAGCACTTGTAAGTAACTAAAACACGTTGTGTCTATATAGAAACTAGAAACATGTGGATAAATATTATAAATATGAAAACAGTGATCAGAGGCGACGAGCGTGCCAACATTGTTTTTGACAACGCGATCATCTTATGGAGCTCCGTGGATCGTTCAAAGTACCTTTCGAACAGATGTCTAATAATGGTGGATTATTAACCACTAAGTGGTTAAATATATAAAAGTGGTGGGAATATATAAAATTCTCGTGTCACAATGTTAGTTACCATACTCCTCCGAAACGGCCTGACCGATTTTTATGAAATTTAACATTCATATTCCGTTGGTCTGAGAATCGGCTACTATATATTTTTCATATCCTTAAGTGATAATGGTTGTCCACCTGTAACGTAGTGTTATGAAACCTACATTGCGCCTCCGCGCCAAAATTCAAACTATTGGTTATTGTAACGTAGTGTTCTCATATGGGTTAGCAGGAATGTTATCCCAGGAAATTGATAGAACACTACGTTACACAACCCTAAAATTATTTTTGGACAATATTTATTTTTTGATAATGTGGTATTAATTAAAAAATACATACAACCCTAAATTTTCTCTTCTACCACCTGCCCCTATTTTTATGGCGGTACGAAGTTCGCTGGGTCAGCTAGTAAACACTCTATAACTCTTTCCTAGGTTATAACTTATAAAATTAATAAAATCTTCTAGCATTTAATACCAAAGCAGTGACAGTGAGTGAATCACACTACTATTATAAAGGCGAAAGTTTGTGAGTGTATATGTTTGTTACTTCTTCACATCTAAACGACTGGTGTGCTTTGATTAAAATTTAGTATGGAGTTAGAGGACACCCTGGATTAAGACATAGGCTACGTTTTACTGCGGGAAAGTATCCCTAATAAACCGCAGGTAACACCGCGGGACCCAGCTAGTATATTATATACACCATAAAACCATAGAACAGCCGAATACTAAAATAAATAGGTTTTAACTTCAGGGAGTTTCCTGCGTTGAAATCAACCAATGACTTTTTTATGGATTATGACGCAAAAAGCATTACATTCAAAATTATAATCGTTTGCGCCGATACTGTAATATTATAAAACCACTGACTAAGATATATAATACAGAGTATTGCTTTTAGTAAAGGATTTCTTGGAGTCAAATACGATTTTCCAGTTATCGAAGCGAAACAAGAATTCGCTACACACTGGCAAACGATATTACCGATACAGTTTTAAACTTATAAGGAAACTTGTAAATTTATAATTAGACAAACACAATTCGCGAAAATTAGTGGGCGCATAGAAAAATTCAGTAACACTTTAAGAATAATGAAAAACTCGAAAATCAAAATTACTGCAAGTAAAAGCAGAAAAATTATGCAGTAATAACACGGGAAATAAAGGGTTATTTATTCACTTTAAAGTGCTTTGTCGTCGTCGATAGTCTTTGACCTATTGGAGGCCCTGGGCATATTAGGATAATGGGACCCCTATGACTTCCGTTTGGTGATTTAACAGGAACAAGGGACTTTGTATTTGATCTAAGGGGGCCCGCTATCGATCGCAGGGCCCTGGGCACTTGCCCAAAGTGCCCACTGGGAAGGACGGGTCTGTTTGTAATGAAATATTAATTTAATAATAGGCTATTTAACAGTATTAAAACTACATAACAATTATTGGCACCTAAATTAAATATGAATATGAGCAGCGATATTACCATTCTCAGATAACAAATAAATAATAACTTTGCTAAAAAACACATTAAATAACAATTATTTTTTTGAACCATGGTCACGGGATTGGCGAAGACTAAAATGACGTCACACGCTAGTAAACTTCCGGTCAAAGTTGTATTGTTTGACGTTTTGATGACAGCCGTGTTACCTCACATACTAGTGCGAAGCCATAATTACCAGAGAAACGTTTTCGCGGCAAATTGAAAATTAATGTTTGTTTTAGTTTTTTTTACTGTAATACACAACAGAATGATGAATATCCATATTTTATGGACTCCATAAACATTAGTAGATCACGTGTGATCGTTTTCTAAAACTTATCAAATACTCTCTTCCAGCATTCACAGATGGCGTACCTTGCCGTTCCAGAATCTTACAATCGAAATTCCTAATACTAGCAAACGTAAGTCAGCGACGCGACGAAATCATGCTGGGGCTTTGTAAAGTAAGTTACTTATTTAAAATGTTTTTTCAGATTCCTATTTTTAATTACATACAATTTATGTACTAACAATAAAATTATATATTATTTTAAACTTTCATGGTCACCAAAAAATTAGTAATATTATAAGTTATTTACGGGATTGTCATCATGTACCATGTTTTTAGTAACTCAGTTACTCCGTGATCATGGCGCTCGCAACAGTGTTGAAATATCGGAAATTCCCAAAAACAAGGTAAATGGTAGCAACCCCGTAAATAACTTATACAACTATAACAATAAAATTTACTTAAAAACCATGGTACTGGGAAAGCTTTTTTTTAATTCAAAGTTTTATAATAATGTATTTTATGTTTTAGCAATAAGGTTTAATTTAATTTTAAAATGTAACGTTGATCTGCACAGGTCAAATGCCCCATCCCCAGTTTATTCGAAGTACGGTCTGTCAAAGGTGCGGTGTTGGAGCGAGCTAACAATACCGCTGGCGTGTTCTCTCTCTTATAATTATGTATTTTATGTATTAGCAATAAGGTTGAATTTAATTTCAAAATATAACGTTGATCTGTACAGGTAAGATGCCCCATCCCCAGAGTATTCGAAGTAAGGTCTGCCAAAGGTGCAGTGTTGGAGCGAGCTAACAATACCGCTGGGGTGTTCTCTCTGTGGCAGCGACTGCCGACACCAGCTCCGAAGTTTATATCTACTCTCGTGTTCGCTGTGCGAGGGAAACCGTTCAATATTTCGTGTCCTGGGTATTTTTATTAAGTGATTTAGTTTCTCTTAGACAATAACCAATAAACCGATACACCAACTTACGTGATTAGTTATATTTAATTATAAACCACAAATTTGTTCGTCTAAAAAGTATAATTGTTTATAATATTCTCTCCAAATTTAACTGTTTAAAAACGCTGTCTCTAAGTTCTACTTATGTCAACATTACTATATAATATGAGCAGCTGTGCCCCGCGGTGTTACCCGCTGTTCATTAGGGATATTTTCCCGCAGTAAAACGAAGCCTATGTGTTAATCCAGGGTGTCAGCTAACTCCATACCAAATTTTATTAAAATCGCTCCAGCCGTTTAGACATAAGGAAGTAACAAACATACACACTCACACACACAAACTTTCCCCTTTATAATATAAGTGTGATTTCATGCCAGCTTTAAAACCATTAATAGATGCTGGACTTAAATTTCTCCATGTATATTGTGCAATATATTACGTGTATATTTTACAATGAGGGTGTTTATGAAAATTTACGTCACCAGTTCTAGCCACCGTGACGTGAGGTCTTCTGTGTGAAGTTTATGGCGCGATCTAATGGAACGAGCATTAAAATTTATCCATAGACTATGAACACATACGCTTTTTGACGGATGAGTAGATCTCTCGTCTCGGTGCTGCCACCTGGTGCCCAACATTCCAGAAAACTCTCATTACACTAACTAAAGGAAGAAAATGCTGACATTAATCCGTTTTTTATTATTGTTTTAATGACATTATTCCAGGATATCCCTAAGCAACACGCCCATATCATGGAAGGTAGGGAGCAAGGCATTGAACCCTCGGGCAGTGGACCGGGAGAGCGGCGGTCGAGTCCATCTCAACGCCAGGGACCAGCTTGTGATCTCCCGCGTGGAGTACTGTGACGCCAACCTATACAGGTCTGTGATGTAGAGAGGCAGGAAACCGTGATAATACCTGTCTCGTTGTCTTTGTAATCAAACCCATTATATGGGAGGTAATTTCGATCCTGTTGCTCATATATTCAAAGGACATAGCCAAGAAAGTGCTCTTAACGTGTATAAATATTTCGCACTAGCCCGTAACTATACAATATTTTTTTATTAATTATTACGTGTTTATTATTCTCATACAACTTTCGTGAAATAATCAAATGTCTGTTTCAAAAGCAAAATGTTCCGTTTTACAAAATAAATGAATAATGAATGAACACAAAAAAAATCTGTGCAAGTATATCTAAATAAACAATATTATTTCTAAACTCCTTCAAAATATGACGTATTTGGCCCTAATTTTTATTAGAACAAATCACGGAAGGCTTGAGACAAGGCTGTATGATAATTAATCGTTTAATTTTTGCAAATGGACAAAATAAAACTTCACGTTTTTCCTGTCACGATCACGGCCGACGATAACAAATTATTTGCATTTATTTTTGCTTAAAAAAAACTTTGAGTTAATCAGAGAAATGGGAATAAAGATTCTAAGAAAATGCGAAATTGGTCACTATGTAAATAATTGGCAACATCTTTTATCAACTTTAGTAAAGTAATGACATAGTAGGAGTTCTCATAATTTTCAAGATTGTAACTTTATCAAAAGTCCCTGAATCTTTTTTCATACAAATTATAAATACTTAGCCATTTACCATTAACTATTACTAAGTGCAGTATTTATACATTGCCAGGGCAGTCGCTCATACAAAACTTTACCATGTCCTTTCAAAACCATAGTCCGGTGTAGTTAATGGAAGTTTGCAGTTCAACCAAATTCATTGCCGTATATCAACTACTTTAAGAATTCCATTGTCTACAGAGACTCAATAAAATCATTAAATACTCAACTAATATTATAAAATAATTATAAATCAACGAAATGTAAGTATGCGCATGCGCATAACTTCCGAACGACAGCATCAAATTAGAAAATGGTTGGATCAAAAAAAATACGACGGCGCGAAATATGCCGAGTCAGCTAGTAAGAAATAAAAGATGTTTTCTTACAAATTGCAATCAGAATTACAACTCTTTTGACAGGGGCGTTCTTACTCTATGACCAAGGAAGCCATGACCCCGGCGGCAAAGCCATTTAAAGGCATTTGTTACTAACCTATCAATGGAGGTTAGGGGGAGGGGGGCAGTAAATCGTAAGTGGCTAGGAGTGCCAGATATTAAAATACGCCTTTGGAACAGTCAATTATTGTCACTGCCATACACCTTACTAATAGGGTATTTGACAAGTTTTAGAAAACGATCTCACGTTAATGACTAATGTTTATGGTGTCCGTAAAAAGTGGATATTCATCATTCTGTTGTGTATTTCAGTAAAAATAACTAAATCAAAAACTCCATTTTTAAGTTGCCGCGAAAACGTTTCTCTGGACAATATGGCGTCTTACTAGTGTGTGACGTCACACGACTGATATTAAAACGTCAAACGATAGAATGTACTGTCACTTTAACCGGAAGTTTACTTGCGTGTGACGTCATATTAGGCTTGGCCAATCCCAAGCGTTTTGGGTCACGTGACAGTAGATAAGAAAATTATTATCTTTTAGTGGGTTTTTAGTAAAATTATGAATTTTTTTTTTTGTAAAAATAGTCAAAACCCCTGCCAATATTCATTCTAAACACAGATGCTAACAATTGGAACTTTATTTTTAATACTGTCAAATACCCTATTCTTATGATTGTTACGACAGTTGCTGGCAACGCGACGTGCTCATAGGAACGGTAAGGCTGAGAACTTGGGAAGGCACGCGGCTAAGATGGAACCACCACGCCACGCTGGTACTGTGTTTAATGTTCGCAACGACTGCACTGCGTGTCTTAGATCGAATTACGCGCGACAAACGACGCCGTTTTGGGGCGTTGCGTAATTCAAGGAATGTATGATATTGGTGTGGGGGGTCATCGGGACATTGAATATTTCACTTAACTATATTTGAATTAGAACTATTTTGCTTAATTACCAGCGTCACCCCCTCAGTAATGATAATAATAAATGTGTAATGTCAAAGTACAGAAAAGAATATTTTATTTATTTATTTATTCTTTATTACCAAAAACAGTGAATGGCGGACTTAATGCTATAGGCATTCTCTACTAGTCAACCAGTATGGGTGTATGAGACGGATGTTTTGGCGATAGAGTACGAGCTACTAAAGTCAGAGAAAAAAATAATATATTTAATAGAACAGAAACTTTGCTGGATATTATGCGTTTAGTTACAAAATTGGTTAGTTACTTGAAATAAAAGTTATTTAATATATGAAAACTGTGATTTTAATTTAATGCAACATAATAACACTATCATTGAATGGAAACTTTTTATGATACAGGGCTTTGTTTTACAAATAGCACGGCATCGAGAAATAAGAGCCACTTAGATTGAGAACACTACATGTAGAATGGAGATGAGTACCATTAGATGACTAGATGTAAGATAAGCATGCGCGCTCAACACACGTTTCAAAATGTTTCAATGTTTTCGAAAAGGCACGACTGAAGAACTAAGAAGAACGATATAAATGGACACAGAATACCGATATTTGAGTTGAATTGATAAACTGTGTGTTGATTGATACACTTAAATATACTTAACATAAAAGTATAGACTACGTATGTTATATTGGTTTTTAATAACAAATTAAGGAAACCATAGGTTTTCAACACATTTGCTCAAAAAATGACGGCGAAGGGAAGCCAGACAGACTGGCGCCGTAACGTAAAGCTGTTTACTCTCTTATAAGAAGTTATTTTAAGTTTGAAAGTTAGTTTTCGGTAAGCACGTTCGGCTGCGATCGTTGAAGCTAAGCAACTTTCGCAGTGGTCGGTCATTGGATGGGTGACCAAAAATTTACTATCGCGACAGCACTGGGCCCACGTGGTGGGTCATAGCTAGGGTTGCAACGATATATCGGAATATCGATAATATCGAGACCAAAATATCGATATTTCGTAGACTAAATTTGAACACAATAATATCAATTAATTTACCTGCTATGACTATCTAAATTGAATAATATCGAAATAACAATTGCTTTGAAATCGCAAGAGCTTATACATGTATTAAAAAAATCTTGAACGCCAAGAAATATACTAAACTGGTGTGGATTCTGGCATGATTCTCTAAACCTAAAATTAAATTTGACAATAGTGTATCCTTGTCATTCTTTATACAGAATGAAAAGGAAAGACTGATGTTAAATTTAGTTTAAAGTTTAGATAATCATGCCAGAATCGACACCAACGTATATAGGCATAATCATATACCTAATGGTAACTCATGCACTTAAATAAAATCCTTGCCTCTCCTTCTAGATAATTGTCAACTACTGATTAATTGAAATTTAATATCATTGTAATATAACACAAAATAAAATTAAGAATCGTATACAAATCGTAAATTTTTTAAGCTCGTAATTTTGGAAGCTTTGGGTTTACCCTATTCTGAAGCCATGGGCACGCCCCTGAGACTAAGCAATTTGCGTATTTGATGTGCGCTAAAAAGCGGCGCGTGCTGCTGTATACATATACCTGCGTGTGGGGCGCGGCCAGGGCCGGGGCCGGGCCCGGGGCGGGCGGCATCATGTCGGGCGCGAGGGCGGGCGGGGGCGGGGGCGGGGGCGGGGGCGGGGGCGGCGCGTGCTGCTGTATACATATACCTGCGTGTGGGGCGCGGCCGGGGCCGGGGCCGGGCCCGGGGCGGGCGGCATCATGTCGGGCGCGAGGGCGGGCGGGGGCGGGGGCGGGGGCGGGGGCGGGGGCGGCGCGTGCTGCTGTATACATATACCTGCGTGTGGGGCGCGGCCGGGGCCGGGGCCGGGCCCGGGGCGGGCGGCATCATGTCGGGCGCGAGGGCGGGCGGGGGCGGGGGCGGGGGCGGGGGCGGGGGCGGCGCGTGCTGCTGTATACATATACCTGCGTGTGGGGCGCGGCCGGGGCCGGGGCCGGGCCCGGGGCGGGCGGCATCATGTCGGGCGCGAGGGCGGGCGGGGGCGGGGGCGGGGGCGGGGGCGGGGGCGGCGCGTGCTGCTGTATACATATACCTGCGTGTGGGGCGCGGCCAGGGCCGGGGCCGGGCCCGGGGCGGGCGGCATCATGTCGGGCGCGAGGGCGGGCGGGGGCGGGGGCGGGGGCGGGGGCGGGGGCGGCGCGTGCTGCTGTATACATATACCTGGGCGGGGGGCGCGGCCGGGGCCGGGGCCGGGCCGGGGGCGGGCGGCATCATGTCGGGCGCGAGGGCGGGCGGGGGCGGGGGCGGGGGCGGGGGCGGGGGCGGCGCGTGCTGCTGTATACATATACCTGCGTGTGGGGCGCGGCCAGGGCCGGGGCCGGGCCCGGGGCGGGCGGCATCATGTCGGGCGCGAGGGCGGGCGGGGGCGGGGGCGGGGGCGGGGGCGGGGGCGGCGCGTGCTGCTGTATTCATATACCTGCGTGTGGGGCGCGGCCAGGGCCGGGGCCGGGCCCGGGGCGGGCGGCATCATGTCGGGCGCGAGGGCGGGCGGGGGCGGGGGCGGGGGCGGGGGCGGGGGCGGCGCGTGCTGCTGTATTCATATACCTGCGTGTGGGGCGCGGCCAGGGCCGGGGCCGGGCCCGGGGCGGGCGGCATCATGTCGGGCGCGAGGGCGGGCGGGGGCGGGGGCGGGGGCGGGGGCGGGGGCGGCGCGTGCTGCTGTATTCATATACCTGCGTGTGGGGCGCGGCCAGGGCCGGGGCCGGGCCCGGGGCGGGCGGCATCATGTCGGGCGCGAGGGCGGGCGGGGGCGGCAGGCCGCGGGCGGCGCGTGCCACCAGCCACATGGCCAGCGCGAACTGCTCCCGGGACAGCTTGCCCGTGCCGCCGATGTCGCACAATGCCCTGCGAGTAGACAACAACCATAAACTACCATTTGGATCAAGTTGGCCGTTGTGGCGGCGACATCTACACTCAGCACTTATAACTAACATAACCAGAGGAAATAATCACTCGCTTCCTAGAGAGACGGCGCTACTGGCGCTGCGCTCTTGACGTCTGGAAGCCTAAATCACGCAAATGAAATTCGGACACTAACTCTTCATATATGCAATGGAGAGGCTGGTGCACTGAGACACAGGCGTCAGCTTAGTTTGGTCACCAGTCTCTCCAATCTTAGACCTAAGTTTTATAATCTGTTACTCATGAAGCATGTATAAGATTGTGCTGAGAAAATAAAGTTTATTATTATTATTATTAATGCCCGACCAACATCAATCGGGCCGCGGCCTCCGAGGTAACATCACCCAGGTCGGAGAAAGATCTTTCCCCTTTGGGCTTTCTGCAGCCGTAAATGACTGTCAGAAATAGTGCCACTAATCAATCACAGGTATATCAAGTGATAACATCGACCAATAGAGTCCACGAAAAGTCATAGGGGGCCATCCATAAATTACGTCACACTTTAAGGGGTAGGGAGGGGGTCGACAAAATGTGACATCGTGTGACAAGGGGTGGGAGGGGTCCTAAATTTCGTGACGTCACATTTCAAAATATATTAAGGGAGGGGGTCGACAAAATGTGACATCGTGTGACAAGGGGTGGGAGGGGTCCTAAATTTCGTGACGTCACATTTCAAAATATATTAAAATCTAAGTGTTGAAACTATTACTTTACGAAAGCATTAACAACCCAAACGAGAACAAAGTGGTGCTATGCCAGTTATAAATAATTTAAATGAGTGGGATCAATGTCCATGGACTCAAGATTATTAAGTTTGTATCTTATGTTTTGTTAATTTCTTTAATTAACATAGTCAATCACTTTTTGTTCGGTATTTTTTTTGTTTTGTTAATTGTTTGATTTGATTATAATAATAATGAAAAAACAATTTAAATGGAAATAAAACTGATTACAGAACCGCTGTTTTCATTCAATGATTTCTAAATGTAAATTTGCAAAATATGTGACGTCACACTAGGGAGGGGGGGAGTCTTACAAATGTGACCAGCTGTGACAAGGACGGGGGGAGGGGCAAAAAAGACATGAAATTCGTGTGACGTAATTTATGGATGACCCCTAGCTCACTTAAACGAATTTGTTCCAACACCGCCCTAAATTACGGCGACAGCTAACAAGCACCCAGCTGTAGAAGCGCCGAACAGCTAAGTGCTTGGTAGAGTATTCGAGAATGGTCTACTAGCATTCGAAGCGCGGACACCGTGTCGACCGCTTGCTTGCAACGCATAGCAAACAAGGCTTCAACTATCAAGCAGTCACAGCAATAAGCTCGCTGACAGCGAGCTCTCTGCTCATTTATGTTGTCAATGTTTAGTACATCTAAAGTGGCTTCCACACGATACAATTTTACGCCCAATTTGATTAGATTGACAATCGAATTGTGTTATGTGGACGGAAATATGAAATTGAAGGTCATTGGATGGTCGGTATCGCCCGATTCGAGATTGCCCAATCAAATTGGGTGGTGTGGACGCTGACTGGCCAATTTTTTAACGTAGTCACTGTGCAAGCGGCGTTCAGAGCGGGTGTGTGCGTTGACTTGTCTTTTGAGAAGAAAGATGGAGCAACTTGACGACAATATTATGTCTATTCGATCTGAACGGGAAATAATGGAGGAGATTTTAGATATATATAAAGACTTGCCATGCCTTTGGGATGTGTCTAACCCATCTCTTATCTATTAGACAAGTCCGTCCGTCCGTCTGTCTGTGGTGCTGTTTCAGCGGCCAAACCGTAAGAGATAGATAAAGAGAATATTTAAGTTATAAGTTAAGAATAGTCTGATAAGACTACAAACCGGATTTGAGTAACGTAGCACTTCCGGTTTTCGAGAAATCACGTGATTTCTATTTTGTAATTATCACAATTTTAATTAACTATTTAAAGGTTATTTTTTTTTTAAATCAGGTTTTGGTGAACATTTGGTTCACTGGTTTGCTAATTATATAAAAATAAACAAGCAAGGCATAATTTTTTAGAGATTTTGCTGAATAAGTGGAAAAATATTGATAAAAAATATTACTCTTTAAGTATAACTATATTTAAGTTTATTAATTGAGTCACTTAAATATAATATAACTATATTTAAGTGACTCAATTGCTTTCTTTTTAATAACCATTGTTTTGTCCACAGACTTCTTTTTCTTTTTTCTTATCTACATTTGTAGTTAGAGCCAAGATTAATCCAAGTTTTTGTTTCTAGGTAAGAGGCATCCTAATACAAACAAGTCCATTCAGCAGAACAACAAATAAAACTGAAATTGGCGATCTTGTTGTGTATGTGTAGACGGATGACCAGATTGTACCCAATTCAATCGGCAATCAGATTGGCAATCAAATTGTGTCGTGTGAAAGGGGTTTAAAGAGCAATGCTTAAAGCCCATATTTAAGTTATATTCGTTTCGCCGGATGGGAGCAAGGTCGTGGAAGTGGGTAAACCCTTAAGGGGCCTGGCCAGGATCGCGGTGCGGTAACATGAGAAGAGTGAGAATAGTTAATTCCCGGTTATGTCAATACTAACGCTGGTCTGCGTGCCCCGTTGAACAGAATAATGAACACCTTTAATGATAGTTTGAGCTCACATGATATTGACATTTTCCTGCTCTCAGACACTTCTTTCAAGACCAAAGTGTATGATCTTTTATCATAGTAGGTGTTTTAGCTATAAGTATAATATGTGCTATAAGTATTGCCTTGGTACGCCTCGACAAGCTTTTTGTTTCTACTGGATACTTATTTGTGTAGTGTACAACATATTTTTCTTTTAGTATAGAAAAAGAATAATACAAATATATATAAAACAAAACAATCCTAGTATTAATCTGTGGATAATGTTGTTGGTTGTACAATAAGTATAACATAATTTTTTACATAATTGTAAAATTGTATTAACATAATTGTAAGGCTTTCACTTAACATATATTGTACAACTGTTTGTTATCCCTAATAAAATAAAATAAATTCGCAGCGAACGCTTAATACGTGTATTTCGGTGCAATAACCGAACATTTATATTTTGCATATTTGCAATAATTGACACCGTCTTAGCGCCTAGCCTAATTTAGGTCATTAGCCGCGGTGCACAGCGAAAATCATAGTGTACATAGATTTCGACGCTTATATGGATGCACTCATGTACATAATAACATTATTGTAGTTTTTTAAGAATATTTGTGAACAAGTAATAAACTCGTAATTTTCGGTAACAATTTTATCATTTCAACATCCACTAAGCTCAGGCACCAACATTTTATGGTCTTTCGAGCCTTACCTCGCGCGCGTAAAATCTATTTTTGGAAGGTGAAAAAACAGTTTTTTTTTTTGTAATTAGATAGGCAAATGACTCTACCCCACCTGATGTTAAGTGGTGATAAAGTCCAAACGCGAAGATAGCTGGTACACCAGTTAGAAACTGCTACACTAACCATCCTCACCTTGCCGGCCCGCAAAAATGCTTCTTCACGCCTCTCTTAAAGGACCCCAGATTATAGGAAGGAGGGAACACGTGCCCGGGCAAAGAATTCCACTTACGAATAGTACGACAAAGAAATGAGTCGCCAAATTTCTTTGTACGTGTAGGAATAGTGGCCACAGTAAGTCGGTGGCAACGTAGGCCAGCGCGCGTGGTCCTCTGAAGAATAGGGGATGGAGGGATAAGTGAGAATAGCTCGTCCGAACACTCGCTATTTAGAACACTAGAATATTGGAATACAGCGTGCGTTGTGCGTGAATTTAGTGGTCTATCAAGCAACACAAGTAACCCTGTTTTAGTGATGTGCCGGCTGCGAAAGGATTAATAGCCTTTTATATCAGCAAGGGAACTTGGCTTGGTAGCCAGGTGATTCCAGCTTTATCATCATACAAGTAAGGTAGGTTTATTTTTACTCTTTTCATCATGGAAGACTATGTCAGCACGAAACACAAAAGACAACACACGCCGAAAAACTAAAAAAAAGTCTACTGCGCAAATTTGCCTTCGGTTTTACTCAAGAAATTAGCCGCTCCCTAAAAACAATTATTAAAAATTACAAACAGATATAAAAAAAATGAACCGTAGCGACTATTAACATATAGAATGAACTAAGCTTTCCCCTCGTTTGAGAACTCGTAATACCCCATCTCTAAGGACTTAATACAGATGAAAAAATACCAATAAAGATGATAACTTTTTTCTCCTCGTCTATCAGATAGGTTTGAAAATAGGATTATACACGTAATTTTTCTTTTTTTCATATAATCAATCGATGATATTATATACCCTAGATACACCTAGTGTGCCCAAAATGTGTCCCAATCAAGAAGTGCTTGAACATCACTTCTTGGTTCACAGTCACGCGCGGACCGTTGAAAAGTCAACATGCCGCAGACATTCGTGAAATAATTCGAAATAAATACTTATAGTACGTAAAGTGTCGTTTTTTCGACAGGTACCTAATCAATTTTTGTTAATTTAACGCATTTAAAACAAATTTTCTTCTAATACATACTATAAACTGATAAGAAAATATTTGTGATATTCAAATGCATGGTCGGTAACATAGCCTTTTCCTCGCGGCCCGTATCTGCTGTATTGATAACAGCGCATTCAGAATTGCGTGTAAAGTTAAAGAGATAAGGTCTATATTCTTCCGCATATAGCAGTGTCGTAAAATTTGATGAGCCTGCATTTTGAACTCTCATAACTCTTAGACGCATGCGTTTAAATTAAGACACTATGCAATAAAGGTGACGTTCAATATTCAAAAAATGCTTTATATTTTATTTAACTACGCGATCATCTTACGGTGCTCCGTGGATCGTCCAATGTACCTTTTGGACAGGTTTCGGCCACGATTTGTTCGTGTTGGTGTATCTAGGGTATAATACATCGTTGTAATCAATACACTACAGAGATATATTGATTTGAAATGTCGCATCATGTCACATCTTGGAACAACTTTTACTTAGAAGTGACGTCATGAGCCCCCACTCCTAAAATTAGACGCGTTATGTTTGATTTAAAAAAAATGTACATTATTGTAATAATCGAACTAACGGACTTAATAGAATTCTCTGAGCTCCACGTTCAGAACCATATCCTTACCATTATCAAACAGTGTACAAACTCACCATATATGAGCCAAAGTTTGCTGTGGCAGCCCAGACTCCAGGAAAGTGTGTTTGATTTCTGCGCCAGACACGAAACCATCGCGATCCATATCGGCCGCGTGGAACTGCGCGTCGTACACCGCCTTCTCTGCGGGCGTCACCACCCAAGTGATTCCCGGTGTCCCCGACGCGATTCCCGTTGTCCCCACACCGGTTCCCATTGTCCCCATGCCGGTTCCCGTCATCCCCGCACCCGCGGGCATGGGTGAAACGAGCGACGACCCCATGGTCGCCGCCACGGGACCGGGACCCATGCCCGGGATGGGCGATGGAGCTGTCTGCGATGGCGGCTGTGAATGATTATTTTGATGACAACATAATATAATAATTATTCGTTTGAGGATAATTTTAGTATCTTAACCGACATTATCCGCATACGAGTTTCAATAAAATTTCATTAAAAATAAGACAATAGGGAATGGCTCAGCCAATGTTGATCAAGCCTAGACCTGAACCAACGCTGTTTTTCAGCCACCCCTTAACAAATTTTACTTAAAATTAATAATATAGAGAGCCTCGAATTATCCATTATTTTATTATAATTAATATTGGAACATGTTTCGTGCATAAACGTATACTCCTACTTGCTATAGATGTACTCGCCCTACTCGTACCATCCATGCGTCACTGGCTCAGCCTCGGTTAAACAAAAAAGAGCGACAAGTGGCTATGATAAGGATGCTTCAGGTTTTCCGCAGCAAGTTGTTTATGAAGTAAAGCTGCTTTGTAGTATTTTTTGAATTTTGATGTATTCATTTTACAACGTTTATTTCACAAACAATATTAGTAATGAAATATCAATATAATTATGAAATCTTTTTAAGTCATTATATATATTTAATACCTATAGCAACTGTCACTTACTTATTTTATACAACTGTTTTTATCAATTTTATTTTTTGGTCATATTCTCATGCCGCTACTTCAAGGCTTTTCATGTTTGCTATTTATAAACTTGACATCAGCTTGTCCTTTTTATTCCATAAGAAGCATGATAAAGACGGGACTATAAGTTCACATATAGCAAATACGAAAAGCCAAGCGAAATGCCGACGTGAAATTACGTTCAACACTTAGAATTCTGTATTGGTCCTTCGAGTCGGATGCAATAGCTAGCAACATTTATAGTACTCGAACTCAAACACAAAAATATCTTTATTTAAATAGACTTTGCTAAGTACTTTTAAATCGTCAATTCCCTACCACCGTTTCGAGACCAAATAATTATTACACATCATCATCAGCCTATTAATTTCCCCACTGCTGGGGCACAGGCCTTCCCTATGGATGGAATAGGGAGATTGGGCTATGACCCACCACGCGGGCTCAGTGCGGATTGGTGGGTGCTAACGACTGCAGATGCAGCCGGGACCAACGGCTTAACGTGCCTTCCGAAGCACGGAGGAGCTCGAGATAGTAAATTTTTGGTCACCCATCCAATGACCGACCACTGTGAAAGTTGCTTAACTTCCACGATCGCAGCCGAACGCGCTAACCACTTGCGCCGTCGAGTTCCTCGTTACACATAAATAATTATTATACTGTTATGTCAAAGAAGCAACGGCGAAAGAAACTCCACAGCTTCCAATTTCGTAATGATCTTAAAACATGATTACAGGTCAATTAGTTACATCTACTTATATTTTCAATAAAACTTAAATGAAGCAGATATTTTCAGTGAATCACTTTACAGCTTCAAAAGGAAAGTAAGTGAATTATTGTTTAAATAGTTAACATGTTCGGCGGCGATGTATATCATATGTTTATAGTTATCCGTCACTTTTATGCCGCTTGAATATAATAATTGTATATCAATTAATGGTACTTTAGGTCTATTTGTAAACATAAATTGTAAATTGTTTGTATAAGACTGTTTCTTACCTGAATTAAATAAATAAATAAAAATAAAATCTACCGCCTACGGCACTGATACTTACGGTGGACAGATCCAACAGCCCCTCTAACAAGGCTGCATTGGAGGAAGGTTGATGGGAAGGCTGCACGGGTCTCGGAGGCGGCGCCCTGGGTTGCGGGGAGGGGGGCCGCGACGGGGGGCGCGAGGGGGGCCGCGAGGGGGGCCGCGACGGGGGGCGGGCGCCGCGAGCGCGCAGCTCGGGGGGCAGGCTGGTGGGGACGGCGTGTTTCTCCAGCGCCTTGTATACTAGGTGCATCGCCTGTGGATAACAATGACCAACTAAACCAACTTGTATATTAAAAGCCGGAGTTCTTGGCGGGATTTCATCGAGTGCGGTTAGCGTCTTATTTTACTTAATCTTAAATTCGTTCATAGTGGATCTTGTGAAATAATATTGGTGTTATTTTGTGTTACAACCGTCTGCACGACTGAAGAATTAGTGGCCTCTTTAAAATATACGTTATTCCGGTCAAGCGGACGTGAGAACTTTATTGTAGTGTTGACTACCTCACAGAAGCTTATCGAGATAACTGATACATACTCGATATATTTCGTGCCAAACACTCCAAGATACATTAGAATGCGTGACGCCCACATTCTAATGTAAACAAAAAGAACAAAGAAAACTGAAAACTATAGGCTGTATTGTTCCCCTTGCCTTCCCTAAAAAGGGAGAACGTTAAAAAAAACATATTAAAAGCCCTAGCTAGCACTCGAAATGAGTCGTAAAAAAGTAATGTTTTTATAATATACGGGACGTACGAACAGAAGGCTCACGAGTACTCTTAACACGAACCATTATCGAATTCGAATAGTTGAATTCAATGCATTTTGTACATCAAATGTGTATTGAATTTTAGTTCTCGTCACGTCCGTTGCGGTGCTGCTGTTCAAGTTTCCATTCAAAACTTTACACTGACATTTCGCAATCTCAATCTATTCGAATTCGATCTCGATAAGCGTCAAATGTCAAAAAGTATAGTTAGGCGATTTGAACAACGCCTAATGTAACGGGAATTAAAATCTTTCATACAAAACTTTTTGACATTTTACGCATATCGAGATCGAATTCAACTATTCGAATTCATAATGTTCGTGCTAAGGGTAAGGGATGAGTAGGAACTTGCCACTATTTATTTCCGATGTAATATACCTAATGTAGCATTTTTTTTTGAGGAAAACATGAACAGGGTTGATGACGGCTACATTAAACGAAATTCTATTTAGTCCGTCAGTTAGATGATCAAAAAATAATGGACACGTATTTTTTCTTTGGGCAATCAACCAAAAAATGACAAAGTTATAGCGCGTCAAAGTTTGGGAGTAGGGTCTCGTGACGTCACTTTTTAGTGAATTTTCACTTGACGTGTAACTCAAACGTGACGTCATGCGACTTTTCAAATCAATATATCTCTGCAATGTTTATATTATTTGAAAAAAGGAAAAAATACGTGTCCAATACTTTTTGATAATCTACCTGATAAACGAAGAAAAAAAAATTAGTCATCATCCTTATTATAATTTCTTGGAAGCTTTCTTAGTAATCTTCACAGTTTTAATAAATTATTATCAGTTTCAGCAGTAAGTACTCACCACCATAAATTCATGTCTGTCCAGCATACCGTCCTTATCTTGATCAGCGAGGTCCCATATTTTACCGAGAGTGTCTAGAGGGAGCTTTGATTCCATCAGCACACCTTTTACCTGGACAAAGAGATTTTTAACAAATTAATCACATATGGCCGAATCAATGATCAGTAATGCAAAAGAGCAATGAAGAATATTTTAAATGACCTATTTGTGTAGTAAATTAATAGTTTGGTGAATAGTAAACATTATCTTTTACGTTTCATTCATTCGTTGGTAAGGTATTATTTTCAGAAATCAGCAGGAGCTCTATTTTTAAATCACTTAAAAATTGCTTTTTCTATGCGATTTATACTAATTTTGATTCGACTTAATAAATTCCGTATATTTTTTTAATCGCTCAACGTCACGAGCGGTCTCCACCACTATATGGGCCTCCTTCTACCCCAAAATCCCGCTCTCCCGCTCGGCTGAGCCAGTCTGGCTAGACTGGCTCAGCGGTTGCCCGAGATGAGAGGGAGGACCTACCCACTAAAAACCCAACAGTGCTTCCGCGCCTACCAGGCCAGGGGGATGCCCGGAAGCACCCTGGGCATCCCCCCCCCCTGTCCGCCGCCCGCTAGCTTCACTAGGTTGGAAAGAGGCGGTCGTACCGTCGCCTCCCTGCATCCCCGCCGTCGGCATCGGAGAGGGCCGGCCCGGGCGTCCCCCTCGTAGGACCTCTACGCTGTCTCCTTCTGGAGGATGACTTCCTCGCAGAAGGAGGCTACCGCAGTCCAGAATCTGTCACTGTCCAGTATCGCTCTAACGACGCTGGGCAGCGAGAGATTCGGTTCTATCGCCATGACACTATCATGGCGCTGCCGGCACCAAGATGGGCACTCTTCAAGGATGTGCTGCGCCGTGTCCCCGACAGCGCCACAATGGTGGCACGACGAGGCCGCTTCTACGTACTATTAGTTATTTTTTCACATTTTTCCCCGGAGCTCTGCGGCATGTTGACTTTTCAACGGTCCGTGCGTCACTGTGAATCGAGAAGTGCTTGAGTCGTGTTCGAGCACTTCTTAATTGGGACACATTTTGAGCGCACATGGTGTATCTGGAGGAATTAAATATCGTTGAAGGTGATATCAAAGGAGAAATTTACCAACCTTGTTCCCGGCGATAAGGCCGTTGCTGGGCTGCAGGGAGTCGAACAGCTGGCTGTACTTGTCTCGCTCGGCCGGCTTCATGCTCCAGTCGCTGAGAGGCGCTAGGGGCGACGGCGCCGCTGGCCGCGCCGGCGCTACGTGAGACACTTTCGGTATCTCACCCTGATACAATGAAAAAATGGAAATTTTTAGAATAAAACAAGGCTAAAATTTGATTTACACCGACGGCATGCCTATTATGTAAGCAATGAAGTTCTGTAACCGCAATGCGACGACTGAGTTTCGGATACAATTTTTTTCTATGAAATCACAATATATTTGTTTCTTAGGTTTTCACGCACATCACTCATTAAATAAAACTAGTTTTTACGGGTTAATGCACGAAACTTTATTTATTTATTGACGTTTCTTTAAAAATCGAACAATGAAATAACCGAACGCTCATTAAAAGTCTTTCGAAGGTAGCTCGACAAATTAAATAAAAGTTTGATTCTGACGACGAAGCCTGTAAAGGCTACGAAACGTCAATTAATAAATAAAGTTTCGTGCATTAACCCGTAAAAACTAGTTTTATTCAGCAATATATTTAGTTTCTATTTTGCGTTAAACAATTCTGTAACAACCAGTCGCAAATCAGTTTCATACAGTTATATTATGCGGCACATCGAAACCCTTGTATTTAACATAGAGATAGTAAATGGATTAAGCGACTCTCGCATTAAGAGCCCTTTTACAAAATTGCGCCGCTGCCGTACTTTAAATAAATAAATTAATAAATATTTCTAACACTCACACCAATTAACCTAGCCTCAAAGTAAGCACTGTAAGGCTTGTGTTATGGGACACTAGGGTAACGGATAGAATCCATATACTGTATATAAGCATATTTATATAGAAATACATATTAAACATCCATGACTGGAGTACAAATGCTCGTATTCATCACACAAACATCTGCCCCCACCGGGATTCGAACCCGGGATCTCCCGAGTCGGCGACACCATGAAACACGGCGTACAAACCACTCGGCCACGGAGGTCGTCAATAATAATATAGACATTAAACAATCTACTTCTTTAATTATAAAGAAGTTAGATTTTTTAGTAAGTTGCAATTTTCTCAATTGAATTCTTTGTTTATCTATAAGAAATTAATCCTCTACATTCTGATTAAAACATATTTTACAAACGTATATTTCAAAATTAAAGCACCACTAACGCGAGAATTTCAAAATCACCTGTAGACGAATATCACGGTCGTCTGTGTTGAATATAAAAGATATCACTTCGTCAACAAGCATATTTTACCTATCTATATGTAAATAGATGAGAGTTTTGAGATAAACATCATGATAAATGACTTTAAATTTTGTATTTGCTGATATATTGTGTCTATTATACTCTTACATGTATTTTACTATGTTGTACAGTTTTTAATTTCCTTCATTGGACTGAGCCTCAATGGTGGGGCTGAGCCTTCTTTTTTGGCTTCTCAACCCAAAAGGGATAACGGATCGCTAAGGCATCTCACGCACTAGACGGCCAAGACCACAACCAGTGGCCGCAACGAACAGATTACCTAAACTAAATGAGTGTGCTTATGACCACACGACTGAAGTGAAACTTCTTTAGTTCCATATATATATACATACAGGGTTTTACAAAAATAAAAATAAAGCTTGAAGGGCGTTAAAGTATAGTTGTTTATAATGACCCTCGAACTAGTGACGTGTCTTAAAATTATCGATATTTTTATTAATCATTTAAAATAACTGTTTTTATAAAAAGTTAAAACTTCATGCAAATATTTTAAGAAAATTAGAGAAGACTCCTTGTATGATGCACTTCAACGTCCTTCAAGCTTTATTTGTATTTTTGTAACACCCTGTATATATATTATGTGTGTACAATATATACATGTATGTACATATACATATTTCATTTACTAGCTATAAGAGCAAGAGAAAATGTGCGCGCGCACTGCTTTCTCTTGCTTATTCTTCGGCCGAACACACCTTTCGTAACGCGTAACGCATTCGCCAGCTTACCCCCCAAGTGAAGCGTGCAGTCAGTGCACTTGGCCGCAACAGTCAATTGGTCGCATACAAGGCCGGCCCAACTATTCGTTGCGGCCAACTTACGTATAGTTTGCTCGAGCGCTCTCGCACTAGATCTACGACGGCGAATGCGATCAGACCGCGACAAACCATTTTCAATGTCATGCGGACAGTTCGCGAGTGAACACGCTTCATATCATTCCGCAACTCAATACAACTGCGTTTTTTTTAATGAGTTTTGATATAGAATTATTTATGAACTAGCAAACCAGTGAACCAAATATTCACCAAAACCTGATTTAAAAAAAAATGTATTTAATTAGTTGAGAACTTCGGAGATTTTGTGTGGTTTCGTTTGAAATTCGTGATTTCTCGAAAACCGGAAGTGCTACGTTACTCAAATCCGGTTTGTAGTCTTATCAGACTATTCTTAACTTATAACTTAAATATTCTCTTTATCTATCTCTTACGGTTTGGCCGCTGAAACAGCACCACAGACAGACGGACGGACGGACTTGTCTCATAGATAAGAGATGATATAAAGAAACAACCAGTACTGTGGCTGCTTTACGGCCAGTGCTTTGTGGTCGTGGCCGCAAGCTTAGCCACAGCCCACCCTAACAGTATCTTCTACGACCACAGTTGCGGCCACGGCCACGACTGGCCGTTGTAGTGGTCGTCTAGTGCGCGAGGTTCCTAATTGTCCGCTGTCCATCTGTCCGCCGAAATATTTCGTTATTGACCCGCTAAATATGTTAAGAGACTGTTATTTTAGAATTATTATTGGCTGGTCCACAGGTTCAAAGTCGCTCAGCGCGCTATGGAAAGGGCTATGCTCGGCGTTTCTCTGAAGGATCGCATCAGAAATGAAGTAATCCGACAGAGAACCAGAGTTATCGACATAGCCCACCGGATTAGCAAGTTGAAGTGGCAGTGGGCTGGCCATATTTGCCGAAGAACCGATAACCGTTGGGGTAGACGAGTTCTGGAGTGGAGACCGCGTCTAAGCAAACGTAGTGTAGGACGTCCTCAGGCACGATGGAGTGACGATTTGCGCAAGGTGGCTGGCGAGTAGCCCAAGATCGATCAGAGTCGCGTGCATTTGGAGAGGCCTATGTCCAGCAGTGGACTATGATAGGCTGTTGATGATGATGATGATGATTAGATAATAAGCTAATAATGATAAACAAATAAAAATCTGCAGTGAAACAGCGTTATGAGTATCATATAAGATATATACTCACTACTTTAGGTGGCGGCGCGTCTACGTGTATGTTGCTCATGTTGATGTCGCGGCCGGTCTGCGCCAGCGCAACCAGCTTCAGCGCCACGAACAGCCCCGCCTGTACACACATATTTCAAATGGTGAAACTTCATCTTTATACAGGGTGTAAAAAAACTTATGACAAAGACTACAACTAAGCATTCTTTACGACCAAACAAGTAATATTACAAAATATTATACGTGGGAATCAGTCGTAATTTTAAGTTAAAAAAAATACATTTTTTTTTCAGTACGCAATGTATAGCGCGGCGCGCTGCTGTGGCGCTACGCAAAGAATGTGTGTAAGTGCGTCGATAAAAAACTTTCTAAATAACGTTTTGCAAATATTAATGTATAAATATTGATAAAATAATGTGACTTTGACCTTCAATATCTCCATAACCATAAATGTCCCAGGTATGGTCCAGAAGAAAAAAATGATCGTCATGATGTAGAAAATAGGTGGCCTTCGACTTCGTTAAAGGTTTTTTTACACCCTGTATAGTATAAAACAAAGTCGATCCCGCTGTTTGCGCGCTTTTTTGACTATTTAACTTACAACGGATTGAGGAAGGTTTCTGTTTAATTTACGAAAGGGGCTATCCCCTTTCCCCTAGTGTGATTCTGACTTCATCCACATATTGTTTACAAGTATTTAAAAGGGTTTCGAGAAAATGACTCCATCCTAATTGATGCTAAATAACAATAGAATTGGGCTTACCAGAGGGAAATCCGGGATTGTCTCGGAATTTTTCGTAACAAAATAAACTAATAACGAATGACACCGCTGGCATGCTTGAAGTTTTAATTCTGGGGAGGTGATGGGGGTTTTATTTGATATTTTATTTTTTCAAGGGGGGAGGGGTGCAAATGTACCGGAATTGATAAGCCAGCATCTGGCATCCCTAGATAGAATCCAGACGCGAAGATGGGTAGTGCATCAGTTTCACCTGCCACACCAGCTATTCTATCTTGCCGGCTTGCAAGGTGCTTCTTCACGTCTCAACCCTGGCTTGTAGGAGGGAACACGTGAGGAGGCACAGCATTAAATTTGAGGATAGTGCGACATAGAAATTATTCACCAAAACTCTTTGGTCGTGTTGGAATAGTGGCCATAATAAGTTAGTGCCAACGTAGACACGCGAGGTCTTCTGAAGGAAAGTTAAATAAACAATTTGGAAAGACAGCCGTGTATTTAACTAAACAAATACGACTATATAGCTAACAAAATAATATTCCACATTCCATTTCATTTTTGATAATGCAAAGCTGCAAGAAAATGAATCATGAAATTTTTACTAGTTTTTATATACAGATTTTTAAGATTATTACGTATTTCTTACATCTAAAGGTATGTGAAGGAAAAATATAGCGACCTATTCACACAAAATCGACATACTAGGCAGTCAGCTAAGAAGGTCATCAAATAATTCCAATTGAATCGTTCAATCATCAACCGAACGAAGACATGTACCAGTGTAATGTTGTACCCGAAATTGATACCATTACGAAGCGAGCAGAGGCGAGACGACATAATGGAGATACATTGTAATGTAAGTACCTACCTACCTGTTTGTGTCACTTGAATTCTCACGAGAACATTTACGATATCCAAGAAATCCAACTTTAGAAAGAGGAAATCTAGTTCACAATCTTTTATGTAGAGTAACGAAGAAAAAATCTGCTAAACTCTTGAGAGATAGCTACAACTTATATAAATAAATAAAATAAATAAATATTTCCCACACTCACACTATTTAGCCTAGCCTCAAAGTAAGCAATGTAAGGCTTGTGTTATGGGATGCTGGGGTAACGGATAGAATACATATACTGTACATTTATAAGTACATTTATATAGAAATACATATTAAACATCCATGACTGGAATACAAATGCTCGTATTCATCACACAAACATCTGCCCCCACCGGGATTCGAGCCCGGTGAGTCTCAAGTCGGCGACACCATGAAACCCGGCGTCATACTAAATAACTCATATAATAATCGGATGTTCCGCCTTATCGGAATCGGAGTCGAAACTCCGTAACATCCCTGCATTACAGTATCATCTCAATCGCCAATTAAAATGTCTAATACATACAGTAACATTAATGATCAAATAAATATTACCACATACGAGTGTAGACAGATAATGCAGCTAATTGCTAGTGCCACGTGCACGTGGCCCGCATATCGACCGAAGCGATAAATCGATTAGCATGCCTCGCTTGCGGGCTGTTTAGGCACAAATAACATCGCAACAACATGCAAATATTTACGATTTATTCATTCAAGCACTCAAGTGTGTTATTGACAATCCGAACTAATATTATAAATGCGAAAGTGAGATTGTTTGTTTGTTACTTAATCACGCAAAAACTACTGAGGGATTTGGATGAAGATGGGACGCATATAGTTCATAATTTAGATTGATAGAGGCATAGGATATTTTTTATCTCGAAAAAAGTTAAGTTCCTGTGGGATTCCCAAAAATTAAACAAAGTTTACCCGGACGCCGATAGTTGAATATGCTCTCCCAATCATGATCATCATTATCAGCCTATTAATGTCCCCACTGCTGGGGCACAGGCCTTCCCTATGGATGGACAAGGGAGATTGAGCTGTGACCCACCACGCGGGCCCAGTGCGGATTGGCTCGTGATAGAAGATTTTTGGTCACCCATCCAATGACCAACCATTGCGAAAGTTGCTTAACTTCAACGACCGCAGCCGAACGCGCTAACCACCCGCGCCATCGAGCTCGTCAATTTGAAACTATAGGTACTCCTTTCTTAGGCATCTTCCTATCTACTGAAAGGCATAGTGGCTTTTCCGCTAGAAAGTCTGGAGAGACGTTAGTTTACCAAAAATTTAACCATAGTACACAATACTTTTTGATGTGTTGCGTTCCGTCCTACGGGAAGACGAATTTGATTCCCAATATGGGAACCCCGGCCGTTTCCTCCCGCAGGAGGACATATCCCGGTGTTTACGAACATTACGATTGTTAATTGTTTGTACACGAAATAATATAATCAATTTAGGAAATTCACTTTTATTTTTAAATCGCACAATCGTGTATTTGGTCTGTGCGTAGTTAAAACGTTAGTGAAAGTCTATTAATTCTTAACACTGCATACTGCAATAGAAGACCTTGTACCAAGCAGTACCGGAAATAAACTCTGCAAAGGTTATTTATTTAAACGTGTTTTATTTTATGTAGAATCTTTATTAATCCATAAATTACAGTTAGACGACATTTATATTCTAACATGAACATACAAAACAAGAAAGTTATTATCGTTATTAAACTCGACAAAATATTACTCTCATTTTGTTTTAATCGAAGCTCTACGCACATTAAACTTATGCAGCCATTTCTTACAAATACTTATTAGCAAAAGAAGCATTTTATTTTTAACATAATTCAGTGAAATGTGTAAAAGATTTAAAACTTTATTTTTCTGACTTCTGAATTATGAATTTTAAACTTCGTTTTAAAACTTGAATTATGTTAGAAATAAAATGCTTCTTTTGCTAATAAGTATTTGTAAGAAATGGCTGCATAAGTTTAATGTGCGTAGAGCTTCGATTAAAACAAAATGAGAGTAATATTTTGTCGAGTTCTAAAACGATAATTACTTTCTTGTCTTTCTCGATACGAAGTTAGATGGCGTGGTTATAATCTGCTGTAATGTAATATATCGATGGAACAGAACACTTACAAGTTACATGACGTAGTTAACGGTGACGGAGCAATCTGATGGGACTCACGAAAGTTATTTGCGATTTCACATGACATATTTAAAACACTTCCGTTTTGTACTTTAAGTAATATAAATTATATTTTCATAAAAGAGAAAAAGGATAAGAACCCATTTCAGTTCAATCTGTCGACTATCACATGAAAACGAATTTCATAATTGTTAAGAATCAGATTAAGGTTTTGTATACTAGATGGCAGGAATAGTCTATTGAATCGCGCTATCGTTTGTTTTTATGGAAACATAAGTATTTTATGTAGAAGCAATAAATGCTCTCTCGCTGTTTAAAATTGGAACAGGTGTTTAATTCATTTAGTTAGTTCCACCTCATTTTTTGGGACACTAAACATTGGTCCTTCGAGCCGGATTAAGGCTCACCTAGAGGCAACGTGTTCAGCGCGCCATTCAAAAAAGTTTTTCCGTTTGAGGAATTTATTGTCTATTGCCGTGTTATCTTTTACTGCTGCTGCTGTGGAGTAATTCCAAAAGGTTTGAGTCGAAGTTGAAGCTGTAATACAAACAAACCTTGACAATAGAGGGCGCTGCAGTTTTGAAAATATTTATGGAGAGTTGTCCAGGAGCTGAACACGAAATACAAAAATTATAAAATTTGATAAAGCTAAAGAAACTGACGAGATAATCAGCATTGTACTAGTTTATCCATGAATAAGTAATCATCATATTCATTTTAAACTAATCATGGTCTATTCACTCTAGGCTAACAAAATGTATCCGCAAACGTTGTTAATAATCCTCACCTCGCAAACCTCACCCAAGGCTAGGTTCAAGTTTTTGGGTTCACCTGCACACCATTAATTTCATTCATTTACGTGAATTCCCTAAAGAAATTCTAATTGTTTTAGTTTTGGAAGCATTCACATTTAAGCATGATAGGTGAGCTTTGGCCTTCGTAGATTTCTATATTCTTCCACTATCACATCAAATGAAGCAAAATGCTGCGTTTTCACCAACTGTTCAGAACAGTTCCAAGCTAGTAAACATTTGCCCGCTTTATATATTATATACTAGTGGCCCGCCCTCGCTTCGCTTCGGTGTAGAGCTTACACTACAGCTCTACACTGAAGCGAAACTATAGTTTTTGTTCTCAGGCTTGTCCTATAAACAATGACTTTATTTATCTAATTACACGTGTTATTGTGAGTCAACCATAAAAGATAGACATATGCTGTTGCGGGATATTTTTTAGACAATTTTATGTAGAATATTTCCGTCATACATGGTTTCTATGTAACTTTAACCATTAAGGCTGCACATGCGACGGAAGCTTAAAAAATGGAGTAACTTCTCCCGTTTTCCCAACATTTCCCTTCACTACACTGCTCCTACTGATTGTAGCGTGATGAAAAGTATACTATAACCTGCCCAGGAGTATGAAGAATAATTGTACCAAGTTTCGTTAAAATCCGTCGAGTAGTTTTTGTTTCTATAAGGAACATACACACAGACAGACAGACAGACAAAAAATTTACTGATTGCATTTTTGGCATCAGTATTGATCAGTAATCACCCCCTGATAGTTATTTTGAAAATATATTTCATGTACAGAATTGACCTCTCTACAGATTTATTATAAGTATATAGATAAATGCTCAGAACCATGGTGCGTTGTGTCCGTTGATGGCTGAATAAGAGAGCATTCGTTCCCTGAATCCAGTCAAATATAGGGTGTATTCCGAAATATACATCAGTATACTGGCCAGTGGTAATGAAGAATCCGACGCCATCTTGTATTGCTATGCTACCATATTTTTACCGGGAAAATGAATATGACGTATGACCGAGCGTGCGTGAGATGCATTCGAATTTTATTTCTATTTTATTTAAAGAACAATAATGGCATCCGGACAAGGAGAATTACTTTTAATTGATGAGGTTAATAAAAAATCTTCTTTATTCGCACCCTTTTTAATATTTCGTCGATTTATGACGTCAGTGCACTGGCCCATATATTTCGGAACAATTCACCAGTATAGCGTTGATTCATGACGTTATTAGCACTGGGGGCCATTCGCCTGATGGAAATGCTTGGGAAAACGCTAACGCTTTCGATTTTATTTTGTTATTTCTGGCCGCCGAAGGTTTTCAAATACCTCACGCTCATTTTCTTTAATATTGTTATTACCAATTGCAAAAGAACAAAAAAAGAGTGCGAGGCATTTGAAAACCTTAGGCGGCTAGAAATAACAAAATGAAATCATAAGCGTTAGCGTTTTCCTAAGCATTTCCGTTAGGCGAATGGCCCCCTGGTCAGTATACTGGTATATATTACGGATTACACCCATAGTTGTACGAACTCGTTCTCTCGCCCTGAGTCTGATGTTACCATTAACGGATCCAAGCCAATCGCATCATTTATTATTTTGAACGATCCGCCAAATCTCAATTATAGTTTAATCTTAGTCCAATTCTAATTACAACTCAACTTTATACAAAACCGAAATCGCGCTAATTTTCACCTGTCAACTGAAAACTACTTTATGTATTGACTGAAGTTTACTGGAGTACGGTCCAATCGTGACGAAATGCCAAAAAAAGTTGCGGTTCGTTTACGGTTCAATGCGTTTCAGCGGTTTGACATTTTATTTATTTATTAAGGACAGCCAACAAAACAAACACCAAATAAAAATACAAACTGAGAAAGAAATACAGAAAACAATTCTTGGTGCCGCCTTACTTAAAGGCTGCGACTGCATGCGTAAAAAATTTACTTACGAAGTAGACTTACGATAAACAAAATAAGGGAATCTAGTACAAACACTTCAAAAACTACAAAACTAAATATTAGGTACATATTCATATCCATTCTGACATCATTCTCCAGACCCAAAAACAGATCCAACACCAGTCCCTCACTTGCACTCTGTATTGAGAATGACAAGGATACACTGCCGCCTAATCCAAGTCTAGGCCTAGAGAACGCTGCCAGAATCGACGCCATTTAACGCGATCAGCCTCGTTCTAAGCTAAGTGGCACACAGCAAAAGATGTGTATAATGACCATGCCTTATGGCGCAGTGACTGTACATTATGGTGACGGGACACGGCGCCGTGTGAAGACAGATTGAAAGCATTCCATCCCGAAGAGACTATGACTATTTTATCTATCGTCAAGGCAACATGATTCTGGCAAAAAACACCTAAGTACCTAAACCTGACAGAAAACAATATAAGTGTTATGGAGACCACTCATTCATACATTCCACAAACGAAGCGATAACTTATCGCAGCGATTTGTAACCGAGCGTACATCCTCTGCGAGACAAGTCAATATTCACTACAATCGTTACTTAGTCCCACAGCAAACCGCACGACCTTGGTTTGATTTCACTAGAAAACCGTCTTGTTTTTTCATGAATCAATTGCAAATATAACTAGATGGAGGCAATATCCGTCAGCCGTTCGGAAAGTACTTGCCAAGGCGAATGAGTCACTCTGTAGGTAAATTATTTGTGATACAAACATCACCCAGCTCCCGTAGCATGAGCAACGCATTTTTTTTTATAGATAGGTCCGACAAATGACTCTACCCCACCTGATGTTAAGTGAAGGTGAAGTCCAGACGCGAAGATAGCTGAAACAGCAGTTCTACCTGCCACACCAGCCATCCTCACCCTGCCGGCCTGCATGTTACATTATATCACGTTTTTTATCGCGTCTAACTGTCAAACTCCATAGTAATCTGACAATTGGGCGTGATAAAAACGTGTTATATATCATATCGCGGTGCTCATGTAAGGGGGGCTGGAGAATGGGGCTGTATAGATGTCACAAAGCAGTGTTTCTGAAAAAACATGTAAATCGTTGAGCCTGTCTCACTTTACAGATTACAAGTACTGCTTATTGCTTATGTAAACTATGTAGCATTCGTCTATTGTCCCTTAGGTATTCTACAGTTAAATTTTTTTCTTAGAGGAAAAGTCTTTAATAATGGTGGAAGCTTACAGAGAACCGCATTACCTAGTTAGATTTGATATTTTGAACTTTTCGGTAAAATAATATTGTTAATTCATTTGATATTCTGGAAAGGTGGTTAAGGACGAGGCCTCGACTCTGCGTTGCGCTGTCTAAATCTACGACGATGCGCTGGCGGCCGTTACGATGTTTTTTTTTTGCGTTGCGTCAACACAGCGTATTGCGATGCGACGTCGCAACGCGGCTTCACGCTAGAGGAGAAAAAAGCTCCATTCATAGAGACATGGTGGCGGGCGGTGACGTCACGGGCGCCGTCGGCGACTCAAGTATGCCCCGATTCTTGTATGAAAAGCGATAAAATATCAGGGTCGAACCGACCCAGACACCCTCCGGCCGTAGAGGGCAACAACACGGCAACGGCGCAACCAAGTAAAATACTTAAATTTTTGGCATGAAGCCGTCGTTTATAATTTGTTATGAGCAGAACAAAAATGCTAAATAATGTTTGCTCTAGTCTCTTTTCATGATATTAAATTGCTTTGAATTTATTTTCGTTTTAAAATTAGAGACATGTATGTAGGTTCATCCCCTAAGTAAATTGATTTTGTAACATTAACTTCCAGAGCAATCAAAGGATTTCACATGACGATAAAGTTTGTCATATGTCAATATCTAAGGTTATTAATTTATTTAAAAAAATATCATTTTTAAATTACACTACTTACAAGAATTTAACAATATGAAATTATAATCCCTTTTCAAACAGGATTTCGCAAAGCTGTCAGAAGCTCCTGTTAACTCATAACTAAGTGTTGTCAAGTTAGAAATTAAGTATAATGAACCTGTGCTAGTTTCATTTTCCTGAAATATTCTTCGACAAGGACTGTGAAATTTTTTAAATTATATTATAAAATTCGTGACTAGTTGTTACTATGGCCAATGACTATTCACATTGAAATAATATTGTTAATAATTAATGTTATTTTTATAAGAAATTATTGTTAGTTTGAAAGGACAACTACACTATTGAATTAGGTATATACCTGTTATAAGGTGTAATGTATTTTGAATAAATAAAAATAAAACATGTAGGGCTTTTAATATATTTACCTTATCAAGGTATCCCTTTCCAGTGGGATCAGAGAGGTCCCATATCTTGCTGAGGACCACATCGCTGAGATATGATTTCTTAAGAAACCGTGCAGCATCTAGCGCTTGAATGGCTCCAGTACCTTGGGGATCCACCTGAAAATGGAATAAGAAGCATGGACACATAGATAATGTTAAAAATAGTGATATGTTGTACTAAATCACCAACAACTAGACACTATTAAATTATTTAGTAGAAGCTTTACACAATTTTAATTTGACTTCATACATTTTTATTATTGTTATTAGAGTCCAAACAATGAATAGGATAAGGCAGTGGTTATACCTTCATATAAGTTTAGCCTGGCTATTACCTTAAAGTAAAACTCATTTGCACTAAAGTAAGCAAAATTAGTCATATCTAGTGGTCTGTGTAAATGGCAGATTTCTGCCAACAACAAGAAGCCCTGTCTATGGAAGTGACGGATTTCTGCTATGCAATATTATAATACAATATTTAGATATAGAATAGATAAATAGATGCATATTTATGATTGATTTAAGACATAGATGAAGACAATTATATAACAGAGGGTATTGAGGTCCATTTTGCTTACACAGACCACTAGCTAAAAGAATATTCTTAAAATATTATGATAATATATTATCATATTTTTACAAAATGCAAATTTTCTTTGGTCATTATTCAAAAAAATATATAGAAAATATGTCAAAGCACTATTGGAGATTCGGCTTGCCTAAGTCTGAACCCTGGACACGCCACTTTAAAGAGCACTAATTTATAAATTTATTTTAATTCAATGTTTATTAGCAAGGAATCTAGAAACAAGTTTTTTTAATTATGATCCACTGAGGCAATATTACATCCATGTTCTGCCCCTCTAGTATGACAACCAAAACAGGATATGATAAAGCGATATATCGACTGTGAGACTACTGTCTAACTCCATAGTAATCTGACAGTTAATGCAGATATATCGCTTTATCATATCCCGTTTCAGTGGTCATGCTAGAGGGGCTGAATTACTTTAAGGGCACATTACACATCAGACACAAGTTGTACTCACACATACCTTATTAGATCAAACTATACTTGAATAATATTGGGTATTTATTAAGTTTTATCAATGAATGAGTAAAGTCATCTAAATGCAGTTGACTATAATACACAAAATTTACAGAAAACTGAAGGATATAAGGAGCTGGCGAACAAAACGGTATAATTACATTAAATTAAATTTTACAGGAGCAGTAAAAAACTGTATGACACACCTACTGCGAGCTTTTGGCATGATTTTTAATTTAGTAATTTTAACACTGTTTTAGGCAATTTTGATTGAAAATAAGTTAAGATTCAAATAAAGCTAGCCCAAAACCTGACTGAAAAAAAAAGTATTTTGACCAGCCACATGTGTATTATACTTAATTATTACACTATAAAGTTCGCCAGCTTCTCACATATATTGTTGAATCTCAGAATCAAAAGATTATTCAATGTATTTCTATTGTTATTGAAATACCTAGTTTTAAAAGCCAAATCAATTTAAATAATTAAATGAAAAAAATGTGTACAGTGAAATACACAAATGCAGACTTAATGCCTTTAGGTTTTCTCAAAAAGTGAATAATAGCTTAAAGCTCAGCAGATGCTATGAAACAATTTTCTTCAATTCTTATCAACTGTTATAAAAATATTTTTACTTGTGTAAGCTGTATTTTGAGATGATTTCATATGTTATTACATAGTAATAATTTATGATTTTTACAGCGGTAAATTTTGTATTACGGTTGAATATTCGTTAAAAATCTAAACAATATTGAGTTTAAAAGTTTTGGATTAAAAGATTTTTTTAAGATAACATATAAACTTACTTGATGATAATAAGCCTCGTATATTGCACTGTGGGTCCCTGCCACCTGCAACGGTTCAATCCACATTTTGGTCACATAAATTTCACTAAAATCGTATGTGAGATACTTATTTTGAATCGCTATGGGTGTGACATTTCAACACTGTCCCTGACATTCAATTTTCTAACGTTAAACTTTTAATTGCAAGCAATTCAGTACAATCACGGACACTGACGAACACTGCACTTTGATGCAAAATAAATTTAAAGGCCAAACAACTGAAAAAACAAAGAGATATTAATATTTTCTGTACAGCATAGTCCAACGACAGAACGACACTTTACAGGCGTAAATTTTATTAGAACTACCACAAAGAAACTAAAAAAGGTGACAAAACGATAGCTCAATAATCCGTTTTGATGCTCAGTTATTGTATCATTCAATTTACACTTTATTATCCATTTAATTCCGATTTTATTCTACCTGAGTAGGAGAAGGCAAGGCAGCCATTTTTTACATCTCCTCATCGACCAATCAATAGCTAGCATAGACTAAGGACTTTTTGACAGTCGGCGAAACGTCTACAGATTACAAATATAAGAAATCTATCTTGGTTATTATTAATGCATCAACAAGACAAGATTAACAAGACAACATGGTAGAATTTGTAACTTGTGTCCGTGCTTGTGTCTGTTGGTCTTGTCATGAATGTTTTAGGATTGATTGGTTCAAAATATTATAGGGCTGGACTTCAACAGTCTAAATTAGAATTTAGATTCATAATATGAATAGTGTATTCATTAAGTGTACAGAATATAATACAATTTTACTCTTATCCGCACACAGTCTGAAAAATTCATAATCTGTAATAATCAGATTGTGTGTGGATAGTAGTAAAATAGTACGCATTTCCGTGCGCTCTGAATTAATAAATATGAATTCATATCAAGAATCTAGATTCTGATTCAGACTACCTAAGTAAGCCCATCCTAAGTCTTACGCCCACACTCAGAGAAGGTAGAGGCAATTGATTTTAAAGACCGATAAAACGGGACACGAAATATAGTACAATGGCCTTTTATCACTTTCTAACAGGATGAATGATGGACACGGAAGTAACACTCTGGGCAGGAACAAATATATAGGCAGAATGAGAATTCTTCAAGTTCATTTTATTTGGTAACGTTACGATGTTTGAAAGTATTATTTAAGTTATAATTTGGTTTTAAGCAGCATAGCGCAACGCTTGGACCGATAAAACGGGACGAGTGAAAGATAGAGTACAAAGGCCTTTTATCATTTTCCAACAGAATGAATGATAGGAACGAAAGTAATTACTCTTGACAGGAACGAAAGTTTAGGCAGGATGTGAATTCATCTCAATATGCTGATTTTACGTTGGTTACGTTATGACAAAGTTTTTCATATGTTTTAATTTGGTTTACAGGCCATATACCACACCTCAGGCTCATTCATTATAAAATTGTGTTATTTACAATGTTATCTATGTATGTATTGGTAAAGGTGAGCTAATCGGCAGTATGAGATGCAGAGCAAAGGGAATTTTATTTAGTCAGTATATAAAAAAATAACATTTCAGGACGAAAATAATATATTTCAAATGTCGCCTTCAATATACATAAAGCATAATCATCGTCTATATCTACGTCGTTTTAAAAATACGATCTAATGTTTTTGGATACTATCAACAAAACTTTTTAAACGTTGAATACCACGAGTATTGATTGAGTAACAGGGTAATTGTTGCATGTTGTTCAACCACTTGAGCACTTTATCATGGCGTTCCGTTACTGGTACCAGAATTTGTAAGGAACTCACAGTTGTTGCGCAACAAAGATCACATAACGTCATCTGAAATATAAATAACAAAAATTGTGAGCACGGACCACACATCTGAAGTGAAACTTCTTTTCTTAATTAACCTAACATTAGGCGGTGCATAAGCCATAGGCAGGGGTGCTCAAACTTGAACTGCTGGCGATCTACCTCAAAATTTTTAGACAACTTACGATGGCTGCAAGTATGTGTGATGCAGGGTTGTCGTACATACACGATACACGCCACCTACCTACCTACCTAGGTAGGTAGGGTGTACCGTAGCATATATTATGGTTAAGCGGTTAATTAAACCGTTTGAGCACCCCAAGGGACTGGAGCAGCGCACACATCCACCCCTCCAACTTTCATGATCGTAGGAAAGAGCTGCGCACGCATCATACACACACACAGAAATATACATATATACAGTCGTGTGACGCTCGTGACGTATGTCCGTTTCATCTTTGCATAAGATTTTTCTATTTAACCACCGACCGAAAAGAAGTTTCACTTCAAAAAAAATATAGAGTAGTATGTAATATAAGTTATTTACGGGATTGTTACCATGTACCTTGTTTTTAGCGAGTTTCCGATATTTCGGCATTGTTGCAAGCGCCATGATCACGGTGTAACTGAAGTAATTGCGGGTAGGCTGTTATTGACAGACATATCGGTCTACCCTCCGACGAAGTCTCATAATGCGTTGGGAAGCGATTGAAATAACCCACAGATTATCTCGACAGAACGCCACTACATACCAAGATTGGAGAATCCCGTAAATAACTTATATTACTACTAGCAAACCAGTGAACCAAATGTTCACCAAAAAAAAATGGATTTAATTAATTGAGAACTTCGGAGATTTTGTGTGGTTTCGTTTGAAATAGAAATCACGTGATTTCTCGAAAACCGGAAGTGCTACGTTACTCACATCCGGTTTGTAGTCTTATCAGACTATTCTTAACTTATAACTCAAACATTCTCTATATCTATCTCTTACGGTTTGGCCGCTGAAACAGCACCACGGACGGACGGACGGACGGACTTGTCTAATAGATAAGAGATAATGTTAGTGACCATGAAATTTTAAAACAATATAATATTAAGTAGGTATCGATTTGTTTATGCTCCATCTACATCATCTGTACCATTCTAAACACGAACCAAATATCGAATTAGAATAGATTAATTTGATCTCGGTACGATTCGATTTCGATGTCAAAAGGTTTTTAAAGAAATTTAAGCAATACCACAATGGACGCAAAGAGAATTAATTCTTCCAAACAAACTTATTTTATTGATCATTCGAATTCGATATTGGTTCCTGCTAACTGCTAAACGGGATTCGAACTTACGCATTTAGAGTTTCACATAATGGCGTCGATTCTGGCATGATTCTCTAAACTTAAAACTAAATTTAACATCAGTCTCTCCTTTTCATTCTGTATAGAGAATGACAAGGATGCACTGTTGTCAAATTTAAGTTTAGGTTTAGAGAGTCATGCCAGAATCGACACCAATATCTCATTTAAAACTACTATTGGTATGTTGGGTGATAGAATACCTACCTTATCTCCAGCAAGCCATAAATATTTGCCGAGTTGATAATTCAAAAGGTCTAAGAGATGATGCCATTGATCTATTATTTTCTTTTCCACTGGCCATTTATGAGCGAAGTAGTCCGTCTGTGGACAAAAAACTAAATATTTATTGTACTTTTTTAAAATATTTTGTTCAATAATAAATAAGCCGGTGGCCCCAGCTGCAGCTGCAGCTGTGCAGAGTTAATGTAAACGGCTGCAGTGGGAAGTCGTAATAAAAATGGGCCGTTCTCCCTATTGTGTTAACAGGAAAGGCTTCTGCCCCAGTAGTAGAAACTTTATAGACTGATGACTAGGACGTAAAATTCAATATAGGTTAACAGAGACCCAGTCACGAATTTTTGACAGCTTCGTCAAAGTTTCTATGAAAACTAAGCAGAGCCTTTATCGGACGTAAAAACAAACTAGCTTTTTCCATACAAAAGGACATTGTTCAGTGTCCATACATAGTTAGCCTAAGAACCAACAATCATGAAATATTATTTTCTAGGTTCAAAATCGTAAGTAAATGGCTGTAAAAACAAAGATTATTGGATTGGACACTTCTGAGAACTTAAATTATTAGGAAAACTATTTTTGACGTGACAACGTCTTAAATTAGGTTGCGGCTGGGAGTCACTTATGAAAAAGTGTAACGCTCGGTAACGTTACGATGAGTCTCTCGTGTTAAGTTTAAGTTTACATGTACAATGTTTTAGTAAACAAAATATATTTCTATAGTTAAAATTTGTGCAATTCTTATTTTCATTCAATTCCTTGTTCCTATTGTGCAATTTAATTATATTCATATCAATAAATATTCTACCGAGAAAAAAACGTTGTCACGTAAAATCTTCGCCCGTAAAACCGACTTTACAGGCAACCATTTTTTTTTTGAGGTTATTTTTAATATTCAATGAAACATAGGTCAACCTATGAATTTAGTATGAACTCAGTATGAAGTGAATTAATATTACAACTAATTCATTTTATTCGGTACGATTTTACAGAATAACTATTAGGAAAAACTTGGTTAGGTAGGAATCATCATCAATAGCCAAGTGAATTGCCGGCATTAGGAAGAAAGAGTGTTTTGTTTGCAGCGCTGCCATAGATTATACACAAACAATGGTATTTATTGTCACAGATTATTTTTTAACTTTTTAATTTAGCTTACTTAACTGGAAGTGTCCGTCACAATCTAAATACTGATAATTATCGCAAAAAATATACTAAGAATTATCATAAATGCCAAATTGGTGTTGGTTTCTTAGGCCAATTTTAACATTGTCCTTTGACAACCACGTTACGTTACGGAGCCGTCCAAAATTCGTGTTTGGGCTTCTGTTCAAGTATCTTAATTATACCCACAAATACACAACTATCGACTGGGAACAGGGAACCAGAGTTGAAAAACATCATCTGATCCACTCTTGCGCGTAATAAGGAGTCTTCTGGGTACAAATCTTGGGACCCACTTTGGTGGCATAAGTACAGGGCGATGGCATGGCTGTCACATATAACTTCATCTCCTACCGCAAGAGCAGGAACCTTTTGCAAACGGTTTATCTGGAAACAAAGTTTGAACTTTTTTTATGTTAAAACTAGTGGCCCGCCCTCGCTTCGCTTCAGTGTAGAGCTGTAGTGTAAACTATAGTTTTTGTTCTCAGGCTTGTGCTATAAAGAATGACTTTATTTATATAATTACACGTGTTATTGTGAGTCAACCATAAAAGATAGACATATGCTGTTGCGGGATATTTTTTAGACAATTTTATGTAGAATATTTCCGTTATACATGATTTCTATGTAACTTTAACCATTAAGGCTGCACCCGCGACGGAAGCTTAAAAAATGGAGTAACTTCTCCCGTTTTCCCAACATTTCCCTTCACTACTCTGCTGCTATTGATTGTAGGGTGATGAAAAGTATACTACAACCTGCCCAGGAGTATGAAGAATAATTGTACCAAGTTTCGTTAAAATCCGTTGAGTAGTTTTTGTTTCTATAAGGAACATACACACAGACAGACAGACAGACAGACAGACAAAAATTTTACTGATTGCATTTTTGGCATCAGTATCGATCACTAATCACCCCCTGATAGTTATTTTAAAAATATATTTCATGTACAGAATTGACATCTCTACAGATTTATTATAAGTGTAGATGGTGGCAAAAAATTGGTATCACTCGCACCGTTGCCTACCCTAACCTAATCCCCTACCCCGTGGAGCCCTGGAACCTGACACACCGACAGAAAGACAACACCACCAAAAGGGTAGTGTTATTTTACTGTAGTCTTCTGTAAGATAGGGGATCTAGGTAAGGTAGGTATAGGTTAACACCCGCCGACTTAAAAATCTAAGGTTAAATTGAAAAATCTCAAAAATTTACCAAATAATAAAAAGAAATTTCTAGCTATCTCCTAACAGCGAATGGCCAAAATAACTTGGAAATGACATCTAGTACTAGTTTAGAAACAAGGAACCGAACTTCGCAGTTTTTTGGTAATCCTAGCAAAATCGATATGCGTCGTTATGATAAAGATTGTTTAACAATATTCTAATAATGTAATTTGTCGGTTTATTATAAAGATTCAAGATAAAGTTCTACTTAGTTAAAAACGTGGTTAAGAGAAGAGCGATTAACAGATTTAGCTCTTCTAAACATTCACCCGGAAATAGTACCAGACGTCAAAATTCAAAATTCAATATCGTTTATTCAGTCTAGGCTGTTACAAGCACTTGTGAATGTCGAAAAGCTACGCCATCATCGGTTCGCAAATCTACGGCGGGAGACCTTGTACTGAGAAGAACCGGCAAGAAACTCAGCAAGGGCTGTTTTTTCTCCCTGTATTTTATACAGAGTCGTCAATTTGAAAAATGAGTTCAATATGAGATAACCCATGAAGTCACTTTCCATTACAAATGTAAATGATAAAACAATTATGACTATAAAATAAAAAATATAAAAAACAGATTTAAAAATGAAAAAAATATTATATATATACGTCTCAAATATTATCACCCGATTCGCAAATACAAAATGACGACTTCCACTTTGTTTTATAAGTAATGTATAAAATAAAATTATGTCTTGTGCAATAATGTTTATTTTATTCCAGAAACCTATTTTTAGGGTGCCGTACCTCAAAAGGAAAAAACGGAACCCTTATAGGATCACTTTGTTGTCCGTCCGTCCGTCTGTAAAGACCGTTTTTCTCAGGAACGCGTAAAGGTATCAATCTGTAATTTATATCTAATACTCAGGTCTACTGTCCCTTGGAGCTGTGAAAAAATCAATCTTCTAAGCCAAAGCAATAAAAAATAAACAGCCGTTTAAGCCGCAAATTTTCGAAACTCGCACGGGAATCAAAACCTACAGGGTACTTCCGGAACTTAGAATCTTGAAATTTGGTACAAAGTAACGTCTTATAGTACAGATAAAGGAAAAATTGCGAAAACCGTAAATTTTTTGTAAGGTACATCATAAAATAAAAAATATTTTTGAAAATTCAGGTGTGTAGGAAACCCTCGCTGCTGTTCGACTCGCACTTGGCCGGTTTTTTATCATTAGTGTAGTGCGTGTCCCCCTCCAAAATGACAGGCTGCGACCGCGCCTCTCACTTACAATAGTTAATTGGAACGAAGTTCCTTACGGCAGGCTTGGAGGGGATAGGGATTTTGCTGCGCGACCGAACTGAAAAAAATGTGATAGTAAAACCGTAAGAAAAAATCCGTGGAAAAAAGTGCGTGGAATAAAACCGTTAAATGAGACGTGCGCAGGCATACACAAGCGAGTTTGCAATTTGTGTCGATTCTACATTAGCCGAAGGAACTTCGTTCCTAACTGGTGTCCCACGACACCACATCTTTTTTTTTTTTAATCTTTGTATTGTAATCTACACGGCAAAGTTAGCACCTAGCTGGTTCTTTATTTTCTTTCCCATTCCAACATATGAAAAATAACATCTAATGGCATTTTGCTTCAGAGATCCTTACGAGTAGTTTTAGAATAAAAACGCTATTTTAAGCGAGAGTGGTATTAGAAAATATTTTATTTCAATCTATGTTTTTTTTTATTACCTACCTTTGTATAATCAGCAGTTTTGTTTTTACCAGAAAACAAATCGATTTTATGAAATTGCAGCTGTACTCCGAGCAGAGAGGCGGTCATCATCACGAATCGCACGGGAGGGGAGGCTTCATCGCCGTAAAGGGTTGGGGTCGTGTTATGGACTGCTCTCCTGGTATAGAGCGTCAAAAATTAAATAAGTAATATTATTCGTCAAAAATTATCATAAATTTCCGGGTAACGTTATTCCAGTAGCTTTCCTTATTTTTCCTATTACCGCACGCACACATACACACACACGCACGCACACACACATACATATAGACGCGCACACACACAAGTGTAATTGGTCTATTTTAAATTGTAGTTTTTGTTGTATTCTTATTTAACTCAGACCGGAATGAATGAAGGAGCAGTCATCTTCTAATACAGGTAACTTTACTTAAAAGAAGAAGACTACATCATGTAAACTTTTATGTAAAAAGTTATTTTTTGTATTTCCTGTATCGTCATCGTCAAATTATGTATCGAAGTCAGTTTATTGTTGCATCTGGTAGGCTGCTTTGTTTTCATAGAAACTGACGATGCTTTACATTACATTACAGAGCTGTAAACATTCGTGCTTGGACCTCAGTACTGCGACCCGATCCAGCGCTAGAATGCCACTGGAATAATGTAAAACGGAGTTGCTAGAATGTGTGCATTATTCCAGTGTCTTTCTGTACCTAGGTACTGATTGATTCGCTGTAGTATTTAGCGGACCAAGCTTATTTAAAATGACGATTACGTACAAAATAGACGCTTAATTAGTTATTTTTACTTTGAATACAGTAACCCATTTTTTTATCGATTAAAGAAGTTCTTAAAAGTTATTTAAGTTGATCATTATAAAATGTTTAAGCACTCACCTAAATGCGGAGCTCCAGATAATGTTTGATCGCATTGGTGATACATATTTCATGTAACAGTACTGCATGAACATTTTAGCTATGTTAAAATTAAAATCTATGAAAAAATGAATCGAATTAAATTTTTTTTTTATTATTTTCACTTCAAACTGCTCAGATTATGTGAACGAATCGACTTGGTTGGTGTCTACAGTGGAAGTAAGGTATCGTATTACATTAAACAAGCATTATACATTAAAATTGTTACCTGCTTATTTATGAAGCGACGGGGGGCGCAAATGGCGACACGAGACAACATGATACGGTCTTGGCGCGAATAATCGTACGCGTTGCAGCGAAATATGCGCAGGATATTTCTTCGAGATGCCATTACCTTAATAATTTTTAGAAAAAGTTATAAAAGAAAACAAGATTATATACGACCACATACCACGAAGACTATTAATTAAAGTCTTTTATATCTCGTCGCAATGTGGGTATCGAAGTGTGAATTCTCCCAGTTCTATGAGTTGAGCTCCTATAATGGGTCATGAGCTGAGGACCCAAGTACTCAGCTCATGACCCATTATCTTCCTCCAGACCCGTCTTTCCCAGTGGGCACTTTGGGCAAGTGCCCAGGGCCCTGTGTTCGATAGGGGGGCACCTCAGATCACAAATACAAAGTCCCTAGTACTTGTTAGATCACCAAACGGGGCCATTCGATTAACGGAAATGCTTAGGAAAACGCTAACGCTTTCGATTTTATTTTGTTATTTCTGACCGCCAAATGTTTTCAAATACCTCACGCATTTTTTTTTAATATTGTTATTAGCAATGCAAAAGAAAAAAAAATGAGCGCGAGGCATTTGAAAACCTCAGGCGGTTAGAAATAACAAAATGAAATCGTAAGCGTTAGCGTTTTCCAAAGCATTTCCGTTAGGCGAATGGCCCCCTGAGCTTCCATTAGGTCAAACACGGCACTGTCTTCCTCACATCTTGAGCTTCATCTTCACTTAATGCTAATAACAACAAAATCTCAGCTTCGATATCAAAAGACATGATTTCCTATTGAAAAACCAGACATAATGACGAGCCGTTACCGCCAAATTATCGTGAGCGACACTTTTGTCGAAATGCGTTTTTTGTGGAAACTAATATTTTAAACCGTAACGGACCCATCTCTGTACCCTTAGTACGAGTTTACAATAGGCTAGTTTACTCATGTCGAATTATATTAAATAAATGTTTATTTCTTAAAGTATTTAGTCTAAGGAACCTTAATATAACGATTTCACTTCATAAAAGCAGAAGATTGCTGTAGAAATTTAATTTTAAAAAATAATTTTTTAGTCTATATTTTTTAAACACTAAAAACGCTGTTCGCCACATCCGCCATGATTTTGACGTCTCTTGTGGTAAACAACTAAATCTCATTCGCGTGTTACTGTAGGTGGATTCTTTCGTCTGATTTTTATCTTAAAACACTTTTAACTTTAGGAAAGAAAAAAACATTGACAATACTAATTATGGATGCCGGCTTTGTGAAAGCAGAAAGCACAAATCTGCCAAGAATTGACGCATTGATGGTTGGTGAATTTGTTACACTAAGCCCCGATTTCTGCTCTGCATAGCAGAGAAACGACAAGGCATCTATGTAAGTACAGTGCATTTAGTATTACAATGTAGTAATAAACATAAAACTGATACAACATATGAATAAGTGTAATAAAGTTGCGTAGGTTAATTTCTTTCGGCACTTTAATCCACAACTTTCCTGGAGTCTTCAAGGATGTATTTTTATATTCTCGTACAATACAGTAATGATAATTACTTTAGTTTTCGTGGTATTTATTAGAAATCATGTTTTTTTTTATTATAAACTCAGTTAAAAGTAATTTTCTACGTGTTAACGAGTTTTTGTTTACTACAGTTGACGTCATAGCATAGATAATCTATAGACTAAAATGGCCGACAGCGTTTTTGTATGTCCATGAAAAGTCTATTTTAAAAATAAAGATTTGTAGCTTTCTAGGTTTAAAAAAAATACAATACATTTTTTTTCGGTCTAATAGAACATTTATTAACCATTTAAAACCTTTTCCAAAAAGGGTCAACTAGCCTATTACGAAAACTATGATAGTTTTCGTAATTGTAAACTCGTACTAAAGGTACTGATTTTATTGTTTTCGTTTCAATACAAATAAAAAGTGTTTAAATTCTATCATTAAATTAAATCATTTGCGTCTTCATAAATAAGAATATTTGGTTACTTTTCACCAAAACGGACATAGAAACATAATTTACAATTACGAAAACTATCATAGTTTTCGTGAGCTCAAACTCGTACTAAGGGTACTGTTGATATTTCCCTCCAACCTTCCTTCCGTTATATTATAACGGTGTTCTTTTGGAGGGAAATATCAACAGAGATGGTAAAGGACCCATGTTTAATGACCCGGTTTAAAATATTAGTTTCCACAAAAAACGCATTTCAACAAAAGTGTCGCTTACGATAATTTGGCGGTAACGGCTCGATGAGACGATAGATTCGTATCAATTAGCGAGCGAATAGTGCAGATTCGCATTTCGCATCCAGCTTCCCGCGCCTCATTTAGAATGAAGCATGAAGGAAGCCTGTGGTCTGCTTTTTATTACCAACTAGCTGACCCCGCGAACTCCGTTTCGCCACCAGATGGCTTCTTTTTATGTAACATTTCGTTTGGTGATTAAAAGAAGAGTTTTTTTTTTTCCTGAATTTTCTTTGCTATAAACCCCACGGAGCCCGAGACCTTTCCAACGAATGCAAAACCGTGGAAATCGGTTCGTGCGTTCTGAAGTTATAGCGTCAGGAAGGAAAACCCGACTTATTTTTATTAATATGCCAGTACCTATCAAAACCTGTTCTCTTTTCTTTTATGATTTGTACTCAAAGAGGACTTACGTCATGTCATTTTGTCATCAAATATCAAACTCACCTTCATCAACCGCTAACAAATACTTATTTAAATTTAACTAATATTTTTATCCAAAAAAAGAAACAACAATCAACCAAATCTCAATATTTAAACAAACTTTGGCTAAAATATGCACTTTACCTTACAATTGAAGACATAGCATGGGAGCTGGAGGCAGTAAAACAATTATCGCAGGCGGTCTCAAGTAATAAACTTTTATAATTTTTATTATTTTAAAGCATGTAACTGCTTGATGTTTGCAGCTTAAGAATGGCTAGAAGAATTTCGACGCGGTTCGTGAGGGCCGCGGTAGCATAATTGGTCGGTGCATTCGCCCGGATTGCGAAGGGTGCGGGTTCGAGTCCCGTCTGCTGCCTGGTCCGCGTGGAATTTTTTCTAGTTATATTTTCTTTAATAAACTTTTGTTGTGAAGCTTTTTTATCATCTTAATATCAGTACTAGCGTAGTTTGAAATTAATAGAACCCTATTCCCATCATCTGATCCCTTCAAAATGATCCCTTTTGAAACTGCCAGATGGCATTTGGAACCCTTTGAACTCAAACCTTTCCGAGAAGTTGTTCATAACGAGTTGTTATCGCAAACTCTGTGGTCTGGCATTCAATTTTCAATTAGAAAAAAGCAATTTCATAAATTGTCATGTAACATATGCTGGACCAAAAAGTAAAAGAAAACCGAAGAATTCACGAGTTGCAATTAAAATATAACTTCTTCGGATTTTTCTAGTTATATTTTCTTAAGATTTAAACATCAAGCAGTTACAAGCTTAAAAAATAAAAAATATAACTATGATTGCTATTTCTTCTTTCAAATGTTTAATACTTGTAAAAGTATTCATTTGAAATTGTGGGTTACCTACAATGCGAAGCGATGGCGCTGCCTTGCAGCTTAAGAATGGCTTGAAGAATTTCGACGCGGCCATCAGGGCCGCGGTAGCTTAATTGGTCAGTGCAATCGCCCGGATAGCAAAGGGTTTGAGTCCCGCCTGCTGCCTGGTCCGCGTGATTTATTTCTAGTTATATTTTCTTCTGATTAAAACATCAAGCAATAAAAAATAAAAATTATATATAACCTTTAATTTTATCAGTGTTAAAACTTCATTATACGTTATTGTGGTCATCAGACATTGTACATTATGGAAAGCAGACCGCAGTCCCTCGTGCCGCGCCGTCATGATGGCGCTGGACGCTCTGAACCTCAGCATCACTGAAGTCGATGTAAATATGGACAAGGGAGAGCATAAGTCTCCCGAGTTGACTACTGTAAGCACATTTTTCATAAATCCATCATCATCAGCAGTGCCGTCTTTGACCTATTGGAGGCCCTGGGCATATTTTTTTTTTTTTTTTTATAGTTAGGTCCGACAAATGACTCCACCCCACCTGATGTTAAGTGAAGGTGAAGTCCAGACGCGAAGATAGCTGATACAGCAGTTCTACCTGCCACACCAGCCATCCTCACCCTGCCGGCCTGCATGTTGCTTCTTCACGCCTCTTTTAAAGGATCCCAGGTTGTAAGAGGGAGGGAACACGTGAGCGGGCAGAGCATTCCATTTACGGATAGTGCGACAAAGAAATGAGTCACCAAATTTCTTTGTACGCGTTGGAATTGTGGCCACAGTAAGACGGTGACAACGTAGGCCAGCGCGCGTGGTCCTCTGAAGGAAAGGGGAAGGTGGGATAAGAGAGAATAACTCCTCAGAACACTCGCCGTGGTACAAACGATAGAACGCGCTTAGTGACGCCACGTCACGGCGTAATTGAAGAGGCTCAAGGTGTTTAGTCACCTCCTCATCGCCTATGATGCGATATATAAGGATAATGGGGCCCCGATGACTTCCGTTTGGTGATTAAACAGGAACTGGGGACTTTGTATTTGATCTGAGGGGGCCCCCTATCGATCGCGGGGCCCTGGGCACTTGCCCAAAGTACCCACTGTGAAAAACGGGTCTGATCATCAGCCTTTTAATGTCCCCACTACTGAGACACAGTCACAGTCCTGCTCTATAGACGGGAGAGGGGGATTGGGCCATGATCTACCACACGGCTCCAAGCGTGGGTGCTAACGACTGTGGACACAGCAGGGACCCAGACTTTCCTGAACAGGAGCTTTAGATAATTTTTAAACGTTACCTATTCTACGATATTTTAAGGGACAACCTCAATTAATGGATGGATTATTTATTTTACAGCTAAATCCTCTTCAGACACTGCCCATATTCAAAGACCGCGAACTGATACTGAATGACAGGTAATAAAGTCTGTATGTAATTTGAAACAACCATTACGACTAAATATAAATATACTCTGAAATTGTATTGCAGTCACGCCATCTCGATGTACCTGGCCAATCGTTACAGTACGTCCGACCAACTCCTGCCCAGAGATCCCGGGAGAATGTCTGTGATAGCACAACTGATGCATTTCGATAGCGGGATACTATATCCTCGATACCAGATGGCTGCGGTAAGTCAGCGGTTCATATTATGCCGTAAAAAGAAAATTGCACAACGGTCCAAGTTACAAAAAAGAAACAGACAATCAAACAATATAATATTTTTCAGGATTCTGGTACGTTTCTCTAAACTTAAGACTAAATTTGATAGAGTATTCTTGTCATAGGTGCGTCACAGCACGTTAGATTTATTTTTTCCAATTATAATGTTATTATGCTTTTAACAAATTCAAAACATTTTATGAGACGATGGCAAAAATGAGAGTAAAAAAATCCATCATTAATATATATTTAGAAAAAAAAAAAAACGTAAAATTTGAGACTCCGTCGTTGACCATAATTTGTTCTCCAGAATCCTATCTTGTACGAGAACTGCAACTTCGTGATGCCGCAGCACGTGTGTGATATCGAATGCGCGTATAACGACCTGGAGACTATGTTGGCGGGCAAGACCTGGCTGGCGGGCGACACGACCACGCTTGCAGACATCAGTGTCGCCGCCACTGTCAGCACGCTCAACGTGCTCGTGCCCATAGATCACACCCGGTAACTGTACACACCGCGAGGCAGGTCCCTAGTGGGTGCCACATCACGCTCGCAAACATCAGTGTCGCCGCCACTGTCAGCACGCTCAACGTGCTCGTGCCCATAGATCACACCCGGTAACTGTACACACCGCGAGGCAGGTCCCTAGTGGGTGCCACATCACGCTCGCAAACATCAGTGTCGCCGCCACTGTCAGCACGCTCAACGTGCTCGTGCTCATAGATCACACCCGGTAACTGTACACACCGCGAGGCAGGTCCCTAGTGGGTGCCACATCACGCTCGCAAACATCAGTGTCGCCGCCACTGTCAGCACGCTCAACGTGCTCGTGCCCATAGATCACACCCGGTAACTGTACACACCGCGAGGCAGGTCCCTAGTGGGTGCCACATCACGCTCGCAAACATCAGTGTCGCCGCCACTGTCAGCACGCTCAACGTGCTCGTGCCCATAGATCACACCCGGTAACTGTACACACCGCGAGGCAGGTCCCTAGTGGGTGCCACATCACGCTCGCAAACATCAGTGTCGCCGCCACTGTCAGCACGCTCAACGTGCTCGTGCTCATAGATCACACCCGGTAACTGTACACACCGCGAGGCAGGTCCCTAGTGGGTGCCACATCACGCTCGCAAACATCAGTGTCGCCGCCACTGTCAGCACGCTCAACGTGCTCGTGCCCATAGATCACACCCGGTAACTGTACACACCGCGAGGCAGGTCCCTAGTGGGTGCCACATCACGCTCGCAAACATCAGTGTCGCCGCCACTGTCAGCACGCTCAACGTGCTCGTGCCCATAGATCACACCCGGTAACTGTACACACCGCGAGGCAGGTCCCTAGTGGGTGCCACATCACGCTCGCAAACATCAGTGTCGCCGCCACTGTCAGCACGCTCAACGTGCTCGTGCCCATAGATCACACCCGGTAACTGTACACACAGCGAGGCAGGTCCCTAGTGGGTGCCACATCACGCTCGCAAACATCAGTGTCGCCGCCACTGTCAGCACGCTCAACGTGCTCGTGCCCATAGATCACACCCGGTAACTGTACACACCGCGAGGCAGGTCCCTAGTGGGTGCCACATCACGCTCGCAAACATCAGTGTCGCCGCCACTGTCAGCACGCTCAACGTGCTCGTGCCCATAGATCACACCCGGTAACTGTACACGCCGCGAGGCAGGTCCCTAGTGGGTGCCACATCACGCTCGCAAACATCAGTGTCGCCGCCACTGTCAGCACGCTCAACGTGCTCGTGCCCATAGATCACACCCGGTAACTGTACACACCGCGAGGCAGGTCCCTAGTGGGTGCCACATCACGCTCGCAAACATCAGTGTCGCCGCCACTGTCAGCACGCTCAACGTGCTCGTGCCCATAGATCACACCCGGTAACTGTACACGCCGCGAGGCAGGTCCCTAGTGGGTGCCACATCACGCTCGCAAACATCAGTGTCGCCGCCACTGTCAGTACGCTCAACGTGCTCGTGCCCATAGATCACACCCGGTAACTGTACACACCGCGAGGCAGGTCCCTAGTGGGTGCCACATCACGCTCGCAAACATCAGTGTCGCCGCCACTGTCAGCACGCTCAACGTGCTCGTGCCCATAGATCACACCCGGTAACTGTACACGCCGCGAGGCAAGTCCCTAGTGGGTGCCACATCACGCTCGCAAACATCAGTGTCGCCGCCACTGTCAGCACGCTCAACGTGCTCGTGCCCATAGATCACACCCGGTAACTGTACACACCGCGAGGCAGGTCCCTAGTGGGTGCCACATCACGCTCGCAGACATCAGTGTCGCCGCCCCTGTCAACAAATCAGAGACACCAGGCTCGGCGCCATGGACTTTATTTTATTATTTTTACTGCTCCTGAGAACGATCGAGGGTATAAACACCACCAAATTATTATGTGTACCTACCAATACCATACCTATATGTCAATCTCGGAACATTTTCGATTCGCGGGACCGAAAAAGCGATACTCGTACAGTCTCGAAAATCACGGGAATAACAAGACTTTCGAGACTTCTTTAAAAGTGGGTTTTCCCCTCATGTAATAGAAAATACACAGTGAAAATGCAGTGTTAAATCAATTTTCTTTAAAAAATAATTATAGTCACCAAAAAAAAACATTTCTTCGTAAGTGAGCGAGTAACAAAGAATGCTACATAAAAGTCAAATGTTTACACTTATGAACTAGAGAGTTCAAGCTAACAAAATAAATAAAGTATACTAGTAATAATTTGTGAAAAATGCCGTAAGTCACTGGTTAATTTTAATTTGTATCATTTTTGAAACCAGCTTTTTTAAACGGAAAGTATAATATGTATTGAACTTATGTATAGCTTTAAATTTTCGAGCTTGCAAAATATTAAATGTATATACATGTGTATAAGGTAGGTAAGGACTCAATTGCTGCACAGCGTTCCGCGTGCTGTAGAAGCACTACCTGTGTGTATTAGACTAGTGTAGAAGACGACGCTATATGCCGCGTTTCATTATTAGTGCTGGAAAGCCAGAGGGAATAGTTATTTATTATACAAGAGTGGAAAGTTCCTTTTTAACCGCGTGCTCGATTTGGATGACCGAGCAAGCGAAGGATTCTAAAGTTGAATCACGAGCGCAGCGAGTGATTCTAAATTAGAATCCTGAGCGTCAGCGAGGGAAACAAACGAGCACAAGGTGAAAAATCTTTCCACTCGAGTGCAATACGTAACTTTTCATCCCACCTCAGCGAGGAAATGACAAAATGAAAAAGAAAACAATTTATAATGACAAAATATTTTTATTTCAATTAAAACACATTAAGATAATCTATAAATTGAAGAAAATAATAAGAAGTAGAAAATAATTAAGAAATATTAAATGTAACGTTGCTACAGTTACTTATGTTAAGTTTAATATTTTTGTTAGGTAATGTTATGTTGGTGTTTGTGAATTGTGCGCTGTTTTGTGGTAAACTACTCGTATCAGTAATTTTAAATAGTTGTGCCGATTCATTGGATTCTATTGGCGTAAATGTTGGCGAGAGAGGGCTATTGTTTCCAATCTTATGGGGGCTCATTTTAGATGTAGAAGGGCGAGACCAAGAATCTGACAGAGGTTCTTTCAGCGTTATGGCCTCCACGATACTATTACAAATTTTTGATTTACTTTGGATTGAATCCTCTATGTATCCCTCTACAACCGAATTAGACTTCCAGCCTCCATGGCGCTTAAGCGATAGAAGATCAGCCCCTGATTCGGCCAAAAGTGTGGCTGAGGTTCTTCTAAAACAGTGACCGGTGTATAACGGGGGTTCTAAAAGTCCGAGAAAAGTTGCTATTTCTCGTGGAATACTGCCAATTTTATTCTGACCCATAGGTTGTCGGATACACTTTCCGTTGCGATATTGTAGAAAAAATCGTTCAATTGGGGTGTTAGAAGGACGTAAAGCTTGATATTTCTGAACAATGTTTACATATTCCTTGCGAATAACGAAGTTGCGGTCTTTTTTTGTCTTGGTATTTAGTACATTAATTAATAGCAATTCATCAGAATTATGAGAATATTTTGATACGTTATTGACATTAAGTAGTGTAAGTTCATTTGTTCGACATGCTCCGGTTATACCAATAATAAGAACAACCTGTAACAAAAGAAGTATTTATAATCGTAAATAAATTAATCAAATTAAAAATATTGTAAGTACTATGTACAATTTTATCAACAACAAAAAATTACACGTATTGACTTACTTTTGCCGCTAAATATACGGAATCAGGTGCTTCATTAATAAACTTTGCAATTTCAGATGCTGTGAAAACCTTCGATTTTTTTGGTTTATAACCAGATGAGGCTCTTTTTAAAAATGCCACTAATTTATGATAGGTGTCGATATGAACGTCTTTCTTCATCTTAATTGTTAATTTTAGCATTGAATACGTACTCCATAGCGTGCTTGCTTTCTTGGTCTCAGATAATTCTATAAAATATGCCAGCAAAACGTTTTCGGAGAAAGTTTTTGCTCCTTTAGCTAGTCGCCACATGTTAAATATATCGTACTGTTTCAAATACTTCTCTCGTGATTGCTGAGGGAGAAGGCTCATTTGCGCATTATTAACTGTTTCAGTTAACTCAGTTGGCGTTAGATAAACTTCATCGTCGCTAATGTCACTCATTTTAGTTGATTTTTTTGTACAGTTTTTAGGTTATGTTAATTATATTAAGCAATAAAACGTGAAAAACTAGAATGGCGCGAAGCACGCAAATAAAACAAAGAAACCAAGAAGGTTCCAAATTTAAATTTTTTCACAATTTAAAAAGTTCTAATCATAAATTTGGCACCATAGAGGTTACATTAAATAGGTTTAATGACGTTTTGAATTTACAATTATATTGAGTACTCATTATATGTGATGTTCTAAATTCAAATCTACTTTGCCGCTCAAGCGAATAAAATAGAATTTTCCAGCCAGATTTCGAAGCGCAAAATTACACTTTCCGAGGTGGTGGGATGAAAAAATAATAACGGCCCACAACTACAACCTCCAAATGGCTATGAAAAATCGGCGACAATAGATGATGATACCCTTACGACTAAGAACACCATTAAGCCTCCCCTGTCCAAATATTCGATCGTTTGTGCAAAACTTTTTATCAATGCATATGTTCTTTTAAATAAAAATTCAATAGGTATACAATGGTGTCGATTCTGACACGATATTATAAATTAAAAAACTATATTTAACATCAGTCTCTCCTTTTCATTCTGTATAGAGAATGACAAGGAGACACTTTTGTCAAGTTTAGGTTTAGAGAATCATGCCAGAATCGACACCAATAATGTAATAATATCAAATTAATAGCTTATATTAACCCAGAGTAGATAAGCGCTGTAAGTCCAGATTTACTCCAGGTTTTGCAAAGCTCTGTTATTACCGATGTCCTAAAACAAATTAATTTTCAATATTCAGTAAGAGTCTCGACAGTCTCGATATTCCCGATACTTAGCCCTGTAAGTCTCGAGTCTCGAATTGATCAAAATTTCTTCGAAAGCCTAATGCTAATGTGTACCACTAATTCCTAAATTATTCTTCGTAATAATATAAGCTCTTTATTTTCAGGTATCCACGACTATCGAGCTGGCTTGATCAGATGTCTGAGGAGATATACTTCATCACAGCTAACAAGACAGGGCTTGGTGAATTTACGAGAAGGATAGGCGAGTTATCAGAAGTCGAAAACGAAAATTGTACTTAATTTATAAAAGCTAGCCGGAATAATTCTAAGATTATCTTTATCGCAACCAGATCGTGGCACCGTTTGCGATGACAGTGTGTTCAAATGTCCCCGTAGCTCGACCAGCCGACGAGGAAGTGTTACAGAAAGAAACTAAGCCTTTTTTGGGTACCTACTAATTTATTAACAATTTGTATTTTTAAAAGTATAAATAAAATATACCACAGTGAGAACTAATATAAATAAGCCTATTTTCACTTATTTCTAAAATTATGCATTTTAAATTGCTCAAACTTCTAGGATAGGTAATCGTAGAAAGCGAAAAAACAATTTTAATTAGAAGGGTAATTAGGGGGATTTGTTATCACTGTTTTTTTCGTACTTAAAAAACCGACCTTAATTTTTAATAAAAATAATAATTTGTTGCTTAAAAATATAGTATATAATATATTTGATTATTATCATGTCTTACATAATTTGCAGAACCCGCTCTATTTTCATACTAGAGACTGAGAAACTTTTTTCAAAGAAAGGTTTAATTATATACCTACTTAATTTGATAGATCTTTTATAAGTATTCCCCAAAAAAATCAAAGTTTTCCCGCTATTTAACAAAACAAGCCGTAGCTCGGTTCGTATTAGTTGCAGATTACAAAAACTTTTTTTTTTCAACAATTTTTTTAGCATATACCACTGGTACCACTAGCAGCAATAAAATTGTAAAATGGTTATTCCAAGAGCTCCAAAGAGAAAGCTAGGCAAACATTTTTTGAGTGAAAACTTATTTAAAACGTTGATTTTTCGCCGAAAAACTGATATGTTCCTTTATTAGCGAATAATTCGAAAAAATATTAGTTATGTGTGAAGTATGTATAGAATTGTTTTTATTAAGCGTTTAACTGCTAGATATTCAAATCTAAAAAAGTTTAAATAGAAAAAAATATCCACGCTGACTAGGCAGCAGACGGGACCGAACCCTTATCCTTCGATATCCGGCAACTGCACTTTCCAGTGTATTACTTTTCTCTATGAACTGCACTGACCAATTATGGTAACGTGGCCCTGATGGCTGCGGTGAAAAATTTCTATCCTTAAGCTACAAGACAGCGCCATCTCTTCACATTGTAGGTAACCCACAATGTCAAATGAATACTTTTTCAGGTATTAGACATTTGAAAGAAGAAATAGCATTTATAGTTATGAAAGAAGAAATAGTTAACTATAAATGCTGTGTATATAATGTATAGAATAATTCTATACATTGTAGGTATGTAGAGAATGTTTTTCACTGAAATTACATTTTTAATCGATTCCTGTACTTAAAAAGTAATAAAAAATAATCACCCTCGAGATGGGGTGACCACTGCCCCCAGGATAAAAGCGCCCTTCGGCATGATATAGATTTTAATCGTTGAGCTATTCTTTGTCTTCTGTGAAAATTTCAAGTAATTCTATGTAGAACGAAAAGATTGTATGGTAAAATCAAGAAGCTTATATACAACACTGGAGATTGCATGTAGAACTTCTGTATGAAGACGAGTTCATTAACCCCATGATATGTTTTTTATCTCTCTCACACACTATCTAAAATTACCATGTTAAATACAAGAAATTCCAATCAGAAAGTGAAAATAAACAGAACTATGCAAGATATCAATCAGTTTTACAATCTCCAGAAGTCCTACTCTTGTATTACTATTATAAGATGAGTGTGACAAATTCTAACCAACTACTTTGAAATCAATATTTAAAACTAAATAATAAATACGCCCTTTATTTCCCTGTTTGCTGGTTGCTACCATTTTGGTATAATAGCAACACTAATTAAAAAATCAACTGAAAAATATCTCCGATCTGTCAAAAAAAATCTACCGCTTCGAATGTTTAGATTATTAATAAAAAGTGTTAAATTGTTCAATTTGCTATTTATAATATGTATTGTGTTGTGCGAGATTGCAGAAGTGTTTGGGATAGGCATGCGTCCGATATATCAAAACGAATCCAAAATCCGATTTCAAACACAAATCGATACCGAACGATTTCTCAACAAGAAAATCCGATTTCAGAAATCTAACCGAACCAAAACGCTAGCGATCTAATACCACAAGTATCCAAATGTAAATCGGATTCGAAATTCATGCTTTCGTTTTCAGAAGTCAGATTTCGTGCTCGGAAGTCCGATTTCGATTTGCTGTTTACGGAAATCTATTGCTCTTCTCTGAGGCGGGATTATTTATCACTGAAAAGATATGTCGTCTAAAAACATCAAAAGTCGAGCATCTTACATTTTTGGACGCTAACCTGAAGTAATTAGGTTTGATTTTGTAAATGGTTTGAAAAATAATAAAAACAAACAGAAAAACAAAAAAAAATACTAAAAAAATATGTAAAAAGAAATCATTGCATAAAAGCCGATTTTTAAATGCGCCGCAAAAGTTTTACTCTTAACCCTAAACATAACTTTTCTGCTAGTCCTAAGCCTAGATTTAAAGCATGAAGGAAAATCGCGAAAATCTACGAGTATCCTTGCTTCCTACAATTAATTGTTTGTGATTGTCGTTAGCTAATAAAACCAAATCATAACACAAACTAGTGAATTGGCTAAGTTCGGCACATCTGAAATCGGATATCTAAAAACGGATTTTAAAATCGATTTTGAAATCTGAAATCCGATAAATATCCGTTTGCGTTCAAAACCAAAAACGCCCATGTCTAGTTTGGGAACCAAATTCCAGCACTAAAATTCACAGGTAAGTCTATTACATTACGCCAATACCGAAATAAACATATTCCTATATTTTTATGTTGTAATCATAATAAAACGTTAGTATTTATAAATCATAGTGTCCTGAGGCTATAAATTAACGTTTTTCTTGTTTTATTCACTACATTTTGTACCATATTCAGCAGTTAATTTTAATTAAAATAATATAAATTTTGGTTTTGTAGGGTAACCATTATCACTACACTTGAGATATTTTGAGAAAGTTAAAATACATAAGTATTATTGTAAATATTAATTACAAAGTTCAAAATATGAAAATAAGTTTATAATAAATACTGTAGTAGATCATGTTGATTAGATGTAGAAAACCTATTTAATAACAGGTATCTAGCAGCGGTCTTATACCTTTGTTTATGTTTCAGCTTCCCGAAAGATGTCATTTAAAGAAATTCTTGGTTGTCCATTAAACTGTCACAAACGCTCTCGAAACGGAACCGCGAATGTGCTAGAGATCGAATTTGCCAGAGCACCGCGGGTCGCAATAGAAGTCGAGTAAGGTGGCTCATTCTAAAATGAGCCTTATGCAGTGCGACGTAAAGGAGAAAGTGCAACGATATCTGCACTTGTTTACAAGTTATGCGTGTTACTTACGTAGGTATAAGTAGGTATTTCGTACTCGCGGGTGCTAGGTCATTCTCTATTTAACGGGTACTTTCTAGAACTTCGACTTTCGACGACCTCCGTGGTCGAGTGGTTTGTACGCCGGGTTTCATGGTGTCGCCGACTCGAGAGGTCCCGGGTTCAAATCCCGGTGGGGACAGATGTTTGTGTGATGAATACGAGCATTTGTACTCCAGTCATGGATGTTTAATATGTATTTCTATAAAAAAAAAATTCTTATATATGTACAGTTTATGTATTCTATCCGTTACCCTAGTATCCCATAACACAAGCCTTATAGTGCTTACTTTGGGGCTAGGCTAATTGGTGTGAGTGTTGGAAATATTTATTTATTTATTTACTTTCTAGAATGCATCGATCGGCGTATATAAGGGCGATTGGCGCCGCGCAGAGACAGTTGAGTTTCAACAGCGATTTCGGAGCGAATCCAAAGGCGATCAAAGTGCAACAATAGTGTTCAAGTGAGATTGTTTAGAGACTTGTATAGTGAAATACAGTGTTTAGTGAGAGTTTTGTAATTAACATTGTGTGTTAATTGTGTGAACTGTGTGGTGAATAAAGAACTGTCAATCGTGAACTGGCATATAATAATTTCGAACCCCATCCCGACACGTAACAATACCATTAAAAGGTCAATTTTATTTATCAGCCAAAATATGTAGCTTAGAGTTTCTAGTCCGTTCTTAGTAAAAGGCATTTCTGGCGATTTTAAAAAGGGTTTGCATATTCTTTCTCGTTAATTTTTTTATAAACGTTTTTAACATTGCATAATATAAGACGCATCTAATATGAATAAAATGATTTTTGTACTTGTGAATTTTATTACTATTAAATAATGTGTTCCCAAGTTCCTATCAACTCCAACGCTTTGATTTATAAATTGTTTAAAGACGATACCAGTAAGTATGTATCCTAAACGTATATTCCAACATGGTCACCCTTAGAAAGAGATAACAAACATATGTGACGTCATTCAAGGCCATATTTTTTCACTTCAATGTATTGTTTGCACTGCAATCTCCAGTGTTGTATATAAGCTTCTTGGGTAAAATGCTTCATTTCCTGTGTTACGAACGCTTAAGGCCAGGCAAAAGCAACGGTTGAAGTGGGATTTCGCTCTACTGTGCGTATGTGATGTCTCGCTCTAACAATGGAACTTGCCTGGTGTTGTTGATAATAACGGCCTCTGGACTATAACATTTAGGGCACGCAGATGTACGTAAATGTGATTAATTTTATAGAAAACCTATCAGTAAGCAGTAGTGATATTAGATGGCGCTGATTTATTTCTACAGTGTATAGTAAATATATTAGTTATAATTTTTGTATTTGTTTCAAAAACCTGATACATTCTAATTGATTACAATAAACTACAACTAAACGTACACCAATTTTAATTTGTAAGACAAAGCTGTAGATACTTGGTAACCTTTGCTTTCCCGTGGGAGATACTACAAGTGTTGCTAGCTTTATCGTTTTTCCACTATTTCTGTTACCTTTTTAAAATTGGTTAAACAGTTTGAATTATTTTCCTCTGTCATGACATTATTGAACACTTCACGCAAAGGATAAAAAGCTGCCTCTCTCCAGTCTCGTCAGTTTGATTGTCTTACGACGACGTGCGCTTATAACGCCTATTTCTCTTTTGCCTGCTGTTTATTGAAATAAAATGAAATGAAAATGAATAAAAATCATATAAAACAAACCTGTAATGAATTAGGTACCTACAATTACAAGGCTTATTTGCATGACGAAGTGCAGTCACAATCATAATTATAAACAAGAATATCAAATTAAAATGTGTTATATCTCTTGTTTGTTTTATCATTGAACTATTGAATTGCCTATCTCAGTTTGTTCCTTCGTTCGAAAACTACTCTTAAGTCCTTGAGTTACGTCCCTAGACCCTAATATAGATATGAAACGAGATTGGAGCTGGAGAGGGTAGCGAAACTTGTCATTCTATTCTATACAGAATGAAAAGGAGACTGATGTAAAATTTTGTTTAACGTTTTGGAAAACATGCTAGGATAGACCTCACTGTCCTTGTATGATGTATGAATACATCACAGTTGTTAAGTGCATGCATTGCAAGAAAAAAGCAATTTTTAAATGCCTTATCATCATGGTAACACTGATTATTAAAAAAAAAACAACTTTCTCAGTAAAGTGTAAACAATATATTAAACACTTTTTACCATCTTTTCGCACTCAAATGGTGCACATTATTTACAATATAGTTATAGATAGCTTTATAATTATGCAAATAACTGCCTGGCTGAAAAGTATATGACCACAGAGCTGTTAAACCAAACCATAAAAAATTATCTGTGGATTTTATGACAGTTTAAAGAGGAGTAATAAATTTATTTTATTTGATGATTGTTGGTCTGTTTGTTTGAGAGATCGTCACTGTGAGGGGAGGGATTACCAAGAGAACAGGTCATAGAACATTAACAAACCTTCATCTATTGTTCTCCGAAGTTCTCAAGGGAAATGTAAAAAGTTTGCGCCCGACATCGCTTCTCACGAAATGTAAAGAAAGTGTACGTGAACTGTTTCGTCTGTATTGTGATTATGATCATAGTGTACCTTGGAATGTTTGTAGTGCCATCATCTTCATTGTACGTCCTGGCACTTAAATTAAGGTAATATAAATCACCGAATTATTGTGTAGTGATCGTTAATTTGGAAAGCAAGTAGCACTTTCTATCGTCTCGCACGAATGATGTCGGGCTTCCAAGCAGGCGATACTATGCCAAAACTTGGACATGTGACCGATCTCCGCGAACAGTGGCTAGTTCGCGCCGATGGAGCGCTGGCACATCGTCTACAAGACAGAGAAATCTCATCACACCTATGTGAAAATAGGTACCGAAATCAACAGATACGTGAAGATTTTCCAGTGGCTCTAAGCGAACAACGAGATATTGAGCATGAAGTTTGGTTGCGTGAGATGGCACGCCGTCGACAAGCAGAGATCGATGCTGAAATAGCCAGGGAAATGGCCGAGATCAATCTACGCAGACAACGCCGCCAACATTCTTCCGAGCTGCTCCAACAGCCGAGTTCTTCTCGCGCTCAACCACCGACGCTATTACCACCACCAGTAAACAGTGATATTGACCCAGATGAGTTAGGTTTGTCTGCTAGTGAGTTAGAAGAGATGAGAAGGCGAATAGAACAAGAGGAAAAAGATGCTAAATTAGCCAGGGAACTCAGTCATGAAGCTCAGGGCCATGATGCATTACTTGCCGATATGAGGTGTGCAGTAGAGGCTCAAGATGGAGAGTTGGCGAGACTGCTGCAAGAGAGAGAATACAAGAAACTCCAAAGAGCAAAAGAGAAAGCTAGACAAAAGGCTTTGTTGAAAAAGCAACAACGATTAGCAACACAACAACAAGGTGTACCCCCACAACCCTATGAAAGTGAACCACCTCCGCCACAGACCACATTGTGTGATGCATACAGTAACCCAAGAGATATGATTAGAGATTTTTCTAAAATGCGAATGTGCAAGTCTGTTGATTCCGACTTGAATTATGTTGAACCCTTTGAAAAAGAACACATTCAGTCCAAAGCAAGTGCCTTACAGTCTAAGGAACTTTCAAACCAATATTATGCTCAACAACCAAGTACGTCTTCATCAAATTTGAACGTTTCACACATGCACTCTAGATCATTTGAGTCAGAAGCGAGAGTTTCAAATAATAACTCTTTGCAGCATAGACAACCTCCACCACCACCAACTTCTGGGAAAAAACCTCGTTTTCCTGATCCCATTAGCATTAGACCTGCTTCTCACTACCCTACAGATAACACACTCCCAGTTGAAGACAGCCCTCCGAACATGCCTACTGTGTCTCATAGCTACAGTGAAAACAATAACCTCTATAGTACAGCATTCCCTGTAGACCAGGGAAATGTGACTCCGATGAATACAAGCCATAATGGTTCTCAACCTTCGAAAAGGTTTTCTGTTATATCGGATATAACATCTGAAGGAGCTTCGAAGAAGAAATCTAGACAAGCTGAGATGCACAGAAAGAGAAAGGGTTGCAAAATTCAGTGATTCATTACTACTAAAATGTAGCTATTAAAGTCACCATAATCTGTAATCTCATTTGAGGAATCTTGTTAGTCTCTACTTTAGCGTTTGATTATTACTCACAATAGAAAAGATAATTGTACTTTATTATAATTATAAATAATTATTTATTCTTAAAATTACTCTGTAATACTTGGTCCTGACAATGCTATGGATCAGGTTTTCATTACAGAAGTACCTGCAGGAACCAATGAGCCATTTTATATTAGAGTGATGTTACTGGTGTGCCTTATATTAGTTCTAAGATTACTTTAAATTTATTATTATAATCAAAGCATTCCAGTTTGTGATTACACTCATTAATTAATTGTAATAATAGCTCAAATCTCTTATTTAGGATATAACAAAACAATTAAAAGTAAAAATTCATGATCAAACCGCGAATTGCAAATTTGCTCACTAGTGTTAGGAACTGTAACTGCTCAATCAAAACTTGTTAGTAGCTATTATAAATCGAACATGGTACTTAACTTGTCTATAAGACTGATATAATACCTTAATCCACTCTTTAAAAGCCAATCGATTGATTGAATTGATTGATTATTAAATTGAAAAACTGCTTCTGATCTGATAAATTTAGGCTTGCCTGATTAAGAAATTGTGATAGACTGTCACAATTCTATGCAAATTTTAATTTTAAGTGAATATTATAAAAAATAACTTCTAAATATAATAATTAATAAGATATTTTCTAACCTTGATTTGGGCATTATAATTTACAAGTTGTATATTTTTCTCTGTTGCCCAAAATGGTGCTGATTAAGAAAATTAATAGTATAGCTAATAAAAAGTATTTTTTAAATTCCCATAATACTTTCTGTATTATTATAACGATTTTACATACCAATGTGATGGCATACTGTTCTGTTTACTACTTTCATTATAATCTTAATAAGCAAGGCCTTATATAAATTTATTCATAGTTCATTAAGTGCAATTTCATTTTATTCAACATTTCCTTGACTATCTAGATGTATGTGTATTCATATAGTAAAAGTTAATTTTTAATGCATAGATTTCAAATTTTCATTTATTTTATATTTACCTATTTAATTTCATATTTCATTATCCAATTGCTTTTTAAAGCAGGCAGCCAAGAATCATAGTTAGGGTTAAATGAATAAATATAACATATTTACATTTACATTCACTATATTAATACTTAAATAAATAAAGTATGTAACTAGCTATTGTATACAAATAACATTTTAAATAATAAGCTTTAATCGCAACTTATGGCCTATTAAGTGCCTTAAATGGAACCGAACCAAACTTGATTAATTTATTGTGTAGCTAGGGTACGTACATTAAGTAATAATAAAAAGTAATCAGGTAAGTATCTACTTGAACTTAAAATAGCAATAATCAATCCGAAAAAAAAAAAAATTGAATGAATATCTTTCCAAATTAACGCTTTAAACGCCAAATTACTATAAAAAACAATGTTAATTTGTTAAAATAAGACATAATGTATTAATATATATAATTTCAGTAATTTTGTAATCTCATCCCTTGTACTAATTTCCTATGTTTGTCCATGTCCAATTTATGTAGAAAGAAACCACTTAAAAATATTATATTCCCTACATAATGAAGAAATTGCTACCCATTTTTTGCGCAAGGTAGATTTAATAACGTTTTTTATTATGCAAACGGACTTCGATTATTTTGATTTATGTATCATACGTACGAGTTGATGTATGTTCTTTTATTATTCTTCAGTAATACCCCAATACGTGATCTGTTTCTGATTTATACAATAAAAAATTTGAACTACATATTTGTTTGCATATTCATTTAAAGCACTGACTATCAGACCCGTCTTTCCTAGTGGGCACTTTGGCCAAGTGCCCAGTTAAATCAGCCAGCTAATTCCTGTTAAATCATCAAACGGAAGTCATAGGGGCCCCATTATCCTAATATGCCCAGGGCCTCCAATAGGTCGAAGACGGCACTGCTGCCTATAAAGACTTGGATACAAATAAAAACATTTTGTGTGATGAATACGAATTCATCATACAAATATTTGACATACCGGGATTCGAACCCAACACAGGTTCTCCGAACAGGAGACACTTTCCGTTATAATAAGGTACTCTGTGGGAGACACCTCGAAACCCGGTATGTGTGTACATACCAGTCATAGATACCACCACCACGTAGGTCATCTAATTGCGAAAGGTTACGTGGCGATAGAACTTTGCTGTATGGTGTGGAAACTTGGTTTAATTGAAACTGATAAAATATGTAAATAGCCAGAATGGGTAGATATAGACAAGAAACTTTCCATGTGTGTATTTAATTTGAAATTCGCTATAGGAAGAAAAAATGCTGTAATGGTAATACCATAAACTGAATATACCAGCGTTCGGTAGTAACTATAATTAACGTTATGGGTAATGCGGAAATGTAAGCAGAAATATGCGTAAAATAATTGAGATGAGAGGCATGTCATGATGTGAAATATGTGGGATTCGAACCCGTTGTTTTCTAGACTGAAGTCTGAAATCAAAATTATCAGTGTCCGTGCCAATGCCGTGACCATTTTTTTTTATAGTTCTAATACTCACACTAAATTAGCCTAGCCCCAAAGTAAGCAATGTAGGCCCGTGATATGGGATACTAGGGTAACGGATAGTGACGCGAAAGAATCCCTAAACGGGGATCCCGCGGCTTTGCGCTAAGCAGCTTAGAGGATGTTCGCAAGGTTTTTTAGCGGATATTATGCCGTAAAGCGCCCGTAGGGTTACGGGGTCCTCAATGGGCAGCCACTGCTGGGGCTCGTAAGGCTTGCGGGAGCCAGGTGTGAGGTCCGTTCGGCGGTGTGCCTCTTAAAGGCGCCGTCGTCTGTAAATAGTATTTTTTGTCTGCGTATAAAAAAAAAGGGTAACGGATAGAATACATATAGGTACTGATACATATATAAGGATATTTATATAGAAATACATATTAAACATCGATGACTGAAGTACAATGGCTCGTATTCATCACACAAACATCTGCCCCCACTGCAATTCGAACCCGGTACCTCTCGAGTAGGCGACGCCTTAAAACCCAGCATACAAACCGCTCGCAGCCACGGAGGTCGTCAATTGTTATCAAACACTGATCTCTCTAGAAAAGTGAAAGTAAACGTGGTTTGAGAATCACGCTTTGTGGACAATTAATAAATGCAATATAGGAAGTAAGGCATATGGAATACTGAGATATTGATATGCATGACATATGTGTTATGCAATTTAGAAGATAGAGTTTTCTCAAAGAACACCTATACGTAATGGGAATTGGATTGAGTTCATTATTGTTTGAACACTTCGGACTTTGGCGCAGTACGTAAGTAAGCAAACTGCGTTAAGCCCGTCACAGACGTAGCTATAATATATATTAATATGAATCACAGCAAGACTTAATACAACTTATTTTCAATATAAATTTTCGAGTGAGCGCACACGCAGCTATCATTTCTATGACGTCACCAAAATATGTCGAGATATAATAGTACGGTACACTACGACCGCAGACTGAGTGAGGGCAAATATATATATTATAGTATAGCTCCCGTCTGTGGTAGTTTGCTATAATATAATGTATATTTCGATATATTAATATATATTATAGCTACGTCTGTGACGGGCTTTAATTTATTGGGATATTTTTCAATGCACAGCAAATAACTTTTTACTCATCAAAGTACATCAATTAAATACTTTTTACATCAAAATAATTATTTTACTGCGAACAAAACATTTGTTGAACAAAACTAGTGCTCAAAAAAAAATAAAATAATTCAAAAATATATATACATCTAATCTGTAGTAACAAAAAACTTGTTTAATTGTACAGAAATATGATTTTCATATCAATTATATTGATTGCACAGCAAATATACCGATTGCATAGAAAATTAACCAGGGCTTCGACTCAAAATACACTCTTAACAAAACAACTATTTTTGCAAGAGGTTTTTTTTTTTAATTTATTTAGGACAACCAACAAAGCATAACACAGCGTCAGTGTTATTAGTTACAGAAGCAGTTTAAAGCTAGGATTAGTGTCGCTTTAATAATAGGTTGCCACGGCATGCGCAATAGGTTTCCCATTAAGCATTTCAAAACTTGCTCAACATTGGGACACTTTTGATGGTTGTAAAAATAAAGCGAGTGTGCTTATGACCACACGACTGAAGTGAAACTTCTTTAGCTCCATTTAGATTAGATCTGAAAATCATAAACTTAACCTGAAGATTTGTTGATATAGAAGAAAAGTACCAATACGCGCTGGGTCCGTTATCACCCGCCAATCCGCGCTGAGTCCGTTATCACCCGCCAATCCGCGCTGAGTCCGTTATCACCCGCCAATCCGCGCTGAGTCCGTTATCACCCACCAATCCGCACTGGGTCCGTTATTAGTGTACGTCCGGTAGTGATTGACTACGACGGAGCGGACCTCCGCCGCCTAAAAAACCTCTAGCTAGTTATGTTTTATTTATTTTTTAAGCATTTAACTGCTAGATATTTAAATCTAAAGAAAAGTTTACTATATATATCTAAAGAAATAAAATCATAACTATAATTGCTATTTCTTCTTTCAAATGTTTAATACTTGAAAAAGTATTCATTTGACATTGTGGGTTACCTACAATGCGAAGAGATGGCGCTGCCTTGCAGCTTAAGGCTAGGAAAATTTCAACGCGGCTAATAGGGCCGCGGTAGCATAATGGTCAGTGCATTCGCCCGGATAGCGAAGGATGCGGGTTCGAGTCCCGTCCGCTGCCTGGTCCGCGTGGATTTTTTTCTAGTAAACTTTTGTTTAGACCTCTAGCTAGTATAGAGCCACCAAGTCCCCAGTTAGTACATTCGCAGTCAGCGTGCGCCAAAAAAGCACGGTGTAGCTAGAAATATTTGAGTCACCAATCAACGAGTCACAAAAAATACTCAGTTCTCAAGTAAACCGATTAGAATATTTTAAGCATGTAACTGCTTGATGTTTAAATCTAAAGAAAATGTAACTAGAAAAAATTCCCGTCCCGTGTTCGAGTCGAGTATATTTAATTTTGTTCTCATCTCGCAAATAAATGGTCTTACCGATTCAAACCCAGTCCCTGTAGCATGAGTACCACAATTTACATTATATCGCGTCCAACTATCAAACTCCATAGTAATTGGACAATAGGGGTGATGACGGGGTACAGTAAACGAAATTCTATTTAATCCGTCAGTTAGATGATCAAAAAATAATGGACACGTATTTTTTCTTTGGGCAATCAACCAAAAAATGACAGAGTTATAGCGCGTCAAAGTTTGGGAGTAGGGGCTCGTGACGTCAGTTTTTAGTGAATTTTCGCTTAAAAGTGTACCAAAACGTGACGTCATGCGACTTTTCAAATCAATATATCTCTGCAATGTTTATATTATGTGAAAAAAGAAAAAATACGTGTCCAATACTTTTTGATAATCTACCTGATAAACGAAGAAAAAAAATTAGCCATCATCCCTATTGAGCGTGATAAAAACGCTTTATATATCATATCACCGTGCTCATGCTAGGGGGGCTAACCTAACCTAACCTGCAACCCAGGACCCTTACAATACAATACACAATAGTCTGTAACGAATGCCTTTATGACTTCTGCCTTTCGTAGTTTGCCGCCCGAGCCATGGCCCCTTTTTCTTTTTTATTACGCAGGCAAAACCTCTATTTACAGACGTTGGCGCCCTTAAGGGGTACAACAACGAACGGGTCGCACGCAAGTCTCACGGGTGCGAAACGGAAAAGCCGTTAAGCAGTCCGCGCGGCTTACGAGCGCTCATGGCATACAATCCGCTAAAATCTGCGAATACCCTCTACGCTGTTGAGTGCGGAACCGCAAGATCCCCGTTGAGGCACTTCACCGCGTGTATGAATGGGCCAAAAGGGGCCTAGAATAAATACGTCCCTGCCTTAGCTGCCGTTGCACCATGCCATTGTTCGATAATATTAATGAATATTTATTTCGTTATAAGGCACTTCCGGACCTTCTTGTAGTAATCAACCAATGCATTGAAACAAATTCATTTAAGTCTATGAATGTTTTTCAATGCATTGCAACTTTTAAATTTTAAAATAGGTATGTATTTAATACAATTTTTACTAAAAATTGGTTGGTCTCAGTAAACTTACGTTATACATATAACCTACACTTGCTAACTTACAACGCCGAACTCAGAAACATCAATTGAATTTGATGCTTCATTCAACTAGATTGAATTTTAAATTTGATTATTAAAGTGATGCTATGATAAGACAACGCGTTACTTTGAAAAGCATTAATTTAACTGACGTTTCTGTGTGCGGTCGCCAGCTCTCTGTTGCGGGTAGAAGTTACTTGGTTCCTTTATATAATAGGTATATTTTCTACAGGCAGCAAATATATTTATGTTTTTATTTTTGAAGTTATACTTCTTTAGGCGCGTTATGAAAAAATGATGAGAGTGAAATTTTTAGATGCGCGCGCATCACTGTAACACAAAATTTTAACAGCATGAACTTCATGCTGTTACTTTTGTGTTTACCGCACATTAAGAATATCTACCAACAAAATAGAAATAGAATCTCTATTTTGTGGGTGCTTACGACTGCATTGTGAAGGCCTATCAAAAGTATTTATTAATCTGGAACACCGGAACCAAAGCGCGATTCAGGAGACTACAGCGCCATCTCTTGACCATTGGTGTAGTAGAACCAAAAACCACATCTTCATTTTTTGTAATAAAGTAACAGTTATAGGTATTCATATTTATAATATTTATCCACATGTTTCTAGTTTGTATATTCGGAATACGTGTTTGAGTTTCATACAAGTGCAAATCACATAATATGTTCTAATAAATTATATTCAGTAGCGATTTTAATTGAATATTTTGATTATTTATTTATTTTTTCAAATTAAAACTGAACTTTATTGACTGTGTCCTTTTCCAGACTTTTTATTAATTTATTGTAATTAATTATTTGCATGCAATTAAAAACTAATTTTAAACGATGCCAAAGAAGGATAACTTCTCACGCGCCTGCATAAGTACACGCACCCATTTTTTTAAGCATTTAACTGCTAGATGTTTAAATCTAAAGAAAAGTTTACTAGAAAAAACAACAGCAAATATATTTCTAATTTGTTGGGTGCTTCAAATAAAAAAACTTAATAAATTTCCGAATTGACTATGTTCATCACAATAAACAAAAATAAATACAAAAATATGTCACAAGAGTATCTAATTATGTACTGCAAAACTGGCAAGTTGAAAATTTCACAGACACACCAGCAACTGCAATCTCTTTACAAAAAACCATAGAATATGTATGCCATAATTTACTATGTGCTGTAAGCTGTGAAAAAATGTGCGAGTATCCATGTAAGTATTTCTGGAAACTCAGGAATAGGGATACATTTACATAAAGTATTTTATGTACCTGTAAGTATTATGAATGTTTAAACTGTGAAAACTGATGATATATCGCAAAAATATGTTTTATTTCATATTATGTGGCTAGTGGTCATTTATTATTATTTAGCTAGATTAGCAGCTTGTTTTTTTGCTTTCACTAATTCTACTAATTCTTTGTATCTCTTCATGCAGTCTTTTTTGGTACGGTTAGGTATGCAATCAGCTATCTTATCCCACCTTTCAGGTGTACTCACAGGAAAGGTTTTGATAGCTTGTTCTAGCAGTTCTTGTTCTGTTTTTGTCCAAGCTCTGTCCTCTTTCGAAGAGTCTTTATCCTGTTTGGATTGGTCCTCTGCTTTAGGCTTGGCAGTTCCATTCACTAATTTCACTCCACTATCTATTTTTGAAATATTGTTGTCATCCACATGATTGGCAACTTTCTTTTTTTCCTTTTCAAATTGATCAAAAGCTTCTTCATTAGCAGCTTTTTTCAGACTGCTTTTAGAGAAATCTGAGCTCTGTAAGTCCTTTGCTTTATTCAGCACATCTTTAGCAGTGAATCGTTTGTCATCAGTAAATGTACCATGCTGATTCAAAAAGTTTGCAACAACTTCCCACCGTTGATTAGTCCCAGCTGGAAATAGATTTACTGCCTTAATGAGTAGTTGGGTCATATCTGGTGTCCATTCGATTGGCACTTTTAAAGCACTCTCTTTCTTAGCTCTCAGATCCTCTGCCTTCTTAGTATCAAATAAAGCTTTTCTTTCAGCTTCTAGCTTCTCATCAGTTTCTTTCACAATTTTCAAGAAAGCATTTCGACCTTCTGCTTCCAAATCTTTCATAAAATCTTGCAGTTCTACCACTTTCATCATCTCACATATTTTTTCAACTGCTGCCATATGAGACACAGTTTCGTCTTCATTATTGGCAAAATAATTCTTCGATTTGCATAGATCTCTTAATGCTTTTTTTTCCTTACGTAAGTTCTTCTTCAATTGTTCACGTTCAGCTCGAGCCGCTTCTATACGAGCACGTTCTGCTTCTTCTGCTTTTTGTTTAGCTGCTTGTGCTTCTTTCATAATGCGTTCCTCTTCAGCTTTCTTAGCTTGGACAGCATCCTGAAAATACAATCACATAACGGAATAAAGCTTTGGTTTGGTTTATAATAGATGCTTTGAAATTGGAATAAATGTTATTTGTTCATCCCTTCAATTCTACTACTAATTTTTAATTTAGATTTTTAAGAATAGAAAAGATTATTTAACAAAAACATAATATTAACAATACTATTAATAATTTGATACAGGCAATTTAATACTGAATATCGGGATATAGTAAAAGATGTCTCAACTGCCTGCCTGCATTAACTATTATAGTAAAAATAAATAAAGACCCCATGTACCTAATCACTTATTACTCTCAATCTGATTTACAATAACCATTACGCAAGAGTAAACAAAAAATCTACTTTTGAATTGATTCAAAGAATCAATGTTAAATGTTGTTGGTTGTATTTTATGTTGTAGATTCATTTTATTTAACCACTTTTTTTACAATTATTTTTTAAATTACATTATAAATTTTCTTAAATCAATAACCATCTGAAATAAACACCTATTTTAAGAAATGGATTGTTATAAAAGTGAGTACCTGTCTAGCCCTCTTTGCTGCTAATTTTTTATCTTTATCCTCTTGCTTAAAACGCAAAATCCTAGGGTCATTCGCATAGGCTAGATCAACTAAACTTCTAATTCTTGCCATTTCTTCCTTTTTCAGCTTAGCTCTCGCCGCTTTGTTTTGTTTTTCTATCCACCTGCGTTCTTCACGGTCCGCCCCTCTCTCCTTCTCTTCCTCGTCAAGGTATGAAAACTCACGCCAAGATTCGAACTCATACCAAAAAGCATAAAACCTCTCCACCTGTTCTCGGGGACTATTTTCATCACCTATCATTGGGCAATTTCTTTTCTCTGACCAACGAGCATTTATCTCGAAACACTTTCTAAACGCTTTAAAGAATCCTTCTTTTTTTATTTCTGTTGCGGTCGGTAAAGAGTCATCGACGAGTGGATCAACAGAGTCGTAGGACCTACGCTTGATAGGTGTTCCAAGAATTTCATAAGCCTTAGTGATGCACGTGAAATAGTCGTCATCACTCCGGATCTCTTCACCTTGCGCCTTTCGTTTATCAGGATGATGTTTTAATACCTTCTGACGGTAAGCCCTCTTAATGTCGTCGTCAGTTGCTTTGTTACGCAAGTTTTTTATACCTAACACTGCATAATGGTCTTGAGATTTCCAGTCCTTCGGATCTAAGCTCCTCAAGTATTCGACATCATCTTCAAAGGTCACCTCCTCAGCCTTCTCTTTGGAATCCGTCGTTTGAAACAAAGCATCTTCACCGTGACATTTAATGTTGTAATATCTCAGGAACGCAGTGCCTACGCATTCAACTTTTCTTTTCACGGATTGGACTGTTATAGTCACTACCCGACAGTTATTACTTAAATCTCCTTCAGTCATTTTAAATAAAATAGGGACACCGTACTATCATAACCTAAATGTGAAGTAAACACTGTGAACGTGCCACGTTAAAATTAAAGAAAACTAAATATGCAACTAATTACAATTTAATATTGATTTTACGATATCTATCACCTTGAAAACATTATTAAAAAGCTTTTTATAATCTTACAACGAGCCATTTAAAAATTGCAAAGGACAAATGGACGTAGTTACGCGAAAACGTTCCAACCCACAAGTCACTCGAAAATGAGTTACCATAACCAGGGTACTATTTTTGACATATTACATCATGTGCACACAAAGATGCTAGTATTTTTAGGTTAGTTTCATCAATAAAGTTTAACCCAAATGTTCCAACCCACCATTATGCCAAGGACGTGTACTCAAAATAAAGTAAAAACATTACATGCATACTGAAACATATTGTTAAAAACTCTTAATAGAATAACATATCGTTATAATGTTCCACTTGTCTTGGAACATTATACTAAATTCATAAAACGCACATTTAATGGTTTCTTAAATGATCCATGTGGGTTGGAACGTTTTTGCAAAATCTTTATACATTTTTTATTTCTGCAAAAATGTTCCATGTAATTTGAAACCTTTTAGATTAATCCATACTGTTTTTTTAAGCTGCGAACACTGTTCTAAATAAATTGAAACCTTTTATTATAATATATTATTTTCTAATTTTTTGCTATAAACAATCCACATATACTTGATCCATTTTTGCTATTAAGTATGTTCTAGAGAAAAAGATATTTTTTACCAAAATAAATAACTATGGTATATTTGGACGTAGTAACGAGAAAATGATCCAACCCACAGCAACCCCAATTTGAGATAAACGCAATTTACACACTTTTCCCCTGTAATTATTTCAGGCAAATACTATTGGTTTAACTATGGAATGCCAAACTGATTATTGAATGATATGCATATTTTTTGTAAATACATAATACAAGGGGCATATAAATAGGTAAAACGAGTTTGAAATGTTTTTGCTAAATTAATTTTGTATGAACCTTGTTAAATAGCAATTATGCATAAACTTTCCAAAACGAATTTAAGTGTATTATTTTATAAAAATAAACCAAAAAGAAATATGTAAAATAATAAATAACAATGAGGAACATACAAAAACAACAAAAAAAATATTTGAAAATGTATTACAAAAAAATAGAACGTGATCTTTTGAGTTTAGAACCTATGCCAAAAATTTGCTGATATGGTTCCAAAAGTTATCAAAAACTTATATTATAAACATTCAATTTTCATCATCGTATTCTATGATCTCGAAGTCCGGAACTCCACCAAACCCATCAACATCATCAGTGCTTCTTCAGAACTTTGAAGCGTTCTATAAAATTGAAGGCAATCCTCGGGTATGTAGTGGTACATGGATTGTAAGTCCACTAATTTCGCTGGAGCAATCGGTTTGTCGTTAGGCCACAATAAGCAAAAATCAGATTCTTTTATGTATTGCAGTTCTCGTTTTATTCTTTTATCAATTTTCAACTCATTGAAATCGTCTTCCATCGTAGACCGCATAAAAATAGAAAAAATCATATCTTTATCCAACTTAATTTCTTTTGTATGTAGCCAACTAACTTTAGATGAGTCTGTAAACTTCTTCCTATTGATAATCTTCTTTTCCAGTTTAGTTGTACTATAAAATCAGTCTTTGTCATTTTGTAAACTTGAAGAGGTTTAACTTTTTTACTTAGTTCTACAATAGTGGTATCCATAGTGCATCTAATGATACTGGGCATTGTTATGTATTGGTAGAAGGAGAGGTAGGAAGAGGTGCACAGGAAGTGGATTGCCTTCTGTTCTGAAGAAGCACTGATGATGTTGATGGGTTTGGTGGAGTTCCGGACTTCGAGATCATAGAATACGATGATGAAAATTGAATGTTTATAATATAAGTTTTTGATAACTTTTGGAACCATATCAGCAAATTGGCATAGGTTCAAAGCTCAAAAGATCACGTTCTATTTTTTTTGTAATACATTTTCAAATTTTTGTTGTTTTTGTATGTTCCTCATTGTTATTCATTATTTTACATATTTATTTTAGATATATTTATAAAATAATACACTTGAATTCGTTCTGGAACGTTTATGCATAATTGCTATTTAACAAGGTTCATACAAAATTAAATTTAGCGAAAACGTTTCAAACTCGTTTTACCTATTTATATGCCCCTTGTATTATGTATTTACAAAAAATATGCATATCATTCAATAACCAATTTGGCATTCCACAGTAACACCAATAGTATTTGCCTGAAATAATTACAGGGAAAAAGTGTACCGCTAAAACACAAAATTGCGTTTATCTCAAAATGGGGTCGCTGTGGGTTGGAACGTTTTCGCGTAACTACGTCCAAATTTCGCCAAGAAAACGAGTTCGACGGCGCAGCGAGCACAGATTAGGAGATTTTTTTTTATTTATTCATGACCATGGATACAAGTCCTTCAGTCGTATTACATAAATACAAATGTTAATCTTCTTTTTTTACATTAGAATGTCGGTGTGACGCATTCTAATGCTTCTTGAAGTGTTTTGTTTTGAATATGCTAAAAATATGCTATCGAAAATTAGAAAGTGCTTAAGAAAATGCTTTTTCAGTTAACATTTATTATGTGTTATAAATCATAATAAACATATATACTATACATAAATTAAATTAATATTCCATATCTGAAAGCAATAACTGCAGATCCTCCGATCTGCCTCCAGAGTCCAGATCAATATCCACGGTCTCTACAATATCATCTTGTGATGTCGAAGGGCCAGCTGACGTCGCATGCGAGTTAGTTCTCCCAATCAGTTTTAGCTCATCTTCAGGAAAATTAAACATAGGAATAACATAATTTCCATTACGTATACAATTGACTTCAGTGTAGTGCAATGTCATCCCATTCCACTGTTTGATTTTGACTACATTAAACAACCTGCAACCTTTCTGTCTACCTCTAAATGTTATTATTGAAGTCTTGAATTCTCCATAATAAAGTTAGATGATACTCATACCTGTATTTTATAAAAAGTAAAAAAAATAAGATTCTTTGTCCCCCTGTGATGGCCCCAAAGGGATTGGTAACAGCAGAGTCTTTGTATTCAAAGACCTCTGATCATAACTCTATTATGTAATTTTTATTTTTCATAATTTATAATAAAATTACTTTAAACTTGTATAGGGCCCGAGCAGAAATAACGTCTTTTTCGCGAAAGTTACTGATTATATAAGTATTGCCAGTAATATGAACCTCCAAAATTACTTACTTATTATGTTGATCTCTTAAGGGTAAAAAATGCTAAAAACATGCAATATGCTAAGCGTATATTTTTCTAGCTAAATAAAGCAGAAATATGCTAAATGTAGCATTAAAAATACCAAAACGGCAACAATGATTACCGACTATTTTGTTTTACACTACACTGACTGATTGTACAGCTTAGTCGCTGTCCGGCTGTCCCACATGCTGGATAGTGCGTAGAAAAATTAAGTTGGGTGTTTGCGTCAAGTCGACTTGATTGAAGTGAATTTTGTTCGCTTACCGTGTAGATCTTATACTCTATATGCACTAAGGTGTAAATTGACGTCAAGTTAACGCGGTAAAAGATCTATATTCGCTTCAATTAAGTAGACTTGATCGACTCCGGGACGTATAAAGGTGCATTTAGACTATGCATTGGTGTCGATTCTGGCGTGATTCTCTAAACTTAAAACTAAATTTAACTTCAGTCTCTCGTTTTCATTCTGTATAGAGAATGACAGAGATGCACACAATCATGCCAAAATCTCGACATCATTTTAAAGGTCCCTATGTCATTGGTCTATGGCATGTCCATGGCTATACTGCATTGTAAATACGGCAGCCTATTCATTCATTACGATAGTAACACTGGTGCCAACCGTAATAAACAAAAATCAGCTGACTGATTGACAGCACTCAGCTCTCAACAGCTCTTTTTTTGAGCCATCCAAACCAAAGAACAAGAAGAATATTTCTCGTCTAATTTAATAGTGCTTACTTTCTTGTTCACTTAGTGCAGTTTTGTTAAATACCGGGCGAGTAATTCTTGGGTACCTTCCTACACAACGAAATGGATGCAATATTCAAGCCAATGGTCATAGTAACTGGTTTCGGACCATTCGTGGGTCACCAAGTGAATGCGAGTTGGGAAGCTGTGAAATTGATGAATAAAGAGAAGATAGAAAATGAACACAATATAGAACTGGTGCAGCTAGAATTATCAGTAACGTACGAAGACGTGAACAAGTATGTGCCAGCTCTATGGGAGACCCATTCACCTCAAGTATGTATTATTATTATTATTTGACGACCTCCGTGGCCGAGTGGTTTGTACGCCGGTTTCATGGTGTCGCCTACTCGAGAGGTCCCGGGTTCGAATCCCGGTGGGGGTAGATGTTTGTGTGATGAATACGAGCATGTGTACTCCAGTCATGGATGTTTAATATGTATTTCTATATAAATATACTTACATATGTAGCACTGTATGTATTCTATCCGTAACCTTACTATCCTGTAACACAAGCTTGCAATGCTTACTTTGGGGCTAGGCTAATTGGTGCCAGTGTTGATAATATTTATTTTATTTATTATACCTGTACCTGGTACCGTAGCCCATCAGCTCTGTAATTCTTATTTTATGTTTTTCATTTGTTATACAATTGATTTCCCATACAAACTTCCAGTCCTGCTTTTTACCCCATTAAAGGATTATTACTGAGTTAAAAACTCATATTTCCTTTCTGGGGTCTGAAACTGTACCTATACCTAATTTCATTTTAATTGGTTAGGTGCGAAGAGGTAAGAGACACAGATAGACACAGTTTTGCATTAATTTATAATACATATTAGTATGGATTAAACTTGAAGATTTTTTTTATAGCTGGAGATAACTTTGTTAACTCTCCAGTTTCTTACAATCCTCTCCATCCAAAGGTTGTCTGGAAGAAATCGATTTTAGCGATCAGACCGCCCGTTATATCACTATGTTTAAACAAAATGTATTTACCCCATTTATGTACTGTACTGTGGTGTTTTCAATAAAGAATTGTTTCGTATTGTATTGTATTAACAGAAACACAACTAATCCCAGATATCAGGCTAGAATACTGATATCACTGATTATTTATATTATACAATTTCAAAAAAAACAGTACCATAAGTGACTTTACTGGAAAGTATTAATACTTTTTTTAACAACCAGTAGGTAGTGCAATAGCAGTGCTCCTGATTACTTCTCAGATTGCTCCTATTTGTGTGATGAACACAAAAATATTTGGTTCCTAAGTGGATGGTTTAATTTCCATAGTACTTTATTTCTTTGGTAGCCTAGTGTACATTCCTCCTTATATCAAAACTCTTAAGAGACAGCACACATAAACAATGTCTTCAACATTGATAATCTGGATGGTTCTACACTAGACTCCATCTACAGTAGTACTCCTATTCCTTTAACCTCCTTTTTCAATCCAAGAAGTGAGTTTATGCGAAGAAACCATCCATCTCAGATAGGGTTATCATCCGTCCAGATTTGTCCGGACGGATTGTTTTTGACTTTTGTCTGGACTTTGTCGGGCTTTATAATTTGTCCGGATTTTTTTAATTAGATGGAATATCAGTAAAACTACTTATTAAGCTATATCAAATAATCTTAATTAAGTTCTCATTAATTTAAAATAAAATATAAATTATCTTTAAAAATCAACAACGAGACCCCCCTCGCGATGCGAGCGTCTGCTACCAAGCGTATAATATCAGTATAACTAAGTGGGTCATGTTTTGTGACTAAAATGTCGGGACTTTTATCGAAATGTCCGGCTTTTTGTCAGGACTATTTAAATAGTAACCCGTAATCTCAGATGACTTTCCAAGAGCATCAATCTGTCTCATAGGCAAATAATCCCACACGGGAAGAATCCATTGAAACACGTATATTAAGCTAGCAGACCATGGTCGCAACGCGCACATCTAACCTACTGGGTATTTAGTTGCTAATTAGTTGCTAATTAGTTACACTATTCCCGATTTAGTTGCTCAACACCTGTAAAAGATACATGCGATCTGCTAGCTTAAGTCTTAACCTAGCAGACCACAATACTATATCTTCGGTTCTCGTAAAGATATCGAAGTTCTGCAAACGGCATATTTAGTTGCTAATTAGTTGCTGTAGGACAGACAGCATTATTTGTTTTATCCCCCCATCATCCCTTAATTGCCGCACCAGCACCCACACTACCCCCGAAATACGATAAAATTAAAAAGAGCTCATCAGAGAATATAAACTACGGCGTATTTCGTTGTTAATTAGTTGCTGCTAAATAGCGTTGCTTATAGTATTTAACTATCAACCCTTAACTCCAAATCAGCACTGCAACCACCCCCGAATAGGACGATATCGGAAAATTCTCGTAGGTGGAAAAAGACGCGGCATATTTAGTTGCTAATTAGTTGTTTGCCAAAAACGCAGTTAAGAGTATTCTACAATCATCCCCTAACCTCAGATGCAACCCCTCTACTCACTTAGAAACAGTAGATGGTTAAAATTCGCACGCAGTTGTTTAAGACTGCTGGATGTTTTGTTGTTAATTAGTTGCTGAAAAATAGCGTTGCTTATAATATTTGATTATCAACCCTTAACTCCAGATCATCCCTGCAACCACCCCAGAATAGAACGATATCGGAAAATTCTCGTAGGTGGAAAATAGACGCGGCATATTTAGTTGCTAATTAGTTGCTCGCCAAAAACGCAGTTAAGAGTATTCTACAATCATCCCCTAACCTCAGATCCAACCCCTCTACTCACTTAAAAATAGTAGATGGTTCGAATTCGCACGCAGATGTTTAAAACTGCTGGATATTTTGTTGCTAATTAGTTGCTCGCCAAAAACACAATTAACAGTATTCTACAATCATCCCCTAACCTCAGATCCATCCCCTCTACTCACTTAAAAATAGTAGATGGTTCGAATCCAAACGCAGACGTTTAAAACTGCTGGATATTTTGTTGCTAATTAGTTGCTGCGAAAAAGCGTTGCTTATAGTATTTAACTATCAACCCTTAACTCCAGATCATCTCTGCAACCACCTCAGAATAGGACGATATCGGAAAATTCTCGTAGGTGGAAAAAAGACGCGGCATATTTAGTTGCTCTACTCAGAGGGGGTAGATCTGAGGTTAGGGGATGATTGTAGGATACTCTTATCTGCGTTTTTGCTTATCTTTGTTCTATTCTGGGGTGGTTGCAGGGATGATCTGGAGTTAAGGGTTGATAATCAAATATTATAAGCAACGCTATTTTTCAGCAACTAATTAACAACAAAACATCCAGCAGTCTTAAACAACTGCGTGCGAATTTTAACCATCTACTGTTTCTAAGTGAGTAGAGGGGTTGCATCTGAGGTTAGGGGATGATTGTAGAATACTCTTAACTGCGTTTTTGGCAAACAACTAATTAGCAACTAAATATGCCGCGTCTTTTTCCACCTACGAGAATTTTCCGATATCGTCCTATTCGGGGGTGGTTGCAGGGATGATCTGGAGTTAAGGGTTGATAATCAAATATTGTAAGCAACGCTATTTTTCAGCAACTAATTAACAACAAAACATCCAGCAGTCTTAAACAACTGCGTGCGAATTTTAACCATCTACTGTTTCTAAGTGAGTAGAGGGGTTGCATCTGAGGTTAGGGGATGATTGTAGAATACTCTTAACTGCGTTTTTGGCAAACAACTAATTAGCAACTAAATATGCCGCGTCTTTTTCCACCTACGAGAATTTTCCGATATCGTCCTATTCGGGGGTGGTTGCAGTGCTGATTTGGAGTTAAGGGTTGATAGTTAAATACTATAAGCAACGCTATTTAGCAGCAACTAATTAACAACGAAATACGCCGTAGTTTATATTCTCTGATGAGCTCTTTTTAATTTTATCGTATTTCGGGGGTAGTGTGGGTGCTGGTGCGGCAATTAAGGGATGATGGGGGGATAAAACAAATAATGCTGTCCTACAGCAACTAATTAGCAACTAAATATGCCGTTTGCAGAACTTCGATATCTTTACGAGAACCGAAGATATAGTATTGTGGTCTGCTAGGTTAAGACTTAAGCTAGCAGATCGCATGTATCTTTTACAGGTGTTGAGCAACTAAATCGGGAATAGTGTAACTAATTAGCAACTAAATATGCCGTTTGCAGAACTTCGATATCTTTACAAGAACCGAAGATACAGTATTGTGGTCTGCTAGGTTAAGACTTAAGCTAGCAGATCGCATGTATCTTTTACAGGTGTTGAGCAACTAAATCGGGAATAGTGTAACTAATTAGCAACTAATTAGCAACTAAATACCCAGTAGGTTAGATGTGCGCGCTGCGACCATGGTCTGCTAGCTTAATATACGTCATTGAAACCTTATCTTCACTATATTCAATTATTGTTATATCTCATGAATGTTTTCATATTTTCAGCTAATGATACATGTTGGAGTATCAGGGCTTGCGAAATGTTTGACACTAGAAATGCAAGCACATAAGAAAGGATATCAACGTTTAGACTACTATGATACCTGTCCGGCAGGCCACGTATGTCCTGCTGAGGGAGCTAACAGACTGCACACAAAGTTAAATGTTGAGCGACTATGCAAAGATTTCAATGATGCCTGTTCACAAGACGACAACACACAGGCTGTTCCATCTAAAGATGCGGGAAGGTAAGAACTTTACTGTGAAAGTGAAGACTCAATCAAAAACGCGTCTTAAGCGGGAAAGCGTATTATGCGGGATAGGGGAAAAAACGTACTACGTATTAACATTTATTATATTCTATTATTATGTCGAATGTAAGTATTGAGGTAATAAATGTACAATATTTAAGAATTATGTACGTTATATAAAATGTAGTGTATTAATATTACGTTATTTAAAATAATCACATATTTAGTTTGACAAAAAGATTTGAGGCATTACCAATTAAAAAATTTCAACATAATTTAACTTTTGCAGTGCGCTTTGATTCCAAGAAGTTATAACGCGATTCAAATAAGAATAGGAAAGCCAATGACCTCTATTTGTCAAATGTCGCTAAAAATGAACGGTTTGCGAAAAAAAAAAATTGGTACCCTTTTTTGGCACTCCGGAAATTCAAGAATAAAAACCAAACATTTACAAATGTATGTACTTACAAACGTACGTACGTAATGTACATACAAACAATGACAAATATTGATAATTAATATCGGTTGATATTTTTTTTCACTTATTGAGCTTTGGCCATGAATGGTTGATAACCTAAATCGTCAATGAAATGTCACTTTAAGTTGTGTTCAGAAACTCAATTCAAACTTTCGTTTACATAAAGGATGCATGTTCGTATGTGACCTAGTAATAGTGCATGATTATTCATAACTACTCCGGCGGTAATGCAGAGATGAGCGGAATAGAAGAGCTAGATTCTGATTAATGCTTTTTCTCACTTAATCTTAGTAAATAAGTTTTATTAAATAAAAACGTTTTTTTGTTCACTCTACCTATTTGGTTTGAATTGACAGCTATGACATCACAATATGGCGCCCAGTCGGTCCTATTCTTAGTTGAATCGCAGTATACGTAGCTTCTTAAATCATTAACTGCTGATAATACCCCAGGTATTGGCAGGCGTGTGACAAAATCGGAGTTGACTTCTCTTCTTCTTGATCATTATCACTTAGGGCATCTTCTTGTGTGTTATCAAGAAAGGTAATATGTGTGGTTGCCGATTTAGGCGTATTAAACGGGATGACGAATCGTATTAAGAGTTAAGATTTGTATGAAAAAGTGTCTCAAGTTGCAGGGACTAACGCAAAATGGCGTATTATGCGAGAAGTCGTATTAAGCGTGAGCGTATTAAACGAGTTCTACTGTATTTGAATCATAATTGTGATATGTTCTAAGAAAACTGACCATGTTTTGTCTGCGTCTAGAAGTGTTCTCTGAGGGATATACAGGTACTGCTCTTCTCTCACGCTCTGTGACACTAGAAACGAAACAAATAATTTATTTTGCTGTTTATATACTTACGCTCGATGGCGCAAGTGGTTAGCGCGTTCGGCTGCGATCGTTGAAGTTAAGTAACTTTCGCAGTGGTCGGTCCAAATGGGTGACCAAAAATTCACTATCTCGAGCTCCTCCGTGCTTCGGAAGGCACGTTGAGATATTGGTCCCAGCTACATCTGCAGTCGTTAGTACCCACCAATCCGCACTGGGCCCGCGTCACGGCCCAATCTCCCTATTTCATCCGTTGGGAAAGTCTTACCCAGCAGTGGGGACATTAATAGGCTGATGAAGGATTACTCATTATAAAATGAATACCATTCTAAAGAAAATTTTATTAGAAACAAAATCCACGGGAACCAGGCAGCAGACAGGACTCGAACCTGCACCTTTCGCTATCCGGGCGAATGCACTGACCATTATGCTACCGTGGTCCAGATGGCTGTGTCGAATTTTCTCTAGCCTTTCTTAGATGACGCTGCAAGGCAGCGCCATCTCTTAGCATTGTAGGTAACCCACAATTTAAACATCTAGCAGTTAAATGCTTAAAAAATATAACTTTAATTGTTTACTTCTGCTTTTGTAGGTACTTGTGTGAGTACATATATTACACATCACTGAGCATAGACAACAGCTGTACATTGTTTGTACACGTGCCGGATATGGAGGTGTACTCTTCGCAGCAGACGGCGCGAGGCCTAGAACGCATCCTGGCTCTATGCCTCGAACAACTGCGCAAGACGGACACTGATGTGGACATTAATGAAAAATTGAAAGATGTCACCTTGGAGAAAGACAACAGGTTATAGCTTAGTTTCCACAGTTTAACATGGAAGGAAAGAATAGAAGTTACGAGGACTCTAGTGATGTGAGTAGTTGCATTTTTATTGCAGAATATGTACTAAATGCATTGGCCCTAAAAGCTGGGACACAAAATATCAGGCAGGAAGCAGACAGGCACCGCCTTAACTCCTCCTTGGAACAGTAAACTCGGTATAAATAAGGCTATCAAGTATGATTGATCTACTGAAACGATATTTAATACCCTAGATACACCAGCATGAACAAAATCAAGCCCGAAACCTGTCCAAAAGGTACATTGGACGATCCACGGAGCTCCGTAAGATGATCGCGTAGTCTAAACAATATCAAGCATTATTTAAACATCGAAAATCACCTTTAAAGCACATTGTATAAGGTCTTAATTAAACCGCATGCGTCGAAGAGTTATGACAGTCCGAGATGTAAGCTCGTGAAATATCACGACTTATTGCTATATGCGGAAGAATATAGACCTTATATCTTTCACTCTACGCGCAATTCTGAATGCGCTGTTAGCAATATAGCAGGGACGGACCGCGAGGAAAAGAGACGGCTATATTACCGACCATGCATTTGTGTGCACACAAATATTTTCTATTAAATCAGTTTATAGTAAGTATCACACTAATATTATAAAGGCGAAAGTTTGTGAGTGTGCGAGTATGTGACTGTGTATGTTTGTTACTTTTTCACGTCTAAAAGGCTGGAGCGATTTTAATAAAATTTGGTATGGAGTTAGCTGACACCCTAGATTAACACATAGGCTACTTTTATCCCGAAAAAATGTTAGGTTCCAGAGGGATTTTAAAGTAACTAAGTTAACGCAGACGTAGTCGCGGGCGAACTCTAGTTAAAACATAATTTGCTTCAAATGCGTTAAATTAACAAACATTGATTAGATACCTGTCGAAAATATTTTAAATACTATAAGTATTCATTTCGCATTTTTTCACGGAGCTCAGCGGCATGTTGACTTCTCAGCGGTCCGCGCGTGACTGTGAATCAAGAAGTGCTTGAGTCGTGTTCAAGCACTTCTTGATAGGGACACATTTTGAGCGCTCGTGGTGTATGTAGGGTATTTAATATCCTTGTATATTATATATAGGAAAAAATAATTATACCAAAAAGAAAAAAAAATGTTCAAAATATTTATTATAATAGTTCGTATTTAGCTTTATACCGCCGTTCGTGTTTTTCATTTTCCCAAAGGTTGACTGGGAGAGAATGCTTTTAGCATTAAGTCCGCCTTTTGTACCATTGTTCATATTTTGGTCAATAAAGTTTAAATAAGTAAATAAAATAGTTATTGTAGTCAGGGGCCCGTTCTGAGGTATATCTTTTATATCTAAGAGGTTCCCTGTTATATTAAATAAGTAATTTAAGTAGGCAAGGCACTAATATTAAAAATGAAACCATTTACATATATTCCAAATTTCACAAATTTTCCTTGATGATCACATTCCAAAATTATATATGTACGCACTTAATTCTTGTATATTTCATTGAAGATGACTTTAAAAAATTTCATCGGCCAGTGCTAAATATTCAAAAGTTTTAAGAATCATGCCAGCCCAGAACCAGGCCCTATCGTGTAGGTAAATGATAAAATTGTTGTTTAATATACTATGTAAGTGCATTTGTATACTTACCAACAAAGATAAGATGCTAAAACAGATATATACGGATATTATGTAAAGGCACGGTAATATTATCTATATATTACCGTGGTAAAGGTGATTTTGTTATTGTCACAATATGTTGTCACTTTTATCACTGGTACAATCGAGTTCATACATTATATTACAATTAATCCTACCAAGGGCGGATCCAGCTTTGGCGCCAGGGGGGGGTCATATAGTCGTGGTCAAGTCACAGTGGGTACAGATGGACCCAGCCCAGAGGGGGGGGGGGGTGACCATCACCCCCGTGAATCCCCCCCTCTGGATGCGCCCTTGAATCCTACCTATCCTATCAGGGGTCGTATTGTGAACGCTTGAAGATGGGTGTTCCGCAGGGCTCAATCCTAGGTCCTTTCTTATTTTTAATTTATATTAATGACTTACCTTATTATGTAAGAGATAACCATGAATAGTATTATTTGCGGATGATACGTCACTTTTATTTAAACTCAAACGCAAGGAAAAAGTTATTGACGACGTGAACAATTGTATCTCTAAGGTAGTCCACTGGTTCAATGTTAACAATTTATTACTTAATGAAGGAAAAACGAAATGTATGAAATTTGTATTACCTAATGTAAAACAGGTAAAAACCAGTGTCAATGTAAAGGATAGGAATGTGGGCCTTGTAGACACCACAGTATTCTTAGGGATAACTTTAGATTCTAAGCTTCAATGGGGCCCACATATTGATAAATTGTCAAATAGACTTAGCTCTGCAGCATATGCCGTAATGAAGATACGCCAGTTAACGGATGTAGATACGGCCAGATTAGTGTACTTTAGTTATTTCCATAGTGTAATGTCGTACGGAATTTTATTGTGGGGAAACGCCGCCGACATTCAAAATATTTTTGTGCTGCAGAAGAAAGCTATTCGATCAATTTATAATCTTAAAGTTAAAGAATCATTAAGAGATAAGTTTAAAGAATTTGGAATAATGACGGTCGCATCACAATACATATACGAAAATTTAAGAACTTGTAAGAAAAAATATTAATTTGTTTCTTAAAAACAGTGATGTTCACACAATTAATACAAGAAACAAAAATAAACTAACTTTACCTGCTACTAGGCTTCACAAAATTAATAATTCATTTAAAGGTCTTTGTGTTCGCTTATACAATAAAGTCCCAAGCAATATCCAAGAGTTAGCCATAAATAAATTTAAAGATATTATAAAAAAAATAACTTATTAAAAAAGCTTATTACAAAGTGTCTGATTATATTACAGACAAAAATGCTTGGGTTTGAACTGTTCCAATCATTCCAACAGGTTTTCTTTATTAAATAAATCATGATTGTATTGACGTTGTAATAACATAATGATTTGTAAATGTTGTTACATTAGACTTTAAAATGTTGTGGAGTTTTTTTCGCTCGTTTTTCTCCGCAGCTAAAAAATATGTCCATAACGAGTGGTAGGGGAAAAAAAATTTGGACGATTCAAAAGAGTTGTACTATACATCCAATTTGAATAAAGATATATTGATTTCTGATTTCTGCTTAACGCCAGGCAAAGACAGCAGTTGAAGTGGGATGCTCTACTGGCGGTACAGGTAACTCTAGCGTGCCAAGCGTTTAAGCCTCAAAACGCGTCAGGGATATCTGAATCTGCGCATGCGTACGACTCAGTGTTGCCATCAAGTCTGATAGAGTTGCCGTATTTAAAAATAAAAATCATGAAATGTAAAGGTAGTTAGTAACTAATTAATAGTAACTTTATTATAAAGGAAACTAATAAAAAAATAACCTACTCATTGATATCACCGCCATACAGATTTCTAATAGACTCAACTATTTAGTTGTCGTGTTTATTTAAACAATATTTGTCCATGTTTTTAATTTTCACACACATGTCTCGGGATGGCTGAAATATTGTACAGTTCACTTGATTTCTGATGGCTTGCTTCGCCAAAAGAGTTCCATTTACAGTTTCAGTAACTAATTTAGTTATACTGCACGTAGATTCCCAGTAATACATTTTCCGAGCTAGGGATGTGCCTATAATACAATTTTATACGATGTTTTTTTGGAATCGTATTTAACCAACATTATCCTTGTAAATCGATTCAAAACAAAATTGGATTGCCGTACATTATTATACGGTAATGAAAAACCTGCCGTCTGCCGTATAATCCGAAATTATGAGCTCAAATTTCCGTATATTACGGTAATTGCCGTATCAATGGCAACTCTTGTACGACTGGAGAGCCAATCGGCGCAACGCACGCCCACCCGCGCACCTCGTTTCCCCCCAACACATCTTAATTTTTACTTCTGCGCAATAACGGTCAGCGCTAGTTTCGTGCCGCGACTTAAAGTGTCTACACACGTCCCTTAAATCAGAGGTGATATCGGGAGAGGCGATATCGGATGATGGTGGGGATGAAATCGGCTACTACTCTACACACGTCCCTGCCAATCAGTACGTAGCCCACCGTGCAACATAACGCTCGTCGATCCAAGATGCCGCCCACGCTTTCAAAACAACAAAAATAGGCATCGCTCTGGCACTTAATACGGTGCGACCAAAACAAAAACTAAAGAGGAAGACTTGGGTTAAGAGGTGGTTGATGAAACGCCATGAATTCAGTCATATGAACGTTATAAGACATTTAGAACCAGTTGATTTGAAAAACTTTTTAAGAATGGATATTGAATGTTTTGAAGAGCTACTGAATTTGGTGACACCATTAATACAAAAACAAAATACCTTATGCGAGAAATGCGAGAATCCATAAGTCCAAGAGAACGACTTATAGTTACTTTACGTTTCCTGGCTACTGGACAAAGCTATGAGGATTTAAAGTTTTTGTTTTCAAGTTTCTTCTTAAAATCGGCCATCGTATTGTCTTTACCGACCTTTTCATTATATACTTGTAATAACATTTTAAAGGCCTCCTGCCTCATGTCGCGATTAAGATAATCGTTGTGTTTTTTATCCCATAAATACGCCAACTCTTTATAAATATCTATGGTTTTCGTCCAGGCCTCTCGCTCCTTTTCTTTCGCCATACCTCCGCACGAATAAAAAGGACATAAAACCAACACGCGTCCTCTTCGCACTACGCTCGCACGAGCACTGCGTTGAAATCGGACCCGATTTCGCTACACACGCACTGACAACGCTCCCTAGATGATAATCGGCCCTAAATCGTGAGCTCGCCCGTTCCAATTTCTGAGTTAGGGGTAATAATAATAATGATGATTACGATTTGCCTACACACGAGGCGATCTAGGGAGCTATTTAGGGTGCTCCCCACCACTTTCCCGAGATTGCCTCTGATTTAAGGGACGTGTGTAGACACTTTTATATGTGATGTCTCGCTCTAACAATGGAACTTGCCTGCCGTTAAGAGTTGATAATACGGCCCCTGGATAGGAAATAACCGGTTTGCGTTGAGTAAAATAGAACATTAAGGAATTTTTTCATCAGGAAATGACCAGTAATTATAAAAATGACAAGGCAGAAAAGGTTAGGTAATGATATCTGTAAATTTAATGCTTGTCAATCTCATGCTATCACGAAGAAAGTGACAGTACTACTTAATTGACGTATTTGAGTACGGCCTTCAGATAAATATCCATATTAAATTTTATTTGTAGAATTTTATTAAGCATATTGTTTAAGTGAAATTTTATTTTAGTGTAACTTATTACCTTCAATATTAATAAAATGAAATAATATCATAAATTACCTTATATTTTGTCTTTTACCCCTTAATAATAAACGAAGAATAAGCTTGGATTTGTTACTCCATGTTTTCTCTCTTCATTCATCATGACAAATTTTAATGGCATTTGAGTAACATGAACAAAACACGGCGTTACCGGTCTAAGTTTCATCAACAGCCCATCTTAGTCCCTTAGATTAAAACAAAAAGGGAAGATACGGCATTCGCGGCTCAAAAGTGATCCACTTAAAATTGTGGTCCACGACCATAATTCGCTTTAGTCACAATTTGACATTCAAATACGCTGCATGTACAGTCAATATAATAATATTGCGTATATTCTATGTTATGAAGATATAACAATGCCTTCGATGCTTTTATAAAGAACACAAATAGTTCAAAATCTAATGCCCCGGCAACACTTTTCATTCGTATAACTGTGAAAATATTTTTTTCTCAAAAATCACGGTTTGTCGTGAATATTATTTACGTAATCGCCATTTTGTAAGCAAGAAAAGGACAACAATACGCTGCGTTGAAGCGTACAGTTCTGTCCCGCTCGCTTGATTGATGTTTATATACAGACGTGTGCGTGGCGAGAGTTACTTATGTAGTTGATTCGGATCATATTTTATTTGATGCTTGTATGAGCGTACCGTATCTACCCTTTTTGTTTTAATCTAAGCCTAGTCCACTGCTGGACATAGGCCTCTCCACTCAGATCGATCTTGGGCTAAGCTTATTCCTTGTTTATTAATAAGTCTGTTAGTGTTTACATAATATGCCGAATAAGATTTAAAATGTAACAGCAAATCATTCCAGCAATTTATATAAACGAACTTACCTACTTATGTAAGTTTTATATGAAAATGAATTATTATTATTATTACTTATGTATCATTGTACACCAGTTTTAACTTGTAAAATTATTGACGTGACAACGTCTTAAATTAGGTTGCGGCTGGGAGTCACTTATGAAAAAGTGTAACGCTCGGTAACGTTACGATGAGTCTCTCGTGTTAAGTTTAAGTTTACATGTACAATGTTTTAGTAAACAAAATATATTTCTATAGTTAAAATTTGTGCAATTCTTATTTTCATTCAATTCCTTGTTCCTATTGTGCAATTTAATTATATTCATATCAATAAATATTCTACCGAGAAAAAGACGTTGTCACGTAAAATCGTCGCCCGTAAAACCGACTTTACAGGCAACCATTTTTTTTAAAATATTGTAATTTAACACCCGAGTGGAGTGCGCCCCCTCCGCGCCATACCACTGTAACTAAGTACCTACCTATATTTTTGAAATTTATTTAATTCAAATGCAAAGATATAAATAGCTACACTGCCCTACTAAGCGCAAAAGCGGTATCTCAAGAAAAACCGAAATTTGTTTTTTATGGCATTGGATAGCTAAGAAAAAACGCATCTATTGAACTAAGTCTTCTGGCGGTATGTTATTTAAAATTTATAAAAAAGCGTTAAGAAAGCTTTCTCTACCTCACTTTTAACTTAATTTATTAATAATTACTAAGGATATTAGAGGTATATCAATATAACGTAGGCAACCAGCCGTATATGTATATTATTGGTTTTAACAGAGGTTCTTTTTTTTTTTTTATGGCATGCACGGTTTGTGCGTTCAGCCAATGTCAAGTAAAAATAACAGAGGTTGAACTATTGTTGAATTTGTTATACTTTTTAATTTCACGGTTTAACTGACGATCTGACGATCTCTACGTAAAGCTTTCTTGCGGTCCAGCCGGCGTGCACGCGCTGTTGCATTATGATCTTTATTTTCTACTCCACAAAGTACCTACCACACTTCTATATTTTGCGGCGTGTCTATATTTTTGATTGGTAATTCATAGAACACGCTTCTTTTAAAAAAAAGATTTTTATGATTATAAATTTAAATAATAACAGACTTTATAATTGCACTTTGATTTGTTTATTTCTTTATAAGAATATGATTTTTTTTCAACCGAAAATTCATATCCTTTTGTATACAAGCATGTTAGGAGAAAAGCTAACCAAAATGCGGCAACTCAAATCTTAAGTTTGTAATTACTAAGCAGTGTAGCAGTATCTCATGTTTAAGGCATTTCCACGTATATTTTACATATTTTATCTATTGTGATAGAAAACTTACCTAATATTATATTTAAATTGCATTTCATTACCAAAGATGACAATCTATAAATTAACGAAATAACGTCAAATATCTCGAAACTAGATTTCATTGAGACACCGCTTTTGTGCTTAGTAGGGCAGTACAATAATTATCACACATTAGGTACTTTATACAAAGATTATACATCGATTTGTCTTATTAAATAAATTAGTATAATTAAGTAAAACACGAATCATAAAGTTAACGTTCAAACTGTGTATAAATATTTGTTGTATTCAGTATTATATTAGTGTTATTATAAACATGCGTTTCATTTCATGTTATACATAACTAGCGGCCCGCCCTCGCTTCTAGATAGATAGAAGATATTATAAAGACGAAAGTTTGTGAGTGTGTATGTTTGTTACTTCTTCACGTCTAAACGGCTGGAGCGATTTTAATAGAATTGGGTATGGAGTTAGCTGACACCCTGGATTACCACCTATAGGCTACGTTTTACTGCGGGAATATATCCCTAATAAACCGCGGATAACACCGCGGGCACAGCTAGCAATGTAATCAAAGAAAATAAAAGAAGCATCATCATCATCAGCCTATTAATGTCCCCAATGCTGGGGCACAGGCCTTCCCTATGGATGGAATAGGGAGATTAGGCCATGACACACCACGCAGGCCCAGTGCGGATTGGTGGGTGCTAATGACTGCAGATGCAGCCGGGACCAACTTCCGAAGCACGGAGGAGCTCGAGATAGTAAATTTTTGGTCACTTATCCAATGACCGACCACTGCTAAAGTTGCTTAACTTCAACGATCGCAGCCGAACGCGCTAACCACGCGCCATCAAGCTCCTCCAAAAGAAGCATAAGCAGTCATAAATCATTCACAATTTTATCAATGTGCCCGTCACGGCAAAATGATGACGCATACGCGAATCTAACCTTGCTTTTGCAGCGGATTAGAACTCAGTTTGACCTACTTTAGTTCCGTTAGCCGAGTTGTTATCTTGTTCATACCACCGATACCTGAGTTGAGTACGTGTCCAAAATTTTAGTGTGCTATGCAACCGCTGATTATGGCGGACGCGTACGAAAGAGCGCTACAGAGCACGCTGTGCGACATCGCCGCGAAACATTATGAAGAGTATCGTCTGGAGTTCTCGCCCGTGTATACGGCCGGTGCTGGCTACACGTCGCAGCTGTACCGCGGCAGGATCATAGCACCTAACAAAGAAGACATCAAATTCTTCGTCAAAGTCGCTGCTCTAGGAACGGAAGCCCGCACGGTGCTACCGACATCTATCTATTTCACAGAGCAATACGTTTACAAGAGACTAGCTGAAATATACAAAAATATAGAGGACAAGCATAAAGTGCCTCTGGAACACAGATTTGTGTTCCCTATTGTGTATGGATATAGTGACACAGAGCTGGAGGAAGTCATAGTGCTGCAAGATTTGGCCGCAGAAGGATTCACCGTACAAGATAGATTTACTTCTTTCGATTGGCATTACGCGTCAGCTGCGGTGCAGCAAATCGCTCGTTTCCACGCCCTTTCGATTGCTATGCAACATGATTTCCCTGAAGACTATAAGGAGGTCTCAGAAACATTCAAGTTTAGGAAGTCTAAAGATCAATCAATGTTTAATATGGTGCAACAAACGGCGAATAATTCCATTGGACTCATCAAGCCGGAGTACAGAGAGAGAGTAGAAAAGTATTTAGAAGAATATTTACCGAAAGCTATGGCAACTTATTACGATATACCACCGAGACCAGTGCTGAATCACGGAGACTTTAGGATGAGCAATATAATGCATAGAAAACGTCAGGTAAGTATCGTTACTATTTTACTGATCTCACTTTATTCTTTGCACTTATGGTGTTCAAGGAAACTTACACCCATATTCTTAGTTGCGTCCTCAAACGTTCCTCGACTCCAACCACGGAGTACCCCCACTAGAGTCCGCATCACGCAAATTTTGTTTGAAATCAAAATCGCCAAAGTCGGTGGCGTGCAGGGAGATCAGCCGCGTTGTGATTGGACACGTCAAGGTCAGATGATATACTCAGTGCAGCGAAGTGATGAGGGTAAGATCGATTTTAGAAAATATCGATATTTTCTATCGATAAATAAAGGACACCCGGCATTATGTGCCAAAGTTGTATACTTTTTATCTGTGTTTCATAATTGGGTAACGTAGTCTGGCAATATTTGTCATCAGCAGCTAGCTGTCAATGTCAAATACGTAGGTTTGTCAATATAACCTCTATATGTAGCCGGGTCGTCAAGAGAAATAACGGATAAAAAGGCGGGATAGGATGCGAAATGCGAATGATTTTTTTGTTTGTATTTTAGGATTGTCAAATTGACATTTGGTTTTTTATTAAGAAAAAGCAAACGAATCATGGATTTTACAGTCACTTGAGTAATATTTTCAAGTAAAATTCTGTCCCTTGAAGATTTAGGGTTTCCATATCAAAAAACATTAATCATTATATAACTTCTTTCCACGATTCACTAAAAATAAGGCAAAATTAGTTTTATGTAGCAAATAATTTTGGCTTCATTTTGAGACCAAATTCAACTGTATACAAGTTTAGCATTTTTTCTATGAAAAGTGCCGGTTCTCCATTGTACAGAGGCCTAGTACTTTGGTGCGCTAGTGTAGCTATGCGCAAACATACTCTCTCCACTTTCTTCCAGCGTTCTAATTACATGACGCGACTAGTAACTACATACTAAATAAAATATAAGCAACACAAAAAACACGTAAAAAAATATCTGGTTAGACAATAATATGCTGTTTATGACAACTTTTAAAACTTAAGGCGCCTTACTCATCGGCTCGGTACAGGTTCGTTTTGTTTTCGGGAGTGACTGTCAGTGGTAAAGTGACGAGAACATATGTAACTGTTTACAGTTGGAGTCCAATCTTTACGTTTAGTTGCACTTATCCAAAGTTCCTTCATCTTGGCACATTTTGGAAACCTATGAAATAAATAAAACACGTAATGTTACTGTATTTTGATTCTCGCATCAGTCTGTAAGATTAAATATCTCTTTAAAGATTTTGCTCGTTGCTGTTCTCGTGAAAGGCACATGCGATATACAGACTTAATGAATTTAATATTAATACGGTGACGTCCGTGGCTCTTGACTTAGCACAAGCAAAATAACCTAAGTATAACCAAATTATTGATTTTGAAGGAACTTTGTAAATACTTATCAAAGTTTATGCTAGCTACCACCCGCGACTTCATCCACGTTAACTTTAGTTTTTTGAAAATCCTAAAGAAACCTGACATTTTTCCGTTACAAAAAGTATTCTATACAACGATATTTTATACCCTAGATACGACAACATGTACAAAATCGTGGCCGAAACGTGACCAAAAGGTACATTTGACGATTCACAGAGGTCCGTAAGATGATCGCGTGGTCAAAAACAATGTAATGCATTATTTCAAAAAAAGTCACCTTTAATGCATACGGCATAAGCTCTTAATTAAAACGCATGCATCAAAGATTTATGGCAGTTCAAAATGCAAGTTCCTAAAATTTTACGACTTATTGTTATATGCGAAAGAAAATAGACCTTATTTTTTTTAACTTTTCGCGCTCAATTCTGAATGTGCTGTTAGCTATTATAGCAGGTACAGACCGCGAAGAAAAAAGACGGCTATAGGGCGACGTATAACCGACCATGCTTTTGAGTATCACAAATATGTTATATTAAATCAGTTTATAGTAAGTATTACAATAAAATTTGCTTCAAATGCGTTAAATTTATAATAATAATAACGTTTATTTGGCTCAAATTATATAAATAACTTATTGTATTACATAAAGATGACTATGTACCAAATTATAAAAACATTAATTAGATACCTGTCGAAAAAACAACACTTTACGTACTATTAGTATTTTTTTCGCATTTTTACGGAGCTCTGCGGCATTTTGACTTTTCATCGGTCCGCGCGTGACTGTAAACCAAGAAGTGCTTGAATAAAGTTTAAGCACTTCTTGATTGAGACACATTTTGAGCGATCGTGGTCTATCTAGGGTATTTAATATCGTTAATTCCATGTCTTTATCTAGGTCATAAAGTATGCGCACTTAATTTCATACAAATCGGTTTAATCGTGTAATAGTAACAAACATCCATACAAATTTTCGGGTTTAAAATTTTAGTACGATATGATTAAAAACTGTTGGTTGTATACTCATGATATCTGTTATTGTATACGATGAAATAAATAGTTTTTATTTATTTTTTCTATTTCCGTAGCTGACAAACTTATCGATAAACTTACGGGTACAGACATGAGCTGCGTCAAGTCACTAGCAATACACGTGCCGGTGTGAGAGCGGAATAGCATATATGATGTAGCGCATGCGAGAAAGGGATAGTGTTAAAAGACATCAACGCGTTCACCAAAAAATAAATACAATTAAAAGCAATTTCATATAAGAGTATTTTTGTCTTTTTGTAATGCATTTAAACTTACAGGTGAAAAGTAATACCATCTTTTTGAAGACTGGAAGTTTTACTTCACTTTCCACATAATTTAATTGCACAGCACGGCATTTTTTCTAGTTTTTTAAAGCAAAAACGAGAGAAGCACTTCTGCTAACGCTCGGCTTCGGAATGAAACGATGTATAGCGACGTCTGTGGGCGTGTCTCACGCATACGTAATATACTACTTAAGCTTGGCGTAAGCGCTTGCCCTTGTATGCGGACTCTAGTGGGGGTGCTCCATGACTCCAACTCATTCGAGGGCTCCTTAAGGAGTTCCTCCAAATAACCTCGAAAATTATATTTTAGTAGGTATCTTGAGCAAACTTGAGAATTCCTCCACTGAGAGTATAAACAAAGGTATAAAGCATAAAAGCATAGACATATTAATGTGTAAAGTAAAATATCACACAACAAACAGGTAAAATACCTACTTGAAATAATCCTGTCACGTAAAACTTCAAAGCCACCAGTAATTGTATTAAAGGCGGGACAGGTAGTCCTCTGTTGTTACAATTTAGTGTAATGTTTAGCAGAGGAAATATTACTTGTATGAATGTATCTCTCTAAACCTAAATCTCCTTTTTAACAAATCATTGTCGTAAACCTTAAAAGGATTTGCGGCGTCACGTAGATACCGTCGCGCCGGATTATATGGTTCATCATCGTATACGTAATCCATAAAATCCACCAATTCGTCAATAATCTCAAAACTAGACATAATTCTCGATAAAAACAACTTGAAAACACCCTAAACACCACTCGAGGAAGCCTTTAGGTACGTCGAGAGCTACCTTGAGTTTGACAGTTTATTCCTCGACTATCTTATCTCAAGTGAAGGATATTTTTGTTGTCTAAGCATACCAATTTCCTCGAATGAGGTTGAGTCGAGTGGAAACGACTAAGAATATGGGTGTTAGTCGCCAAAGAAAGCTCTTTTACATCTATCGTATCTACATAGAGCATCTTATTGACTTGATGGCAATCAAGATATTATCGTCTATTACGTTCATTTACAGGACGGGAGCGTCGAAGCGATCTTGATAGATTACCAAATCTTGCATATATCGTCGTGCGTCAAGGACCTAATGTTCTTTATCTTCACTGGGTCGGACGCGGAGTTCCGCAGGCATCATTATCAGCAGCTTCTTCAGCATTACTACAACGAGCTCCGCTGTGCGCTCACCACACTCGATCTGCATCCTGACAAAGTGTTCCCTAAAGAAGAGTTTGATGCAGATTTGAAAGAGGTCTGTAGTGATGTAACACATAGTTACTTGAATAGGTCTCTAAGTAGAGGAAACTACCCAATCATTGGCACTCTTCCTATTATTGGCACTTTTGAGTTTAGTTTGAAAAAAAACAGGAAACAATAGATTGTAGGAATAATGCTGCCAATTTTCAATTTTGAAACCATACTAGGTTTTTCTTTTTAATATGTAACGACTTCGAATAATCTATTGTTTCCTTGTTTTTCGAATTAAACTGAAAGGGTTCCCCTAGTAGCCCGGTAAGCTAAAGTTCACGAATTCGAGATCCGTCTTAAGTCCCGCGAGATAAGCATTTAAGAATTCACGCTCAATGAGCAATAGCGGGGTGATGGTGGGCGTTGGTTACTAAGCATCAGGCATCCCATAAGTTTTTTTTGTAATTAAATTATTATACTTATTATGCAGTTCTATTAGCGGTATCGTTTTGTAAAGGTCGTAGTAGACATATTAACGCCACGCATATGCCTTGAACGCACGTACCGAGCAAAGGAGCGAGACAGTGCCGAGTACTCGGTACATATAAATATAGTACCGAGTGTTCGGCCGAGCGCTCTTACATGAGATCACTGTCTCGACCGAGAAACATTTTACTGTCTCGCCCACAGAACACAGAAAGAGGTCTCGCCCGTTTATTAGGTACGTGTGATCAAGGCATTAAATACTTTGTCTCCTACCGAGGCGAGGCGATTACTTTAAGATTCCGATTAGTGTGCATTGCAGTATGGGGATCCATACAGATTTTCTGAACGGCTCGAATTAATACCGAGTCGATCCTTTATCGTACTTTGTGGAAGTTCCAGTCTCGCCTGGGTTTTGGTGTATAATGCAATATCGAGTGTCGCATTGAATGTATTATCGATTGATTTATCTTTATGAATGTTTCGTAACATATATTATTATCTAAGATGAGTTTTGCAATGTGTTTTCAGGGAAAAACTACTTATTTAAATCTCCAAACAAAGTAAAAAAAACCGGTCAGTTGCGAGTCTCACACGCCGATCCAGGGTTTGTAGGTACGCAACATAGAAGGCACTTTTTTTTTTAACGTTAACTTAGAAATTTAATTGTTTCGCAGCTTTAACCGTAGATCTTAAGGTTTCAATTTCAACTTGATACCTCTAAGGGCGCTTTCAATTTATGCGTTTCTTGACGGCCTTGAGCGTTCGCGGTACCGGCGCCGCACTGTTACCGCACCGCGCGTTTTGTATGAAAAAAAAAGGATCTTCCGTACGTTGTACGACAAACGCACCGCTCCGGTACCGCAGCAGGCCGGCAAGAAACGCATAAATTGAAAGAGCCCTAAACGTTTCTGAGGTGAAGGGTCTTGCCAGACAGACGACAAAGTGAGCTTATAAGGGATCGGTTTTTTTCCTTAAAATAGATGTAAAAAAATAAAACTGAGTAACGTTTTTCAGATAAAATAATTGATAATCCAAACCTAACGGTAAATGGTTTCTACCATCAGAACTATCTATGCCAATTGATAAATTAAATGTTACTTAAATTAAAATACGTGGTGTACATAGGCTCTTATGAAAAGAATACGATCAAGATATCGGCCCCTGGTGGAGTTGTTTATAAGGGTACCTATGCTAAAGCATAGGTATGACCACAGGACTCAAATTTAAAAATCTTCCTAATATTAATAGCGATGATAGTGTATTAGGGACCCCCTCCTGGGCTCATATAGGTAAGCTGTGAATTTTTAATATGGCTTTTGCCACCCTGAGGCTCTTGCAGCCGCCCCGGACCATAGGGCGAAAAGGGCCCCCTACGGTACATACGCCGCTGTCGTGAATGATTGTCTACTATGATTTCAGAACCAGCACCTCGGACTGCTGTTCGCACTGCACGCGTTGCCGGTGGTGATGGTGGCAGAAGAGAAGGCGCCGGCGCCGAGCGAGGTGCTCGGCATGGAGAACTTTATGCAGATCGAAGCCACGCAACTGTGCAAGGACCGCCTCAATGAGGTCGTCGAGGACTTCATAGCTTTGGGAGTCATATGATGACAGACTAAATATTTTCCGCTAGATATTGAAGACTTTTTCATAGGTAGGTACAAGTGAAGACTGATATGATTTTTATTTCTTGTTCACGTAGAACTCCAGTCTTGCTGCTCCCACCGATCAGGGCCCGATTTAGAGGTGTGGAGGCCCCTAAATCAGGGCCACTTAATGATTTGCAATCAAAAACTATTAACACAAATGGTTTCTTTATTCACATAATCGAAACATTTATCGATTTAAATTCACGTCTTGGTAACAATAATTGGGGGCTCGCGACGTTACTAATACGTAAAAATTATTACTTTATGGATAAAGAACATTTACCCCTTACTCCTACAGATGATACTCAACTCTACCCGGAGACATCAAAAACTCGTTTGATTAGTTAACAGTAGGTACATTAATGCAGTGGCCAGCATGAGGGATTGATGAACGAACATTATAAATGTAGGCAGACGCACAGATGCGCAAGTCCATCAATTCCGTCGTAGCACAGGCTTGTATAATCTTAGTACTTTTCTCAAATAACACGGAAAATAAATTTACTATGAATATATTTGGCCGCTGGACACGACTGATATGGATATTCATACAACTTTTGCTGACATGTATGTAGCCAATACATCAATTTCGATATAATATCTCTACTCACATTTCCAAGCATATTTGAGAAAATTTACCAACTCCGAGTATTGGTCGTGAGAAATGTACCTAACTGAGCATGAACGTATGTTATTTACATTAAGCAAAATAAAAGATTATTGTTAAGATGTTATTGTTTTATTGTTCAATCCTCCTCCTCGTCGTTGGTGGCGCCGCCAGCCTGGCCCTTGCGCAGGTTCTTCCTCTTGACGCGGCCCGGCCGGCCGCCGCCGAACGGAGACTTCAGCGAGAAGTCAATGTGCTTGCCAGAGTCCAGCCGCACGATGAACGAAGGGATGTTCACAACTTGCTTGCGGACACTGCAATACAATTTGTTAATCAGTAAACTCTAAAACTGGGCATTCGCTGGACAATTTCTTTACTAAATACTATTAAAGCAAATGTATTGTTGTATATTGCGATTCAACTAAGAATAGGACCGACTGGGCACCATATTTTGATGTCATAGCTGTCAATTCAAACCAAATAGGTAGAGGGAGCAAAAAAAATTACTAAAATTAAGTGAGAAAAAACATTAGATTTTTTAATAAAATTAATTTACTAAGGTTGAGAAAGAACTCAACCGATTTTTAATAGTATTTCTTTATTAAGACTGTGAAAAAATATTATTAATCACAATCTAGCTCTTCAATTTCGCTCATCTCTGCATTACCGCCGGAGAAGTTATGAATAATCATGCACATAAGAACATGCATCCTACATGTAAACGAAAAATAGAGTTTTTGAACACAACATAAAGTGACATTTGGTTGACGATTTAGGTTATCAACCATTCATAGCTAAAAGCTCAATAAATTAAAAAAAAACAACTAATATTAATTATCAAAATTTGTTATTGTTTGTATAAAAAATTGGTTTTTATTCTAGAATCAGGTGAGCGCTAAAAAAGTGTTACGAGATTTTTTTACAAACCATACTTTTCAAGCTGCATTTGACCGGTGGAGGTATTTGGCTTTCCTATTCTTATTTGAAACGCATTATACAGATCCACATCATATTTGCTTTAGTTCAGTGTTAAGTTTAGGTTGTCAGCCCATTGACTATCTAAAACAGTTTCAAGTGTTGTGCTTTCCACAAGAAAAATTCTATACACCACCATATTATGTAAACATTTAAGTTAAGTCAGTAACCTTAACTGAATGAAACATTCTACATTCAATTTGTATAAATGCAGATAGTATATTGTATGTAAATTTTTATCACATTACAAATAATTAGTATCAAGTCCAAACTACATTTTTTCATCATATTTGTATCCTTACCATTTAGGCTACACACAATTTATAAAATATAGATAACTTTTGCTGGTAGACCTTACCTTCATGACCATTTTAAGAGCTTATAAAATTTCAAGACATTGAATCCAACACAAGGTTGAAAATCAAGTGGTCTTTATGAATGTGTATCCACATTTTGATCATAGTTCAACCTGGGGCAGCACCCAGGGTAGCTGTTGCACTCTGCTACCTGCATTTGAGATTGATACTCAAAATATTGTTGACAATAGACTATATTTAATAGAATAACATTAGCTAGGTATTAACATTTATAATGATCATTTCTCTACATGTTTCCTATCTCAATACGCACAGTAAAAACAATTGCATATTGCGCCCATAAAAAAATTAACTTTTAGGGGAAAAAGAAAAATTAATTGTATCATTTGTGGTCCATCAGGACCCTGCCTCAGCATTATGCTACTGCAACACCAGAAATGTGTCACAGCAGCACTGGTTTTCTGACAAGGCCTGTTATGCCGGAACTTCACATTGCCAATCGCATCAGCCACCCTCAAACTTGTCAGCAGTCCTTTCCTCTCACTCTCCATAGTAGTGTGTTAAGGAAACACCACTACCAATCCACCATATGGCATACACAACTAGCCACATGACGTGCCAGCATAAAGTGAGTAAGAATACGGAATCACACACTCCGTAATCTGTACTCCACATTGACTCCGCACTTTAGACATAATTTACAATAATTCTTAGTGTAACTATACAATCATAGATAAAAAGCAACAATTCTCACCGGATGTGCCTCTGTCTGATAAGAATACGGGCATGATGGATAGACTTAGCTAGACCAGCCTTGAACACCTGAGTCTGGAGACGACGTTCCAAGAAGTCCTCAATCTTCAGACCGAGTACATAATCGAGCTTCATCTGCTTCTCATCCAACACACCGATCCTCACCAGACGACGAAGGAGAGCATTACCTAAAATAAGTTTAAATATGGTAATACAGGAAATACTTATAAACCTTAAATTGAATGCTTTAACCATCAGATACTGTATTTATCTACAAGGGATAATCAGACAAGAGGTTGCCAGAATTTATCATCATAAAACCAAAAATTGAGACATGTATAAATAAATAAATATTTTCAACACTCACACCAATTAGCCTAGCACCAAAGTAAGCACCATAAGGCTTGTGTTATGGGATACTAGGGTAACGGATAGAATACATATACTGTACATAAATAAGTATATTTTTATAGAAATGCATATCGAACATCCATGACTGGAGTACGAATTCATCACACAAACATCCGCCCCCACCGGAATTCGAACCCGAGACGTTTCGAGTCCGCGACACCATAAAACCCATACATCAATTATTTAGATAGTGAGCTGCAAGTAGAATAAAGTTCAAACTAGTGTACATACGCCACATAGCATACAACTTCATTAATCAAATAACAAGAAGTTACAAGGCCATATTACTGATTAAAAAAAAACTACTAAAATGAGGAGCTCGATGGCGCAGGTGGCTAGCGCGTTCGGCTGCGATCGTTGAAGTTAAGCAACTTTCGCAGTGGTCGGTCACTGGATGTGTGACCAAAAATTTACTATCTCGAGCTCCTCCGTGCTTCGGAAGGCACGTTAAGCCGTTGGTCCCGGCTGCATTTGCAGTCGTTAGCACCCACCAATCCGCACTGGGCCCGCGTGGTGGGTCATGGCCCAATCTCCCTATTCCATCCATAGGGAAGGCCTGTGCCCCAGCAGTGGGGACATTAATAGGCTGATGATGACTAAAATGCGAGTTTGTTAGGTTATAAATAAGTTATTGAAAGATGCTAAACACATTGCGCATACCTTCGAATAACCTCTTAGGGTCTTTCTCCTCGAGTGTGAGCAGCTCACGGGCAGCCTTACGGATCCTGGCCAGCGTGTACTTCACCCTCCACACCTCACGCTTGTTGCGGAGACCATACTCTCCGATGATCTTCAACTCCTGGTCGAGACGCGCCTTCTCGAACGGACGACGAGGCGTCACGTATGTTTTGGAGAATACCGAAGGTACTCTGTTGTTCACCATCTTGGCGAGCTGATACAGTATTGTACGTCAGTAACTTCTTCATACAAACATTAATTTTACATCGTTTCATAAAAGGATTGTAGCCCCGAACCGATACAAGCGTAAAAACTCGATGTTTTCAAAACACCAAGCTGAAGTACGCTTGAGATTCATAATCCAAGGCAATTATTTAGCCCTCTAGTCCGAACACGACGATAAATATTCATCGACATGTTCTACTTGAAGGCAATCGCAATACATTTTGGGGTTAAGTTCAATTAAATCGACTTACATCTTAAAACATATAGCTTGAATTTAATATAGCACACTTTCACTATAACGCCAGGTGCAAAGGCTAATAATTAATAGAAATATTTCTAATAAAACTATAAAATTCCATGTAAATAATCACCTCGATCCAACACCGCCACTCGCCGAAAAAGAACTTGTCAAAAAAGAGGGCAACAGGGTTGCCAATCGCAACCTTATACCAAGAAACCGATAATATCGATATTTTAATCGCTATGTTAAATTTAAAGATACCGATAATATTGATATTGAAAAATCTAAAATATATGCAAAATATAGATATTGGTTTAATTGCTATTACCATTTAATTTATGAAATTAACATTGTAATACAATATTATATTATAACTATTGTGAAGGGTCCAGAGCAGTAAATATATATCAAAATTTGCTGTGCCTCGTAACAGGATGGCGGGCGCCGAGCCCCGGGCGGGCACTAGATCTTTAAAGTACTTTAGTGTAAGGCCGTATACAGAAAGAAAGCCGAAAGCCGATCGGCGCCGATCAGCGCCGATCGGCGCTTATCGGCGCCTATTGACGCTGATCCTTTTTCTATTAACCGGCGCCGATAAGCGCCGATAAGCGCCGACTCGCGCTGGTCCGAATAATAAATAATTTGTATTTGAATTATTTTCCTTAGATTAAATCAATCTAAGTTATAATCTTTTTATAAATCTAATAACTTTATCTTTTATTAACTAAGCGCTAAAATTATTTGTTTCGTACTTATCGAATGGTGACAACAAGTCTTTCTTCTGGAAGGATTGGTTGTTTATGCCAATTGCCCTAATTTTTCATCAAACGGTTTTTCACTAAATCCAAAATGTAATAAAATGTTTCTTGAATCATTCTTGTATATGTATAAAATCTTTGTTCATCAAATTTAATTTTTTTTACAAATAAATTATGGTATTCTCCGAAACGTTTCCTTTCTCTATTTATAGGTATAGCTGTTTTTCGCATTTTTAAATAAACATTTTCTAACAAAACCAAATCATCGTCCGATGAGTCCGACATTTTGCTTGATCTGCTTTAATCGGCTTCCTTTATGTAGGAAGGATCGGCGCCGATAAGCGCCGATCGGCGCCGATCGGCTTTCGGCTTTCTTTCTGTATACGGCCTTAGTGCTTGTAATTGTAGGCTTACATGGCGCTGAGAATAAAATCAAATAAAGTTCAAGTTTTGAAGCGATAATACCTAAAATCTTATACCTACATTTCACATTGCTATTCGTAATTGCTTTTTGTAAACTTAACAACAGTCGCTCCTTTTCACTCTCTATGAAGTATGATAAGGACTTACTATTACTATTATTATATGTATATTTGACATCTTTTTGAGAAGACAATCTTACGTTATTTAGTAGTATTTAAGGACTCCATTTTATTTTTCATTCCGTTGTGTATATAGAGCAACACAGTAGGGAGTAGCCAAAGCGACATAATATAATTAAAATCATTCTGTCATTTTTCGCGGGGGGAAATGTAGTTTACAAATGCAGTTAACGTGTACGTTAACGCATATAAAACAAAACTATTCGTAAGTCGTAACTACGACACTCACACCAGTGGCGTTGCGTGCCTTGGTGATGCTTGCATAAAATTAAAAGCTATATTTATTCATCACAATTATCTATCTGTCACTTTTTACAGACAATTTAAATTAATTATACACTCTCCTTGTATTTCTTTCGGCAAACTGATTTATTAAGTCATTTATAGCTGATGATGACTTCAGTTTTTCTAAAGTTTCTGCCTCTATGGACTAAAGTGACAAGTCTGACAGGCGTTCTTGTCTGAATCTTTTGCAAAAAACCCCTTTCTGTTTAAGTTTTTTCTTTTCGTAGCTCCGCTGGGATAATTTCTTTTCCTTTCACTCATTGTTTTTTTATATATTGCTACTAATACTACTAAATCAGAAGAAAAATTGTTTGTTTTGTATTACAATGTAATGCACAATTAAATAAAACGTGTTAATAAACACTTATCTCCGTGGTTTATCATTGTGTCGTATGTATATCGATTATTGTGGGATTCCCCCGTTGTAGTAAATGATTTAAACGGGGAAATCCCACAGCCCGCAATAACCGATCTAGGGTGTTGCTAACACATACATTACGCGGAAAAAGGAGGTTTTTTTTTGTTTGTCATTTCAGAAAAAGAAATGGGAAGTTTTCACTAATTTTTGCTTACGCACTTTGGGGGCCCCGTATTATTGATACAGCAGATACGGCGGTAGCTATACCACTGACTCAGACATAAACAATAACACAATATATCTTCAAAGCCTGAAAACACTTATCGTTTGTATGCCCAACCCGACAGAGGGGAAAGCTGTGTATGCTTACTCCGCTCCTGAACGCGTCGGCCGTGTTACTCGGCGTATACGCGATATTGCGTATATAAGTAAAGAAAAGAAATCAAAAATACTACTCTCAGATATGCCGCTAAAACCTTTCTCTGGTTAATATGACGTGTTTACCAGTGTTTCATACGGCTGTCATTTAAACGTAAAAAAGTACACTTAGACCGGAACTTTACATGAGGAATATCATTTAAGGCATCACCAATACCAAGCGTTTTCGGTCACATGACAACAAATTAAAAAACAGTTTTTTGTGATTTTTAGCCGAAATAATATTGGTATTTTTTTTTCCAAAAATAGTAAAAGCTGCTTCTTAAATTAATTTTAATACAGATGCCCACAATTCGCACTTTGCTTTTAATACTGTCCAATACCCTATTCTGATATTTCCCCTACCACCGTGCATTTTAGCATGCCCTTGCGGAAGGTTTGTGAGCAGCTGCATTAGAAAAAAAATATTATTCCGAGCAAAGTCAGGTTTGTTTTGCCAACTTAATAGAAAGCTGTAAAAATATCACGTGACCATAGCTGGTGTATCGATTTTGACTTAATTTTGATATAAATATCGATATTGCAAAAAAGTTGCGCCCCTAGAAGTTTTTTTTTAATTTATTCATGACTAGAAGAAAATAACAGAACAGTGTTGCCAACTTACCAAGCCAGCCAGGGTATCCAGTACAGGTATTTGTGATTTCCTCAGATCAAATTTTATTTTTCACAAAAAGATCCTATTATAATATTTCCTATTTGCTTTCCATGGATGTAAGTCCACACATTCATAAAATTTTCTCCAATTTGATTATGTAGGTATTGGTGTCGATTCTGGCGTGATTCTCTAAACTTAAAATTTTTAATATCAGTCGCTCATTTTCATTCTGTATAGAGAATGACAAGAATACTGTAGTCAAATTTAAGTTTAGATTTAGAGCATCATGCCAGAATCGATACCACTATAGGCTTAAAATGCACCACCATCATTGTGAATAAATAGTCGCGTTGGTAGCTAAGCACGAACGCCTTTAAAACTTTTTGAGTCTTTGGTGCTTGTGATCAATTTATACTAGGAGTCGAAGCGAATTTCAAAAACAGTGAAGTAGCCACTGTCTCTGAAATTCTCTTCGCTCTCGCTGCACCGCCAGTATAATTACACGAACTAAATCATCAATCTCTGCATAGGCGCGGGGACATAGGTTCCGCGTTCTATACAACGCTATTAGTGATATATTTTCTTCTAAAGTTCGCATTGTTAGAGTAAGTGGTTTTATTAATCACTAATCTGAGCTATTTCAAAGTTACTAAACATTCCCCTTATGAATAAAGAGAACAACACCCTTAGCACGAACCAATATCGAAATCGAATAGCTTGCGAGTCATTGTCGAATTTTGTATGGAAACTTGAACGACAGCGCCATAACGGACGTCACGAGAACTAAAAATCAGTACACATTTGACAATGACATTTCGCACTCGCAAACTTTTCGAATTCGATATTGGTTCATGTTAAGGGTACATTGTTCACTGAGAAGAGAAAGTGACCGATTACCAACGAGGGTGTAGTTTGAGGCCCGAGGCACAGACAAGGGCTTTTATACCCAAGTTGGGATTAGCACTTTCTTTCGAGGGATACAGAGTGCTTTATACTATACCTACCAGGAAATAAAAGACAAATTCTTTAATTGAAGTTTATATTAAAGTTGTAAAAGTAACTAACTTTGGCATGGGAGCTTAAATTGGTTTCTTGATTTCATGAGTAAAGGCATGACCGGTTAGGTAGTTTCTTTTTTTTAATTCTTTGTCAATAAATCTTCATTATGAGTAATAAACCCCGCCCGCCTCGAGTAGTGGGAAAATAAATTAAAAACTAGGTTAAAATAAAATAGTCGGCACGGTTTTTCCTTTTTATTCTTTTTTCAAGAATTCAGAAAGCAAACAGTGGTGTCGATTCTGACGCGATTCTCTAAATCGAAACTTAAATTTATCAACAGTATCCTTGTCATTTTCTATGCTAAATGTAAAGGAGGGACATAAGTTACATTTAGTTTTAAGTTTAGAGAATCAAGCCAGAATCGACACCTGGGGGACATTCGCCTAACGGAAATGCTGTAGAAATCGCTAACGCTTTCGATTTCATTTTGTTATTTCTGGCCGCCGAAGGTTTTCAAATACCTCGCGCTCATTTTCTTTATTATTGTTATTGCCAATGCAAAAGAAAAAAAGCGCTAGGCATTTGAAAATCTCAGGGGGCTATAAATAAAAAAATGAAATCGTAAGCGTTAGCGTTTACCAAAGCATTTCCGTTAGGCGAATGGCTCCCTGTATGATGTTAAAGAATAGATTGCAGTCTGCAAAAACATAGTGACCACTTTCCGGAACATAATAATAAAAGAAATTAAAAAAAACCAGCACGTTATAAATGATTTCCATAGACTTTTCTGTCCGCTCAGCGCGTTAGAAAAGGATTTCCATACACTATTCCAGTCCGCTTAGTAGTACAACAGTAATGAGGCTTTTTCTGCCTCATATTTGAAACAAGAATAAAGCACTTTCCGAGTAGGTGTAGTATAAAAATATATACGCTGTCGACCATGGAAACGATGTTTGTTTCCATCCCCGTATGACCATATACCCAACACATGGTTTAAAGTAAAAAGACAAAGTTAAATAAAACGATTTTATTATTAACAATTTTATAAATGTTTACTTTATGTAAAAATGTAAATTAAAATTTCTTGTATTTTAAAAATCCTCTATATTTCTTAGGATTTAATCCATAAGCTTTTAGTCTTTCATCAGAAAGTTTTCCGAGTGGATTTTCATTGGAAGTTTTACTATCTTTAGAATTCTTTTTGTTGTTAAATTTATTTTTCTTGCTATTTTTCATTTTACCAAATTTCTTATCGTCTCTTCTTACATTGGTATTAGAAATTTTGCTATTTAGTTGTGCTTTAGATTTCTGTTTGTCTATAGACACTTTAATTTTGTTACTCTTTGTATGAGTTTCGTCATTTTCTTCCATTTCTTCAAGTTTCTCTGTTGATTTAATTTTAAAGTTATTCTGTACCGAACATTCCCCATTCATTTCATTATAACTTATTTGGGGATTTTTCAACTTGTTTTTATGTTTCTTTTTCTTATTTTTTACTTCAATAATATTTTCTTCGCCTGTCATACTATTACACGGTAAGTCACTTTCTTCACTATTCAACTTGTTCTCTATTTTAGCTTTTTTATAATCCTTACTAGCTAGATTATTATCTATACTGTCTTCGTTTTCCAACTTTCGTTTCCGTTTTGATTTCTTTGCTTTATGCATATCTGTAACTTCTTCAACCTTTTCTTCATCTGAATTATCAATAGCAACATTGCTTATATCTTGCTGCTCTGTTGTGAATTTGAGTTTCTTCTTCTTCTTCTTGTTTTTCTTACTTTCCTTATTTGATTCATTTGTTACACTCTCGTCTGGTTGCTCGGTACTGCCGTTATTTTCTATTTCGTCTTTACACTCAGACTCTACAATTTCATTTTTCTCATCTACATTTTTCTGTTTGTTTTTCTTTTTCTTCTTCTTTGTTTCTTTTAACGGCACAGCAATTTCTGGCTCTCTATAAAGAAAAAAAAAGAATACATTATTACATTAAGTTTAATTGCATAATTAAAGGTATAATAAGTAAATATATTCTACTGTGCATAGACAGACAACATAGTTTCGTAGGATCGATTAATCAGATAATAATAACTTTTTACTTTCTTTCAAACGGGCATTAAAGAGGTTATACGAAAAGTGAATAGGAAATAGCTCAGTTAATATTCATCAAACCAACCTAAGGTAAAACACCCAATCTCCGACAAGGCACCATTGTCCGACATTAAAAAGCAAAACAAAGAAAAATAAGAATATTTTCTGACTTCTGAACACATTTGAAGCGTAAACTATAGACGAGGATTGTCTAGCTGTCATTGCTGATAACGTTTCATATTTTCGGCAATTTTGTACAAAATGGCGTAATTATATGTTTCGACCGCGGTAGATCTTCAACCAAATCCAGTTTTATTAGTAAAATTGCTAAGGAGGTGAGTAAGATTTATTGCTCATAACTTTTAATGGTTTAGCTTTATCTAATACGTTAGTTATTTATTACATGAGGATAGATATTCACAACTGCTTAATAATTTCATTAGAAGGGTAAGATTATATTAAAATGCTAAAACACGCCTGTCGGTAATTGGGGATTTTTTTTTGCTTTTTCCAATCTTCGACAAATGTCGAAATGTTTTTTTATTATATTTTGTGCACTTTATTATATTATTTAGCTCAGCTTGTTCAGCACTCTAAATATTTAGATCTTTCATTTAAATATTCAAACTGCTTCCAATGATCGACAGCCGTGTCGATGATTGGGTATCCCATACGTTCCAATGACCGACAGACGATATGTCGATGATTGGATATTCTATATGTTAGTCTACATGTTCCAGTAACCGACATTTTTTGCAGGCATGGCCCCCTTAAAAAAATTTACATGCCTCTTCAAATTGCCCAGGCCGTAGAAGCAGTCAGAAAAGGTGAGAAAACTGCAACTGCTGCAAAAAAGTTTGGTGTACCCAAATTTACATTACACGATAAGGTTTTCGGTAAGACTCCAGTTGAATGTTCCATGGGCCCTAAAACATATTTGTCAACGGTAGAGGAGGCTATTTTAGAAAAATGGATACTTGAAATGGCTGAAAAACACATTCCCGTTACTAGAGATGAGTTACTCGATAGCGTACAACATATCATAATTGACCAGAATAAAACAACCCCATTTACTACCAATAGACCGGGCAAGAAATGGTACAACCTTTTTCTAAATAGACATCCTATATTATCTGAGAGAACGGCACAAAATTTAACGGCAGCTCGAGATGCTGTTACAGAAGAGCATATAAGGCGCTGGTTTGAAGAAGTGAATCTACGCGAAAAAAAATTCAAAGATGTATTAGAACAGCAGGCAAGAATATTCAACACAGACGAAAGCCCCTTTTTTTCGTCACCTAAGGCTGGTAAAGTTCTTGCAAAAAAAGGTGACCAATTTTCCGGAGATGTAAAAGATAATTTAACAGTATTAATTACTGGAAATGCCGCTAGACAATTGGCACCACCCATGGTAGTATTTGCATATGAGAGAATCCCGTTCACAATTTCCCCCCAGTATCCTGGAGAATGGGCAATTGGACGTTCACAAAGTAGCTGGATGTGTGGCAGCACGTTTTACGAATACATTGCGAACGTTTTTAATCCATGGTTATTATTACATAGTTTGAGAAGATAAATAAACCGTGGAAGGATTATCATGAAATGAAAGAGAAACAAAAAAGAGAAACAGCAAAGTTAAAAGAAATTAAAGCCCAAGAAAGAGAAGAGAAAAGACAGTTAAAACAGAAAGAGGCGCAAAACAAAAAGCAAAATAGACTAAAAGATAAAGAAAATAAGAAGAAGAAACGAAATATGATACCAAAACCAAATGATACATCGTCGGACAATACAGACACCGAGGTAAACTATGCAGAAAGTGAAGATAGCTGTATCATGGAAATCGAAGAAGAACTAACAGACGAAGATATACCACTGAGCAAATATTCCAAGCCAGCAAAAACATATTCTATTGGAGATTATGTTATAATCCAATACGAAGGGGATTTTTCCCCAGGCGTAATTATATATGTTGATAAAAACAAATTTGAAATTAGCACCATGGCCTTTTCAGTGGGTAACACGTTCAAGTGGCCGGAAAAAGAAGATAAAATCTGATACCAAAAGTCTGACATAGTTAAAGTAATTTCGAAATCAATGCTATGCAATAAAAGAGGTTTATTAAGTACTTAAATTACCTACGCATTACATGCCAACATGCCCTTGTTTGTTTATTTAGCTAATTAAAATGATTAAAATACTGAATAAGACTTTTTTTTGGGAATGGTGTTTGAGGTCAGGACGATATTTGGATGATGATTAATAGAACATGTTGATTACTAGATCACGATTACTGGAACATGTCGATTAATGGGTGTCGATATATGGAATTTTGCAGTCGATAACTAGGCTAAAAAAAGCCTAAAACTATCTTGTTTTTTTTCCTAAGTTATTAGTATTACACTTCTGTTTGCTTTAAAATAATATAGAATTAACCCTAAAATGTTACCCAGTGCATTAAAAAATCATGTATTATCATAAACAAACCAGATATTTGAAAAATGCTCGAATCTCGACGTTAAAGTGTCGATAATTGGGTGTTTTACCTTACTTACTAAAGAACAATGACTGATTCCGGTTTACAAAGCTTTAAATTATAAAATTGCACGGACACATGTCTTTTACATACAACAAGAAACATAAAAAATTCGAATGTTTAAAATTACATTTATCTTTTTTCGAGAACTTCTCCAATATAATTTATTTATTCATAAACAAATAGCTGACCGGAAATCTAACAAAAATAAATTGAGTTGGCATTTTGTTTCTCCGATTTATTGCAATAAAAAGAAAGAGGCAAGGAGTTCCGAGATGACACTCCGGCATTGATAACTGATGTGATAACTTAAAAGAATACAGCAATAGTGAATTTGAATCAGTAGTTTTTTGCATTCATCAAAATGATTCGAATAATCATCGAATGTATTATTAATTGTAATTACCAACCCAGACGACCGTACTTTGGGTCTACCACAATGCGCATATAAAATAGCATTAGTCTACCAACTAGTAAAGGTACCTCAAACACAGACCCGAGACACTGTTAAACAGTTATTTTTCTGGATAAATGAGACATAGTAGCGAACCTGAGAACCCAGATATGGCGACACCATGAGAACCAGTGTGGAAGCCACTCCGCCACGGTGATAGTCAAATTGAAATAACCTCAAAATTCCATATATTTTGTATTATCGAAGTATTTAAGTATAGTATTTTTTTGTGCAAAGTTCTTTAGAATTTTTAATGTTCTGGAAATGTTTTAGTTATTATAACACACAATAAAACTATTTTCATTGCTGTCCGTGAACATTTTATATTAAGCCAAAGTTACTATGGACACTTGGCATCTCTTATCTATTAGACAAGTCCGTCCGTCCGTCCGTCTGTGGTGCTGTTTCAGCGGCCAAACCGTAAGAGATAGATAAAGAGAATGTTTAAGTTATAAGTTAAGAATAGTCTGATAAGACTACAAACCGGATTTGAGTAACGTAGCACTTCCGGTTTTCGAGAAATCACGAATTTCAAACGAAACCACACAAAATCTCCGAAGTTCTCAATTAAATAAATACTTTTTTTTTTTAAATCAGGTTTTGGTGAACATTTGGTTCACTGGTTTGCTAGTTGTTCTTTAATCAGAAATCATTGTTATATCGTGGAATGGATACTTATGCATTGAAAGGCACGTTAAGCACCTGCTTAGACACCACCTGGTCGCAGCAACGTTTGCAGTCGTAGGCGTAGTAAATCACAGCCCGTTTTCCTTACTTCATTCATAGAGAAGTTACCCCAAAGAACAACCATTTTGGTACTGATCTTGCACAAACATTTTTTAAATCTAAAGAAAATATAACTAGAAAAAATTCCACGCGGACCAGGCAGCAGACGGGACTCGAACCCGCACCCTTCGCAATCCGGGCGAATGCACTGACCAATTATGCTACCGCGGCCCTCACGGACCGCGTCGAAATTCTGTCTAGCTATTCTTAAGCTGCAAGGCAGCGCCATCTCTTCGCATTATAGGTAAACCCACAATGTCAAATGAATGAATGAGTCCCGTCTGCTGCCTGGTCCGCGTGGAATTTTTTCTAGTTATATTTTCTTTAGATTTAAACATCAAGCAGTTACATGCTTTAAAAATAATAAAAATTATAACAAACATTTTTTTTTGATATTGTTTTAAGCATTAAAGAGTAAGTAATATAAGATAAGAAGTATTTTTCAGCTAATGGTGAAACTCAAAAAACAAAGTTTAAAGTATAATGGCACGTAGTTTGCTATTATATTCGAAACAATCAATTCAACTTATCATGAGATTAATGTTCTATGGAAAAGTACTGTTTTAAATTGCTCGAATAACTAATGTTTTCGACGTAAATAAATTGTAAGAAAAAAACACGTATAAATTGGAGTTTTTTAATTCCATATCTCAGACAAAATATTATATTATTAATAAAATAAGTATTACCTATTCGATTTTTTAAATGGTCACGTAACTAACCTCACTTTTCCTCCCATAAGGCTAGGTTTCCCTTATAAATTTTCATTCCCCTTTCACTCTACTTTATAGGACAAAAAAATCCTTTTCTGGGACTCAAATTATGTATTTCATTTGACAAATTTCATCTAAGTACGTTCAGTAGTTTAAGCGTGTGCGACTTTGTCCACGTTCACTTTTGTTTTTCAAGAATCCCTCAGAAACATAACACTTCTCCGGGATCAAAAATATCCTATGTTTCAATACAGGTAATACACTATATGTGTGTTAAATTTCATCCAAATCCGTTCAGTCGTTTTTGCGTGATTGAGTAATGCCGGCACTTCACATGGCCTATCGTGTTTGTCATTTGTAAACTTGACACCAGTCTGTCCGAAGTGCAAACAAAGCAAAGTGACAAACATACAAATTTTCACATTTATAATATAAGTAGGATTAGTGGGAGGTTTAGTTACTGGCTCGACGAGCTCGATGGCGCGGGTGTTTAGCGCGTTCGGCTGCGATCGTTGAAGTTAAGCAACTTTCGCAGTGGTCAGTCATTGGATGGGTGACCAAAAATCTTCTATCTCGAGTTCCTTCGTGTTTCGGAAGGCACGTTAAGCCGTCGGTCCCGGCTGCATCTGCAGTCGTTAGCACCCGCCAATCCGCACTGGGCCCGCGTGGGGGGTCATGGCCCAATCTCCCTATTCCATCCATAGGGAAGGCCTGTGCCCCAGCAGTGGGGACATTATTAGGCTGATGATGATGATGAAAAATGAATAGAAAAATTTACTTTAATGCTTACAAGTTCCATATAAACATGTTGTTGAGTATCCCCTTTTAAGTATCTCTTATCTATTAGACAAGTCCGTCCGTCCGTCCGTCTGTGGTGCTGTTTCAGCGGCCAAACCGTAAGAGATAGATAAAGAGAATGTTCAAGTTATAAGTTAAGAATAGTCTGATAAGACTACAAACCGGATTTGAGTAACGTAGCACTTCCGGTTTTCGAGAAATCACGTGATTTCTATTTCAAAGGAAACCACACAAAATCTCCGAAGTTCTCAATTAATTAAATACATTTTTTTTTAAATCAGGTATTGGTGAACCCTTGGTTCACTGGTTTGCTAGTTTTACTTATGATACTACTATGATGATGATGATAAGTATAGATGTATAGTTACTGTGGCAAAGGGCGGTGCAGGGAGGGCAGGAGACGGGCCTTCAGGGCTCCGTCTTGGGCTCTTTGCTGGTAGAGGGCGAAGTCCCCGCGTTCGGCGGCTTCGGTTCTGTACTTCACGATCCTCTTCAGAGGCACCCACTGGGTTAACTCCTTGTCGTCTGCCAGCAGGATCTGGGAGATTTCATCGTTCATTGTAAGAACGTTTATTAGGCAAGGTAAAGTTATGATTATATATTTTTTTTGTCTTTACAAAAAAGAAATCCACTCCAGGCATCAGACTTTTGACTTTAAAAAAAAGAAATCCACTCCAGGCATCAGACTTTTGATTTTACAAAAAAGAAATCCACTCCAGGCATCAGACTATACTTTACAAAAAAGAAATCCAATCCAGGCATCAGACTTATGACTTTACAAAAAGAAATCCACTATAAGCATTAGACTCTTGAGATTACAAAAAAAAAATCCACTCCAGGCATCAGACTTTTGACTTTACAAAAAAGAAATCCACACCAGGCATCAGACTTTTAACTTTACAAAAAATAAATCCACTTCAGGCATCAGACTTTTGATTTTACAAAAAAGAAATCCACTCCAGGCATCACACTTTTGACTTTACAAAAAAGAAATCCACTCCAGGCATCAGATTTTTGGCTTTGCAAAAAAAGAAATCCACTCCAGGCATCAGACTTTTGACTTTACAAAAAAGAAATCCACTCCAGGCATCAGACTTTTGACTTTACAAAAAAGAAATCCACTCCAGGCATCAGACTTTTGACTTTACAAAAAAGAAATCCACTCCAGGCATCAGATTCGTACCGAAACCTTCAGCTATATGGGCTTATGTCTGTTGCTGGGATTTATAATTTAGTAGCAAATAATAATCTATGTTTTAATTTTTCTTTTCAAATCATAATAAGACAAGATGTTACATAAAACATTATTGATTTATATTTTCTGACATAATATCTATTATTATATATTATAATATCAACGACCTCAGTGACCGAGTGGTTTGTACGCCGGGTTTCATGGTGTCGCCGACTCAAGAGGCCCCCGTTCGAATCCCGGTGGGAGCAGATGTTTGTGTGATGAATACGAGCATTTGTACTCCAGTCATGGATGTTTAATATGTATTTCTATATAAATACTAGCTGACCCAGCGAACTTCGTACCGCCCTAAAAGAATAGGGGTTGTCCAGCGGACAAAATTGTGAATCTAAACCATTCTCAGATCCCCTTGAACACACACAAAAAATTTCATCAAAATCGGTCCAGTCGTTTAAGAGAAGTTCAGTGACATACACACTCACAGAAGAATTATATATATAAAGATACTTATATATGTACTGTATATGTATTCTATCCGTTACCCTAGTAAACCATAACACAAGCCTTACAGTGCTTACTTTGGGGCTAGGCTAATTGGTGTGAGTGTTGAAATTATTTATTTATTTATTATTAAAAAGTCTGATGTTTTTTCTCACTTAATCTTAGCAAATAAGTTTTATTACATAAAACTTTTTTTGCTCACTCTACCTGTTTGGTTTGAATTGACAGCTACGGCGTCACAATATGGCGCCCTGTCGGTCCTATTCTTAGTTGAATCGCATTATACTTTACGTGGTTTTTATTTTTACGTGATGCTTACTTCCTATATATGTTATTATTGTAACAGTTTATAATAGGCTAGTTGACCCTTTTTGGAAAAAGGTTTTAAATGGTTAATAAATGTTCTATTAGACCGAAAAAAAATGTATTGTATTTTTTTGAGACTTAAAAAGCTACAAATCTTTAATTTTAAAATAGACTTTTCATGGACATCCAAAAACGCTGTCGGCCATTTTAGTCTATAGATTATCTATGTTATGACGTTGACGGTAGTAAACAAAAACTCGTAAGCACGTAGAAAATAACCTATCTGAGTTTATAATAAAAAAAACATGATTTCTAATAAATACCACGAAAAATATAGTAATTATCATTATTGTATTGTACGAAAATCTAAAAACACTCCTTGAAGACTCCAGGAAAGTTGTGGATTAAAGTGCCGAAAGAAATTAACCTTCGCAATACCTGGTTAGAACTGCAACTTTATCGACTCATAGTAAAATTTATTTTTGCGTAGATCACTTTGATGTAAGTACTCATTGAATAATATTTTAAGTCTCTTCATTTATTATCAGTTTTAACAATACAAGTTTTAAAGTTATGTGTGAATGAAATTTAGTTGTTTACTAAAAGAGACGTCACATCATGGCGGATGTGGCGAACAGCGTTTTTAGTGTTTAAGAAGTATAGACTAAAAAATATTTTTTTAAATTAAATTTCTACAGTAATCTTCTGTTTTTATGAAGTGAAATCGATATATTTAGGTTCCTTAGACCAAATACTTTAGGAAACAGACATTTATTTAATACAATTCGACATGAGTCAACTAGCCTATTATGTTTGTGTGTTTTATTGGTCAATAAATTCTCTCTCTCCCTCCCTTTCAAACTTAGGACCCCTCCCACCCCTTGTCGCACAACGTCACTCTTAGTCGACCGCCTCCCTCCTTGTTAACGTGTGACGTATTTTATGGATGACACCTAACCTCAGAGCTATCAATACATATTGAACGACCAGTAAAAAAAACCACTCACCTCTTCAACAGTGAGCCCGTAGTCATTAGGCACCACCTGCCTATACTTGAACCTGGTAGGCATCCCGGCCACAATATCTTCACAATCCATCTTGTAGTATTCCTCCATATGTTCAGCGTAGCTTCTTTCAGCAGCCAATGGCAAGAACTTGGGCTTCTCCGTGGCCAACAGTTGGGATAGCTTCGATTGACGTTTTCTGTTCCGACGCTTCTTGCCCAATGTCTTTTGTATCTCTTCGAGGAGATCTTTTTTCGATTTTTTTGGGTCATAGTCAGCGTCCATCTGTTTAAACAAATCGCATGTTTAAATGACAGCAGCTACTATGGAGCAAGCTGAAGTTTGTATGGAAATCTCTTATCTATTAGACAAGTCCGTCTGTCTGTGGTGCTGTTTCAGCGGCCAAACCGTAAGAGATAGATAAAGAGAATATTTAAGTTATAAGTTAAGAATAGTCTGATAAGACTACAAACCGGATTTGAGTAACGTAGCACTTCCGGTTTTCGAGAAATCAGGTTTTGGTGAACATTTGGTTCACTGGTTTGCTAGTTAGATTTTAATATGCTAAAGATGTCACCGACAAGTGATTCTACGAATAAAAAACCTGTTTTGATGATGATACAAAATTATCACTACGAAACAATAATTATATGGAAATAGTAATAATTATGTTTTACACCTGGGTATTATTTATATTTTTATTATTTGTAGGGGGCGTCCATAAATTACGTGAGGTGTTTTTTTTGAATTTTCTGTCCGTCCCTCCCCTCCTGGTGAGATGTCGTGAGATTTTATTCAACCCCCTCCCCCATCCCCCAATCTCACGTGAGATTTATAACATATGGAGTTCTTATCGTAAACGCGTTGGACTGTTATTGTAAAAAGAAAAAAAATGCTTCGTGCTTAACGACTAAAAAATTAAACAATAGAATACGTGAATGACATTATTTGCTTTCGAACGAATTAGTGAATGATCTAATATTAAATCTTAAGCATGTACAATCTGGATTAAATGGACCAAAACAGTACATTTTTTTTTGTTTCAAAAAAATGTACCCTTCCCTTTTTCCAACGTAAGATTAGATGAGACTTGACTCGACTCCCTCCCCCCCTTAAACATCTCACGTAATTTATGGACGCCCCCTTATACGACATGCCAAAGCGGTCAAAAACTCACATTGAAATCGTCATCTTCACAATGAGGTTCATCTTCATTCTGATAGTGTTCCTTCTCCTCTTCATAGTTATCCCAATTCTCTGTAAAGAAAAAATATTAATTTAATAAAATATCATCGACATCAGCCTATTAATGTCCCCACTGCTTTTGCCCACAGGCCTTTAGTTTGACGGAATACGGAGACTGGGCCATGACCCCCCCACGCAGGCCCAGTGCGGATTGGCGGGTGCTAACGACTGCAGATGCAGCCGGGACCAACGGCTTAACGTGCCTTGCGAAGCACGGAAGAACCCGAGATAGAAGATTTTTGGTCACCCATCCAATGATCGACCACTGCGAAAGTTGCTTAACTTCAACGATCGCAGCCGCACGCGCTAACCACCCGCGCCATCGAGCTCCTCAAACAAAATATGTCTAGGCTTTTAACAAAACATAAAGAGTGACAATCACAAACTTTTTTCGGGTTTGAGATAAAAAGGAGCTTATGGTATGTTTAAGTTCTTGTTGCATTGTGTTCTTTATCCAAGCTTCCTACGGATACACAGATTGTTTATATGTGGAGTAAAACGGGATCTAAGATAAGAAAAATCAGTAAATCTAAAGAAAATTTTACTACAAAAAAATCCACGCGGCCGGGCGGAGTATGCACTGATCAATAATATGCTACCGCGGCCTTAATGGAAATGTTTAATTTCTACTAATATTTCTTAGGCTACAAGGCAGCGCCATATCTTCGCATGGTAGGTAACTCAGACCAAGAAATACTGGAAGAAATTTGAAAAGGCCATTAAGGCCGCGGTAGCATAACTGGCGGAGGGTGCGGGGTCGAGTCCCATCTGCTGCCTGGCCGTGTGGATTTTTTTCTAGTAAAATTTTCTTTGAATTAAAACATCTAGCAGTTAAATGCTTAAAAATTAAAAATATAACTAAGCAAATCGGTTACTTTTTGCTGCGAAAATATTAAATGAGTGTAAAAACTTTGTACGATAAATCATCACACTAATATTATAAAGGCGAAAGTTTGTGAGTGTGTATGTTTGTCTAAACGGCTGGAGCGATTTTAATGAAATGTGGTATGGAATTAGCTGACACCATGGATTAACACATAGGCTATGTTTTACTGCACGAAAATAACCCTCACAAACCGCGGGTAACACCACGGGGCACAGCTTGGATAAAATAATTCTGTGCTGACGAAATCAAGATATGATAGTTGGAATTTTAACTATTATTCCGTGTGGGTATGTGATATGTAAATGACGTCACATACCGATCTCCAGGTCTTCATCGAGGTCAGGGAAGACTGGCTTGGCGTGGTCAGCTTCCCCGTAGAATTGTTCGTCGAACAACGCCTTCATGCGGCGGTCATGCTCCGCAGGATCGAACTCGCCCTCTATATCCTCTTCCTGTACAATACGATACAATCGATACATATAATAATACTAGCTGACTCGGCGAACTTCGTACCGCCCAAAAGTAATAATTTGCAATAAATTAAAATTGCGACTATAATTTGAGATTCAAACTATCCTATCTCTCAAGTTGGATCGAACTGCACATGGTGTGCGAATTTTATTATAATCGGTTCAGTGGTTTAGGAGTCCATTGAGGACAAACATTGTGACACGAGATTTATATATATTAAGATATTTGTTTTTGAGGTTTTCACGCACATCATACATTAAACAAAACTAGTTTTTAACGGGTTAATGCACGAAACTTTATTTATTTATTGACGTTTCGCAGCCTTTTCGGGTCTGCATCGTCAGAATAATGATTTTTTATTTAATTTTGTCAAGCTACCTTCGAAAGACTTTTTTTGAGTGTTCGGTTATTTGATTTGAAAGATTTTTTAAATTTTATTGTCTATGTATGAATTTATTAGTTAATTTAGTACTTTATTTAAAATTCTTTTTTGTAATTTTGAGTTTATTTATTTGACCCTAACTACCGTAAACTACCACCCGGTTCCATAATTGAGAGACCTTTCGGAGAAGAACCGGCGAAAGAAACTCAGAGAGGCTTTCTATCTCCTTCTTATGTTAAATTATGCAAACAAAAAGAACTAATAGTATCTGTTGCTCTCGCGCTGTGTTTGGGGTTGGGATTTTATCTCTTGTATATTGGGTTCCCAAGCTGGTGGTATATACCAATCATCTTCCCTATTGAAATTTGGATATTTTTTAATCTCCATAGCCTCGCGTATCATTCTAGGAATGAATCGTTGCTCAGTTGCAAGAATCTGTGATTTATCAAATCTAATGTAATGGTTTGGTCCCCCTAATGCGTGTTCACACACTCCAGACTTATTTTCGCGGCTGTTTCATATCTGCGATATGTTCTTTTACCCGAGTCCCTATACTGAAAAGGCTGCGAAACGTCAATAAATAAATAAAGTTTCGTGCATTTTTAATTTATATAATAAAATGGTAGGAAAGTCAAAACTGTACATTGAATATTTTTTTAAAAGAATACTTGGGGTGTGATCTACAATCGATACCGAAGCCAAAAATATAGTATTTAGAATTTTAGTCTGTTTGTCTGTATGTATGTCCGGGATAAACTCAAAAAGTACTGCATGGATTTACTTCAAATATGGCACGAATATTATTAAGAAGTCGGGTCAACATATAGGCTACATATTATCACGCTATCACCTACGGGGAACGAGCAGTGAACCTTTATTTATAACTAACTCCACGCGTACGAAGTCGCGGGCGACCGCTAGTAAACAATAATCTAACATCATCAGTTTTGACATAAGTAAAAGTTCAACTTACTTTGAAGGCGAGGTCCTGGTTGCCGGTGACCTCCTTGATCTTAGCTATCTTCTCCTGTATCTCCTTCAGTTTGAGCGCCTTGAGCCTGGCGATCTCCTCCATCTGCCTGGTCTTCTGTTCCTCCTTCCTCGCCCGTATCTCGGCTCGCTTGCGCGCGCGCTTGTCGTCCTTGGGCCGGATGTAGTCCATGGTGCGAGGGTAACGTTTCAACTGACAATAAACAATAATGTTAATCATCATCATCATCAGCCTATTAATGTCCCCACTGCTGGGGCACAGGCCTTCCCTATGGATGGAATAGGGAGATTGGGTCATGCCCCACCACGCGGGCTCAGTGCGGATTGGTGGGTGCTAACGACTGCAGATGCAGCCGGGACCGACGGCTTAACGTGCCTTCCGAAGCACGGAGGAGCTGGAGATAGTAAATTTTTAGTCTACCCATCCAATGACCGACCACTGCGAAAGTTGCTTAACTTTAACGATCGCAGACGAACGCGCTTACCACCCGCGCCATCGAACTCCTCAAACAACAATGCTATTCACTTTATTATTATTGTTAAACGTAGTTTTTTTTAAGTGAAACGTCTTTTCTGCTAATGTGTAAGTGGAATAATTCTATGGAAATAATTAAACGGAAATGCGTCACGAGTGTCACACTGTTGTTTTTCTTAAAGAGGACCGATGGATGATGTTTGTTTTTTTAATATATATTACACATACATATTGTTCGTCCGGCTCTTCGAAGCGGAAGTTGTAAGCCCGCTCGAACTTGGCCTGCTCCTCTACCGTCTGCTCGTCGACCTCAAGCTCCGTATCGTCGCGCACTTTCTCAGCTGACTCGCCCGCGTCTTCGTCCAAGTATCTAGCGGACACAACGAGAGATATTACAGATTATTATATACTTTGATTGGTGATTAGATATCGGATACATATTTAAAATTATGAAGTTGGCTATTATGGAAAGCTGTCTGTTTTTTCCGAAAGAATCCCGCGATTCCGGGAAATTCATATTTAAGTCTATTTTCCGTGAGATCTAATAAACACAGTTTAACAGAAATGACAGTTGCCTCGTGTGTATAACATAAAAATATTGACTAAGATGTCCTTATTTATTTATTAACCTGTTTCAGATTACAATTGTTTCCAATTAAAGTATATATTCAATATATTTATTATTCAATTATGTTATTTGTGTGCGTTCCAGTTAATTTTAGATACCTATCATTTTTTCAGGGTAAAAAGTATCCTTTGCCTCAATCCAAGTTATAAATTAGGTAGCCACATACATAATTTCATCCAAATCCATTCAGTAGTTTTTACGTTTACGCAAAACGTTAAAAAAACATTAGAAAAGAACAAACTCACTTTCACATTTATATTATTAAGTTATAATTGTCAGCTATCAAGAATAGTGATTTTAAAGTATAATATTTACTTATTAATATTATATCATATTTTAGTTTTATAATTTTACTTATAACCTTTTTTTTGCTTCATCTTTTAGTTCTTAGTTTTATATAAACTTATGGCATAGAAGAGTTGGGGCATAAAACTTTCTTATGAGACTATAATCCATTCTAAATAAGCATGAAGTTCCAAGTTCCGTAAGCAACAATTACAGATACAGCCTTTTGACATTTGGGAAATAGATTAGCTTTGTTTACATTGACAGACTCCTTATAATTGGGGTGATAAATTTTGTCAATTGGTCCTTAGGGCTACCAACTTAAAATGCATCCCAAAGCAAGGAGAACTATGAGATAAAAGTTTTAATAACAGAGTGTAAGAAGTTATTCAATTTCCAATGTCAAATATTGGACTGTAAAAATGTTAAATTATTATATAAAAAAAAAATATACCTTTTATTCAATATGTAATCCCTCAAAAAGGCTTCCCCTTCATTGAGCTTTGGGTCAGACCACAGAGCTTTCAGTGGTGCCAGATCTTTTTCTACTTCGTCATCAATATGCTCTGCTCGCCCTGTTAAATATTCTTTCAACTTGCCTTCCTGTAAACAGAGCAATTTATGCTCACGAACCAAATTACCATATCCAAGTCTGTCAATAAAATAGAAACATTTGTACCATACTTCGATAAGCTGTGTAATGAGAAGTCTAATCTTAGTAAAAAATCTAATAATGAATTGAGAACCACCTCCATAAGTCAGTTAGATGCTTAAAAAATAAAAATTTAACTATAATTGCTTCACAAAGAGAAAGCACTGCCTTGCAGCCTAAAAGATACTAGAGAAATTTCGACATGGACAATTAGGGCCGCGGCAGCATAACAGCCAGTTCGATCAGATTGAGTAGGTTGCGGGTTCGAGTTCCGTCTGGTCAGTGTGATGATTTATTCTAGTAAAATTTTCTTTAGATTTAAACATCTAGAAATTAAATGCTTAAAAAATAAAAATATTATTATACAATGTTGCTTGGAAGTTTTAAACTAGGTGATACTTAAGATCCAGTGCAATGTATATTTCAATGTGAGATCATGACTTAATACGACTTTACTCAATTGAAAACTTATGGGGCTAAATGTTTAACTTACACTATCCATTTCAAATACTCACACTTTTCTTGAAGAAAGGTGAGAAAAAGTCACACAGGTTTCAGTTCAATTATGTAAACTGATGTACAAAACAAAATATATAGGCTAACCTTTTTATTCTTCTTACTTCTTCCTGTTCCCTCTGTATTTACAGTAGTATTATCATCTATTTCTGCTTTCTTTTCTATCTTGAAGATTTCTCCGTCTTCATCTTCATCATCATCATTGTCCTCAAATGTCAAAGTTTTGGATTTCGATTCTTTTACTAGAAATTCATCATAGTTTTATTTTAAACAGAATAATTTGTAAATTATGTTAGAATCAAAGGGTTGTGAGAGGAAGGACAGACTGGTTATAGTGTTAGCAGTTTGTGTAGCTTTGGTCTCAGAGGTACATTGCAAAAGTGCACAGTAGTTACTATACCATAATCAGAACTTAAAAATCATAATTAATCAGTCTAGGCTATCACAAGCTCTTGTGAACATGAACACTATATCATCAGTTCATAAAAGCAACTCGACATACAGAAATATAACAATTACAAACATGTTTAAAAGCTTTCAGTGTTTCCACAGAGTTTGCCTTAATCATTATTGTTTTTCTTATTTACACAAGAATGACTAACTTGGTTCTTTTTCCGTATCTTCTTCAAAACATTTGAAATCAGGATCGTAGATTCTGGGATCTTTTGTTTTCAGAAGCGCTAGGGTCTTCAAGAATTGCGTTTCCATCTCCTCGTTATCTTCTAGAGGTTCGTCGCTTTCGTCTTCGCTATCAGACGTTCCTGAACCCCCCGAGAGTAGAGCATCAGGTCCATACTTCTGTTCCACTGTAATTTATTAGTTTATAATAGTAAAATAGTAATCCACACAGAAAATAGTGCAAACTATGAAAAAATATCTTACGTTTATGCATTTCTTCCTTTCCTCGCCAAGTATCATATTTTTTTGCATACTCATTTTCAGTTTTTATTGCTATATCTTCATCGGAATCATCATCAAATAGTTTCTGTTTAGACATTTTACTCACAAATTAATAAAAAATAATTTCTTTCGACAAAATTCCACTCCACATTCCAAAACAACCATGCGTCGAATTTTGACGTCTGTTTGACGTTTTTTTTATTTTTTTTTGATTTTTTTTGATTAAGTTCTCCCTTTTCAGGGAAGGCAAGGAGAACAATGCCCATACAGCCTAGTCTTAAGTTAAATTATTCTGTTTTTCTTTTTACATTAGAATGCCGGTGTGACGCATTCTAATGTTTCTTGAAGTGTTTGGCACGAAATGTATCGAGCTGGCTTTTTCGATAAGCTTCTGTGAGGTAGTCAATACTACAATAAAATTCTTACGTCCACTTGACCGAATAGCGTATATTTTGACGATTCTACTAATTCTTCAGTTACGCAGACAGTTGTAACACAAAATCACACCAATTTTATTTCACAATATCCACAATGAACGAATTTAAGAATAATTAAAATAAAACGCCAACCACACTCGTTGAAATCCCGCCAAAAAACGTTTTTTTTATTAGGTTCTTCCATTTCTAGGAACGCAAAGGGAACAATGCCCATACAGCCTAATCTAAGACAAAATTACACCAATTTTATTTCACAATGATGTCGATTCTGGCATGGTTCTCTAAAGCTAAACTTAAATTTGACAACAGTGTATCCTTGTTCTTCTCTATACAGAATGAAAAGGTGAGACTGATCTTAAATTTAGTTTTAAGTTTAGAGAATCACGCCAGAATTGAGACCATTATCCACTATGAACGAATTTAAGAATAATTTAAATAAGACGCTAACCCCGCCTTAATCTTTTTAAATTATTTTTTAATTCTCCAACTTCCACTGTATATATGATACCCAGCTAATATAGCCTTTTTCTTTTTCATTTTCAGTGTAATTTATTCTTTTTATTTTTAAATATTTCTTGGCAATTTGGTAGGTAAGGTAGGTAGGTAATAAATGTATCGAGGTAACTTTTTAATATGTTTTTATGAAGCATAGGAGGTCTGAGAACAATGTACCTGAAATTAGGGAAGATGCATATATAATATTTATGAAACTTTTATGATTAAAATGTTAAAAAAAAATATTAAAGAAATGCCACTGCAACGTTTTTATTTTACATAATGTTGTTTTTTAACAATTATTACGGATTAAAAATACTTCAAACGGAACGTATTTTAAAACACCAATCAGCGTTTAGTGACGTCACTCCTGTTATGACAACTTCTTTGAGGTTATGGTTGTTAAAGTAAATATTATTTTATGAGAATATTTATTGCGTTTTTTTACACTTAATAAAAATGGAAGTTGCGTTTATCAAAGCAGACTCCAGGAATTTACCAAGAGTTAGCGTTGACATGATCATAACTTTTTTTGTCCAAAGTGCAGAGTTTTTAAGTGTAGAAATGAAAGGGACTAAATTACTACGGTATGTAAAAATCGTAGTTGTTAAACTTCGTATTTTATTCAGCGGCTTCTACAAATCTTACGGCGATACTGCAATCGGTTATGTCCAAATTAAAAGAGATGGAAAATTATGTACAGTAAAAGGTCGAGTTCTCCGGAGCATAAAGTACGTTATTTTAAATGAAACGCAAAGTTTGGTTCAGTCCTGCCAATGTGAAGATTGTGCCACACATTTTAAACTTTATGTAATTTGCGACGTCATTCTCCAACTGCAAAATTAAAAATATGTTATAGACAGGTTTTGTAAGTATTAGGTAGGTTACTAATGCGTTTTTACGTACAAGCAGATTAATTAAGCATATAACAAATATATTCGCCGACTTACGTCAAAGTGATCTTCTCAGCATCGAATAATGGTCTTTGGAGAATAATTGTCATTTCTCTTCGCAGCTTGAAACCACTTTTTTTCAGTTTTGGGTCAGAAGTTCCAGTCAAAAACAATTTATTTGGGAACTTTGTTGAAGTAGATTGGCACAAAACATTTTTTTCGGAATATTAGTGGTATTGTTATGATCACATGATGTTGATGGATAGTCCATTTTAAATTTTTCAAAAAAATATTTCGAAAGTCGAAAAAATATGCAAAAGTATGAAAATTTAAAGCCAGCAACGAACAATTACGACCAGTGACAGACAGGAGTGACGTCATCGCAACCATAGGTTCGTTTTCACGCGAAAATTTAAATTGTCAATTTAAAACCGCATTTTTTCCGATAAATCACAATGTTTTAATTTTTTGATATATCTGTGGTTTATTCTGCATGGAATTCTTTAAAATGAAAACGAAAATAAAAATATTGCATTTCGTATTCGTGTTTTCCTTCGTTAGTTTTGCATTTGCGACAACAACGAATTGTCAATGTCAAAGGGTTTGACAATATACATAACCTCAAAAACCGGGCTTGTTTTATACGTTTGCGATTGTTTGCAGCATAGAATAATATATGTTTGCAGTGCTGCGTAAACAATATTAAATTTATTATTTACTTCTAGTGTGAAACATATTTAAAAATCATGACTACGAACCCTCGAAAAGGCACAGATCCAAGCCCAATGGAAGAGAGTGACCAGCTCACTATCAGACCCTTGTAAGAATTGATTTTACGTAGTAAATACTCAATATTAGTTAGTTTGGATAAAATAAGTACAGACGACCGAAGATGATGGATAGTTTAGCACTTCTATGCTCATTTCAACATGTCGCTAATAAGTTTTGGATGAATGTTTTTGTAAATGATTAGAATAACGTTCTTTTAATTTAAATTTTCTTTCCAGGGGTGCTGGGCAGGAAGTGGGCAGATCATGTATTATGTTAGAATTCAAAGGAAAAAAAATCATGGTACTATTACACTATCTTTATTAAATAATATGGAACAATGAATTACTTAATTCACACAATTTTCATAGTGGTTATTTTTTATAATCCTATTATTTATGTTTTCTATTTTTAGTTGGATTGTGGAATTCATCCGGGCTTATCAGGGATGGATGCTTTGCCTTTTGTAGACCTAATAGAGGCTGATGAAGTGGATTTACTTCTAATATCACAGTGAGTGAATTGTTTTGTTTTTAGGAATTTTCACAAACTTCATTCACTCTCGTCTTCACATCATTTGAGGAGCTTGATGGTGCAGGTGGATAGTGCATTCGGCTGCCGATTGTGGAAGTTAAGCCACTCTCGCAATGGTCGTCCATTGGATGGGTGACCAAAACTTATTATGTTGAGCTTCTCTGTGCTTAGGAAGGCAAGTTAAGCTGTTGGTCCCTACAGATACATCTGCAGTTGTTGGCCCACCAATCCACACTGGGCCCTGATTGTGGATCATGCCCCAATCTCCCTATCCTGCTCATGCTGGTGATGATGATGAGATTTGACATTGGAATATTTTCTAGTTTTATAGTAACTTTTATTCAAGAATTTATCTGCTTAATTTCTATTGTAATATTAAATTTTTTTTAGTATCATTTTTATAGAAATTTGTGAAAGTAGTAGTAGTTTGTAGTAGTAGGAGTTATGTATGAATATTTTGTTTCAGTTTTCACTTAGATCATAGTGGGGCTTTGCCCTGGTTCCTAACAAAGACTTCATTTAAGGGACGTGTGTTCATGACACATGCCACAAAAGCCATCTACAGGTGGCTGGTTTCAGACTACATTAAAGTTAGGTGAGTTAAAGTGTATAAAACTTTTATTATGAATAGCTGTTGTCTGTGGCTTTGTTATCATAATTTACAGAGAAACTACACATCACATAAACAAAAAAGAACTTTATGTTAGTGTAAGTTGTAATCTACCTCATACACATCACTGTTATAATATACACCTAACAATATTGTAAGGTTAATTGAAAAAAATATTTTCTAAATATTTATTGAAACAAGTGTATGTAGAGACCTACACTGGATTAATTTCCGTACAACAAAAGTTCTAATATTTATAAATCTTGTTTATATTTATAAAATTTATGTTGTTGAAAGCTTTAATTTTGTTTGCTTATTTACTATGAAAATTGACAAATGATGAAATCAGTTTTTTAGATTACACAGTTTTGCAATGAAACTCTGATAAGGGATTGCATTTCCTAGAGAGCTATTATTACTTACTTCATATTAAATATAGTTTTTAAAAACAAACTGGGATTTGTCTATTTTGTTTTTGCCATTTTACAGTAATATATCAACAGAGCAGATGCTCTACACAGAATCTGATTTAGAAGGTTCTATGGACCGTATTGAGACTATCAACTTCCATGAAGAGAAAGATGTGAGAGGTGTACGGTTTTGGGCATATAATGCTGGTCATGTACTCGGAGCGGCAATGTTCATGATTGAAATAGCTGGTGTGAAGGTCAGGAACATACAAACTACCATTTACATACATTTTGAGACATCAAAAAATAAAACTGAGTGTGGTAACTTTACTGAATTTTTCTTTCTGTTTTGTTCCTAGATATTGTACACAGGTGATTTCTCCAGGCAAGAGGATCGACATTTGATGGCAGCAGAAATTCCAACTGTTCATCCAGATGTTCTCATAACCGTATGTATAGATTGTATAGAAATAGAATCTATTCGAAATTGGTCAGATATGTATACATATTACTAAAGTTAGCAAGCATAAAAAAAGGTCCATTGTGAAAACTGAGAAATATCATATTTTTATTAATTTAATATAAATCTAATTCTCCTAGTTACAGTTTAATAATTTCACATTTAGTAATATGTAGTAGAATAGTATTATGTACTTTTTTCTGTACATTTCTATATAAGGTATATTTTACTAGAAAAACCTTCTATTTAGTATTTTCAAAATAGCATTGAAATGAAAAGAGCATAAGTATTACCATAATAATAATTCATTTCTAAAGTTTGTAGTTTTACAGTTTAAAAAGTAATTTATCAAGTTTAAAGCAAAATAAATGTCGGGTAAAACGTCAAAATGGGTGTTTATTTTACAAAGGGTGACAAATCTGTCTGATGGATGGTGGCTTCCGCATCTCGTAAGACGTATTACCATCAGTAGCATTCTTGCGATACCTTTTTTAACTTAATAACTTGTATAGCCCTGGAACTTTATCGACATTAAGTCTCCGTAGTCTTAGCGGCTGTGTGCCCTTTACACTTCACATATAGAGGCGGCGTGTATTACTCGTTCCAAATTGAGAGTTGAATTCCGTTAATCCGTAGGAGTCAACGTACGGCACGCACATCCACGAGAAGCGAGAGGAGAGAGAGAGCCGGTTCACGGGGCTGGTGAGCGACATCGTGACTCGTGGTGGGCGCTGTCTCATACCAGTGTTCGCTTTAGGCCGCGCTCAGGAACTGCTGCTCATACTGGGTGAGTGCCATCACCCCTCCTGGTGCGAGGTGCTGCTCATACTGGGTGAGTGCCATCACCCCTCCTGGTGCGAGGTGCTGCTCATACTGGGTGAGTGCCATAACTCCTCCTTGTGCAAGGTGCTGCTCATACTGGGTGAGTGCCATAACTCCTCCTGGTGCGAGGTGCTGCTCATACTGGGTGAGTGCCATAACTCCTCCTTGTGCGAGGTGCTGCTCATACTGGGTGAGTGCCATAACTCCTCCTGGTGCGAGGTGCTGCTCATACTGGGTGAGTGCCATAACTCCTCCTTGTGCGAGGTGCTGCTCATACTGGGTGAGTGCCATAACTCCTCCTGGTGCGAGGTGCTGCTCATACTGGGTGAGTGCCATAACTCCTCCTGGTGCGAGGTGCTGCTCATACTGGGTGAGTGCCATAACTCCTCCTGGTGCGAGGTGCTGCTCATACTGGGTGAGTGCCATCACCCCTCCTGGTGCGAGGTGCTGCTCATACTGGGTGAGTGCCATAACTCCTCCTGGTGCGAGGTGCTGCTCATACTGGGTGAGTGCCATAACTCCTCCTTGTGCGAGGTGCTGCTCATACTGGGTGAGTGCCATAACTCCTCCTGGTGCGAGGTGCTGCTCATACTGGGTGAGTGCCATAACTCCTCCTGGTGCGAGGTGCTGCTCATACTGGGTGAGTGCCATAACTCCTCCTGGTGCGAGGTGCTGCTCATACTGGGTGAGTGCCATCACCCCTCCTGGTGCGAGGTGCTGCTCATACTGGGTGAGTGCCATAACTCCTCCTGGTGCGAGGTGCTGCTCATACTGGGTGAGTGCCATAACTCCTCCTTGTGCGAGGTGCTGCTCATACTGGGTGAGTGCCATCACCCCTCCTGGTGCGAGGTGCTGCTCATACTGGGTGAGTGCCATCACCCCTCCTGGTGCGAGGTGCTGCTCATACTGGGTGAGTGCCATCACCCCTCCTGGTGCGAGGTGCTGCTCATACTGGGTGAGTGCCATAACACCTCCTTGTGCGAGGTGCTGCTCATACTGGGTGAGTGCCATCACCCCTCCTGGTGCGAGGTGCTGCTCATACTGGGTGAGTGCCATAATACCTTGTGAGGAGCGACATCGTGACGTGATTTGGCTGACACTAACGGACATACTCTCTGACGTGACGCCAAATAGATTTAATGATTTTTAAAGTTACGTGTTGTCTCTTTCTATTATAACAAGAATAAAATTGACAGAAATATCTATCAGCGAACATGAAAGTTATTTAAGATCTCATAGAGGGGTAGTAATTTAAAGAATGGTTAGTGAATTATTTGGTATTTCCATCACATATATGATGTAGTCGAAGGCGCAAGTGAAGTTAAGCAACTTTTGCAATGGTTGCTCATAAAATGGGTGTACAAAAGTTTATTATATTCCGTGCTTTGGAAGGCACGTTGGTCCAGGTTGCAGCTGCAGTTGTTAGCATCCACTGCATGGATGGATTCATATGCGGGGCCTCCTCCATCCTTAATGAAGTATTGTGATGACCTCCGTGGCCGAGTGGTTTGTACGCCCGGTTTCAAGGTGTCGCCAACTCGAGAAGTTCCGGGTTAGACTACCGGTGGGGGCAGACGTTTGTGTGATGAATGCGAACATTTGTAATTTCACTCATGGATGTTCAATAAGTATTTTTAAATAAAAATATACTCTTATATGTATTGAGAAACTCGATGGCGCGGGTGGTTAGCGCGTTCAGCTGCGATCGTTGAAGTTAAGCAACTTTCGCAGTGGTCGGTCATTGGATGGGTGACCAAACAATTTATTATGACGAGCTCCACTGTATTTCTAAAGGCACTTTAGGCCGTTGGTCGTTGCTGCATCTGCAGTCGGTAGCACCCGCCAATCCGCATTGGGCCCGCGTGGTGGGTCATGGCCCGATCTCCCTATTTCATCCATAGGGAAGGCCTGTGCCCCAGCAGTTGGGACATTAATATGATGACGATGTATATGTATTCTATCCGTTACCCTAGCATCCCATAATACAAGTCTACAGCTTACTTTGGTGCTAAAATAGTAGGTGTGTTACAAAATATAAATTTGAAAGCCTGTGCCCCAGCAGTGGGGACATTAATAGGCTGATGATGATGATTAACCCATGTCCCTCCCAGACGAATTCTGGTCTTTGCACCCGGAGCTGCAGGACATCCCCATCTACTACGCGTCGTCGCTCGCCAAGAAGTGCATGGCGGTATACCAGACCTACGTCAACGCTATGAACGACCGAATCAGAAGACAAATTGCCATTAATAACCCCTTCGTGTTCCGGCACATATCCAACTTGAAGGTAAGCTTCAATTACCAACGATATTTAATACTGTTACGTGTCGGGATGGGGTTTGTTACGAATAAAACGGCACATCCCTAACTTCACTGCCGTGCGGTGTCCGCATAATTTGAATTATTTTTCGTGCGCGGGTAAAAACGTTTTTTTTGTCACTGTAATGGCGTCTTGAGAACTCGTGAGGTTCATGTTCGAATTGCATCGCCGATTATATGTGGCTTTGATTTGTTTGTACCGGATATCTCATTGAAATATTGTAGTAATAACTTAAATTATAAGAATCCTAGTGTTGTTTGTGTAATGTACATGATTTGTGAAATTGATTGTGTGAGTGCTAACCTACTTTGGATCGCTATAAGCGCGGTTGTTGGATGAGAAGAGTCCAGAGGAATTGATCTGCCTTCCTATCCCTTCCTATCCATTTCTTAGGCAGATACCAAAGCGACAGACGACTTTACTTACATACAACTTGGTAAGTCATTTAGTTAGTTAAGTAAACCCTGCGACATCGCAGGAGCTATTGTGTTCTAAGCCCCAGCTGAAGTATTTGTTGGGACAAAACAATAATTTACTTCCACTGCGCGGTCCCCTCGGCTTGGGCTGGTAGTGAACACAACAGTTTCTGGTAGCAGAGCGTGGTTTGTTGACCTGAAGGTCCACGCTCCATGCTAAATTTGTGAATATTGTTAAAACATTTGTTTTGAATTTGTTGGTCGCTTATGAAAAGGATACTCTTTGTACAAGGTTCCAATTGTCCATATTTATAGGTTTTGTTTGCAATTTGGTTCTGGTATAATATTGTTGTTGTTGACAAGGAGGTAAAGAACTTAATTCCGGTTGCATAAATTGTATAATTTAGATTGTTCTCATAAAAACATTGATAAGTTTCTTTACTTCTTTGTTTGTTGACATTAGGTGAATAAAACATGCAATTTCTCTTATGTCATTGTTTTGTAGTTATATAGTTCTTGTTTACATTTGAAACAAGAATTTACTTATTGTCTCATGTTCAAAAGTTAAAACTTAGATATGTTTAGTTTTTGATAGTCATAACTTAGTAATTAATTTGTTAAGTTATTGAAAATAATTGATAACCTTAGATGTTTTTGTTGAGAAGTTATAATTAAACGTTACTTTGGAAAATTTGCGTACATACATATTATATAAAGAATTTCAGATTGTTGGTTTGTTGATAATTCATATTTAAACCTTGCATTGAAAATTATTATAATTTAATTAATAATATAAAAAGGATTAGAAATTTGTTTGTTTGTTGAAAAATTATAATATTTTATTTTATTGTTACTTTTACTGCTTGTAGTGGGAAGGTTTACCACCAGTAACATAACAATGTCGGCCTCAACCAACAAAGCGAGAATTCGCTCTGAATTGAGATGGTTGGCTACTGCGGTTACCCTTATCGATAGACTGGATCGGAGGGAGGCCTTGTTGAATAGGTACATGGATCTGCCGGTACGTTTGGCTACAGTAGAAGAGCAGTACGCTCTATTTTTGGAAAGGACTCGCGATGAGGATGTCCAGCTGCGACAGGAGGTTGAAAGTGATGTCGCACAATGTTATGACTTGGCGGACACACTCACGGAGTTTGCTCGACCCTTGCAAATGGCAAGAGAACATGGTCCGATGACGTCCTCGAGCCCCACTAAGGGACTAGCACCCCTCTTCGCTAGGTTGGCCCCCTTAGACTTAAGGCGTTTTGCTGGTCGCCTAGAGGATTGGGAGGGGTTTATCAATATTTTCGATAGTTTGGTCCATGCACGGGAGGACTTGACCCAGGGCCAGAAGTTGGCCTATTTGTTGTCTGTTTTGGAGGGGGAGGCCCTTGAACAAATTCAGCACCTGGCCCCCACAGACGAGAATTACCCGATTGCTCGGGAGTTAATTGCCCGTCGGTACCAGAACGTACGACGTCTGGCGGACACCCATGTGGCCACCATTTTGAACTTACCACGAGTTTCCAGCGTGACTCACCTGAGGGTTGAGCTTTTGAATCCGCTGTTGGTAGCGTTTAACGCTTTAAAAAATTTGAAGCTCCCCGTGGAGCAATGGTCATTTTTGTTGCTTCATATTATTTTAAGGAAGCTGCCGGACGCTCTTAAGGTCCGCTTTGAGCAGCAGTATGGTGGGGACAGTGCAACTTATCTGCCACCCTTCTCAGATCTCGTTAAGTTTCTGGAAGGAGAATGTCGGCTGGCAGATAACTCATCTGTGTCCGATCCGGTTAGGTCGGAGCGACCTGTGCCACAGAATAGGTCCCCCCGAGCACCACGTACAGGCCGGTTTGAACCACGCGCACCTGGCCGATACGCAGCAGTCCAAGAGACCGCCCGCTGTTTGAAATGTCGGGAACCGGGTCACAGCACGACCCGTTGTAAGCAGTTACTCGACCAGCGAGTACAAGGGCGTCGAAAGATCGCGCGGGAGAGGGGTTGGTGCTACACATGTTTGGGCCTGCACCTGCAGCGTGATTGTACCCAAGCGCGCTCATGCCGCTTTTGTGGGGGCAAGCACCACCCCATCCTCTGCATGAACCAGAGCGAGGCCGGTGGAGCACCTCAGCGAGTGACTGTAGGGACCTCGCGTACGGGCGGGGGACGTCCCCCCGCGATGAATGATTCCCGCAGCAGTTCTGGTGGTAGTGGCAACAGCCCCAGACGCTCTCCGCCGCGAATTGAACCTTGCACGGGCGGGGGTCCAAAGGATCCTCCACAGGAAAATAGACCACCGCGTCCCCGCGACTATGGGGTGATGAACGCGGCTGGTGACGAGCACCGATTTACACCGCCGCTCGCGGTATACCCGCGTTTAGAGCGTCGCGCACCCCGGTATCGAAGCACTGGGAGACTTGGACGCAAGCAATATGTGGGGGCATGGGACCCGCTGAATCGTTTTGAGCGACCCTCTCCGTCTGAGAGGGCTCCGTGGTACCCCACATATTAGCAATTATCGTCTCCCCAGTCCGCCCATCCAGAGACCGTTTTGTTGCCCACGGCCTCTGTATTTGTTAGGGGATCGAATGGAAACTGGTTGAGAGTTCGCGCCTTATTGGATTCCGGTGCTCAAGGGTGTGTGGTGTCATCTTGGTTGGTTAGGCAGTTGGGCCTCAAGGTGCACCCCCATCCGCATGGCGTGAGAGGTATTGGCGATGTGAAAGTTCCCGGGTTGTTAGGGTATGTTAACTTCACGTTCACCTCATGTTATGGGTCCAAAGAGAGTATTGACGCCTCGGCGATTGTTTTGGATACAGTTGTTGGTCATCACCCGTCAGTTGACTTAGGATCGACCCTGGTGTCTTTGGTGTCTGACCCAGCTCTCGCCGACCCTAAGTTCTACCGCCCGGGCCCGATTGATGCTCTCCTTGGAGCCGATGTCCTGGGGCGAGTTTTGTTGACGGGGAAGCGAGTCTTGCAGCCAGGAGGTTTGGTAGCTCTGCAGACGAGGTGAGGGGGGGGGGGGGGGGGGGGGGTGGGGGGGGGGGACGACACATCGGTACGTTGTTATGGGTCCTGCGCACCGCGTTTTGGTTTCTTCAGAAGAGGATCGCGGTGTCGCTTTGAACGTGTCTCTCTCTGAAGTGCTACAGAAGTTTTGGGAGGTTGAGGAACCTCCACCGGCCCCGCGGGTTGACCCAGTAGCGCAAGAATGCGAGTTGTTTTACCAGAATAACACTGGTCGCCTCCGCTCTGGTCGTTTAATCACCCGCCTCCCCTTTCGTGCCGGCCGACCTCCTCTGGGTGAATCCAGAATACTAGCGGAACGTAGGCTAGTGTCCATGGAGCGCCGCATGAGCAAGGATCCGGTCTTCCGTCAGAAGTACATAGACTTCATGCGGGAGTATGAGGAGTTAGGGCACATGACCGTGAGCGACTTGGATTATCGCTCAGTTGAGCACTTCTTTTTGCCGCACCACGCCGTTTTGAAATCCGGAAAAATTCGGGTGGTCTTTGACGGATCTGCTTCCTCCTCCAGTGGAGCGTCTTTGAACCAGTGTCTGCATGTAGGTCCTAAGTTGCACACGGAGATCTCAGACATTTTGACCAACTTCCGGCGGCATAAAATTGTGATTATGACTGATATCCGGATGATGTTTAGACAGACGGTGATCCATCCCGAGGATAGAAGATATCAGCTGATTTTGTGGCGAGAGAGTCCTAGTAGCCCCATGATGATTTATGAATTGAACACGAATACGTACGGCTTGGCCTCGAGCCCTTTCATTGCGATACGTTCTTTGTTGGAATTAGCGGAGAAGGAGCGCTTGAGATATCCTCGCGCCTCAGCCATTTTGACCAGTGATGTGTATGTGGATGACATTTGCACTGGCGCCTCCTGTGTCTCAGAGGCGATGGTCTTGCGAGAGGAATTGATTGCTCTTTTGAAGTCCGGCGGATACGAGTTGAGGAAATGGTTGTCCAACTCGCCGGAGGTCCTTGAAGGTTTACCCGAAGAGCACCAGCAGGACCCTCATTTATTTGAAAACGTTGATAACCCCCATATGGTGACCGTCCTTGGCGTACAATATAGACCGGTCTCTGACACATTTACGTATTGTGTGGATTTGAAGCCACCGAAAATCTGGACCAAGCGTTTGGTGTTGTCTACTGTCGCGCGTACCTTTGACCCCAATGGGTGGATTTGTCCTGTGCTGTTTATGGCCAAATGTTTTCTGCAACGGTTATGGGCTTCGGGTACGTCGTGGGATGAACCCCTCTCAGACAAACTACTCCGAGATTGGTCAGGTTTTGTTTCGTCCCTCCCCGAGATTAACGAAGTGAGTTTGCCGAGGATGTTCCTTCCTTCTGAAAAGTGTAAAACTAGCCTTCACGGCTTCTGTGATGCCTCCGAACGTGGATTTGCGGCAGCTGTGTACCTACGCACCGTCACTGTTGATGGACTGGTTTCTGTGCATTTAGTCATTGCAAAAAGCAAGGTCGCTCCCCTTCGGACTCGTCATACGATCCCGAGGTTTGGAATTGTGTGGAGCCGCCCTTTTGATGCGTTTGTTGAACCACGTATGGCTCACATTAGGTAGGTCGATAGAAATACAGAGAGTTTTTGCGTGGACCGACAGTCAGGTCGTCCTTTGTTGGTTGAAGGCTCCGGCGCACACATTGGAGGTTTTTGTTGCCAATCGAGTGTCACAGATTTGTAGTTCGGAAGTCGACTTGATTTGGAGACATGTACCGGGAACCATGAATCCCGCCGACTGTGCGTCTCGAGGTTGTGCAGCCTCAACTCTCGTTAGCCATCCTCTCTGGTGGGGCCCACAGTGGTTGACGCGGTCTGAGTCTGAGTGGCCGCCTTCTCCAGCGTTGTCAGACGTTGCCATTCCCGAAATGCGGGCATGCGTCCTGGAGACCTCCCCCGCCGATGACAAGGATTTTTTGTTGAATCGGTACAGTTCCTTGGATAAGCTGCTTGGTGTTACCGCTTGGATCAAACGTTTTCTGCACAATTGTAAAACCCGAGCGCAAAGCGTGATTCGTCGGTTCTCAGTCCAGATGAGCGTCAAGAAGCTCTTTTGTTTGGATCCGAATGGTGCAGTCTGATAGCTTTAAATCAGAGATTGAGATCTTGCGTTCAGGTCGTCGCAAGTTGAAGGGCGCGGTGTCGCGCCTGAATCCCTTCTTGGATGGGAATGGTCTTGTACGAGTCGGCGGAAGACTCCGAAATGCCAACCTGCCGTATGGAGCTCGCCACCCCCTTTTGATGCCTAAAGATGGACACTTGGTGCGCTTGATAATAACCGATCGTCACGTGAAGGCGCAGCACGCTGGCTGTAATGCTTTGTTGGCCATTTTACAGCATGAATTCTGGATTCTGTCCGCCCGTCGAGTTATTCGCACAGTCATTTTTCGTTGTTTACCATGTTATAGATTAAAAGCCGCAACTATGCAACCCCAGATGGGAGATTTGCCTGCTGATCGCGTCACGGAATGTAGACCTTTTGCCGGAGTCGCTACCGACTTCGCCGGTCCTTTCCCTGTAAAGGCTTCGAGGCTACGTAATGCTAAAACGTATAAGGTTTATTTGTGTGTATTTGTGTGTCTATCCACCAAGGCTGTTCACTTAGAAATTGTATCGGAATTGTCTACTGAAGCTTTTATAGCTGCCCTAAGCAGATTTGTTTCCCGTAGAGGACTGCCGACATTGATACGTTCTGATTGTGGAACTAATTATAAGGGAGCTTGTAATTATCTTAAGGATGTAATTAAGTTTCTAGTTGATAATAAGATAGACATTGGAACCGCCCTCTCCCGGCGTGGGATAATCTGGAAGTTTAGTCCACCAGCTTGTCCAAGCTGGGGAGGGATCTTTGAAGCTTGTGTAAAGTCTGCCAAGACTCATTTGCGTCGCGTGATAGGAGAAACGATTCTAACGTTTGAGGAACTTGATACGGTGTGTTGTAAAATTGAAGCCGTCCTCAACTCGCGACCCTTGTGCCCGTTGTCTTCGGACCCAAATGACCTGGAAGCGTTGACCCCAGGCCATTTTTTGATCGGACAGCCCCTTTTGGCTTTGCCTGAATATCCGATTCAGGATGTAGGATCCCATCGTTTGTCGCGGTACCAACTGTTGAAACAGATGTCTCAAAACTTCTGGGCACGTTGGTCGATGGAGTATTTGCATATCCTACAACAGCGCGTGAAGTGGACAGATAAAACAACCCCACCCCAGATTGGCGACCTTGTATTGATTAAGGATGCCAACCTGCCGCCCTTGTGTTGGCGAAGGGGGCGCATTGTTAAACTCTACCCAGGAACTGACGGAGTTCCTCGTGTTGCTGAGGTTTTGGTTAGAGATTCGGTTTTGAAGAGAGCAGTTAGTGGGCTCTCCCGATTACCCGTGGATTGACGTACCGTCCTTAACGGTCCGGGGCGGGGGGATGTTACGAATAAAACGGCACATCCCTAACTTCACTGCCGTGCGGTGTCCGCATAATTTGAATTATTTTTCGTGCGCGGGTAAAAACGTTTTTTTTGTCACTGTAATGGCGTCTTGAGAACTCGTGAGGTTCATGTTCGAATTGCATCGCCGATTATATGTGGCTTTGATTTGTTTGTACCGGATATCTCATTGAAATATTGTAGTAATAACTTAAATTATAAGAATCCTAGTGTTGTTTGTGTAATGTACATGATTTGTGAAATTGATTGTGTGAGTGCTAACCTACTTTGGATCGCTATAAGCGCGGTTGTTGGATGAGAAGAGTCCAGAGGAATTGATCTGCCTTCCTATCCCTTCCTATCCATTTCTTAGGCAGATACCAAAGCGACAGACGACTTTACTTACATACAACTTGGTAAGTCATTTAGTTAGTTAAGTAAACCCTGCGACATCGCAGGAGCTATTGTGTTCTAAGCCCCAGCTGAAGTATTTGTTGGGACAAAACAATAATTTACTTCCACTGCGCGGTCCCCTCGGCTTGGGCTGGTAGTGAACACAACAGGGTTCGAAATTATATGCCAGTTCACGCTTGACAGTTCTTTAATCACCACACAGTTCACACAATTAACACACAATGTTAATTACAAAACACTCACTAAACACTGTATTTCACTATACAAGTCTCTAAACAATCACACTTGAACACTTTTGTTGCACTTTGATCGCCTTTGGATTCGCTCCGAAATCGCTGTTGAAACTCAACTGTCCTTGCGCGGCGCCAATCGCGCTTATATACGCCGATCGACGCATTCTAGAAAGTACCTGTTAAATTGAGAATTACCTAGCACCCGCGAGTACGAAATACCTACGCAGGTAACGCGCATAACTTGTAAACAAGTGCAGATGTCGTTGCACTTTCACCCTTACGCCGCACTGTATAAGGCTCATTTTAGAATGAGCCGCATTACTCGACCTCTATTGCGACCCGCGGTGATCTGGATCAAATCAAATTCGATTTCTGGCACTTTCGCGGTTACGTTTCGAGAGCGTTTGTGACAATACCCTAGATACACCAACACGAACAAAATCTTGCCCGAAACCTGTCCAAAAGGTATATTGAACGGAGCTCCGTAAGATGATCGCCTTGTCAGAAACAATATAAAGCATTATTTAAAAATTAAAAGTCACCTTTAATGCATACTGTATAAGGTCTTAATTTAAACGCATGCGTTAAAGAGTTATGACAGTTCGAAATGCAAGCTCGTAAAATTTTACGACTTATTGTATATGTGGAAGAATATAGACCTTATTTCTTAGACTCTACGCGCAATTCTGAATGCGCTTATAGCAATATAGCAGGTACGCACCGCGAGGAAAAGAGACGGCTATATTACCGACTATGCAATTGAATATTACAAATATTTTCTATTAAATCAGTTTATAGTAGGTATTACAACAAAATTTGCTTCAAATACGTTAAATTGACAAACATTGATTAGATACCTGTCGAAAAAACGACAATTTACATACCATAATTATTTTTTTCGCAATATTTCTCGGAGCTCTTAGGTAACTTGACTTTTAAACGGCCCGCGCGTGTCTGTGAACCAAGAAATGCTTGAGTGACCTTCAAGCACTTTTTGATTGGGACACATTTTTAACGCACGTGGTGTGTATAAGGTATTTAAAAACGTTGTTCTATTACACATTATATAATTTTAAAGTCTATAAAAGAAAAACGAAATTTTATAAGAAATCAATTTAGGTTGTTTCACACAGACCTATAACCAACGAATTAGAAATGATATGGAAGCATTACACTGTAACAAAAGCCGCTGAACCATGATTCCAAACTTGTACAACTAAAGTTCGATATTAACGCGACACGAACACAATTGAATCAAAATAGTTTGATAAATCAAATATGTATCTGCAAATGAATTAGGCTTTTCATTCGTTGGGTAAGATAAGGTCAAATGGAAATTCCAACCAATCACATGATCGGCGTGTTGATCGCAGTTTCTTTTCCCCGCCCGTTAGATCCCAGTTTGCGTGGAACATGTGCGCAATGCACTATAAAATGCGCATTCGTATTTCGTATTATTTATAAATCGTTGCATAACACCCCTTTTGCTATCTGCAAATGCATTGACCACTAAGTTACATTGACCATAGCGGATGTGCCAAATGTCTTCAACTATTTCTTATTCTGCAAAGCAGCAACAGCGTCGTCTCTTAACATTATAGTTAATTAACCTAATTAATAATAATATCATTTATTGGCAGTCAATACAGATTAAACTTCTATTATTTTCACAATGATATCATTCTAAATACAGGCGAAATCATGATCTAATCGGTTACTAAAAATATTATTTTGATGCTTCGGACATGCATGCATGACAGCATCTTAAGAGCCCTTTTACAAAATTGCACCACTGCCGTACTAATAGGCGCGTAGGTAGATTTGCACTAGTATATATTGCATTTTACGGGTGATGTTTAGAGTCTTATAAAATAATTATTATTGAACTAATTATAAAAATATATACATATTGCAGTAGTTCAATGATGGTAAATTAGTTATAGAAATATTTTTGATAGTAATTCTATTTAATTCAATATGAAAATATGAGGTAAACCTGCATTATTTTATGGGAAAACTCGCGGAGGTTAGATTTTTTTTTTTGATAATTATTGAGATAGAAAATCAAAATTCTAATAGATTATGTTACAACAAAAACATATTTCTGATGTCGTAGTAATTAATTTGATCTAATTTATTGAACCTTTTTGAGAGATTCAGGCGTTTGAAGTTGTGGATATTATCGTTTTTTCCGTAAACTAGCTGCAGTAGAACGATCATTACTAAAAAAGGAAAATAGTATTTGCAAATATTCTACATTAATTTACAATAAGAAGAAAAATTCTATTGTTAACTTCTATTAGAAATAGTCAAAATCTTTTCGAAGGGGGGAAATAAGGCGCTCAAAAATTACAATTTTTCGCAAATAATGTGAAAGGGCTCTTAAATAGTTCTTGCCCACTGCATCTAACTGCAGTCGTTAGAGTCGTTAGCACCTAATGATCTTCATTGGCTGTGTGGTGGATCATGTCATTTCGTCCATTGTTCGATAAATTGATTGAAATTCCTATTTGTTTTATACTAGCGATTTAATTAAATTACAATAGAGCACTATGACAGTTTAATTTTCTGGAATAGCATTCTCCTCCCCGATAGCAAACACGTCGATTTCAGGCTTCACCTTATCGTATAAATGCGGGAACGCTCCATCAGCTTTGTACTTTTTCCGTACAACTTCATACAAGGACAGATCGAACATTTCCTCGAACTCATCCCTCGTCATAAATATGTCCGCGTACAAAAACGAATATCCTCCCACTTCCCTCGTGAATCTCTCCATCTTCCTCATGGCATCCACTGGATTGTAAGGTTTCCCTTCCTTAACTCTCCCGGGCACGCCGTAAACACCCAGATCGTTGTACATCGCGTAGTTGGTACCCGGCACTGAGTACTTCGAATTCGGCCGCTTCAATTGCCCCGAACATGGTCCGTGATCTATAATTTTACACGGATACACCAGCAACGGGAACTTTTCGAATAGCACGCTGGCTATTTCGATTTGTTTCTCTAGCTCTTGTATCGGCAGCACTATGTCTTGGAACACTTGTTTCGTGAACGTGTAAGCTCTGACTCCGGGCGTGGTTGTGAACTTTAAGAAGGCCGGTTTCGGTGGGAGAAGCCAGCCGAAGAATAGTCTGAACAATGGATTGTTCCCAAACGACAGCATGTCTTCCACAACCCAAAATATGGCGCGATTGTGTCTTAGTAAATAGTCTCGCAACGGGATGAGTTCGACCCCTTCTCCTTTCTTCAGGAAAGTTTCCACGTGCTTGTAGAACCAGGGTTTGTGCCACTTGGAGCAGTGGTTGACTGCAATACTGCTGTCGTAGTCCGAGTACTCGCCGACCATGATGACTGCTTCGTCTTTACTATAAATCGTGCCCTCAATATAATCAGGGTGGTATTTAGGCGACGCCTCATTCGCCCCGGACAACTCCCTGATCATGTTGCAGTAGTTCTTCTGTCCCCGCACAGGAATGTATTTGATTTTGATGTACGGCTTAATTTTCACAATTTTGAGGGTCAACGCCACTAGGAAACCGAGGCTGCCGTGGCACCAAGGAAGCGTTTTGTACAGGTCTGAATACTCGTTGTTGGCGGTGGCCGTTACTAAGGACCCATCTCCTAGCACTACTTCATAGCTCGTGATGGTTTCGTGGTAGAGGCCCGCTTTGTGCGAGTGCGTTGACATGCCCGTGCCGAACGCGAGACCTGAAAAATAAATGCAATATTAAATAAAACTAGTTTTAACTTGTTAATGCATGAAACTTTATTTATTTATTGACGTTTCGCAAACTTTTCAGGTCTGCATCGTCAGAATACTGATTTAAATTTTTATTTAAAATTATATAAAAATCAGTATTCTGACGATGCAGACTTGAAAAGGCTGCGAAACGTCAATAAATAAATAAAGTTTCGTGCATTAACCCGTTAAAACTAGTTTTATTTAATGAGTGATGTGCGTGAAAACCTAAAAAACAAATCCAATATTAAGTTATCGATACTTCAAAATCTTACCACGTTTGTTTTAAGGAAACCAGATGTGTAGTCCTCTTTACTTTAATTATGAGGCCTAGATTATAATTCATAGTTTACATCAAATGTACTTTATGACTTAATATAGACTTAGATTCCTAAGTGTCAGGGCCCGATCCAATAATTTAGCCGCTCCGCTAATAAGCGTATGGCCTGCATAACAAGTATAATGCCCAGATTCCACCCGGTTCCCGGTTTAACCGGAAGTACAACCTTCTTCTAGGTGGCTCATAAAATTCTAATCACATAATATACATCCCATCTGCCAACCTGGGTGGATGCGGAATGGCTAGATTGAAGGATAACTTTATTTCTCCTCTAATTTCCTGACTTTTTTTACCCCTCTCATCCTTGTCACAGTTGCTCACATTCGTGAGCCCCTCCCAAGAGTGACGTCATTAGAATTTTAAAATATGACGTCACGAAACTTAGGACCCCTCCCATACTGCTGAGTTTTCTGGAAGAGCTGGGATGGCAGGACTGATGCCAATCCCCACGCAAAATAGGCACTGGGTGTCGAGTTACGGAAACAGCCCGCCGTACTACTAAGACTAAGACTAAGGACCCCTCCCATCCCGTCACATAATGTCTCACTTCGTCGACCTCCTCCCTCCGCCTGAATGTGTGACGTACTTTATGGATATATAGAGTGGTATTGACATTTTCTCAAATACTAAAAGCGCTGTCAAAACCAATATAATTTCCATATTAAAGTATCAACACTAATAGCCGCCTTGCAACGTTCTCACGCGACCTGGCATTATTAAATGCATACCTACATGTAACTTTAGTTTAGCCTGCACAACGACAGTTTTTGTACCTAATTTAAATCGTAGAAACCATTCTTATTACTAAGTTCAATTATGTAAAATCTATTTGTGTCGCTGTTGGTTTCTCAAAAATGACACTAATTCATTTTTACTATCCCTATTTTTGCCGCTCTGGGCAAATGTTCGGCTTGCCATTGGATCGGGCGCTGCTAAGTATGTAGGTATCTTCATATCTCCTCTTCTCGACTAAATGAGCTGAGTATTTCGTCAGCAGCTCATCTAACAAAATCGAATCAACGGATTATGCTTCAGTTGATGTCTTACCTCCATTGGCGGACTAAGCTCGTCAGAGGCCCGGAGCGGCAAAGCTGAATGAGGCCCCCCAGCTTTAAAAGAACTTTTATACCGCAACAAAAATCAAAAACACTATTACACTTTTTAATGAAGTTACTTTGAACGGATTTTAAATGAGGCCAATGTTTATTTTTTGACCTAAATATAGTGAATGTTATTAAATGTAGGCGTAAGAGAATGAATTATAATTTGTACTTCATTCATTCAAGGGATACCTGAGGGAGTACCCGCTACAGAGACGGGAATTCCCCCAGCGTATTGGACGCGTTCAGCGAAGTTAAAACAATATTAATACCGCGTAAAAAGTCTGGATGGCTGTAGTGTTTTGATCTTGATGAAATTATGTAGGTACTTAGCACATTTTTAAAGTCTAGTTTAGGATTTGATCAGGGGAACGCGGAGGCATTTGGGGACCCCCAAGATCGGAAGCCCGGGGCGGGCCGCCCCTTCCGCCCCCCTGTTAGTCCGCCACTGCTTACCTCCCAAAGTCGCATCAACCAGCTCGATAGTTACAGCGAGCGAGTAGCCCTTCGGTATGAGATATTCTGTAATCTCCCCGATGGTGACCATGGGCTCGACTCGCACGGTCATATTGGTCTCGTCCAGGTGTAGGATGTCGTGTAGAGGGATGGGCACGCGGTGGTGCAGGTGCTTCTGGAAGAAGGTGGTGGACAGCGACTGCCAGTTGGGGCGCGAAGTGCACAGTAGACGACGCTGGGAGGACGGCTGTTTGTTCCATTGTTGCACCTGGAAGGATAGTTTTGTATCTAAATTATTTATATATATTTTTAAGCATGGAATCTAAACAAAATATTACTAGAAAAATAATTTCACGTGGACCAGGCAGCAGACGGGACTCGAACCCACCCTTCGCTATACGAGCGAATTCACTGACCATTATGCTACCGCGGCTCTGACGGCCGTGTCAAATTCTTTCTAGCCTTTCCTAAGCTGCAAGGCCGCACCCTTCGCTATACGAGCGAATTCACTGACCATTATGCTACCGCGGCTCTGACGGCCGTGTCAAATTCTTTCTAGCCTTTCCTAAGCTGCAAGGCAGCGCCATCTCTTCGCATTGTAGGTAACCCGCAATGTCAAATTAATATCTTTACAAGTACTAAACATTTGAAAGAAGAAAAAGCAATTACAGTATAATATTTTGATGCATGTTTAAATCTAAAGAAAAAATATTACTAAGGATACAATAATCAATAATCAGAACAGTACAACAGTAAATTAGAACAATAATCTAGATTATTGTTCTAGAACTAGACCATAAACAGAGTTGACGTCTATTTCCGACAGCTTCTAGACAATATAATGGCGCTTAAGCGCCATCGCCTATTTAGAAGTTTATGCATTTTGACTCCACTTACTTAATGCTAAGTCGCTGTTACAATGAGATGTATTTAATCCATCTGGAGCGTTCGTCTGTGGATATAACACGTGCATATTTCGGAAGATTATGCAATATTGTTTTGTACCAACAGTAAGTTAATTCCTGGATCACCACGAGCTATTTTCCTGCTGTTACCTTCGTGTCTGAACTCCACTATTTTAAATAAGGCGCATCAATTTAACCTTCCCCCACCTGATGCTAAGTCAGACTGAAAAGTGTGCTGCTTCAGCCATCCACACCTTGACGATCTGGACCCAATCTCCCCATAACCCGTAGAGCACTAGAACTTTAATGACACCACCAAAAGGAGGTGTTATTTCGCTGTGGTCTTCTGACCTTTCTCTCCCCGTAGCCCGTAGAGCACTAGAACTTTAATGACACCATCAAAAGGAGGTGTTATTTCGCTGTGGTCTTCTGACCTTTCTCTCCCCGTAACCCGTAGAGCACTAGAACTTTAATGAAACCATCAAAAGGAGGTGTTATTTCGCTGTGGTCTTCTGACTTTTCTCTCCCCGTAACCCGTAGAGCACTAGAACTTTAATGACACCACCAAAATGAGGTTTTATTTCGCTGTGGTCTTCTGACTTTTCTCTCCCCGTAACCCGTAGAGCACTAGAACTTTAATGACACCATCAAAAGGAGGTGTTATTTCGCTGTGGTCTTCTGACTTTTCTCTCCCCGTAACCCGTAGAGCACTAGAACTTTAATGACCACCAAAAGGAGGTTTTATTTCGCTGTGGTCTTCTGACTTTTCTCTCCCCGTAACCCGTAGAGCACTAGAACTTTAATGACACCATCAAAAGGAGGTGTTATTTCGCTGTGGTCTTCTGACTTTTCTCTCCCCGTAACCCGTTGAGCACTAGAACTTTAATGACACCATCAAAAGGAGGTGTTATTTCGCTGTGGTCTTCTGACTTTTCTCTCCCGTAACCCGTAGAGCACTAGAACTTTAATGACACCACCAAAAGGAGGTTTTATTTCGCTGTGGTCTTCTGACTTTTCTCTCCCCGTAACCCGTAGAGCACTAGAACTTTAATGACACCATCAAAAGGAGGTGTTATTTCGCTGTGGTCTTCTGACTTTTCTCTCCCCGTAACCCGTAGAGCACTAGAACTTTAATGACACCACCAAAAGGAGGTTTTATTTCGCTGTGGTCTTCTGACTTTTCTCTCCCCGTAACCCGTAGAGCACTAGAACTTTAATGACACCACCAAAAGGAGGTTTTATTTCGCTGTGGTCTTCTGACTTTTCTCTCCCCGTAACCCGTAGAGCACTAGAACTTTAATGACACCACCAAAAGGAGGTGTTATTTCGCTATGGTCTTCTGACTTTTCTCTCCCCGTAACCCGTAGAGCACTAGAACTTTAATGACACCACCAAAAGGAGGTTTTATTTCGCTGTGGTCTTCTGACTTTTCTCTCCCCGTAACCCGTAGAGCACTAGAACTTTAATGACACCACCAAAAGGAGGTGTTATTTCGCTGTGGTCTTCTGACCTTTCTCTCCCCGTAACCCGTAGAGCACCAGAACTTTAATGACACCACCAAAAGGAGGTGTTATTTCGCTGTGGTCTTCTGACTTTTCTCTCCCCGTAACCCGTAGAGCACTAGAACTTTAATGACACCATCAAAAGGAGGTGTTATTTCGCTGTGGTCTTCTGACTTTTCTCTCCCCGTAACCCGTAGAGCACTAGAACTTTAATGACACCATCAAAAGGAGGTGTTATTTCGCTGTGGTCTTCTGACTTTTCTCTCCCCGTAACCCGTAGAGCACTAGAACTTTAATGACACCACCAAAAGGAGGTTTTATTTCGCTGTGGTCTTCTGACTTTTCTCTCCCCGTAACCCGTAGAGCACTAGAACTTTAATGACACCACCAAAAGGAGGTTTTATTTCGCTGTGGTCTTCTGACTTTTCTCTCCCCGTAACCCGTAGAGCACTAGAACTTTAATGACACCACCAAAAGGAGGTGTTATTTCGCTGTGGTCTTCTGACTTTTCTCTCCCCGTAACCCGTAGAGCACTAGAACTTTAATGACACCACCAAAAGGAGGTGTTATTTCGCTATGGTCTTCTGACTTTTCTCTCCCCGTAACCCGTAGAGCACTAGAACTTTAATGACACCACCAAAAGGAGGTTTTATTTCGCTGTGGTCTTCTGACCTTTCTCTCCCCGTAGCCCGTAGAGCACTAGAACTTTAATGACACCATCAAAAGGAGGTGTTATTTCGCTGTGGTCTTCTGACCTTTCTCTCCCCGTAACCCGTAGAGCACTAGAACTTTAATGAAACCATCAAAAGGAGGTGTTATTTCGCTGTGGTCTTCTGACTTTTCTCTCCCGTAACCCGTAGAGCACTAGAACTTTAATGACACACCAAAAGGAGGTTTTATTTCGCTGTGGTCTTCTGACTTTTCTCTCCCCGTAACCCGTAGAGCACTAGAACTTTAATGACACCATCAAAAGGAGGTGTTATTTCGCTGTGGTCTTCTGACTTTTCTCTCCCCGTAACCCGTAGAGCACTAGAACTTTAATGACACCATCAAAAGGAGGTGTTATTTCGCTGTGGTCTTCTGACTTTTCTCTCCCCGTAACCCGTAGAGCACTAGAACTTTAATGACACCACCAAAAGGAGGTTTTATTTCGCTGTGGTCTTCTGACTTTTCTCTCCCCGTAACCCGTACAGCACTAGAACTTTAATGACACCACCAAAAGGAGGTTTTATTTCGCTGTGGTCTTCTGACTTTTCTCTCCCCGTAACCCGTAGAGCACTAGAACTTTAATGACACCACCAAAAGGAGGTGTTATTTCGCTGTGGTCTTCTGACTTTTCTCTCCCCGTAACCCGTAGAGCACTAGAACTTTAATGACACCACCAAAAGGAGGTTTTATTTCGCTGTGGTCTTCTGACTTTTCTCTCCCCGTAACCCGTAGAGCACTAGAACTTTAATGACACCACCAAAAGGAGGTGTTATTTCGCAATGGTCTTCTGACTTTTCTCTCCCCGTAACCCGTAGAGCACTAGAACTTTAATGACACCACCAAAAGGAGGTTTTATTTCGCTGTGGTCTTCTGACTTTTCTCTCCCCGTAACCCGTAGAGCACTAGAACTTTAATGACACCACCAAAAGGAGGTGTTATTTCGCTGTGGTCTTCTGACCTTTCTCTCCCCGTAACCCGTAGAGCACCAGAACTTTAATGACACCACCAAAAGGAGGTGTTATTTCGCTGTGGTATTCTGACTTTTCTCTCTCCGTAACCCGTAGAGCACTAGAACTTTAATGACACCACCAAAAGGAGGTGTTATTTCGCTGTGGTCTTCTGACTTTTCTCTCCCCGTAGCCCGTAGAGCACTAGAACTTTAATGACACCACCAAAATGAGGTGTTATTTCGCTGTGGTCTTCTGACCTTTCTCTCCCCGTAACCCGTAGAGCACCAGAACTTTAATGACACCACCAAAAGGAGGTGTTATTTCGCTGTGGTCTTCTGACCTTTCTCTCCCCGTAACCCGTAGAGCACCAGAACTTTAATGACACCACCAAAAGGAGGTGTTATTTCGCTGTGGTCTTCTGACTTTTCTCTCTCCGTAACCTGTAGAGCACTAGAACTTTAATGACACCACCAAAAGGAGGTGTTATTTCGCTGTGGTCTTCTGACCTTTCTCTCCCCGTAACCCGTGGAGCACCAGAACTTTAATGACACCACCAAAAGGAGGTGTTATTTCGCTGTGGTCTTCTGACTTTTCTCTCTCCGTAACCCGTAGAGCACTAGAACTTTAATGACACCACCAAAAGGAGGTGTTATTTCGCTGTGGTCTTCTGACTTTTCTCTCTCCGTAACCCGTAGAGCACCAGAACTTTAATGACACCACCAAAAGGAGGTGTTATTTCGCTGTGGTCTTCTGACCTTTCTCGTAGGCTTTCCAATTCTCTTCAATATTCCATCTAAAAAAGTTCTGGTGTAGTAATGGTCATGCCGACTCGGATCGCTGGAGATAGGGAGTATGTAAGCTTTGATCTGCAGCAGCACGGTGAATAGGAAGCTAGCTGGCATGCAGAACACCAGCACCACATCTGATCTTGAGTATAGTCTAGGCGGAAATGTACGCCTCTTCAGCTATAGGTAAGGACCTAGCCGGCCTCGACCCAATCTCCTACTTCATACAGCTCTAGAACCTTAATCACCAACAATAGAAACACAACAGCGTCAAAAGATAGTGGTTATTTCACTGTACTTCTTCTGGCTTTTTTTGTAGGCTTCCCAATTCATCAATCTGTTTTTCTTGTTTAAGCTCGTTAATGGTATTATGGACTGTCCCGATTTGCTCTCAAGAGTATATTTTAATATCCCCTTAAAACTGCCAAGAGGGTCAAAATATAATTTGTTTGCGTCGAGAAGGTCCAGAACGAACCTAGGCTTATTTTCTCCTATAAATAGAATGCTCTCTCAGTACAATTCACTGTCAAAGTCGACCGATATGGACATCTTCGCGGATACACTGAAGAGAATAAAATCTTTATGTTTGGTTGTGCCCACATAGTCTTTTTTTCTTTCATTAATTTATTTTTCATAAATTTATTTCATTGTTGTTGTTAAATTATTGACAATTTAAATTTTATTTTTATTCATAATTGTTTTGTATTGAAATTAATGTAAGTATCAAAATTTTATAAGATTTAATTGCTAGTTATGTGTAAATTGCATGTCGTAATCGCCTATAATTAAAGTTCCACTAATAAAGTGTCGTACTATAAATGTGTAAATAAGAATTGTCAAAGTGTAACTTTGTTGGTGATCAAATAAATTAATAATAAATAATCTGTCTGCGTAACTTTCTTAAATACTCTGCCTAAAAAAAGTTGAGGTTTGAGGAGTTAACAATGAATTAATGAATGATTTATTTATTTCTCTCACAAAGTCACAAAGTAACATTATAATTACAAAAGGGGAATTGAATTACAGTGACGGTAAAACAATGCAGTTCTTTGAGAGAACTGGAGATTGTACTAGGTTACAAAACCTGTGTTACGACCCCCAAGCTCAAAACCTCTTAAAACCCGTTTGCTTGCTAATAGATTCTTTTGCATAATACATTTTTTATTGTGATCTACCCTAGGTTATAAGCGAGAGTACAATATGTAAATGTTACACAACCATATTGAATAAATAACAAAAAGTAAAAGAAAGACAAAAAAAACAAGATTCTTACCGCCATTTATCAGGAAATGCGGGTTAACTGGATAACGCTTAAATTTCTATTTATATATAAAAACTAGCAAGTGTGTGTTGTGTTTGTGCGTGTGTGTGTGTGTTTGTGTGTGCATGTGCGCGTGTATTTATCTAGTATGAGAAAAACAGCCTACCTTATATTATACAATAAACAATGGAGCTTACTTGCGCTTGTATCTTCCGAACGGCTGCGTCATGTCGACTAGGGTCGCTAGTGAGAGCTCGTATGTAAGCCTTGATCTGCAGCAGCACGCTGAACAGGAAGCTGGCTGGCAGGCAGAACACCAACACCACTAGCTCGCGGTGGTCTTCCAACCACTGCACTAACCGCTGTTTCGCCGATGAAGGCAGCATGGCTGCAGAGATCATACATTGTAAAACATGTCAGTGAACGATTCATGTATTGGCGAAAACTTTGAATTGAATATCAAAACGGGAAGCAAACATTTGATATATATTCTTCCTTATTAAGAAAAAATAATAACTAGTATGAATAACGTTTTTAATAACAGCTTAATGTAAAATGAATTGTATTTGCAAAATTAGGCTTTAATTGTTCAATAATTTGTTTTCCAAATCAATAAAAAAATATCATGGCACATACATACAACAAGAATTTGATTTATGTACTGAACAGTAATAATATTTGCTTAATTACTTCGATAGCTCATGTTTAATGTAGAAATGATAAACTGACTCAGACATTTTATTTATAAAATTCGGTTACTATACCCCAATAATGCATTATCAAACTGATTGTTAGCTTTAAGGTTATGAGATTCATATAATTTTTAAATTGAATACTTTGTATGCTATATTTATAACTTCTATAGTAAAGTAAATCAAATAATGCAGATCACTCAAAATCAAAGTTCACTTATATTATTATTTACCTAATTCCCACCGGTGCGCTCACCGTCCACACTGATTTGACGTTTGATTTTGCCACCTAACAGATAAAAAACATTATTTTATCTTATCGACACAGTTAAGCTTTAATTATCTTCTTAATAAGGTATGAACAGATGTGCAATTGAAAAAATATTAATAGAACTTCGTTTTGTATTTTCAATAAATATTGGCGTCTTTTAACATAGTACCTACCGATATTTACACTGGACTTATTTCTTGACTTTGTGGTGAAAATATGTCATAAGTTTATGTGAAATTGTTAGAATTATATTTTAATGTTTACATATTGCGATAAACACTAAATATAAATGAAGATTTATTTTGAACGCTTCAGTGTCTAGAACAATTGATCCGACCTTGAACGCAGCGATTAAGAAGTCAACAAATTTGACCACTAGTCTATGCGTCACTGCATAAAAATGAGCTTTATACGTCATGAATTTAAAGTCGCTTCTTGTTAGTTACTATAGTTTCAATCTTATCTAAAATATTGTTACTATGTTATATGTGTCTGTCAATTTTTTCATAATCGGCTTAGTATTGTCTGCTTCGTTATTATATCATTGATAATAGTATGGTTAATTATTTACTATACACATACTTTAGGGTCGGAATGCTATTACCATTTTTCGCTAGATGGCGTTAGTATGAGGCATTATTTTTTAACAATTGGGAAAAAATATAATTTTTTGCGAGTGCGAAATGTCATTGTCAAATGGGTACTGATTTTTAGTTCTCGTTACGTCCATTGTAGCGCTGAGGTTTCCAGGTTTCCATACAAATTTTGACATTGACATTTCGGACTCGCAAACTATTTGTTTTCGATAATGGTTCATGCTAAGGGTACAGTTCTTTATTCTGCCTTTTAATGAAGCAAAAACGTGATAAGAAATTGTTCTACCATATTTATTTGAGCAATAAACTGCTATATTTTTATGTCTCGCAGCCTAATGTCGTCACTTCACATAGCTATTCGAATAAGCTGTTTGTTAATTTCACACAAGACACTCCTTCTTATAGCATGATAAGGATACGCACATATACACTGCTGACGAAATTACAAATAGCAAATACTATTTGTAACTATAGAATTGTAATGTCAAGTGCTTTATTAGCGTAAGATACGCATACCAGGAAAAATTGGATACGTCTGTTTTAGTAGTATACTGGTCAGAGCATTCGCCCGAAAAGCGAAGGACGTTGGCACGGTAATAATATCATACAGTATTCTATCTTCATACAAACGGTCGGAAAGCGAGTCATACCTACGCCACTCGAGTTCGAGGCACTCTCGGCGGGCACCCAGTCGCGAATGCGCCGCCGCGCCGCAACGACGACCGAATGGTGTGAATTGTTTTTTATGCAGTTAGCCGTGCTTAAACGTGCGTTTTGTATTGTAAATATTTGATTGAATTAAGTAGATACCTACATAATTTAGTATGGAAAAGAACAAACGACGATCAATATCGTACAACAGCACAATTGCTGTTTATGGTTGCTCGAACTCTTCAATAACACACCCAGAGATAATATTTTTTAAATTACCTGAAATATTGGAAAGGTGTCTTACCTTTATAGAATATTGTTTATATACCTATCTACTATTACGTAATTTGTTTCTAATATTTAGGTATTTCGATTTTTCCATCGGGCAAAATATCTGGAATAATATATAAATAGTGGTTAGGATGAAAAAAGAGACAAACGAATAATCTACCTACACTCGCGTTGAAAACAAAACTACATAAAATACTGTAAGCGGGCGGCCCTACCGCGTGCTAACGCAGCGCTCGGCCGTAGGCATTTATTTCAAGGACAGGGCGGAGTCACAATACTGTATAGATAACATTACTGTGACGTTGGTTTGATTTTAACCTGACACCAAGACCAAGTGGAGTTTTCTCTGTTTTTTTATAGACAGGTAGGCAAATGACTCTACCCCACCTGATGTAAAGTGGTGATAAAGTCCAAACGCGAAGATAGCTGGTACAGCAGTTATAAACTGCCACGCCAACCATCCTCACCTTGCCGGCCTGCAAAAATGCATCTTTACGCCTCTCTTAAAGAACCCCAGATTGTAGGAAGAGGGAACACGTGCGCACGGATGAGTCACCGAATTTCTTTGTTCGTGTAGGAATAGTGGCCACAGCAACGTAGGCCAGCGCGCGTGGTCCTCTGATACTTGTCATATGAGAAAATATACTTTTGTGTAGGGTATAGACCACTTTGAGGACATCGGGCCGTGCGTGATAATGGCGTCGCCGGGCATGATGCAGTCGGGCTTGTCCCGCGAGCTGTTCGAGTCGTGGTGCACAGACCCCAAGAATGGGGTCATTATCGCCGGTAAGTATACTGTTAAACAGTGGCGTTCCAGAGCATGATTCTGTTTGTTTTGATGTTTTGCCATTCGTGCTGTGATTAGATCAAGTTCCGACGTCAAATCACTGATAGTAAAATCTTGATCAATTGTATTTTAAATGCCCTTTACGCCCGAATATTGCCCGCATTTTCATATATTGATGGATTGAGCCGGCTTTCCCACTGTATAACCTTCTTAGTTTTAACAATTTTCTTTTGAATTGTTTCAAATTATATTTTAAAAAAACAATGGACTAATGAATAGATAGAAAATACTCAACGATTGATCGTCATTAGTAGTGACTGTGAATTTGACAGTATTAAAAATAAAGTGCCAATTGTTAGCATCTGTATTTAGAATGAATATTGGCAGGAGTTTTTACTATTTTTACAGAAACAATATTCCTAATTTTACTAAAAACCCAAGATAAATATAATAGTTTTCTTGTCTTCTGTCACGTGACCCAAAACGCTTGGGATTGGCGGAGCCTAAAATGACGTTACACGCAAGTAAACTTCCGGTTAAAGTGACATTAGATTGTATGGTTTGACGTTTTAATGACAGTCGTGTGACGTCACACACCAGTGAGACGCCATATTGTCCAGAGAGACGTTTTTCGCGGCAACTTGAAAATAGAGTTTTTGATTTAGTTTTTTTACCGAAATACACAACATAATGATGAATATCTGCTTTTAATGGACTCTATAAACAGTAGCAAATAACGTGAGGTCGTTTTCTAAAACTTGTCAAATACCCTATTGTTTTGTTTTTAATACGAATGGAGAAACCTAAATATCAATAGTGATAGACTTTTAGGTTTCCCCATTGGTATGAAACGTATCGCTTTAATGATTGTGTGATCGATCATACAGGTTACTGCGTAGAGGGCACCCTCGCTAAGACCATCCTGTCGGAGCCCGAGGAGATCACGTCCATGTCGGGCCAGAAGCTGCCCCTCAAGATGTCCGTGGACTATATATCCTTCTCGGCGCACACAGACTACCAACAGACTTCGGAGTTTATCAACATACTGAAGCCGCCGCATGTGGTGAGTTGTACATTAACATTTTTAATGATACAAAGCAAAGTTATAGGTATTTTGTTGATTTTACTTTTATTTCTGCTATGATGTGGGCAAAGGCAGAGGTGCGCCCGACTCGATGTGCCTTTTGATGTGAAACATCTTTTGGTGCACGTAAAACTTAAATTAAAACAAAAAGGGAAGATACGGCATTGGCGGCTCAAAAGTGATCCGCTTAGATTGTGGTCCACGACCATAATTCGCTTTAGTAACAATTTGACATTCAAACACGCTGCATGTACACTCAATATAACAATATTGCGTATATTCTGTGTTATGAAGATAAAACAATGCCTTCGATGCTTTTATAAAGAGCAAAAATAGTTCAAAATCAAATGTCCCGGCATTGCTTTTTATTGGTAAAACTGTGAAAACATTTTTTTCTCAAAAATCACGGTTTGTCGTGAATATTATTTACGTAATCGCCATTTTGTAAGGACGAAAAGGACAACAATACACTGCGTTGAAGCGTATAGTTCTGTCTCGCTCGCTCGATCGATGTTTATATAAAGACGTGTGCGCGGCGAGAGTTACTAATGTAGTTGAGTCGGATCATATTTTATTTGATCCTAGTATGAGCGTACCGTATCTACCCTTTTTGTTTTAATCTAAGACGTGAAACCGATTTCTGGCGTAGCGACGCTCGCCCGAAAAATGCAATATATACCAGTGCTCAACTACTCGCCGATCAGTAAGTAAGTAAGGTGAAATAGACTCCAAGGACCGACCCGATCGTAATCGGGCCGCGAACCCGCCACATCCGAAGTAGTGTTAAACTAGAACGGATTCCCCGCACGCCGCGGCGTCTCCGGCGCCGGCGACGCGCGAGACGAAGAAGGACAGTCGCCGATCAGTACGGCGCCAGCGCCCTTCGAGGAAGGACCTATGTCATTTATTACCGCACGCATCCCGAGCAATTCTCCGAGTGTTTTTAGCGAGCGTAAACCTGCTAGCTATTAATTACTCAATAAAACAACATTGTTTTATCATTTATCATAACAACATTTTCGGGACAGTCTTTTGCAAACTTTACCATAGCATAACGATCAACTAAAGGTGTTTCATCTTTTTGGTCCTTCGAGCCGGATGATAATTGCAAATAAATTAAAGGTGCTTTAAAGTTTTAAGTTAAAGTCTATTTAACTTAATGCTATCAAAGCTGTCGCGTATTTTTTTTATGTCGTATCGCTACTGTGTCCGATAGTGTTAGTAATGAAATTATGTGTAAGTCATTTGTCCACCATTGTAACATAACACGATATATTGGCTTTGATACTTTTAAAACAGGTAAAATTGATTGTAGATAGAAATTAGTTAAACACCTCTAGAATGTTTGTTGATAATTGCACAAATGAGAGAACATTATTAAACTCGTGCTTAACATTAAATAAAATAAAATCATTAAATTGTTACACATTTTAGTTAACACATTATTTTAGCAGTGTTGTAAGTATTAACAATAGGCATAAGGTTGGAGCGTTGATATCTGCACTAGTTTAAAAAACTTTATTGCAGATACCGGCGCCTTCCGAATTAATAACAATACTATCTCGTGTGAGAAAAACTGTTGCTATTTAGTGAATGATGAGAACGAATAGCATCACTTAATAGTATAGGTCAGTTGTTATGCGAGAGATTGAGACTCGATTGTAGAGTAACCATATCCTTTTTGTATTTGTACAGTGACTTTAATCAAAATGTGAGTGGATGTTGTATTGGTAGCGACATGATTTTAAAAGTAAATGTTTCTACTTCTGTTAAACGCTGATGAGTTTCTTGCGCCCATTGTACTCTTCAGTTAAAAGATGTTGTGGTAGGCAAAATACAAAACGATTCAAAATAGCTTTCAATAAGTCTATTTCGAAAAAGTATATTTTTGGAACAATAGCGATTGACACTCTATCTTTACATCCTATAGCTATGGGTATACTTGTTCTTTATATAAAGAATCTACTGTAGTTATATAGTTGTAGTTACTGACGACCTCCGTGCTCGAGTGGTTTGTACGCCGGTTTCATGGTGTCACCGACTCGAGAGGTTCCGGGTTCGAATCCCGGTGGGGGCAGATGTTTGTGTGATGAATACGAGCATTTGTACTCCAGAAATGGATGTTTAATATGTATTTCTATATAAATATACTTATATATGTACTGTATATGTATTCTATCCGTTACTCTAGTATCCCATAACACAAGCCTTACAGTGCTTACTTTGGGGCTAGACTAATTGGTGTGAGTGTTGGAAACATTTATATTTATTTACTAGCTGACCCAGCGAACTTCGTACCGCCATAAAAAAATAGGGGTTGGTGGTAGAAAGTTGAAAATTTAGGGATGTATGTATTTTTGTATGATGTATCATAAACAAATTAAAAAAAAAATATCAAAATTGAAAAAAAAAAATAAGGGATGAATTACCCTTAACATTTAGGGGGATGAAAAATAGATGTTGTCCGATTCTCAGACCTACCCAATATGCACACAAAATTTCATGAGAATCGGGAAAGCCGTTTCGGAGGAGTTTTACCACAAACACCGCGACACGAGAATTTTATATATTAGATTTTATTATTTATATGTCGTGATGATGTCGTAGGTGTTAGTGCACGGCGAACAGAACGAGATGTCCCGCCTGAAAGCTGCGTTACAACGCGAGCATCGAACCCGCCTCGCCGTGCATACGCCGCGCAACACGCAGCTCCTCGCCCTCACCTTCCGCGGGGACAAGACTGCCAAGGTGAGACCGCCCTACCATACACTACACTATCTACCCTTCACTACCTACACTACAATACCTAATATTAATAATAGAGAAGAAAAAACACTCAACAAAAAATTAATAATAATAATTTATTGTTATGATTTTATTTATTGACGTGACAACGTCTTAAATTAGGTTGCGGCTGGGAGTCACTTATGAAAAAGTGTAACGCTCGGTAACGTTACGATGAGTTTAAGTTTACATGTACAATGTTTTAGTAAACAAAATATATTTCTATAGTTAAAATTTGTGCAATTCTTATTTTCATTCAATTCCTTGTTCCTATTGTGCAATTTAATTATATTCATATCAATAAATATTCTACCGAGAAAAAGACGTTGTCACGTAAAATCTTTTTTTTAAGCATTTAACTGCTAGATGTTTAAATCTAAAGAAAAGTTTACTAGAAAAAAAATCCACGCGGACCAGGCAGCGGACGGGACTCGAACCCGCATCTTTCGCTATCCGGGCGAATGCACTGACCGTTATGCTACCACGGCCCTATTAGCCGTGTCGAAATTTTCCTAGCCTTAAGCTGCAAGGCTAGGAAAAATACTTGAAAAAGTATTCATTTGACATTGTGGGTTACCTACAATGCGAAGAGATGGCGCTGCCTTGCAGCTTAAGGCTAGGAAAATTTCGACGCGGCTAATAGGGCCGTGGTAGCATAATGGTCAGTGCATTCGCCCGGATAGCGAAGGATGCGGGTTCGAGTCCCGTCCGCTGCCTGGTCAGCGTAGATTTTTTTTCTAGTAAACTTTTCTTTAGAATAATTTATTGCATAAAAATTAGGTCTAAAATCTACCTACTACCTACGCTACACTACCTACCCTTCACCACCTATACTACAATACCTACCTTACACTACCTACACTACAATAACTACCCTTCACTACCTACCCTACCACTACCTATACTACACTACACTCCCCAATACGCAGCTCTACGCGCTCACCTCGTCAAGACAGCCAAGGTATATACGGTTAAAGAAATTTATTTCTCAAAAGAATTTATTCAAAATCCACTTACAAAGAAAATACAATAATTATAGAAAAAAATATTGTCGACTAAAATAAAAAAAAAAAAGGTAAGTTAACTGACAGAATCCGGAATGATGAGTCACATAAAGGCACACAGTAGGTAAGGGATATTACATTGCGACCAATTTCTAACAATGCGTATCAGAAATAACGCACAACCTGAAAGAAATTTGTTACAAATATAGAAATGAATCAATTATAGTAATTTTCATTTTTTTATCAGTCACAGCTGTGATATCTCAATGTTGGGATAATTATTTAATGTACCGTTACATTTGAAAAAAGCTCTTATTATTATGTATTAAGTATATTTTTTTATTTAGAACTAGTGGCCCGCCCTCGCTTCGCTTCGGTGTAGAGCTGTAGTGTAAACTATAGTTTTTGTTCTCAGGCTTGTGCAATAAACAATGACTTTATTTATATAATTACACGTGTTGCAACATATGCTGTTGCGGGATATTTTTTAGACAATTTTATGTAGAATATTTCCGTCATACATGATTTCTATGTAACTTTAACCATTAAGGCTGCACACGCGACGGAAGCTTAAAAAATGGAGTAACTTCTCCCGTTTTCCCAACATTTCCCTTCACTACTCTGCTCCTATTGATTGTAGCGTGATGAAAAGTATACTATAACCTGCCCAGGAGTATGAAGAATAATTGTACCGAGTTTCGTTAAAATCCGTCGAGTAGTTTTTGTTTCTATAAGGAACATACACACAGGCAGACAGACAGACAGACAGAAAGACAAAAAATTTACTGATTGCATTTTTGGCATCAGTATCGATCACTAATCACCCCCTGATAGTTATTTTAAAAATATATTTCATGTACAGAATTGACATCTCTACAGATTTATTATAAGTATAGATAATTAAATTAATGTGACTAAGTAAAACAAGTTTCAACGGTATAGATGCACTGATTTATTTATTAACGTTTCGCATCCTCAAAACATGAACTGCTGGCGATCTACCCCAAAATTTTTAGACTACTTACGATCGATTCTGAGAGGCTGCAAGTATGTGTGATGCAGGCTTGTCGTACATACACGATACACCCCACCTACCTACCTAGGTGGGGTGTACCGTAGCATATATAGATATTGACGACCTCCGTGGCCGAGTGGTTTGTACGCCGGGTTTCATGGTGTCACCGACTCGAGAGGTCCCGGGTTCGAATCCCGGTGGTGGCAGATATTTGTGTGATGAATACGAGCATTTGTACTCCAGTCATGGATGTTTAATATGTATTTCTATATAAATATACTTATATATGTACAGTATATGTATTCTATCCGGTACCCTAGCATCCCATAACACAAGCCTTACAGTGCTTACTTTGGGGCTAGGCTAATTGGTGTGAGTGTTGGAAATATTTATTTATTTATTTATTTATATTAGACTTAACTTATAGCGGTCGATCGCGATCGACTGAGCGACCGTTTGAGCACCCCTGCTCTACAGGATGCGTGGTCTGAAGAATGATTTTATTTACTTTGGCGAGCTACCTTCGAAAGACAAAACTCTCTCCCAGTACACACATTCGAAAATACACACTTATTGTACTCCAATACGAAATTTAAAAACTTTTACTAAATATTAATATACTAGTACCGGAATTTCGCGCTTTCATTTTTAATAACAATATCCTAAGAAGCCGCTTTCTTAATTTGTTAGCCAATAAATAACTTTAGGTTAAAATAGCGCTCCAAATCGGATCTCTATACGTCACTTCTGATATTGTAAGAAACGTCGAAATTGGCAATGACATCATGGCCATTAGAAAAAAAGAATAGAATAAATATTTATTTAAATGTTAGTTTTAAAACACTAGCTTTATGTCAGGTGATGGGATCGTTGGCCATGGAAGGCCCGGAGGCCGGCAAACAACTGCAAGGCATCCTGGTCAAGAGGAACTTCAACTACCATATATTAGCTCCACAGGATCTCAACAGTATGTACTCTATACATTTTTTTATATAGTCAGTTAGGCAGACGACTCTACCCCTGGTGTTAAGTGGTGATAAAGTCCAAACGCGCAGATAGCTGGTACAGCAGTTATAAACTGCCACACCAACCATGCTCACCTTGTTGGCCTGCATTAATGCTTTTTAACGCCTCTTTAAGGACCACAGATTGTAGGAAGGAGGGAACACGTGCGCGAGCAAAGAATTCCACTTGTGAATAGTACGACAAAGAAATGAGTCACCAAATTTCAGGAGTTGAGCTAGTCTGAAGTGACCCCGCGTTTATTGAGACACGTGGTGATGCATGCATCATTAGCAGCTATTGCAAAGAAATGTTCATTTTATGTTTAAATTCATGAAATATAGGAATATTATTAGATTGCTTCTCAAACGTGACTTTGTCCTAATGCTCTTTTTAGGCAAAATGTAGTTTTTAGACCATTTATATGTGTATTAGCGGCGTTTAGCTTGACCTTGACTTTGACCTTTTTTAAGAATCCCACAGGAACCATTTTTCTGTATTTTTCCTACATAAAAGGTATCATATGTCTCAATATGGTATTTGACAAGTTTTAGAAAACGATCTCACGTTATTGACTAATGTATATGGAATCCGTAAAAAGTGGATATTCATCATTCTGTTGTGTATTTCAGTAAAAATAACCAAATCAAATACTCCATTTCCAAGTTGCCGCGAAAACGTTTCTCTGAACAATATGGCGTCTTACTAGTGTGTGACGTCACACGACTGTTATTAAAACGTCAACCGATACAATGTAATGTCACTTTAACCGGAAGTTGACGTCATTGTAGGCTCCGCCAATCCCAAGCGTTTTGGGTCACGTGACAATAGATAAGAAAACTATTTTCTTTTTCTTTAGTTTTTAAGTAAAATTATGAATATTTTTTTTGTAAAAATAGTAAAAACCCCTCCCAATATTCATTCTAAATACAGAGGCTAACAATTGGCACTTTATTTTTAACACTGTCAAATACCCTATTCAGGTCGTAAACTATATGCGTACCAAATGACATCCAAATCCATTCAGTAGTTCTTGCGTTCTTGAGTAACAAACATACAAACAATGTCACATTTACTAGTATAATATTAGCAGGATGTGTTTTTATATGGATCATTTTTTTATTAAATGTATTAATTTCGTGGTGGGCTTCCAACAGAATACACGGAGTTGAGCCAGTCTGAAGTGACCCAGCGTTTATCGATCCAGTACAGCGGGTCTGTTGCTTTGTTGAGGCATGTGGTGATGCAACTGGCCGGCACCATACACTTCCTGAGCGACTCGCGATGGAGGCTGTACGGATGCCTCGACCTTTGCCTCGAGCGAGACACCATCACGCTGGAGGTGAGTAGAGTTTCCATTTAGGAATTTAAAAAGTCCCGGCGTAAAAGCTGATTTCATTAAACATTTCGATAAAAGATCGGACATTTCAGTCATATAGTGTAATTAATATATTGTACATTGTATTTGAATTAATATAAAACTCAAAGCTATTTGAATAAATATGTCAGTTTTGAGTAATTTTACCTGACGCTGTCTGTACTTATTAATATTTTAGTCCAGTATTATAATTTATGTTTTTAAAGTGAAACTTGTTATCGACATCGCCACAAATTTTTTGTTTCATATTTAGCGTGTCGCATTACATTATATTTTAAACTAGCGGCCCGCCCTCGCTTCGCTTCGGTGTAGAGCTGAAGTGTAGACTACAGTTTTTGTTCTCAGGCTTGTATTATACACAATGACATTCATCTATGATTCTTCTTATACCTGCATGCAAAGTCTCAGCCCGATCGGTTTAAAATTGACAAAGTTTCATACCAACTTTCATTCCCTATTTTATCCCCTTGGGGGTAGAATTGATCAAAATCCTTTCTTAGCGGATGCCTACGTCATAACATCTACCTGCATGCCGAATTTCAGCCCGATCCGTCCAGTGGTTTGGGCTGTGCGTTGATAGATCACTATGTCAGTCAGTCACCTTTGAGTTTTATATATATAGATTGTAATTAAAAATATCAGACCTTGTCAACAAACATTGTTGGTTCAGTGGTAGAAACCTCGCCTGTTGCGCAGGCGGCCCGGGTTCTTCGATTCCCAACTGAGGAACGACTTTGTTTAATAATTTAAAAAGTTTCACTAGCCGTAGTTTCATTAAACCGCACCATTTTTTTTAAGATTTTAATATCTCAGTGATTACCTCATTCGAGTTGTGAATGTGGTAGCTATGCAATTTTTTTTTCATTTGCCGTTTAATAATAAAATTATATAAAATCGTATCTAAGTAGACGTGAAATGTAACACGAACTGTTCTGAAAAGTGGTTTCACGAACAATGCGATACGGGCGGGTCGAAAAAACTGCGATCAACACGCCGAACAAGGGATTGGTTGGGATTTCCATTTGACATTATCTTACCCAATGAATGGATAGCAGAATTCATTTGCTGATATTTGATTTGTTAAAGTATATTATTTTATTAGTCTGCGTGTCGCGTTAGTATTGAAGTTTTGTTGTATGTGTTTGGAACCTTGGTTTATCTCTTATCTAATAGACAAGTCCGTCCGTCCGTTCGTGGTGCTGTTTCAGCGGCCAAACCGTAAGAGATAGGTATAGAGAATGTTTAAGTTATAAGTTAAGAATAGTCTGATAAGACTACAAACCGGATTTGAGTAACGTAGCACTTCCGGTTTTCGAGAAATCACGTGATTTCTATTTCAAACGAAACCATACAAAATCTCCGAAGTTCTCAATGAATTAAATTTTTTTTTTTTTGGTGAACATTTGGTTCACTCGTTTGCTAGTATAATTTCTAATTCGTTTTTCGTATGATCCGTAGTGGCAAGCGTCGCCGGTGTCGGACATGTACGCGGACGCGGTGGTGGCGGCAGCTCTAGGTGCCGCGCAACTGCCGCCGCAGCCGCACCTGCCGCTCGCGCCAAAACTGGACAGAATGCACTACAAGGTCGGTACATCACACTCACAACGCGGTGGTGGCGGCAGCTCTAGGTGCCGCGCAACTGCCGCCGCAGCCGCACCTGCCGCTCGCGCCAAAACTGGACAGAATGCACTACAAGGTCGGTACATCACACTCACAACGCGGTGGTGGCGGCAGCTCTAGGTGCCGCGCAACTGCCGCCGCAGCCGCACCTGCCGCTCGCGCCAAAACTGGACAGAATGCACTACAAGGTCGGTACATCACACTCACAACGCGGTGGTGGCGGCAGCTCTAGGTGCCGCGCAACTGCCGCCGCAGCCGCACCTGCCGCTCGCGCCAAAACTGGACAGAATGCACTACAAGGTCGGTACATCACACTCACAACGCGGTGGTGGCGGCAGCTCTAGGTGCCGCGCAACTGCCGCCGCAGCCGCACCTGCCGCTCGCGCCAAAACTGGACAGAATGCACTACAAGGTCGGTACATCACACTCACAACGCGGTGGTGGCGGCAGCTCTAGGTGCCGCGCAACTGCCGCCGCAGCCGCACCTGCCGCTCGCGCCAAAACTGGACAGAATGCACTACAAGGTCGGTACATCACACTCACAACGCGGTGGTGGCGGCAGCTCTAGGTGCCGCGCAACTGCCGCCGCAGCCGCACCTGCCGCTCGCGCCAAAACTGGACAGAATGCACTACAAGGTCGGTACATCACACTCACAACGCGGTGGTGGCGGCAGCTCTAGGTGCCGCGCAACTGCCGCCGCAGCCGCACCTGCCGCTCGCGCCAAAACTGGACAGAATGCACTACAAGGTCGGTACATCACACTCACAACGCGGTGGTGGCGGCAGCTCTAGGTGCCGCGCAACTGCCGCCGCAGCCGCACCTGCCGCTCGCGCCAAAACTGGACAGAATGCACTACAAGGTCGGTACATCACACTCACAACGCGGTGGTGGCGGCAGCTCTAGGTGCCGCGCAACTGCCGCCGCAGCCGCACCTGCCGCTCGCGCCAAAACTGGACAGAATGCACTACAAGGTCGGTACATCACACTCACAACGCGGTGGTGGCGGCAGCTCTAGGTGCCGCGCAACTGCCGCCGCAGCCGCACCTGCCGCTCGCGCCAAAACTGGACAGAATGCACTACAAGGTCGGTACATCACACTCACAACGCGGTGGTGGCGGCAGCTCTAGGTGCCGCGCAACTGCCGCCGCAGCCGCACCTGCCGCTCGCGCCAAAACTGGACAGAATGCACTACAAGGTCGGTACATCACACTCACAACGCGGTGGTGGCGGCAGCTCTAGGTGCCGCGCAACTGCCGCCGCAGCCGCACCTGCCGCTCGCGCCAAAACTGGACAGAATGCACTACAAGGTCGGTACATCACACTCACAACGCGGTGGTGGCGGCAGCTCTAGGTGCCGCGCAACTGCCGCCGCAGCCGCACCTGCCGCTCGCGCCAAAACTGGACAGAATGCACTACAAGGTCGGTACATCACACTCACAACGCGGTGGTGGCGGCAGCTCTAGGTGCCGCGCAACTGCCGCCGCAGCCGCACCTGCCGCTCGCGCCAAAACTGGACAGAATGCACTACAAGGTCGGTACATCACACTCACAACGCGGTGGTGGCGGCAGCTCTAGGTGCCGCGCAACTGCCGCCGCAGCCGCACCTGCCGCTCGCGCCAAAACTGGACAGAATGCACTACAAGGTCGGTACATCACACTCACAACGCGGTGGTGGCGGCAGCTCTAGGTGCCGCGCAACTGCCGCCGCAGCCGCACCTGCCGCTCGCGCCAAAACTGGACAGAATGCACTACAAGGTCGGTACATCACACTCACAACGCGGTGGTGGCGGCAGCTCTAGGTGCCGCGCAACTGCCGCCGCAGCCGCACCTGCCGCTCGCGCCAAAACTGGACAGAATGCACTACAAGGTCGGTACATCACACTCACAACGCGGTGGTGGCGGCAGCTCTAGGTGCCGCGCAACTGCCGCCGCAGCCGCACCTGCCGCTCGCGCCAAAACTGGACAGAATGCACTACAAGGTCGGTACATCACACTCACAACGCGGTGGTGGCGGCAGCTCTAGGTGCCGCGCAACTGCCGCCGCAGCCGCACCTGCCGCTCCACTTTATTTATTTCACTGTCATGGGTAGCCTGGAAGAGATTGCTGTTTAGCAATAAGGCCGCCTATTGTGTACGTTTTCACTGTCATATTTTATGTCTTGTATGTTCTGTGTGGACATTGTGAACAAAGAATATCATTATTATGCATTTTATAATGATAGTATTAAATATCAACTAGCAGTTCACGTAAATATATGTATGTATTGTACTACTATAACCGACGATCTCCGTGGCCGAGTGGTTTGTACGCCGGGTTTCATGGTGTCGCTGACTCGAGAGGTTCGAATCCCGGTGGAGGCAGATGTTTGTGTGATGAATACGAGCATTTGTACTCCAGTCATGGATGTTTAATATCTATTTCTATATAAATATACTTCTATATGTACAGTATATGTTATTCTATCCGTTACCCTAGCATCTTTTAACACAAGCCTTACAGTGCTTACTTTGGGGCTAGGCTAATTGGTGTGTCAAAATAAAAAGCCCTAGCACGAACCATTATCGCATTCGAATAGTTTTCAAACCGAAATATCAATGTCAAATTTTGTATGGAAACTTGAACAGCAGCGGCACAAAGTACGTGACGAGAACTAAAAATCAGTACACATTTGACAATGACATTTCGGACTCGAAAACGATACGAATTCGATATTGGTTCGTGCTAGGGGTACTGTTCATTGATTTCCGTTATACCTTTAATATAAAAGTAATGATGACACAGTTTATTGACAATGGTGTCGATTCTAGCATGATTCTCTAAACCTAAACTTAAATTTGACAGCAGTATATCCTTGTCATTCTCTATACAGAATGAAAAGGACAGACTGATGTTAAATTTAGTTTTAAGTTTAGAGAATCACGCCAGAATCGGCACCAATGTGTCATTCTATTGTAAGCCGCTTTCCTCACCGGGTCGGTGCGGGCTCGTTACGTTTTCGTACAGATCGGTTACAGCGAACCGCGGTGAGGAAGGCGTATTAGGAACAGAAGACGAGGCGATGTCAGCGCTAGATCACTTTTCTATTTTTGGAGTTTACTCCTTAAGAATCGATTTGCATATATAAGGGGCCCGGTATGAGAAAAATGTGAGGAGTAAAATCTACTGAACAAATGACCTCGTTACGTTTTTGAGCGCAACCTCATCTGCGCACCTTTCGCTTTTAGCCATGGCAACGGATAAAAAACATTAAGTTGTCACAAATGTCAATAAAATAAATAAACTAAAAATATATTAAATCGGAGCAAAATTAATGAAAACAAATAAATAACAGAATATAGAGAAATGCCGGTAAGTGTCCAGCACTCTGGAATAGTGATTTTCAGTACAGATGGAATTATAATACATATTTACAAAATGATGACTAGTGTGTGATATTTTTGAAATGTGTGTTTCCAGAAATACATAATAAAATATATGATGAATATCGATGATGTTAGATGATAAAATGTGTGGAACAGGGAACCTATGATAGTCGAAACCATGGGACGATTCCTGAGGTATCTCTACTTGTAACCGACTTCTTCGGACTTGATTTTGTTTTGTGTCTGATTAAAGACAATCGTTTTTAGAGTGTAAACTCCGGTCGTGCGTCGGAGCTGACACACACAATATTTTTTTAATTAACTGAGTGTTTTCCGTTGGCCAGGAGTGCGTGATCGAAATGCTTCAAGAAATGTTCGGTGAGGAGTCCGTGCCTAAGATGTTTAAGGGGGACAAACTGCACGTCACTGTGGGGGGCAAACGGGCGGATATCGACCTTACTACCATGGTGAGTACATATAACATAACATAAAAAAATGTGTGCGTGTACTAGTGTACACACGTAAGAAGTGAAACTTCTTTAAGGCCTTATTTTTTTCGAAAAATGATCTACATGCAACTTTCCAGAAATATATATATAGGCGTGCGCTAAGATTTTTCAAAAACTCACCCACTAAAGGGGTATAACTACACCTTACCTTACCTTACCTTGTGTGAAACACGAATATTTGCTGTCAATACTTTTTTTTTTTTAAGTTGACAGAAGAAGCAATTGTTCTGATGAGGTAAATAGTGCTCTTTTAAAAAAAAGATGGCGCGTAACCAAAAAACGTGACGCGTAACCGAATAAAAATGTGACGGTAAATTTTTTTCCAACGCCGATAAAGAAGTTTCACCTCAATAAAAAGATTTAGGGTGTATTCTAAATATACATCAGTATACTGGCCAGTGGTAATGACGTCACGAATCCGACGCCATATTCAGAAGTCAGAAGTCTTTATTTGCATTAAATATGGTGTACATAAGATGATCCATTTGTATTTGATGTTATTTACACATTCAGTATAAAAAAATATTATAGAAAATATAATAGTATCACATATTTTACTGTCACACATCATGCAATACAGAAAACATATAAAATAAAACAATTCAAAAAACCTCAAAAAATTCAAAATTATTTCCTTTATAAATCTACATCATATATTGTACTGGTATGCTACCATATTTTTACTGGGAAAACGAATATGACGTATGACCGAGCGTGCGTGAGATGCATTCGAATTTTATTTCTTTTCTATTTAAAGAACAATAATGCCATCCGTACAAAAAGAATTCCTTTCAATTGATGAGGTGAATTAAAAATCTTCTTTATTCGCACTATTTTTAATATTTCATCGATTTATGACGTCGGTGCACTGGCCAATGTATTTCGGAACAATTCACCAGTATAGCGTCGATCCATGACGTCATTAGCACTGGCCAGTATACTAGTATATATTACTGAATACACCCTTAATGACCAAAAATCAGTACAATAAGATTTCGTAACAAACTTAGCACTAGTTATACAGATAAATATAATTTATAAGCCTCTGCTGCTGAACTAGGCAAGGCCTGTATTTCAGCATTCAGCGCCATAAACCCCCACAGACATGAGAATACTAAACTAGACTAAATATAAATCTTATAAATGAAAAGGTCAATCATAATGTTTAATTCATTTTAAAAGCAAGGCAGCTATGAGTATAATATATAAATTAACATATAATGTTGTTGCCCATAAGTGCCGGGTTCGTATCCCGGTGGGGGCAGATGTTTGTGTGATGAATACGAGCATTTGTACTCCATTCATGGATGTTTAATATATATTTCTATATAAATATACTTATATATGTATTTTTTCCGTTACCCTAGTATCTCCATAACACAAGCCTTACAGTGCTTACTTTGGGGCTAGGCTAATTGGTGTGTGTTGGAAATATTTATTATTTAATGATATAAAATCGTATCTAACGAAGTAGAAATAATATGTAAAACGAACTGCACTAAAAGTGGTTTCACGCAAACTGCGATGCGACTGGGCGGGGCGAAAAAACTGCGATCAACACACCGATCATGGGATTGGTTGGAATTTCCATTTGACATTATCTTACCCAATGAATGGATAGCCGAATTCATTAGCAGATATTTGTTTTGTTAAAGTATTATACAGGATGTTACAAAAAAACAAATAAAGCTTGAAGGGCGTTGAAGTACATCTTATAAGGAGACTTCTCTAATTTTCTTAAAATATTTGCAAGAAGTTTTAACTTTTTATAAAAACAGTTATTTTTAATGATTAATAAAAATATCGATCACTTTAAGACACGTCACTAGTTCATTTATCATTAGAAAATTTAAATCTCAGATTAAGAATACTCTTATGAATAAGGGCTATTATAAAGTTAATGATTATCTAAATGATCGTAATGCATGGACAAAGTGTTTCTTGTAATTTCTTATTTGATGGGTATGAGTCACTTTTGTAACAGTAGTATGGTACCTATCTAATGCCGCTTCCTATATATACTAAATATAAAATTTGTTGTAACTATATATCTATACCCTAAATAATGTAATGGAAGGTGACTTCAGAAGTATGTCTGAAGTCATTTTTCAACTTAACGACTCTGTATATATCAATGCAGGGAGCTGAAAGCAGCCCTTGCTGATTTCCTTGCCGGTTCTTCTCAGTACAAGGTCTCCCGCCGTAGTTTTGCGAACCGATGGCGTAGCTTCTTGACCTTCACAAGTGCTTGTAACAGCCTAGACTGAATAAATGACTTTTCATTTCAACGCCCTCAAGCTTTATTTGTATTTTTGTAACACCCCTGTATATATATAAAATATAATAATAAGCTGTGTTTATATCGTTTCGTATAGGAGGTGAAATGTGAATCGGATGAGTCGTTAGAGCGGGTAGTGGGTAGCGCTCTACGGAGGCTGCATAATGCTCTGGCGCCTCTCAAACATAGCGCCGCCGCGAGGACTGCCGAGTGATAGTACACAATACGGGTACAAAACGCGGAGGGGAAATCTGCGCGTACGCATGGGTACGACTGGAGAGACAATCGGCGCAACTCATTTCCCCCCAACACATCTTATTTTTTACTTCTGCGCATTAAAGGTCAGCGCTACAGTTTCGTTCCGCGACTTATACATACTAAACCATACTGCCCATTCTCTCATGGTCGCCGGAGCGAGGAATTAAATTTGAATTGTTAGTATCACTGTAAAATGAATTGTATTTTTTATAATGAATTTACCCCGTAACGATGTAGAAAATAATTGTCTTTGTTCAAGTGAGTGTGAGAATAGGGTGTAAACAATGAGACTGTTAATAAATTTGTATTATATAATTTAAATATAAGTTATGATAATTTAAACACATCTTTCATTTATATCCTGCGTATTAATATTGCAGCAGAATTTCTGCAATCTCCTTTTTGAGTGCCTATATACCAGCCGTAAGATCATGAAATATAATAAAAAATATAATTCCTCAGTCAGATCATGAAATTTCTAGGCATTTCATGATTGACCTGCCGTGGACACTTGCTTCGCTCGATTGACTTGAATTCCTAACATATATGAAATTTTCATCACTTTTTGGAGCACTAAACATTCTTAAAATATCATCTTATTTTAAAAAAAACGGACATGTGCTGTTCACATGCAATACCTTTGTATTCACTTATAACGCATGTGAACACATAAAACTCCTTCATGACTAGGTACTGTAAAATATTGGACAAAATTAAATATTCTATACTTAAATTAATAATAGCTTAATAGAAGAAAAAACAAGTATGCTTATGACCAAACGACAGAAGTGAAACTTCTTTAGCTCCATCTGGATGTATATGTATACAAAATATACATGCATGGACAGTACATATTTAATTTACTAGCTATAAGAGAAAGAGCGAAAGAAAATGTGCGCGCGCACTGCTTTCCCTTACTTATATCTCCCACTCGACTCGCCCGAACACACTTTTCGTAACTCTTAACGCATTCGCCAGCTTGACTTCAAAAATAATAATAACCGAGCTCAGACTCGAACCACCGATCATTTGGTGTCGACCCCAAGACAGTTACCATTCGACTGTCTCTTGAAGAGAGTTACAAAATTATGGGATACCTTTTGTCGAATACTATAAAATTTTCGTTTCATTGAGTTTCAAATCACAACGGTGCTAAAGAAGTCTTCACTTCCAAAAAATCGTCATTTTAATTTCCGTACCTATATAGGAATTCCATGATCTGACGAATAATAAAAAGGAGATTGCTCAAATTGGCCCAAATGCACAAAAAATATTGACATATACGGTAATTCTTGGCGTAATTTATACTTTATTTTACAGTCATTAGATTTTAACGGACACCTTTGTATAATATATCCTTTTTAAAAAGGATTTTTATTTTACCGGTTTGGAAAACATACGAATTAATGGCTATGGGTGTTACTAACATTTATCCAAAGACGGACCGAAGTTGTTAATAAAACATAAAATCTAATCTATTTTGTAAAGATCGATAAAATAAAACATTTTTGAAGTTATATTTCTTTCGGCGAGTTATGAAAAAATGATGAGAGTGAAATTTTAAGATGCGCGCGCATCACTGTAACACAAAAAATTAACAGCTTACTAATAATTGCTAATTGTTACTTTTGTGTTTACCGCACATTAAGAAAAATCTACCAACAAAATAGAAATAGGAATCTCTATTTAGTGGGTGCTAACGACTGCATTGTGAAGGCCTATCAAAAGTATTTATTAATCTGGAACAACGGAACCAAAGCGCGATTCAGGAGACTACAGCGCCATCTCTTGACCATTGGTGCAGTAGAACCAAAAACCACATCTTTATTTTTCAATGTTACTTTTATGTTATTATTGTAATAAAGTAACAGTTATAGGTATTCATATTTATAATATTTATCCACATGTTTCTAGTTTGTATATTCGGAATACGTGTTTGAGTTCCATACAAGTGCAAATCACATATGTTCTAATAAATTATATTCAGTAGCGATTTTAATTGAATATTTTGATTATTTATTTATTTTTTCAAATTAAAACTGAACTTTATTGACTGTGTCCTTTTCCAGACTTTTTATTAATTTATTGTAATTAATTATTTGCATGCAATTAAAAACTAATTTTAAACGATGCCAAAGAAGGATAACTTCTCACGCGCCTACATAAGTACACGCACCCATTTTTTTTTAATTTAGACTGTGGTATTAATATCTACAACTATATTATCATTTTCACTACATGCAAATGTGCTAAGACAATTATTATAGATGGTAGGCGACATCATAAAGTCTATTGCCATACATTTTTCGCCAAACACCTCCATAAACACATTATAAGGTGTGATACACTAAAAATTTAAAATATGGTTATAATATAAACATAACAAAAATAATGGAGCTACTGAAGATATTATGAATGTATAACCTAAATCTGTTAGCTTTCTTTGGTTAACGAGAGTTCATTCACCATCATCACACAGTTTCTGTCACAGAGTACCTTATTATAAACCGGAAATGCATAGATGATACCTGATTTTAAAAGTTACTCTTGTGCATTAACTTTAAAAACAGGCAAACTGGTAATCTAGATGCTCTTTATACCTAAATCTAATATATAATTTCGTTACTTGGCTTGATTTCCCTAGTTACTATATAATTTATTTGTTTTTTATTATTTTAATACCTATCTAACATAACCTCAAAATTGTTCAGTGTATATGGTTTATAGAAGTTCTCAGGGGTGTTCGTCAATAATATTCGTTTCTACAGTAATTTATAAATAATTTCGAATCTAGGAAACAATTTTTCATGATTATTGGCCTTTAGGCCAAACATGTATGGAAGATTAATGGTAATAACATCATTTTCATCATTCATCTTGGGAAAAATAAAACCATTGTACAGTATAAAAAATATTTATTTACAAAATTTTACATTAGGATACTTAAATAGGTAACCCAGCGCACGGCGCTGAAAAAACGAACGTTTCCCGTCTTGAAAGTTCACACATTAAATTAAAACTAAAAAAGGCTCAAATTTGGCATGATTATCTAAACCTAAGAATGCTGTACCAGGCGGCCATTCGCCTAACGGAAATGCTTTGGAAAACGCTAACTCTTACGATTTCATTTTGTTCTTTCTAGCCGCCTTAGGTTTTCAAATGCCTCGCGCTCTTTCTTTTGCATTGGTAATAACAATATTAAAGAAAATGAGCGTGAGGTATTTGAAAACCTTCGGCAATCAGAAATAACAAAATGAAATCGAAAGCGTTAGCATTTCCGTTAGACGAATGGCCCTCAGGTGGGGTAGAGTCATTTGCCTATCTGGCTATAAAAACAAATAACATGGCACCGACTCCAAATATTAATTTGACTCTTTAGACTTAAGGAAAGAAGAAGTGTTTTCCAAAGTATTTCTGTTAGGCGAATTACCCCCAGCTATCTTCACGTCTGGACTTCACCGTCAGTTAACACCAGGAGGGGTGGAGTCATCTACAACAAAATTTGAGAACACTATCCTTGTCTTGCTCTTTAAACAATGAATAAGAAACACTTGTGAAACTAAAGTTTAGATAATCATGTCAGAACCAGACCCGAACTCAACTGTCCAAGCTCGGTTGAGGACTCGGTAATACATATTTAAGCATATAACTGTTAGACGTTTAAATTAAAAGAAAACGATACTAGAAAAAACTCCACTCGGACCAGACAGGGACTCGAACTCTCCGCTATCCGGACGGATGCACTGCGGCCCTAATTGTCCGTGTCGAATTCTCTCTAGCTCTAATTTCTTTCTTTACCATCTCTTCGCATTGTAGGTAACGTTGGGTCTCATATCAAGCGAATACCTTTATAAGTATTAAACATTTGAAAGATAATCATATCAGGGATGGCATGACTAAGCCCATCCTCTCACGCAAAATAGGCATCTGGAGTCGAGTTGCGGAGAACACCCACCGTTCAGAAGAAGAAGTTAAACATATTTTTTGAGCATTTAACTGGTAGATGTTTTAATAACTTCTTAATCGTATCGCATCGTTAAAGTTGCTATGAGAACAACAGCAGCGCCCCTACCGGACGTAAGAACAAACTGGCTCCTTACGGAATTTGACGATGACGATACGAATACGTATCTGTCCAGTTCGTGCCTGGGCCTTTGTACCATTCAGAACCAGCCAGTTGATTATAGTTGTATGTAACCAATAATGTACAGAATAGGTAGGTATGTAATATATCAGAATCTTATATACAGCAGTGTAACTAATATAGTTGCTTGTACCAAAAAAGGGAGATTAATAACACCTTATCTGAAACTCTTGTTTAACTCTAAAGAAAATATAACTAGAAAAAATTCCACGCGGACCAGGCAGCAGACGGGACTCAAACCAGCTTCCTTCGCAATCCGGGCGAATGCACTGACCAATTATGCTACCGCGGCCCTCACGGACCGCGTCGAAATTCTTCTAGCCATTTTTAAGCTGCAAGGCAGCGCCATCTCTTCGCATTATAGGTAACCCACAATGTCTTGTTTAACTTCTGAATCCCATTGGCGGTATGCAGCCATGATTATGGCGGTAGATGTCAGTTTTGATGTAAATATGTTTATTTAGGGAGTACCGCTTGCAGAATTTATTGATATCAATGAGGCTTGACTGCTTCCAGCATCCCTTGAACATCTTCACATCGTCGTGCTAGGACGACTATGATATTTAGAGTCTTAAAATACAACATGACAGTGGTAGATATCAGTACTGGTGTAAATATGTTAATCTACGCGGTCTTAGAGTACCGCTTTCAGAACTTCTTGACGTCATTATGTCTGGTCCTACGGATCATCATTGCAGAATCCCTTGAAGATCTTGCCATCGTTGTTTTAGAGCGATGGGGCAGATGGCGATCTTGAAGTACATTATCTGGCGGTAGATGTCAGTATTGCTGGACATTATGTTGATCTAGGCGCTCTTAGAGTACTGCTTCCAGAACTTCTTGGCGTCATCGTGTTGACGGTATCTAGGCGGTCTTGAAGTACATTGTAGAAGCGGTAGATGTCAGTACTGGTGTAAATATGTTAATTTACGCGGTCATAAAAGTACCGCTTTCAGAACTTCTTGACGTCATTATGTCTGGTCCTACGGACCATCATTGCTGAATCCCTTGAAGATCTTGCCATCGTCTTGTTAGAGCGATGGGACAGGTGGTGGTCTTGAAGTACATTATCTGGCGGTAGATGTCAATATTGGTGTCAATATGTCAATCTACGCGGTCTTAGAGTACCGCTTCCAGAACTTCTTGACATCATTATGTCCGGTCCTAGTGACCACCATATTGCCGAATCCCTTGAAGATCTTGCCATCGTCTTGTTAGAGCGATGGGGCAGATGGTGGTCTTGAAGTACATTATCTGGCGGTAGATGTTAGTATTGGTGTAACTATGTCAATCTACGCGGTCTTAGAGTACCGCTTCCAGAACTTCTTGACATCATTATGTCCGGTCCTAGTGACCACCATATTGCCGAATCCCTTGAAGATCTTGCCATCGTCTTGTTAGAGCGATGGGGCAGATGGTGGTCTTGAAGTACATTATCTGGCGGTAGATGTTAGTATTGGTGTAACTATGTCAATCTACGCGGTCTTAGAGTACCGCTTCCAGAACTTCTTGACATCATTATGTCCGGTCCTAGTGACCACCATATTGCCGAATCCCTTGAAGATCTTGCCATCGTCTTGTTAGAGCGATGGGGCAGATGGCGGTCTTGTAGTACCTCTGGCGGTAGATGTCAGTATTGCTGGACATTATGTTGATCTAGGCGCTCTTAGAGTACCGCTTCCAGAACTTCTTGACATCATTATGTCCGGTCCTATTGACCACCATATTGCCGAATCTCTTGAAGATCTTGCCATCGTCTTGTTAGAGCGATGGGGCAGATGGCGGTCTTGAAATACATTATCTGGCGGTAGATGTCAGTATTGGTGTCAATATGTCAATCTACGCGGTCTTAGTAACCACCATATTGCCGAATCTCTTGAAGATCTTGCCATCGTTGTGTGGCAGATGGCAGTCTTAAAGTACATCTGGCGGTAGATTTCAGTATTGCTAGCTTTCAGTACTTCTTGACGTCATCACGTTGACGGTATTTAGGCGGTCTTGAAGTACATCATAATAGCGGTAGACTTCAGTGTTGGTGAATATATGTCAATCTAGGCGGTCTTAGAGTACCGCTTCCAGAACTTCTTGACGTCGTCATGTCCTGCCCTGGTGACGACCATAGTGCGGGCTCGTTCGCTCTGCCAGGTGAGGACGCCCTGCTGCTTGGCGTAGTCGCGGAGTACTACGAAATCCGCCTGGGGGAATACCAACAAATAGATAAATAGATAAGACTTTACTCACACCAACATGCACACATACAAAATTGACAAGACAAATTTTACAATAGGGATGATGACTATTTTTTTTTCTTCGTTTATCAGGTAGATTATCAAAAAGTATTGGACATGTGTTATTTCTTTTTTCACATAATATAAACATTGCAGAGATATATTGATTTGAAAAGTCGCATGACGTCACGTTTGAGTACACTTATAAGTGAAAATTCACTCAAAAGTGACGTCACGAGCCCCTACTCCCAAACTTTGACGCGCTATAACTTTATATTATACGTTTATTATTTATTACTATTTTTTATTTGCTACGTCATTTGTTGGTTGATTGCCCAAAGAAAAAATACGTGTCCATTATTTTTTGATCATCTAACTGACGGACTAAATAGAATTTTCTCTTTTTCTTTAAAACAGGCAATAAATTATATTTATACATCTATACTATGGTATTTTCGTGTACAGCAGCGATACGAACGGGCGAAAACTCAGCGAAACATTTACTCGGAGAGTAAATCGCTGATTTTCAGTTATGACCCATATAGATGAGGTCTCGCATTTAAATGTCAGATTAAAATTCAAAACCCTCAATAAAAAAGGTAGTAGACTGTCCTGATACGGCGACTGCGACGCGATGGCGATTTTGTGAAAGCAACAGTACCCTTAGCTCGAACCAATATCGAATTCGTAACGTTTGCGAGTACGAAATGTCATTGTCAAATGTGTACTGATTTTTAGTTCTTGTTACGTCCGTTATGGCGTTGCTGTTCAAGTTTCCATACAAAATTTGACAATGACATTTCGGAGTCGCAAACGTTACGAATTCGATATTGGTTCGTGCTAGGGGTACAGTACATTACTGCAGCGGCCAGCAAAAGAGGCATTGCCACTACTACTTTTGGCCAAGGCCAAACTGTATATAAAGTTTAAATCTAAAGAAAAGTTTACTAGAAAAAAAACCACGCGGACCAGGCAGCGGACGGGACTCGAACCCGCATCCTCCGCTATCCGGGCGAATGCACTGACCATTATGCTACCACGGCCCTATTAGCCGCGTAGAATTTTTCCTAGCCTTAAGCTGCAAGGCAGTGCCATCTCTTCGCATTGTAGGTAACCCACAATCTCAAATGAATACTTTTTCAAGTATTAAACATTTGAAAGAAGAAATAGCAATTATAGTTATGATTTTATTTATTTTTTAAGCAAGATTTAGATTTAAACATCTAGCAGTTAAATGCTTAAAAAATAATAACTGTATACAGGGTGAAATTGAATGTTTTAATGAAACTTTGTGGGATTGTTGGGTTACGTATATAGAGTATCTCTGAATTTTTTCGGATTTTTTAAAAATAATTTAAAATAAAATTCCTTTTTTTTTTGTTATATTTTAAGTCCTTTCCTCCTTTTGGGTACTAAATAATTATTCTTTTTAAACACGCATATAGAGTAAGTAAAAAACAACTAATAAGCACTACTAAAAAAAACGTAAAAACAGAAGACGAGCGGCCGGGAGCAATGACCGCTCCCGCCCGTTGAATCGGTTGAATACCTACCTATGCGTTGAATACCTGCAAAGCGCAGTGAGCGAGCGCAGTGTCAAGTTTATAAACCGCGCGTGCGTATCTTTTAAATTTGTGACAAGAGAAGATTTGCAAATAATGCCTTGATTAGTTCTTGTTCTGTGGCCTCAATATAAGAAGTTGGATATGGTGTGTTGTTATTGTAGTGTCACGGAATACTCAGCAGAGCCACAAGGCTTTACGAAAGTGGGTTTAGTGATTGATTGTGTATACAAAGTGTATACGGGAAATTAAAGTGAAAAAAATGAATAGGTTCATCGGTCTCGTAAGTACTTTTGAATACCTGGTTATAAATTTTAGTCTGACCCAAGTATTGAACTGCAATAAGTATTTCTTTTTGTTTAACATTTGCCTATTTCTAATCGTGACAAAATTATTATTAACTTTTAAAGTTTTTCTCTGCTTCAGAGAAGATGACATTTGTGCTTATTATTTCAATAAAGGCATAAGACGACTTTATTGTATTGTGTGGAATCAAAGGAGTCAGCTGAACTCTGTGTAGAGGTACCTACTCACTCAACGGCTGGCGGGCGCGGTCGGTCGTAGACCCGCGGTGGAATTTTAATGTTTTTCCATTTTTTAGAAGTGCTTATTTATTAGTTATTTTTCACTGGATATGTAAGTTTGTTTGTTTAAAATGAATAAATACTCAAAAGGAGGAAAGGACATAAAAATACACAAATTATAAATAAATACATGAAAAAAATATTCTTCAAAAATTCCGAAAAAAATCAGGCATACTCTATACATGTAATCCAACAATCTCACGAAGTTTCATTAAAACATTCAATTTCACCCTATATAAAGTTATTATTATTACTTTTCTCAAATAAAGAGCGGAAATAAAAACTTAGTAGGACCGAGGCAGAACTATTTATTTTAAAATATAATTACATTTAAAAAGCAAATATAGAACAACAACATTCATTCATTTGTTTTTTTTTCTAAACAGCTTTGTAATTTTGCAAGTCAGTTCGAAATTTAAATTTTCGGATTTTTAATTTTTAATGTTTCGGAATAAAAGGTCGTTCGACTTTTTGGCGGGATCGGGAAGCGTCACTTTAGCAGTTTTGTTTTTCTTGTTAAAAATTGTGTTGAAGCGGATGTCAGTGTCTAATAATGGTGGATTATTAACCACTAAGTGTTCGGGAACATGCACAAGTGTTGGCAAGTGAAACAAAATAGCGGGAAAGTGTCATTCGACGTTCCCTCAAGAAGTCCACGGGGAGGTTCCAGTAAATCCCCTTCCTTAATTTACTGAAACATATGGAAAGGGGGATTGACTTGACTGCCACTTACTTTGGACTTGATTTATTACTTTGACCACGAGTGCTATAGTATTTGTAAACATTTTAACACTTGACACTAGTTAAATGGACAAGCCGGGCGAAGCCATTTTAAAATTATCGTTCCATTTTTAAATTGCACGACAGATATGAGTTTTTTGAAGTGAAACTTCTTTATCGGCTCTGGAAAAAAAATTACCGTCACATTTTTTTCGGTTACGCGTCACGTTTTTTGGTTACGCGCCATCTTTTTTTTAAAAGAGCACTATTTACCTCATCAGAACAATTGCTTCTTCTGTCAACTTTAAAAAAAAAGCGATCGACAGCAAATATTCGTGTTTCACACAAGGTAAGGTAAGGTAAGGTAAGGTAAGGTAAGGTAAGGTAAGGTAAGGTAAGGTAAGGTGTAGTTATACCCCTTTAGTGGGTGAGTTTTTGAAAAATCTTAGCGCACACCTATATATATATTTCTGGAAAGTTGCATGTAGATCATTTTTCGAAAAAAATAAGGCCATAAAGAAGTTTCACTTCTTACGTGTGTACACTAGTACACGCACACATTTTTTATTTATTTAGCCGCTAAACACGACTGTTACGGTTTTTCATACAACTTTTGCCGGCCGCTACTCGCATGTATGTGGCCTAGTACCATTTCCAAGTTGTTTAAGAAAGCTCATACTAAGGTTTCGATCGAAAGAGTGAGCGGTCGCAAAAAGACTGGCAGATATGCAACATTTGAAATTACACTATTTCTGAAAAAGAAGACTCATCTGTACCCCTAGCACGAACCATTATCGAATTCGAATAGTTTGCAAACCGAAATGTCAATGTCAAATTTTGTATGGAAACTTGAACAGCAACGCCTCAAAGTACGTAACGAGAACTAAAAATCAGTACAAATTTGACAATGACATTTCGGACTCGCAAACGATACGAATGCGATATTGGTTCGTGCTAGGGGTACTGTTCTGACATTTTCAAAAGAACTATCGACCAAATGGGTCAGAAATCAATTGTAACGATTATATACTACTTTAAAATCGTCATTGCCCACTATCATCTTTAATATATTATCATCCTTATCATCAGAGAAAATTGAAAACGGTGAAATTTACATAAGTTTAAGCAACGATTGCCAAATAGGTGTCATTCATAAGGTCTGTATTCTTCCGCATATAGCAATCAGTCATAAAATCTTACGAGCTTGCATTTCGAACTGTCAAAAATCTTTGACACATGCGTTTTAAAAAAATACCTTATACAGTATACGTTAATGGTGACTTTATGTGTTTAAAAAAATCCTAATGTTGTTTTTGACTACGCGATTAGGGTTACCATATCTCAGGATTTGTCCTGAGATATCAGGATTTTTGGACTCTTCTCAGGATTGCGGCTTGATTTTGCAAATCTCATGAAATCTCAGGATTTTTTGAATTTCCAATAAAATACAGCTTACTATAAAAAGTTAAACTAAAAATAATCTTCTATTGGTAATAATTGCACAATTAAAATCAGTACTTTATTATCCAAGTAAGTATCTAATCAGTTTTATCATACTTAATATGTGAAGATACATTTTTAAGTAAGGTTTTTTCTTTAATTATAGATTCATATAATGCCCCACATGTTAAGCTCATCAAATTATATTGATTTAAAAGTGTAAGCAGAGTATAAACGATAATATTACGAATTTTTTAAATTGTTAAGTACTTCTAAGAGGAAATTCTCAAACTGTAAAAAATCTCAGAAATTTTCAAAGGAAATCAAGCCTTTTCTCCGGACTTTTGATTTTATCATCTGGTAACCCTATACGCGATCATCTTACGGAGCTCCGTGGATCGTCCAATATACCTTTTGGACAGGTTTCGGCCACGAATTTGTTCGTATTGGTGTATCTAGGGTATTGAATATCGTTGGTGTCCTTATATTACCTGTGATAGGAACTGGTTGTACACGACTCCCTCGGTGTAGGTGAATCTGTTCCGCTCGCTCTCCCAGAGCCGCACCTGGTCTACGACGGTGGGCGGAAGGAGAGAGGTAGAACGGATGCCTCCTGTCTCTGTCTTCAACATCTGTAGCAAAATAAATCAATCTTGAAAACTGTGCATCGAACAGTTTGAATTAGAGTGCCCGTCTGTAACTTTAAGAGGGGAGGCGGGCAATGCTTTTGACGTGACAACGTGTTATAATTCGATGGAGCCGGCTGAACGCACGAGAAAACATGACTCCTGCGGCGTTACCTCGCTCTGAGGCGTTCCATTTAAGGCTTGAAGTGCAAGCGACAGCGCGCAACGAGCGATAAAGAGGCACAATCGGCCTCCGCGTTCGGCAGCGTTCGACATCTGTCTCCCTCCTACTTGAGTGAGCGATGCGTCCGCGTGGACAGCTGCTATACAATAATACATTTACATGTTTTCGTCAAGTATGAAGTGCAGTGAAAAGTGAATGTGGTATCAATTGTTTATAGCAACGATAATTGCGGCGATAAAAGTAATGATATCACACATGTTTAAAAGTTTTAGGTAAAAGTTGTAAAACAATTGCTCAAAGCTTCATTCATACTTGTAAAAACTATGTACATTGTAAAAAAACGTTCTCACTTCAACTATCGTCAGTAAACCGACTTTACAACAACCGATTTTTTTCCATACAATCGTTCTCGACTGATTCCTCCTTGATTTTTATCACTAAAGAATTGATTTTCATACATAAAATATAATTTTATATGTTACTTTTTTCATTATAAAGAACCTAGAAGCCCTCAAAATACCAAAAATAAACAAATTTTGATCACCTATAAAGACGTCTACAGTCCATCAAATCTAACAAGTACCGTTTGACGTTTCATGTTTTTCAAACAGATATAACTTTGTTTAAGCGTAACTTATTCAAATTTGATAACCTTTTTCGTAAAACCATGAATTTATAAAAGTTTTATTATTGGATCTAAAAATGTACAATTCTTAATATCTAAATTTAATTGAAAACTTTCAAACAAAGCAAAATAAACAATATTTACACAATAAATAAGTTCTAATAGTTCTATTCTTGACCTCATTGCAAAGTCACATAGTTAGGTCACTGCTCGTAGTGTTGCAACTCTTCGGAATCAATTGTGTACGAAAAAATCGTGTACATTATTCGGAAAATCGAATTTATTACTTTCAAATTATCAATTAACGCATTTGTAAAAATACATGACAGATGACAAAATGATCAAATTTGATGCCTCGGTCCATAATCTTCTCAGATTACGATGTTGTAAGCGCTAGAAGCGCTTATGGCCAATGTCAGACCACGGTCAGAAAGCGAATTTTCGACGTAATGTTTAGGGGTACAGCGCAATTTAATTTTTGTATAATTTCACGTTACTGCTCGATCGCATAATGCATTTAATACATAGGTGTCTCTTCTTTGGACATAAATGAAACTCCGTAATGTGGTAAACGTTTGTCTTTCAATACTTTAACATGAAAAATCTAATTATTTTATAAAGCTAGTACGTCGCCATTACGTGAGAACAATGTGAATGACAAAAATCTGAAGGTAGTGTAAAAAGTAAAAAGTTCCTATGAATTAAATCGCTTTTGAGTCCATGGGAGATTGCTGCTGTCGAAACGCAGGCGCGAACATCCTCCCGCCCGTGGAAAGCTCTGGCTTTCAACCTTGAGTGTGATCCAATGAGAGTAAGGGGCACAGTCGAACTAATGGACGTCGCACGACTCCCCTTTGAGTCTTTACATCAGCGACTCTTGATATATTGTCAGAGCCAGGAAACAGTTTGTGGATGCGTCCAAGACGCCAACATAGTGGAGGTAGATTGTCTTCTTTCAGAAGTACCAGATCACCTACTTTGGCATTGGCTTTGTTCACTCTCCATTTACTTCTCTGTTGGATTTCTGCAAGGAATTCTTGCTGCCAGCGTCGCCAAAAATGCTGATGGATTTGTTGAAGGCGCGCGTAGCGTTGCAAGTTATTAGAGGTGTGATCTTCCAATGCTGGTGCCGGTAAAGTTGTCAGAGCTCGACCAATCAGAAAGTGACCGGGGGTGAGGCAAGAAAAGTCGTCGGGAGAAGTGGATAGAGGACATATGGGGCGACTATTTAACACAGCTTCTATTTGGGCAAATAAAGTGGACAACTCCTCAAAAGTCAAGTGCGAGTTACCCATGACACGCTTGACATGGTATTTTGCCGACTTCACTCCGGCCTCCCAAATTCCTCCAAAATGAGGAGCGTAAGATGGCAAAAACGTGAATTTGACATTTTCTTCGACCGCAAATTCAAATAGAGATGATGCATGAGTGTTTAAAAATATATTCAACTCCTTCGCGGCAGATACAAAATTGCGTCCATTATCGCAGAAAACCTCAGCTGGTTTACCGCGCCGTGATACAAATCGTCGAAAAGTTAGTATGAAAGCGTCCTTTGTAAGATCACTTACAGCCTCAAGGTGTAAACACTTGTATCTGAGGCATACGAACAAGCATAAATAGCTCTTTACTAATTTTGCACCTCTGCCTTTCCTATTTAAAGTGAGAAAAGGTCCAGCGAAATCTATTCCCACAGATCGAAATGGGAAGTCTGGCGTGACACGCTGGGGTGGCAAGTTGCCCATCATGGGCTGTAATGTTTGTTTGCGCAGCCGACTACACTTAACGCAATCGTGCACTGTCTTTCGAGCAAGACTCCTACCATTGATTGGCCAGATATATTCGCGTACAACACACAGCAATAACTGTGGACCGGCATGTAAATTTCGCATATGCTCGTATTTGAATATTAATTTAGTAAAATTGTGAGAACCTAGCAACAAAATTGGGTGTTTTTTATCATACCCTACGTTGGAGGCCTGAATCCTACCACCGACACGAATCAAGTTTTCGTCACTAAAAAAGGGTGACAAAGATAATATTTTCGACTTGTAACTTGGTGGTTGTTTTTTAGCTAGTAAGTCATATTCTTGCTTTAAACATTGCTGTTGTGCAATACGACACAAAGTTATAAACGACTTTTGTAGTTCATCAATGGCAAGTGAACCTGAGTAACGATTATTTGTATTTTTGATATTGTGTAAAAATCTTAAAACGTAAGCAAAACAACGCCTTAGCTTAGTAAAACGGGCATAGTTTTCAAACTTTATGAATGGTTCCTCTATAGTAGACAGATTGGCTGAAATGGCGTTCGCTTTAAGCTCCGGCAAATCTTGAACACTCGGTTTCTCATTTAGTACAGGCCATACATCTTCAAAGTGTCGTAAAAATTTTGGACCTGACCACCACAATGAATTGTCTTTAATCTGAGTAGGGCTCAAACCTCTCGAAATAAGATCTGCTGGATTAAGAGATGTTGGCACGTGATGCCATGATAACCGATCAGTCAAATCGCATATTTCCGCTATTCTGTTTGCAACAAAACATTTTAAATTACTGGAACTGCTGTGAAGCCATCCCAATACTATGCTGGAATCGCTCCAATGCACTTCGCGTGTGACTTCACACCGTAGAGATTGCCTTACTGATTTGCACAAACGAGCTGCCAAGACAGCAGCACAAAGCTCTAAGCGCGGTATAGTTGTGGGCTTAATCGGAGCCACTTTAGATTTTGAGCAAAGTAGATGAACAGTGATGTCGTTATTAGAGTTTATAGACCTCAAGTAAATACATGCTCCAAATGCATGCTGTGATGCATCACAAAAGGAGTGTAGCTCCACTGTCAGCGGCTCATCGCATAGAACTCGTCGCGGTACTATTATTTTTAACAGTGTTGGTAAGTCTTGGGTAAAATTATTCCAGTCCTTTGCGATGTTTTTGGGGGCTGGTTCATCCCATCCCAGGTTAAGCATCCAAAGTTTTTGTAGTAATATTTTGGTTGAGACTACACATGGGCTTAACAATCCCACAGGATCAAAGATTTTAAATAAATTTGAAAGTATAGAACGTTTTGTGGGCTCCTTAAGATGGCCAAGCTGTTGAACTTGAATTGGAAAATGTAATGTATCGCTGGATGGTATCCACCCTAATCCTAATGTGCTCGAGGATTCACTGAAGGTTAGCTCTGTATTGAAATTGATGTCAGTAGATTTAAAAATAGAAGGCATGTTAGTTTTAAGTTTTCTTAGATTAAAGCAACCTTGTCTGAGCTTGTCGGAAATGCTTTGAAGTATGTAGATTAAATATTCTTCATTATCACAACCGGTGATAAGATCATCGACGTAAAAATCGTGTTGTATTATAGTTTTTATATTGAAATCAGAACACTCCTCTCCCAATTGCCAGAGGCAGCGTGTGCTCAAATAACTGGAACTTGCCATACCGTAAGTAACAGTATTCAATTTGCACGTTCTGATAGGCAAGGACTCGTCTTCCCTCCATAATATGAGCTGTAAGTCGCGATCTTGTTCCTGAACTTCTATCTGGCGGTACATCTTCTCTAAATCGCCAGTAAGTAGATATTTATGTTGCCGAGCTCTTACTAAAATAGAGAAAAGGGAATCCTGTATATTTGGGCCTATCATAAGAAGATCATTGATAGAAAAACCTGAGGTGGTGGGAGCCGAGCCATCAAACACGACTCTTATTTTTGTTGACTCACTGTTTGTTTTAAAAACTGCATGATGACTCAAGAAGTAAGAAGTGCTGGGATTTGTATAAGGAGAAACGGACAGATGACCTAAATCAGCGTATTCCTTTATAAATTTGACATATTGTTCTTTAATGTCTGGATGCTTGCGAAATCTACGCTCTAAATTTAGAAAACGCCTTTTGGCCACAGAATAAGAATCACCAAGAGAATTGGGTGAGTCCTTTAGTGGTAATCTGACTGAAAATCTGCCAGACTTCAAACGAGTTGTATTGGTCAAAAAGTGCTCCTCGCATGCCCTCTCGTCTTCGCTCAAAGGGCACTTTGGCGGAACCTCTTCAAGTTCCCAGAACTTGGTTAATTGTTGATGAAAATCATCTTGAATCATAGAATGGTTACACTGTATGTTTATCGATTTGCCTTTATTCGAATTTATTGGACCTGAGATAAGCCAACCCAACTGAGAGCTTCTGAGAACGGGCTTATTTGGA